TCTCCCCTGTTGGCTGGCCTTGCTGAGTGGACAGACAGTGGACTCAGTATTTCCCTTCCTCTGTTAAGCTGTGGGGACTCTCCTCCGGCCTCAGCCAGGCTGCAGCAATTTAAGGGGTGCTGTTGTTTTGGAGAGCCACTGTGGGAAAGTCATTAAAGTGTAAAGCATCCCTCTTTTATTTCTTTCTAAAGGACTCCTGGAAGAGACATCCACCAAGGCGTTGGACGATAATGAGTGCTGACACAGACCGGCCACCCCCACAGTGCCGTGTGTGCCGATAGCCGCTACCATGGCAAAGAGTTTCTCTGCAAGAAAACCAGCCTGACGCACAGCGAGGAGGGCCTCCTCTCTTCTACAGGTGGCCTGTGTCTGCCACCAATTACTCAATCAGATCTTTTCTCACAATGGGAAAAAGACTCCTTCTCTGTTTGGTGGCAGTTTGAAGTGAGATGCATGGTGGGTTTTCTGTCATGTGCTCCGAAAGGTCAGCTTGTCATTATTTATTTAAAGGAGACTTGTTGAATACCTGATACGCAACGCATGGCTCTGAGATGAGGCCTCTCATTTGATCAAGCTCCTCAGCTGTCTCCTCGGTGGACTGATCCTATCATTATCCCTCCATGTAGTATATATTTAAGAGGTGAACTGGACAGGGAACAGGTAAGTTCAAAGCCATCGAACCGCAATGACTACCTGTTATCAAAGCATTAAAAAAAACCACTGAGAGAGACGTCAGAGTGTGCTGCAACAAATGCAACCCAAGTGGAACCCAAGTGGCTGTTTGCACTGAAACGACACAAGATTGCTTTAACTGCAAAAACCCTCGATGTAACTGCTGCATATAAAACAATCAGAGGTGAATCACTCACAGATTCATGAATGATAAGCATGCTTTTATAGACGTGGTGCAGTGACATGTCTGCAGAGAAAACAGCTGACTGCTCAGTTCAATTTCCTTGTATGACAACCTTAAATGTGGAGCACAGAAACCGGTCTGAAGCAGTCTGCTGTGGTGGTGGAAATGATTTCATTCATTGTCCCTGGGTTTCTTTGAAAAACTGGGGGCCTCTGCTGGAACAAAGTGGTACCACATGTTGTTTACCAACCCAGGACATCCTGATACTGTATTCACACGGCTCGTTTTTGTTTTATAACTGTGCATGCAGCCATTTCTACCGATGCCATCCATAAATTACTTTAGTTTATTAGTTACTTAAGCATCATATTGACCTCACAAAGTTCTGAAAATGCTTTCGAAACATGTGCGACCAAAATCCAATCAAGTCAATTACACAATCAACCAAACACCAAATATTTTGTACACATGCTGAATGTTTGACTCATAGTTGTTTCTAAATATTGGCACCCTAGCATCCTATTTTGGGTCTGAGTATTGATCTGCTAAGTTAAACAGAGCAGGTCAAAGACACTGAGTTGAGCTGAGTTGAGCTGAGGTGGCATGGGACTAACTCTCCACACAGTGTGCATGGCCCAAGAGCATTTTTGTTGCAGCATTGATCTTCTTTGTTAATGGCCAGCTGTCGGGAGAGAGTGATTGATCTGATCGGCCCTCCATTAATGCTGTTCACGCCAAGTTCTGCCCTGGTGGCCACACTGTTTTTTTTTTCCTGAGAACAGCACAGGGATCCAAAAGTTTCTTTCTACTATACACTGTGTATGTTTCCTTCTCCCAGGGCTCACATATAGACTCGTGAAAAGCAAGATTATGCAATAGCCCGGCCACTTGAATAAACTGCCATTTACTGAGGGTGAATGGAGGAGTTAAGAACGGCGAGGGACCCATTGTGGCTGTCATTGGTATGCAGAGTGGTGCAGCAATACCATTAGGGCCCTTGATCAGATTCAGCTGTATCTGTAGACCCCTGATCTGTGGGGAGCTTTCTTCTCCATGTCATCCTTAAATGGCTCCTGTCATGAAGACCTACGGAAAGCCCACTCACCAGGTCATCATCCTCCCAGTGGAGGACTTAAATGACACTATAATCTGGGACCAATCTTGAGCAAACACTTGGCATGATATTTTGAAGTAGAGCTAAGAAAATTGATTTATTTTCATCCGTACATAGGAGGAAATGGGCAAGATGTTGGTAACAGCAACTCATGAGAGTTTTTTGAAAATTAAAAAGTTATTTAGCGAACCGCTTCACTGAATTAAAGGCACCGATTTTGATTGAGAGTCAGGCGTCTGCACATGCACATAACTGAGGTGCACATTCTTCTCAGTCTGAGGATTCACCCCAGTTTTCTGTTAAATCCCCCTCGTCCACCCTCCCCAGTCCGTCTTTAGAGGCGGAGTGAACTGGGTTAGAGTTATATAACCAATGTCTGCTCTCATAGATCCTCAACAACTCGTCTTCCCCTAATCTTTTCAGCTTGATTACACCCTCCATCCCCCTCCCCTCCTCTCATCTCCCCTCCTCTGCCGACTCATTCAGCTCAGTGTTTTCTCTCTCTCTCTCTTACACACACACACATGTACATCCACACCATGCAGAAGCATATGAACAGAGCGTCAGGATCCGCCACACTCCGGTTTAGAGCGGATGGGATGCTCGAGATTGCAGGTGTGAGTGTATGTGTGGCTGCAGCAGGTTTTTGTCTGGTTGCAGGATCTCGCCATGAAAAACCAAGAAGATATCCGAGGTTAGCTGTGCATGTTGGAAAACCTTAGGTCTTAAAAATACAGATTTTCCCCGTCATTTGCATCGTATCTTACAGCAACAGAGACAATCAGTCTCGGTCTTTTCTATCGTTTCATATCTGTGCACACAAAGGCTGTGTTACTATCTGCTCTGGGATGCCAACAAAGAGAGACTCTCTACAGATAACGTTTATGTCGTCAGTGGTTTTGTGAGACAGAAATGCTGAAACAAGGCTGCCGATACTGGAAGTATCTCTGCAATTCATCAATATGGATCCAAGATGTAAAATATATGTTACAAAATAAACCAGATATCACCTACTGCTTCTCTACATATGTTTTTGATCCTTTTAATAGATTCGCTTGTACGAAATTAAACATACACTGTGCTTCTACTTGATAAAAGAAGTCCACATTTTGCAGTCACAGGGTAACAGATAACTCCTGTGACAAAGCAGAAATGTGGGTCAAAGTCTTAAGACAGTGTGTCTGTGGAAATCATTTATCATTACCCATCATTTGGCACAAACTCAATCGTACATCTTGATTTTAGCAATAAGGAAGTCCGCAATCTCAGCCAATAAAGCCACGTAAACCAGGGGTGCCAGGTCAAAGAGTGGTGGTATTTAGGTCTTTGCTTTGTTATAATCAAAGCCTTTTTCACTCAAGATTCTTATAAAGTGGTTTTAAATGCAGTGGGAGGACACAATTAGACATGGGGGGGTTCAAAAGGCCAAAGGCTGACGTCCATTGGATCACTTTTTCGAGGGTAAGCGTCAATGCAGCAGTAAACCATGACCTCTCTCACTGACCTTTGCTCACCAAAAGCACAAACCTGTGCACATCCACAAAGCAATAAAACCTCCAACATCCAGCCAGCTGAACATTTAATATGTTTTACAAGCCTCTTCAGGCAGAAAGATGCAGGAAGTCGGCATATTTGACAGGAAATGTTCCGTCTGAGACGACATAAACCTGGACACAGTTGAAAGGAGGGATAGCCGTTCGGTTGTTTCACTGTTTTACTCCTAAAATAATAACTTTTTTAGAACAGGATTTTTCAGAGAAAATCCCGTTATGTGCTGCTGATAACTGACAGCCTTAGTGCTTTGGCTGAGTTCTGAGCCTAGAACAAATCATGATACCATCAACTCACCATCTGCTGCTTCAAACACTTGCTGACGGATTTTTTCAAACTTCATTGTTGCTGTAAAATTACGTAAAAATGCATCAGGATTTCTAAATCAATGCAGCTTTCCATTTTCTGCCCTCACAATTGAGACTCAAACTATAACTCTGAGTATAAGGTTTCATTAAAACTCCTACTGTGAAATTTCCCATCAGTGGATTTTCGGAGTCCCTGAGTCCATTTTTATCATCTACAAGCTGCCACAGAAAATAGGACACTCAAGATCTGTCTTCATTGTCTCACAAACGCAGGGGAGCTTTATCAGCAGAGCGGGGACTGAAATGACACCATCAAGACACTGATGCAATCATTGCTATCGGAGATTAACAGATCCAACTGACTCTTGTCTTTTCACAGCGATAAGAAAGGCTAAAACTGCAGATTTATTTACCAAACCTTTAACCTAATCTTTTGCAAAAGCAGCAAATATTTCTCTGTGATAATAAACACTAAAAAACAATGTTTAGTTTAAAATGTCACCAAATGCAATTATATGCAATATGCTGCACCATTTGTTCTCAGACAACCCCAAACAGAAGCCAACAGAGCTTTCTTATGATCTACTGACATCTATTGGCTTAATTTGACACGCCATGGTTTATGTAACTTCACCGAGGCTCATGGATGAGGCTGTGGCACTCTCTAGTGGCAACATCTCGAACACACAAACCCTTCAGGAAGAGCCAGATGAAACTCGTTTCGTGCTCTCTACTCAAGGCCATCTTGGTGTGATGTGTTTAAGGAAGGGAGAATATCCTATTTACCTACTGAGACCATATTAACAACCAGAAAGCTGCAGGAATAAAGCAATTATATTAATAAGAAACTGAACAATTTGTTTGTGATTCATGATAATACTGATTAAATTATTATGCAAATAGTTTTCTGGCTCCACATTCGTACATGTGGATATTGGATGTTTTTTGTTGTTGTTTTGCACTACTTTAAATTGATTATCTAGGATCTAAAAGCAAAATAATGCTTCTATTATCTTAAATGTCAGATTTTTAGCCCCCAAAAACCTCGGTTATTCTGCAAAACCACGCCGGCGCAATCAAAAATGTTCTTTTATAATTTACTGGGTTGACCTCACTTCATGATGACACAAAATGCAATGAAATAAGAAGATGCGGTCATGGTGCGCATACATAATGAGCGACCTCTATTGAAAGAGCCATTTTATTTTCTCATCTCCTAAAGGATTCACATTTTAATAGGGTACTTTCAAAATAAAGAAATTATAATCTTCACAAAAATATTTGAGACTTTACATCTTCTGAATTCCTTTCTTACAAGTGCTACACAAAATCAAAATTCACATCTAACACCAACACTTAAATACAGGATGGTTGCATTTCCGCGGCCCTGAACATGCAAAAATGCACTCAACACTTTGATTTGGCATGAGAGAGAGAGAGAGAGAGAGAGAGAGAGAGAGAGAGAGAGAGAGAGAGAGAGAGAGAGAGAGAGAGAGAGAGAGAGGTGACATGAAAACTGGTCCCTTTTATAAGTTGAGTCACAAGTAACAAAGGTTATTACTGATGTGGTCAGTGGACTGTGTTCCTGTGCAGGTGCGAACTCTCAACACGACTCCATACACATACATTCCTGAAATGGGACATTTTAACCATTTGATGCTTTAGTCACATTCACAAAAAACTGAAACTGGGTGATGTTGTCCTAACAACTAAGTGTAGAAATTCAGAGCCAACGAAGGCTTTCTAGAAATAAAATGCTGTTGTGCACTTTAACTGTAGCCCTCATTAGTTTAATCCTGATATCTCAGTCTAAGGCATCTTTCCTTTAAAAGGAAATCAGGGTTGGAAAAAAATGTCTGTTGACCAGTCAGCTTTGTGACTGACAAAGAGACATCACAGTGATGGGGAGCAGGTAGTTTTTTATGCAATCTGAATATTGAACTCCGTCAGACTTCTTGGCTTTTCAGTGTTGTGTGAACTAAGTGTTGTCGAGGTTCATTTTTGCTGAAGATTAAGTTTGTCGTATACACTCAAATGAGAATTCAATAGATGTTGAAGTTAGTGAAACAAACCCTCTCAGTGCGATGATCCACTGCACATTTGAATTTATGGTGAGAAAATTATCATTATGACATTTTTTGCCTTACAGTGAGGTAAATCCTGGAGTCCATCTGGACCCAAACTGCATCACAGAGTATATGAACTACTGATAAATCCAGCATGAGCGTGACCTTAAAATAAAGCCTGACAGTGGTGGGAAACTGAAACTCTGTAGTCCCTCTTCTGTTTCCGAGGGGAACTATCTGAAGGGTGCAACCAAAATACCTTTGGTCACTACAAACAAACAGCATTAAAACATTCATGCAGCTGGGCTGCTGGACAAGGAGGCTAGTCCCAGCAACCAACTCTTATGGCTTCATATCGAGAACAAAACTGATGTTCAGTATTACATGATTTCAAAGGCGACCCTAACCATTGCAGAATTTAACGGCCTTATTGAATCCTTAGCAGTGATAGCAGATTTGACACGTTACTCATCACAAAATATCTAAACAGTGCTGAAACCGGCCCTGTATAGGATGGATGGTTGTGATTGGCACGCCCTGAATCAGAGCAGGATAAAATCTGTCTGTAAATGAGAGGAACTGAAAAAACATATTCGTCTGATTTTAAAGACACAGGTAAACTGTGACTGTTGGAGTTTGGACTATCTTTTCAGATAATTACAAAAACTCATTGTCAATTTGAAGTTTGATGACAAAAGCTGTCACACTATGAGAGTGGTACTTCATCAAAACTAAAACGTGTATATACAGTTACACTACTCTAGGTGCACAACTGTTCATACTAACGGTTGTATATGAGTGCTGCTGAATTACTAGTGGAAAGAATTGTAAATGCCAAAGAACTGAAACTCAGGTGAAGAGAATATTGCTTTGGGACCCCTGTGACCTGTGATATTTGATGCCCTCAAGACAAATTCAGGACTGCATATGTCACACAAAATGCCAAATGTCACCAAAACCCTAACTGAACCATTCAACTCAGGTTCTCATTGTTCCCTTTTCTCATCTAATCTTCAGCTCCAAAGAACAAATCAAAAATGGTTTGTTTCAGACAAGCCCTCAGGGATCCCACGGCAGACAGGCGAGGTTTCTACAAACCAGAGAAACATTAAAATAGAAACGTTTCTGTACATGAGAGCTGTTTATAATGCCCGAAGTTGAAACATAGACGTGTAGGAAAACAGCACAGGAGAGGTAGGAATTTGAATTCCAAAACTCATGACCCACAAATACTCAATTGTTTCGTTAACACTGCATGCTAATAGCCAGTTTGCTGCACGGCAGGGAAATCAAAAGCAGACTGTTCACGACCAGGAATATGGCACCATATAAACTAGAGGACACGATCACACTCAGCAAGCCCTCGATCTAGGAGACTATGTACACTGTCAGCGCTCCGGCCTTGGAAGAGTCTCTGTGCTGCTAGGTGACCACTTCTTCACGTGGCAGGTTGAGCCTCACCTCCCCTCCACCTGCTGCTGTGGAGGTTGAGTAGACGGCTGTGGCGGAAACAGAAGAAGGGCCATTGGTCTCCATGGTGAACAGCTTGCAGGGTCCTGGTAGGGCCTCGTCAGGGACCTCTTTTTCTGGGCTGGACGCCTGAGAGGATCCACGGGAAGAGGTGGGGCTGAGCTGCACAGCTGTGGTGTCCTGCAGGGTGTGCTCACTGGTCTCAATTTCAAACGCCGCCCCACCTGCCAACCCGCCATGTCCCATCAGCCCTGTGCCCCTGCCACCCAACTTTGACCTCCTCGAGCTGTGGGGCGGGGGGAGGCGACTGCAGACGCAACAAGCCCCAAAAAAGGAGAAGGCCACCAGCAGTAGGATAGGTCCAATGATGATGGGGGGGTTGGCTGAAGGCACCAGCGTACTGAAGGCGAACGCCCCAACCAGGGTGATGTTGAGTCCGGCCAGCATGATGCAGAGGCCACAGGCACAGCAGAGCGCTGGAGAGGGCAGGCCATGAGGACGGGACTTGCCCCTCGTCTTCAACTGGGGCTCCTTTTTGGGTAAAGGGGTGCTTCTGTCAGTGATGACCATGTCTTCACCTCTAGAGACTCTTGTTGTGTTTTCCTCGGTGTGATCAAATCTCCCTGTGATTTGGTCCAAACTCTTCCCCATGGCAATGATTGAATAAATTCACAGCCAGGAAATGTCTGAAAAAGACATTAAATAACAGCCGTGAGTTTTACATACGCACAAGTGGACTCGTTGTACTTCCCTTGATCTGTTCTCCGGTGTCTCTGGATATCTATCACTGATGGTACAGTGTAGTGTCCTGCCTGAGATGGGGTGTGTAATCCATCAAGAAGCTGTGGGGAATTCATCACAGCTCGGCGCTACTTCTTTAGATTACAAATAGCAGGAAAGGTTCTGTGAGTGGTAGACTTAAAGCTAGCTGGCCCTTGAACAGATTATTCAACACTGAAAAGTTTTGTGTTTCGAAAGGCTAAACCAGAAAAAAAACAAACAATGAATTAAATAGCAGTAGTATAGCCGCGAGCGAAATTGGTGGACTATAATTAGGGATTCTATTATTCATATATTTCTGTAGCTCAGAGACATCATAACTAAGCATTGATTCAAACAGAGTGCACTCAACATGTGACTATAGCACGACCTTAATGCTACCAAGTCCTGAGAGTGAATTAATAATGTGACATGGTGGATCATAACTATTTTTTAAAAAATGTATGCAAAGGCACTGCAGCTGTTTGTGTAGGCCACTGATGGAAAAGCATTTCAGTCGCCCCTGAGTTTCAGCCTCCTTTCTATTCTAACATGAACTGGGCAGATGTTCAGATGTGGGTAAAGGATCCTTTATGTTGGACATGTTTACATCAGTTAATGAATGAGCATATTTAACATAAAAACATCATGATGATGTGGATCAAGATTTGCTAAGATCACAGTGACAAGCTTATTACGCCACTGACGTGCTGCATCCCTGTAAATTTAACCCGTAAATGATCTTACCTTGTGAGTTGATCTTCTGAAAGGGTTTCCATTTTTCTCATCTGTAGATTTTCACATATATGCCATCAGTGTCCAGTTACCGCCGTGTGATTATTACTCTGAGAGGGTGGCAGGATGGATAAACACCAAACGAGCGGTTTCCTTCTGCTTTCGTAGCTTCACGGTCCTGAGGGCACAAGTCATGACAGCCATTCAATCAGAGGAAACAACGCGAGGAGGTGCGACCTGCGGAGGAGAATCAAATCTGAGAGGAGAGGAGAGGAGACATGATCACTTTATGGTGAGGCGCTATTTCTTCTGAGTAAAGACACACCGTACGCTGCTCCTGATGTGGACCGACACGCACGTATATCTGACAGGTCATCCCGCAACAAAAATGGAGGGAAAATCCTGATGTGTGCGTGACATCTCTCCTACTGTGGGTATACGGTCTTCATGCCTCACTACAAACCCTCATGTTTAATATGCAGCAGACTGTCTCCCCTCCTCTCTAGACCCAAAGGATGCGACTCACCGCCTCCTCTCTGTGCCAGTGTTCAACCTGCTGTGCGTGTGTGTGTGTGTGTGTGTGTTCGTGTTGCTATATTATGTGTGTTGCACCTTTCCTATAGGTCCCCAACTCTCCTTTGTTCACTGGTTTCTAGTTCCTGTTGAAAATAAGCACAGTAAAAATATTATTTCTTGACATTTCTCAAAGTATTAGTATCCAAGGTACTTTATTCAGCCTAGATTTATTGTCAGGTTTAGCTGTTGCTATGATCTATGTGTGCCCAATGGATAATGATGACTTCAGTCAAGTCCTCCTACACAGTGCCTTACCTGGTTTATGGTCTGCAATCAACTTAACTAAATATATAATTTTTTAAGCAATTTATTTATTAACATTTTTTTATAAACAGTATATAACTTCAATAACAAATTTCACCAAAACCCGCCCCCCTCCCAAAGAAAAATCCCATAGTCCAGCTCTTACCTACAAACCTTAAAAAATATATATAATAATAATAATAATAATAATAATAATAATAATAATAATAAAAATGAATAAAAGGATTTAATAAAATAATAATAATAATAATAGTTCAAATAATAAATAAACAAATTAATTCATCTAACAAATAAATATTTATTTAATTAACAAATAGTTAAATTTAAAAAAAAAATTATAGCAAAATATGTGCAGCTAAGGCCAAGACATTGAAATTGGAAAAATACACAGCTACTCCTGCAGATGTGCTACAACCAACAACCACCACCATCACACCATTGACAGTACTTATCTAGTTATCTGTGAGATGTCAAGATGTATTTTAAAGTCATTCCAGCATTTTCCAAAAAGATGGGGTTTCTTTTGCATATTGAACATAATATTTTCAGAGGCCATGTATGATACAACTTCCTTAAGCCACATTGTGGCAGTAGGTGGAAATATATATTTTTTAAACAAATTGGATTGAGAGATATATCCTCACTGTTGAGAAGTATGACCACTGGTGTCTGACGATATCAAAATCCTAATTTAAGTAACCTAACCCGAAGTAAAAATGAACATTACATACCCGCCTGGTTTGCATCCCCATTCACATAGACCTTATAAACATAGAATCTCAGTGGCATCACTCATTCACCATATCAGTGCTGTTCCACTTCAAGGTGCAAACCTAGCATGCGCAGAACGTAAAAGCCAGTTTCAGCTAAATTGCATGCAAAAGGAAATCTATCCCCAACTGAATCATAGGTATGTTAGTCCCCCTTTAGGAATTTTGACATATTTCAGGTGGAGTAATGCAATAAATTGATTTCTTTAACCCTATGTTAATCTTCTACTGAGTGCGCCCACCTGCCAAACTTGTAACCTCAATATCCTTATAACTGCTATTTTAACATGTGTCCAGATAGAAATAATCTATTCAAGCCATTTTTGTCATTTGTTATAGACTCTAAACATGTTTATTTTAGCTGTAAAGATGGGCTTTTTAGAATGAAAGTGTATGTGGTGAGTAGGAGTGTTAGAGCCAGCTGCTAGTGGACACTTTAAGTACTGCGGTTTTTAGCACTTAAGCATTGGCATAATTTCTTCGGACCAGAGGTTGCCACTTGAGTATATCATAGGTTTATGAATGTGCTTAACATTAATATTGGCAATGAAAAAGCATTGACATGATAATTAGATTCTTGAGTTTCACCTTGTTTGAAGGTCATGTGAAGTGTTTGACTTGAGTGTAACTGGGTATGGCCTCATGGCTTGCAGCAGGTCTCTCTGTGTATAACCACTTGTAGTCAGGAGTTGTTCTTTTCGTAAACAACATATCCATATTCAGTCATTGATTGTAGCCGTTCTGAAAAACATATACTGAAGAAGAGTGAGGGGGTAAATTGTGATTTGAGGTCTGACAATCAAACTGCTGGATGTCATCAAGGCGCTGTGGACTCCTCAGACTCCCGTTGGTGGCATTATTCAGTCTCTCAGCATGCCTCAGTTTTTGTCGGAGCACAGCGTTCTCCCCGTGCAGAAACTGTTCTTCCTGTGTTGTCCTGAATATCAATGTATTATGTTTCACTGTGGGGTGCAGCTCACCGTATGCAGGCCATGGATAAAACTATCTTTCAGTGTGTGTGTGTGTGAGTGTGCGTATTTGTGCACATGTGTATTCCAATTAGTTTTTCTAATGACTATCACAGGGAAGGGAACTTGAGCTGAACAGAGTATGATTTCCTTCATCACATAACAGCCATAATGATTTCTTAATTGCCGCTGAGAACATTGTGCAGAGATGAGTCGAGGGCGCACACAAGCTTGACTACTGTGCTTAATTCGCTTCACTGTGTCAGAAAATATGGAAATGTTTCGCTCATAATCACAATATTTTATGTTAAAAGACATTTATTGGACCCCCAGTGTACGATTCGACAGAGACAGAAAGATTTCAATCAACATTTACTTTCACACATTTGAGATTAGATTCATTATACGTGTTGCTCTTTTGGGGCGATGAGGTGACATCATGGCAGGTCCTGATCAGAGGGTGCCGGCTTGAATTTCCGTCTTGAGAGGACATCTGGCATGTCTGAAGAAGTCCTGCAACACATCAAAGCATGACTCACACAAAAAAGATGAAGCATTGTTTCTGTCTGTCGGATACAAATTGTATTTGCATTCAGGCATCTGTTTACAATGCAATAAATCCTGATAATGTGCACTTAAGAATACAAAGCATAGAAAAGTCTTGTGCACGTTACATACAGGAAAATGTTTGATATCACATGATGGTCAACACACAGTCTTAGGTTTTTATCAGTAATTATAAAGATTGTTTTATTAGAATAAAATAAAGTTTACTACATTAGTCTCCTCATATCAATATCAGACTTAAGAGTACAGCAGATATAGACATATAAGATTAAATTCAATTTCATCAACTTAATGCCTACTACGTGATTTAGCAGTCTTCATTTTATGGGTGTACTCTTCCTTTTCCAGTCTAAATGTGTTGTTTGGAATCCAAATGCAGTTATTTAGCCATGAAATTGTACAAAACAATCCATATTAAACTGCCCATAACCTAAATGACCTTTGTGAGATGAAAGCAGCAGACAGAAATCAATGCACTGCACCGGAAAGCTGCACTAGTTCTGTCATAATCTGATGATAGCAATATAAAAGCATCACTGCAGCCACTGTTCATTATCTCTGTGACTACTGGAAGTTAAACCAGTTCTGCCATCTAATAAGGGTTATCCAGCTTAGATTTCGTGTTTTTATAGACCAAAATAATTTCTCTAATTGTCCTTGAAGTTCAGGTAAATTAAATCCAATAAAAATCTATGACGCCTCCAGATACATTCCTACACAAATCTCACCTTAAACCTCCAGAGAGGCGTGAAAACCTTTGGTCCATATACTCTTAACGTTGGGCAGACATATGCAGATCCCTGTTCTTTTTCTTCTTGACTTTCATTTTCACTTTTCTCAATGTCATTACAATTCGAATGCAATGGTTTGAACAAGTTTGTTTACTGATAATGAAAACAGAAAGTTGCTCTACATTAGGTTAGCAGAATTTTTCACATAGATTAGATTTAAGATTCTAATTTATTAGATGTTTTGTGAATATATTGATTTGTTTCTTACATAGCTACAGAGCTAAGTGAGAAGAATTACATTAGGGGGAAAACGATCTTTTTGTTATCTGTGAAGGTTAAGGAGTGACTCAAATGTGATCTAAGTTGGAAGCTGTTTCATACATCTATCAATCTTATTCTTATCTTTCTTGTACCTTCTAAACATAACACCACTTCTTCCTTTTCAGTAGAAATCACAAATCCATCAACTGCGCAGGTCATAGGATGTAATATCAGTCTTTATACCCCTCATCTGCATTGGTCTCTGCCATCGGTCCGCCCTCCACAAAGGTCCCCATTCGGCTCTTTGAACGTTCCAGATTTAGTTGACTCTGAGTCCCTGCCAAGAGCACAAACACACAGATATACCGCAAAAGTCATATCACGTGTCACCAATCTGTGAAAATCCTCACCTAAAGATTGGCACACATGTTGTCGCATTGTTTATTATGTATTCACCTGTGTTTACAGGATTATCAGCGCTGGAAGCTGTTACAGATATGTTTGAGCAGCTGCAACTGCAGCACTAAAATAAGTGTTCAAGAGTGTATGGCCACCTGCCTGTGCCCTGCAAAGTCACTGACCTTCTCTTCTTAGTGTCTCCACAGGGGGCTCAGGAGCTGGATTGACAGATGTGGGATGCACTCTGAAGTTTCCTGGAATGTTAAGAAATCGTGTCCTTCAGTCGTTCATTTAGACAGAAATCTTTTTTCAAAGCAAAATAGAGACTTCAAAGTCCTGTTAGATTTTAAAATATTGAACAGGAGGTCAAAATAATGCCAGGCAAAGGTGAAGCAGCACTACTTTCTCACAAACTTCTCAAGATTGAAGATATCATACTTTAATTCCCTGTTGAGACCTCCAAGAGGAGTTAGGTAAGATACAAGGCCTTTGAATACCTTTACTTTGAAAATAGCAGAGTGGCTGACATCCTGTTGAACCCCACATTTGTAATTGAGGTTTTGTTTCAAGGCTGTTGATGTTGCAGCAAATTTAAGAATAGACTCTTTGTTTTGACCTTGATCTTGTCAGGAGTGTGCTGTTTTGCTTTGTCACAACATTTAGGCAACAAATACTGTCCTGCATGAAAAAATGAGGTCATGTCAATAAATATGGATATGACGCAGGATACATGAACATCACATGCTTACCAAAGGATGGAAGAATATGGTTGATGTTGAGCCAAGCTTTTATGAAAGGGTAGATCGATATGAGCAGGCCTGTAATGCAGAAAACATAATCAATCCGATGACCGAATAAAACGCTGTATTTTTTTAGTATCCTCATATGACAGTAAAAGATCGAACAACTGCGGTATTAGTGTGAATTTGAGTCACAATGTTATGTCAAAGAATGATGATAAAAGTCAGTGATTAAAAACACAGTGTGAGTTTGCAAAAAGAAGACTGAAAGAAAACCTGAAGTGGAGAGAAGAATTGCAGCCTCCTAAATTATAAAAGGATATTAGTTTTCCGAATGAAAAATCTAATCACTTACACGTAGAAATATATTGCAATCTGATGATTTTATACGCTCAAGTGTTTGTAATAAAAACTTTTAAATTAAAATTTGCCCCCAAGCCCCAGCAGGAGCTAGAGCCGTCTGTATTCTCATAGACATTGCCATAAACAGTGGGGCTGTTTGATGAAACTGTCTTCAGACTGTTTTTAATGTACCATAGACAGTGTGTGAGGCTTAAAGTAATATCTGAACCGCGGGGCCCGTGTGCCTCTCAGTGGCACCTAGCTCAGATTGAACAGTTATTGATTTCCCTTACAAGCCCAGAGAACTGGCATTAAACTGCGGCAGGGCCTGAGGGTGGCTGTGATGCATGCAAGTGTACAAAATTTCATGAAAACTGCAGAAGGAGTGAAAATAATCTACAAAGAATTCTGCTCATGCCTGTAAGTCAGACTAAACACAGCACTATCTGCTCTTTGGTTCCAACACAGTCAATGTCTTTGCCAGGTAGCTGGGTACAGTTCTGATTTACTGATTCCTGAAAGACACAAATTAATAATGTAGAGCTGATATAATTATCAGTGAGAGTACATTTCACATTAACAATGCATGCCGGTGTTGTTATCCTCGGATCAGAAGCTCGCTCCTTCGCTCGTTCTCTCTCAGAAGGCAATTCAGACAGTTCTAGTTTCACCATCGGATCAAATGGTCACATGATGGGTTTTTTTGAGAACAGTGAGTGGAAAATGTCAAAAGTCAGAGATATTTGATCTGTTATTCTTATAATTATTACATTTTTTTTACAGCTAACCCAGATGGTATTCTGAGGAGAATGTTTGACCGTTAAACTTCATTCTTAAATAAATGTTATTTCTTTAAATAATATGTGGGGCAATGAATTTACAAACACCCATTAAGTACTAAGCACAATTGTAGCTCACTCATTTTTGAAAATACATGCACAAAATATGGATCTTTTCAATTTTCCATGCCTCAGTTGGGTCATACATCAAGCTGTACAGTTATGTATTAACTTTGTTCCAATGTTTTGTGTGGAGACTGTTATTCTGGTGTGTAAATTAAGATTTTAGTTCAGCCCTTTCCCAAAGAAGTCTTAAACTTCAAAACCATAGCTTTAACTCAAGCGACATAGGATGGGTATAGAAGTGCAATTGAAATACCAGTCACTGAATATCTGTGTTTAATTATGCCCTGCAAAGTATATTGAAATGTCTCCCAAACCCCAAACTGGACATTATAGTTAATTCACAAATATGTGTTAAAATGCTAACTGTCTAACTTTCAGTAATCACCGAAGAAGGTTTCACATGGACACACACTCACCGAGCCCCCCTGCTCCCAGGAAGATCCCTCCTACAGCATCAGCATCACACTCCCTAGACACCCCAATGATGATGCAGCCCGCCACAATGCTGACCAGGGCAGAGCCTACCCGCAGTCCATGGTACTCCCCGACACTGACGGGGTTCATTCAGCAGGTGGAGGCAGTGGCGGCTGGTGAGAAAAATAATAGGTGGGGCCGAAGTTTTGGAAACCGGGTGGGTTTCCTCCACCGTGGAGGCCACCCACCTGCCCTACACACTGACAACACACTGCTGCAACTGACAACTTTTACTCTCGTCTACTCCAGCCTGGTCTTCCTGTTTCTTTCACTCTCTCTGACACAGAAACACTTTCCCTGGCAGTGCTTCCATATCCAGACGTCTCATACATGTTTAAAGATGGAGCTCTGGTTTCCATCATTGAGAAAATTAAAAACCTTGGGGCGGTGACTCTTTTGACAGCGATACTTGTGCTCAAAATCTGATCGAAGGCCTCTTACTAAAAGCACCGGCATCACAAATGTGGTAAATAATGAATACCTAAACTATAAGATAGAAAAAAAGACACCAAATCAACAAAAAGATGTGAGCTTTGAAGGATTTTAAAGCAGACAGCGATTTGAGCGCAGGGGCAGAGCAGCATTACAGACACACAGAACAGGGGAGGTCAGGGAGAGACAGTTAGAGTATGTGCTACTTGTGTGATTTGTCGGGGAGCTTGAAGGGAATGTGTAATGAAAGGTTCAGAGAGTCCTCGACGGAGGGGGCTCGAGGCCATCCATAAAGGCCTGTGGTTGCCATAGGAATAGCATATCCATGGCAACAGAGGAAAAAAGAGGGTAAGCAGGATAAACACAGCAAATAGGATAACAAATGAACTTAGTGAGTAGAGGAGAAACAGTAACACATTTTCTGTACAGCAAGTAAACTCTGCCTATCTGTCTCCAGAGCCATATGTCTGCATTAATATTTAATAAATGCTGCTGATATGCTGCGTATGTGAGGCTGCTTGTGTGTTTCAATTAAGCATGTGTCTCCAGTGTTTTTGTGTAATGAATCCTCTAAATGGTTGGTTTCTCTCATCAGCCACACCTTAAACTATCAGTGTGGGAGGCTGAGTCACTCATAACACATGAAGCAATAACCACAAATATTAGTTTTATGTAACTGAACTCTCCAACATCTCTGAGGTCTTTACGCTTTGGCTTCCTAAAGACCCAGGGATTTGTTTCATTACTTGCAGGAAAGAAGGCCTAAAATACAGAAAGGAAAAACAAAAAACTCTCACAGCTACAGTGATTTTTGCTCAAATTAAATCACACATGGAAACATGACTGCATTGTTTGAGGATTTGATCCCAATTGTTGCTGTTTGTATAAAATACAAAGAAATGACCTCAGTGTAAATGAGTGAATAAATGAACAAAGAATAGGTGTGGCAATAAATGCATAGATAGAAAGAAAGGTAGGTAGACAGATAGGTGAGTAGGTAAGTAAGTAGTTAGTTAGAAAGATAGATAGATAGATGGCTCATGTTTCTAGCAACCATTCTTCTGTGGTTCAATCACTACTTATGTAGAGCAAATGGACAAAGAAAAAACGATTGCGTTGGCCGGGAATCGAACCCGGGTCAACTGCTTGGAAGGCAGCTATGCTAACCACTATACCACCAACGCCTGATTCAAAAGGTGTGATGTTGTGATATCATCCCGGATCGCGCTTTGTGCCTGGGGTTTCAGTGACAGTATTTCAAAAGGTGCGGAGTAACGCTTTATTTATAACTTAACGCCTGGTTTTGCTTTTTCAGTTTCTAAGTGGTTTACTTGTGAATTAAAACTCCCAAAAGGCTTGAGTGCACATCTGCATTGTATTTCTCAGCTGCTGAAGTACTCTGGTACAGTTCACTTCACCATTCCATCAGTCGAGCCTCTTGGAATTTTTATCATATTTTAAAACAAGTACAACGTGGACAGCGTTGCAAAACGAAGTGGCCCGTACGGGGATCGAACCCGCGACCTTGGCGTTATTAGCACCACGCTCTAACCAACTGAGCTAACCGGCCGTGAAAATGCCGTGTAATCAATTTTGAATACGTTCTTCGATAAGTATGGGATCTGCTGAGTACCGTTAAGCTTAAGTTTTCCGTGCAAAACCGTGGCTCCATTCTGTTTTCCCTCCCTTGGTACTAGTATGGGCTATGGACATATATGGATGAGCACCGGGTTGGTTGGCAAGTAAGTAAGCAACGTGCTGATTGGCTATTCATTCAGCCGTCAAAACAGGGTCAAAACTCGTAACTTTGTTGTTGCAAATTGTGATTTCACAGTCGCATGTGAAGGTAGCAAAATGGTAAACTTGTAACTTCAGGGTCTTGAGGGTGGTTAATTTGTGCAACAAATGGAAAATATTGCTACACATGCACAAAATCTTTTTACACCCTGAAAACTGTGTAATATAGGCACAAAGTGTTTTTACGTGGGCACAAAATATTTGTACAAGCACAAAACTGGATTACACACTTGAACGTCGTTGTACAAGCACAGAATCTTTTTGACCCTTATCTGTTCCCATACAATCGTAATATATTGTTCGTCATCAAAGTGGTCCGACCTGCACCTCCTTGTCAACACTTGTAGTGCGTGGCGTTGAATATATATTTTGCACATCTCTTCTTACGTTTTCAGACCTCGTGGCGCAACGGTAGCGCGTCTGACTCCAGATCAGAAGGTTGCGTGTTCAAATCACGTCGGGGTCAAATGTTTTGCATTTAGATACCATCCTCCCTTTGTCCATAACACGATAACTGTATCTCTTGAGTTACAAAAACTGATGTAAGAAAATTGCAGGCATAAAATCAAAAATATTACCCTGCCCTGACTAGACCTACCGTAGACCCATTAAAAAATTACAGAATAAATTTAAAAAAATTAAGAACTTAGTTTAGCAGTGCGTTTGTATTAATGACCTACCTCTACTCTTTCTGACATAAGATAGACCTTTGTTCATCCCACGGTGGGGAAATTTGCAATGTTGCAGCAGCAAAAGATCACCAGAACAAACATAGTAGTATAAGTAAACACGTGAGACATTGAAAACAGAATAAGGTTATATACAAGCTGTATGGCGATAGTCAGGTATGCTGGAACTCCTGAGTGCATACACGACGCACAGCCTTTTTTCCTTTAGCTTTAAGACGCTGCACTGATTCTAGAACCATTGGGGAAGTAAACGTTCTCTCACTTTCTTTAAAAACTGGGCTCGTCCGGGATTTGAACCCGGGACCTCTCGCACCCTAAGCGAGAATCATACCCCTAGACCAACGAGCCTGATGCCCTCCAAAAAAAGGGTCCAAAATGCATTGGCCTTTCAATTACCCGAGTTCTTGATCAAAGATTTTGAGTATAAGTTTTGTATATGATTGTTACTATGGTACGAATTCGTTTTTTACTTCGTCTGGTAATGGAACTAAAATCCCTCTCTAACAATACTCCAGTATAACAAACCATCAATGATAAATAATTATATTACTTGCATGAATTGACACCCTACATTTTGCTAGACAGTCAACCATAATCACTCTGCCTAGCCCCGAAGACCGCTAAATCTGTATTATCCAAAAAGTATTCCTTATTTTGTTGTGTTATCTAAGGCTTAACATCAAAATCAAAGTTCAGATATTTGATGCTATCCAATATGCCCTGAGCTAGCATCATCGAAATAAAGTTGGGCTAATTTAGAGCATAAGAAGGTTTTAGCTCGCTTTTATTTGTGTTATGTGGGCCCGCCAGACACATGGAAACAACTTTTTTTTCTAGCTCTAACAATTGGAAACTTGTATTGTTTATATACATACCTGAAAAATATAAAATAGTTTCCTCAGAGTGCTCCGCTGTTGCACTAGCAGCTACCTAGCGTGATGAACAACCTTTGATCACGTGTGACCCTGTCAGTCTGTGGGAGTTTTAGTTACCTTTAAGTGTAGCGGAAATGTCAGAATTTATATAATCAACAAGCTTTATTACCATAGACTTGTATATAAAATGGACGTCTGCCTCCTCGCTGGATGAAGCCACTCCGAGAACAGCACCCTCTGTTGACGGGCTGCAGTATAGGTCATAAATCACGCCTCCACCAGCAAAGCTTATGGGGCTGTGGACAAACTTTAGAAATGTATCACACAGAATATATATTTTTTTATCCCCCCTGCTTGCGGTGTTGACATGTAGTTATTGTAAGACTGGTTTGTGCTCAAGTCCTCTTTTTTCTGTGCAGCTCCGTTTTTAAAAGTTATGAGGAGGTTCATGTTTTCTATTACCATTAATCAATCACGTTTTGTCCTCACTCTTTAAATCACTGTGTATGAATGTTTTTTTTTTTTTTATGAACTTTCCTTGCCTTCAATGTCACAATAGAGCTTAAAATAACACTGAATCAGAATTTATCAAGACTTGTGTCATTTACATACTTAAGATTCCAGTTTTAAATTTTAAGTCATATTTTCACCTTTTAAACCTGATTTCAACATTCTTCTTATGTATCCGCTCTTTAAATGCATTATTTTTCAATTTCTAGTATCATGTTTTGATCTTTTGAACTAATAATTAAAAACAGAATAAAAATAAATCTATCTCAGATTGCCTTTAAACTTATCGTTTTATCTTTTTTGATTCCCAAATGATTTATAATCATTGCTATTTTTGTTACATATTTTTTAAAAAGGAAGTTGATAATTTTGGAGAAATGTTGACCCTGTTTGGCTCTCAGGTTAGAGCTAAATCCAGATTATGTCCCTTGCTGTGGTTGAGATGGACAACCCTGGGAGACTAATTTTTCCGATTATATTAATATGACTTGAATGCAGGGTAGTGGTGTTAAAGGGAGGGTGATAAACCTCTGTTAAATTCTTTTCCTGAACTTACATTAAAACATAATACCTACTTATTTAAAAAGCAATGTCACATCACCCTTAAATGCGAATATGATGAACACAACCGGCCCTCAGCACCAGGTTAAACATCGGGTGTATTCACCCCGCTGTTACTGAATACGTACATGTCAGCAAATCTTTGTACGGCGTGCATACGGGTTTTATCTCCAGTCACATGACCCACACTCAGCCATCTTGTGGAAAACGAAGAGAGAGAGAGAGAGAGCCCAGAGAGAGAGCCACACAATTCGCATACAAACCTTGTGCTGTCAGAACAAGCAGAGGTAAGACAGCCAAAGTTTAATACACTAGCAAAGAAAAATGACACGTTTGTGTAAAGGGCCATGTCAGAGAGCCATGTTGTGAAGACCTGGGAGGGGGGCTGGGACAGTTGTTAAACCACCATGTTTACTTGGCCTTGCAGCATCGCTCTACAGTGTCTCTGTCTGCCTGTCGGGGTCGTGTGAAATGCGGGACGGCTGACCAGGAAATGTTGTTGTGGCTGCTCGAAGGCCGCGTGTAAGCTAGTTAGCCAACCTGTTAGCTTGCTAGCCACAAGTACTGAGGATAGGGGATTAACTCGTGTCAGAGACTGTCTCAGCTGTCATAAATGATACATGACAGTACGTGTTTTAAAAGGAAAAAAGATACAGGCGTGAAGTCATTTGCAACTGTATGTCCAAGCGTGACTGGCAGAGTTCAGTAACGTTTGTGTAAAACGTTGTTAGCAGGCTAGCTGTTAGCCAGGTGCTGCTAGCTAGCACGTTAGCACAACCAGCGCTGGTTCCTACTGAAATATAAATCAGAATGTACTCTTAACTATCGACAACGTACACGTGTACCTCTACTGTCAAATATTGATTACTAGGTAAAGTTTCGAAGCACCGATAGCCTCTTGATTTCTGTTAAATATACTCACGTTGATTGTTTATTTGATTGATCAGTTAAACTAACTAATGTTGGTAAAAAACGAAATGAGCCGTACAACTACTTGTAACATCAGCCGGTCACACTTTTCGTTAAAACTTTATTTAAAACAACTCTTCAGATCGTTCTTGTGTTTTAGAGCCTTGTTTTCTTTACTTTTCTGTTGGACACAGAAAGAGGGGTCGCAAACATGGAAGAGTTATGAGTAGAAAACTTTACAAGGACATTGTGTAATATTCATTTTTGGACCCGCTTGAGTGACATCAGACAGCACGAAATGTGAAACGATCAGACTAGAACAAGGATGGTGTGAACATATTCAGTTTTAATCTTGTCTGAGGTCCTTTTAAAGCAGTCACAATTTATGGTGAACTTATTTCCGTCCTTCAGTTTCAACTTTGTGTAAACAGTAACTGATGCACCAAACATCACGAAGGGTTGTGTTGTACTGATCAGAATCTTAACTGATTTTATTGCATGAGTTTTTTAATATTATGTTAACATATATGAGGAGTTTTGGGAGTTGTCTTGGCGCTTTTGAGTTAAAAGATACAATACAAAGTAACAACAGAGATTAAAATAGAAGTATAACGTAAAAGCAAACAAGTATCCGGCATCTCTTGTATTTATTGCTGTCAACTTCAAACCTACACGTGGCTTTACCCTGCTCCCATATGGTCAGTGGTATTGTGAGCTCACTGACGCCCTTTGTGCCCTTACCGGAGAGAGCGTTTTACATACTAAATCCTTTCTTTGACGCTCATGTGCAAGAGGAAGTAAATAGCGGGGACACTATACAAACAGCAACCTTTATTCAACTAAACATGATTATTCATGCTTATTTGCTGAAGTAAAGCCCCAACCTCTGTTGTCAATTACAGGTGTCCAACATACCCAGCTTGAAGGCTGGGAGACTTCCTAAAATAGCTGTAGCAGATTGAAACAGTACACTGCTTGTGTGGTTGTGGGGTGGGCTATATATCCTAAAGAGTTGGAATTCATTAAACCAGGTGTCAAAACAGCCAAGTTATGCTATTCATGTCAAATATGTTCTGTAAATATAGTTATAAAACAAGTTATGTATGGTTGTGTTATTTATTTATCATGAATCTATTTTTAAGTGTATTGGGGTAAGAAATAGCATTATTAATCTGAGCAATACTAATACTTTTCCTCTCTTTTCATACTGGAAGAACTTCAAGGAAGAATGGCCGAAACCCAGACACTTAACTTTGGACCAGAATGGTAAATGACCTGAAATGAATCTAAGATTAGAATTAAGGAAGTACTTGTGATGTAGGTTTTGAAACTGGTTTTCTGTTGTGGCCCAGTGCATCTTTTTTACTACATGCTGAGACATGTCACCTGCCACTAGCTTCAGTTTGGCCCCTCCCTCTGTCCATTCTGCTTTTACCACCCTCTCTCATTCTCTCTCCAGGCTCCGTGCCCTGTCTGGAGGTGGTGGCGGCAGCAGTGGTGGTGGAAGCAGCTGTGCAGTTGCCTCTCCACCCCTCTCCCCTGCATTGCCAAAGTATAAACTTGCAGACTATCGTTACGGGAGAGAAGAAATGTTAGCACTTTATGTAAAGGATAACAAGGTTTGTTGGCCTGTAATGTTTGCATCCTAACTGCTAATGTTCACCTGTGAATAACTCTCAATGAGGAAGACTTCATTTGTATTGTTTTTAGACTTCATGCATTCTTACGGTAGATCTTGTTTTTGCGTCTTACTTTTGGCCAGATCCCAACAGACCTACACGATAAGGAGTTCCTGCCTATATTGCAAGAGGAGCCCTTGCCGCCTCTGGCACTTGTGTCTTTTACAGAGGAGGAACAGGTAGGACTTCCTGTCATGATATCTGGTCTTAATCTTGCTGTGAAGTTTGAGTATCGAATACTTCTGACATGCCAACCAGAGCGAAGTTAATTCCATACCTTAACGCTTCAGGCCACTTGTCACGTTAGTGCTATTTCTCTGATTAAACTGTTTTTATATCAATAAATTTAGCCACTCAGGAATTTGTTAGTTCAAAGAAAGAGCTAACTGTGTGTTTTTTTCCCCTCCCGTGTTTGTATTTGCAGAGAAATTTTTCCATGTCTGTAAACAGTGCAGCTGTACTTCGGCTTACAGGGCGAGGAGGCGGTCCTATAGTAGGGGCACCAAGAGGCCGAAGTACCTCAAGGGGTAGAGGTAAGCAATTTATCAGGGGTCATTTGTCATTGAGTCATGTTTCATCCTTATTTCTTTTCTGCAAGATAAATCCAACAAAAAGGTCCATTTTTAGCTGTTTATCAACACAAAGTCGAATTGTCTTGAAAGAATATCTCAAACGTGATCAAGATAAAGCTTGAAAGTTGTCATAAGATTTGAGCAGCAAGACCAAATATTGTTTCAGTCGTTTGACAAACACTTAAAGAATATGACAAAATACAGCAGCCACCCACATTTCCTCTGTAACAGGATAAACTCTTTGAAAAGTGGTATTGATTGAAGAATAGAAAACCATGTTGTGGAAAATCTCAAGTGACACAAACAATCCTCAGCCGATGTTTACCACCATCGTGGTCATTTGTCTTCAAAAGTTTAGATATCCTACCTGAGGCTTCGCTCATGCATGCAGCCATAAGCATGAAGGCCTCTTTTGGTTATATTGTCTGTGTCATTTAAACCTGTGATCTCATTCAGGCCGGGGTAGAGGAGATGGAGGGTTTTACCAAAGAAGTTTTGATGATGTGGAAGGTTTTGGTCGTGGAGGGAGGGAGATGCATCGCTCCCAAAGCTGGGAAGAAAGGTATGAAAATGTCTAAAAGAAGCTTTACTCATGTTCAAAGTGAGCTATTACTCATCTTTTTGTTCCATCTTTACATAATGTGTGTTTTTTTTTCCACTAGGGGAGACAGGAGGTTTGAAAAGCCAGGTCGAAAAGAACCAGGTTAGTGTTGAATAATGTTTCTCAAATAATCAACACATGACCTACTCATTGGCAAGTGCTTTGGCTTATCTACCTGTTCCTCTCTGTGAACCTTCCAGATGCTGCTCCAGGACATTTTCAGATGAATCACAGTGAGTGGATTTTAACACAAATCCACAAATTTGTTAATTTAACAACTCATTTAAAAGCTGTCCAGGTATTTTTGCCAATACTTGATGTGACAAACAAGCTTTTAAATCAGATTAATGAACAATATGAAGCAAGTTTGCTTCTCTGTCTTCAATACCACTGCCCATCAAAAAATAGACATTTAACCCCCAACCCTCACTCTTTGCAGTCCGAGGCAACTATGAAGATGTGGTGACGGGTCTACCGAGGAAGCACGACTTTATACGTTCAGAGAGTGAGAACTGGCGTTCTTCCCGTGATGATCAGAATGGTGAGGATGATGAGGGGGGCTGGCGCCTGGCAGGTTCTCGTCGGGACAGTGATCGGTGGTGCCCCCCGAGCCCAGGTGGGCAGTGCACTGACAACATTAGCTGCACATCAATCTCTTGATAATGATTGTGTGTTGTTCAGTCTGGGTTTTTGGACCGCCTGTTTCAGAATGAGAAGCATTTGAAAAGCTAGAAAATGTCAACTGTTGTGTGGCATGTTGTCTTATTATAGCACACAGTTAAATAGAAGTGTTACCATAAAACCTAATAAGCCATATACAGGAAGGTGAATATAACAGAGCTTTTAAACTACTCATTTCACATGCTACACAAAACATGCCATCTTCTGTTGATGCATCTCATTTAGATCACTAAGCCTGCTGCCTCTGTTAATGAAATGAAATTGATCATCACAAAGCAGCGAATTGAAAAACAGCTGTTCAATTGTTTCTCACAGATGGGCCTCGGTCAGCAGGGTGGCGGGAACACCCAGATCAGCGCCGCCGTTTCCCATTTGATGCAAGAGAAGATGAGCGGGGCTACAGGAGGCCACGGTCCGGCAGCGGCAGCCTGGAGGACGAGAGGGACAGCCTGCCAGAGTGGTGTCTAGAGGACGCAGATGAAGAGGCGGGCACCTTCGACTCATCTGGAGCTTTTCTTTCACTAAAGGTAAGACAAGACAAGCGAAGACTCTTTCTTTTCTTCTTTTTCTTGATTTTTACAAAGATTTTTGGATTGTTAAAATTTGTTTTAATGCATGTTACTGTAAATGGATACTTTGTTCATTTAGAAAGCCTCCAAGGAGCCAATCCTGGAGGAGGCAGAGCTTGACTTCAGACCATTGGAAGAGTGTGAAGAGGGGCTTGAGGAAGAGGAGGACAGTCCACTCAAGGAGACCAAAGAAATGGAAACAGAGGTGGAACGAAAAGGTCAGTCGTTAGTGTTTAATAAAGGTGTTTTTTTTCTTTTACTGTTACTTGTTGTTGAATCTGAGGCAATTACATATATTTTATGGAGTCAATTATTGATTAGGATTGTCCTGATCTCAACCTTTGGGAATGCAGGTTCATGGGTAACAGAGTGTGTGTCTGGGTTCACCTAACTGTATATATACTTCACAGGAAAATAACAAACTGGACATTGCAACTACAGACACTGCTTCAACTTAATGACACTTGTGCACAGCCAGACAGATTACAGATTACAAATGTAACTCTCCAGGGACATGTTTCAAAAGGCAAAAACAGATACCAAAGGCAGGATAGTCTGTTGCTGTAGAATTAGCTACCTCCCTTGGCTAAAATTTCATTGGCGTGGAAATATTTTCAACTGGAAAGCCATAACAGTTTAGTCCCCACTAAGAATTCATGAGTACAATCCCATCATGAGGGGGCAGCGGTAGAGCTTCTTGCAATACAGCCAATATGATACCACATCTAAAAACCAAATAAACACCTGAATAAGGCTGCTGTGCCCAAGTATCAAACTGTGGACTTAAAAAAGTAAGGATTAAAATCCTCAGGGGAGAGAAAAAGCCAAAAACAAAATAGATGGTGGTTAAATTCATTGCTATGGGCAACTAGCCTGTCAGAGGTTTTTTGCTATTTTTTAGGTTTATTGGATTCACAGTTTGTCCCACCATCTACGCTGCATCTGAAAACACATGGGAAATAAATCAACAGGCAACAAATTACCTACATGCCATTCTGTGTGACAGTTGAAGACATCTTTCAGTTCTTTGTTTACCTTTATTTTCCTGAGATAAAAGGTCTGAAACTTTTTTTTTTATCTAGGCATATGGAGACTGGATACCAGCAGACACTCAATATTTAAAACATCCTATCAGGATGGAGGGCCTTTCCTTTGTCCTGGTTCTTGTAATTTCTGGGTTGTATTCATATTCTCAGACACATTTCCTGTAAATCTCTCTGAATAAGAGTTTGAATCCTTTTAAAAATGTATTTATGAAGGCAGAATAAATAGGGGACAAGATTACAGTCTTCTCATTTTCCACTCTGACCCACTTGTTGAACAGTGTTATGGTAGATCTGATCAATAACTGCACAAGAAGGGTGAAAAAGTAGTGACTGAACCACCAACTGGATCCATCAAAAAACTCTGATGGTTTTCTTCTTTGCAACTTTGTGGTTTAACCTTTAAGTTTATCTAGAAAAAAAACACTACTGACTTTCTGGCAAAAGTTTTTTCTTTTGTTGGGAATCACTTCATAATACTTGAGTAAAATTCCTGTCAGTTTAAACTTAAAACACTTAAAACATTGAAGAAATAACGAAAAACAAAGTTCTGATGATGTAAGAATACTTCATAAGATAGCCACAACTTTCAAGTTACAATTATTTGCTACTGTTTGCAATCTGCATGGAAACAAAACTCCTATTTCACCAAAATGAAAACAAGCCTTGGATCTTGCAGCCGGATAGCATTCTCTTATATATTACCTTTCTTTTTATTTTTAGAGCTGCTTAGACTTTCAGAGGAGACCCCAGCTGTTGCTGCACCTGTCGCTCCCCAAGTCTCAGAACCTGCAGCTCCTGTGCAGTCTCTTCCCCCGAGCCAGCCGAGCCGAACAGAAGAGCCTGAGAGGCCGGCTGAACGGCAGCCGCCCCTGGAGCTCCCACCAGAGCCCTGCAAAGTCCCCTTGCACATCCCCATGTCGAACAGCATGCTCGAAAGCCTACCCATGACACACATATCTACCACACGCACAGGTGAGACTCGAGTCGACATTTTCACTGGAAATTCAAGCGCTGAGTCAGCTGTTTCCTGCCAAAAAAAAGCGCATGTATAAATTCTCTTATCTCTCTCTGTCCTGCGCAGAAGTTTCTGCTCCATCGCCTACCGTCCAGCTACCACAGCAAAAGCCAATGGAGGTCCCTGTGGCAATAAACAATCCTTTGCCCTTCCCTTCAAGTATACTGGCACCGATTGGCAGGCCCACAGCTGTGCCACACGACACAGACGAAGATGAAGGGTTGAAACACTTTGAGCAGGTAAACTTTGAGTTAACTTTGAACATTGAAACCCTTCACTGGATGGGAAGGCACTCTACAACTATTCCTCTCGCTGCAGGAGGCAGAGAAGATGGTGGCGTACCTACAGGATGGTGTGGCAGATGATGACAGACTAGCACTAAAGACCTCAGAGAAGCCCAAACCTTCAGGCCTGCCGCTTACCCATGAGGCCGCTCTCAAGTGGTTCTACAAAGACCCCCAAGGGGAAATACAGGGTAAGATGGAAGGACGACTCACATCCTGAGCATTTGTTTCCAAAAACTCCGGTATCCACCCTGAATTTCCTTCACTGTCTCTGTGTGTCCTCCTCTCAGGTCCTTTCAGTAACCAGGAGATGACCGAGTGGTTCCAGGCCGGTTACTTCACAATGTCTCTCTTAGTCAAAAGAGGCTGTGACGAAGTCTTTCAAGCGCTCGGAGAGATTATGAAAATATGGGGAAGGGTACCTTTCACTCCAGGACCTGCTCCTCCACCTCTACAGGTGTGTGTGTGTGTGTGTTTGTAAAAGAGGCTTGTGTATTTGTTCATCTCCAAAGGTTTGCTCTGCTGTCAGCACGAGTTGCCATAACCATCCTTGACCTGTAGGTGGTGTGCCTGTCCGCTCTTTCACCAGTGAAGTGTCGTCAAAGGAATCCTTCATATAGTGATGGAAGGTTTCATAAGCATGTTGAAGTGTGAGCTGGAATAAAGAAGAGGCTTTTTAGTGGTTGTTTCAGCCTCAGTTGTATATGAAGAAGTCTTTCTTTTCTTTAAATGCAGTTGGTGCAAAAGCTAAGTGCTTGAAGATTAAGATGAAAGAGACGCTTTTTTGTTTTAGTCACCCTCAAGATTTCAGCTCATAAATCAGCGTGCTCTCGCTCAACATAATGTCATTGCAGTTGTCTTTTGCTTGTTACACAGTTGAGATTTATTGTGACTGTCTTGTGCGATGCAGGGGGATGGCGATCAAGAGAGGTTGAAGAGGCAGCAAGAGCTCACCGCTCTCAATCTTTATCAGTTACAGCAGCTCCAGTATCAATACCTCTTAAGGTATGTCAGCCAGATCAGACACTGTTTTTCACTCGCAACTGCGGCGCAATTTTCCCTGTGATGTTTGAAATGCATCGGAATGCATCCACCTAAAATATAAGATCTAAATCTAAAATATTAGATCCATGCCTCAAGATCCAAATTAACCTGGTAATTTTCATCCTACATGATTTATCCCCTGACTTCTTCTTATTTGTGTTTTTACTTCATTTGTCCTCCATCCTTCAGGCAGCAGTATGCTCAGGCTCTGGCCCAGCAGAAAGCTGCAGCTCTCAACTCGGCTCCTCTTCAACAGCAGCAGCAGCACCAACAGCAGATAAACCTGCTTCTACAGCAATACCAGGCTCTTAAGTTAAGGTCAATAACAAACACATTAATGGAGACTCATCCTACCACTGAAAACATGCGCACCTGTGATTTAGTGCTTAACAGGATTTTGAAAAAGTCTTCTTCTCTGGTTTTTCTTCAGAGCGTCTGAGAGCCTCCTACCTCCTGTTACCCGCTCCCTGTCAGTACCAGATTCTGGTTCTGTGTGGGAAATGCAGAACCCGTCCTCTCAGGCCTCGTGTACACCCACCCTCCAACAAGCTGCCCCAAATAGTGAGTTTCTCTCTTAATAATCGATGGAGTTGTTTTCTTGTTGTATCACACGAGCGCCTCAGAAAAATTCTTACATGTTTCAGAGAGATTAACGCATCATATATCAAAATGCTTAACAGCATGGGACGGCAGCAGCGTTTGGGATTTGCCTATAGACTCCATGGCCCAGGCTCCAACCATCGAACAAATGCAACAGTTTGAGAAGTCAAAGGCTGCAAAGGTAGATCCTAGTGCTTCGATTTTTCTGTCATAGTGCCTCCAAAAGCCTCAATTTTTTCAAAGATGATTAAAAGTGAAATCCTACCATAGTCAACTGATTAAAATATCCAGGTTTTACATACAAACACCTCAAGTGTCTTTTAATGTGATTGGTTTAAAGTTGGAGCTGGAGAGACGTGAGGCAGAAATGAGAGCCAAAAGAGAGGAAGAGGAGAGGAAACGGCTGGAGGAGGCCCTGAGGGCTCGGCAAGAAGAGGAACGCAAACGCTTGGAAGAAGAGGAGCTGGCACGGCAAAAACAGGTGAGATATTCTTTTACTCTGTGATTGTCACATATGGTTAGATTATATATATATATTTTACCAGCAAAAAACAGTATCTAAATAGATACTGTTTTTTGTTTGCCTCTTGCTTCTTTATTTGAGAAACATGTCTCTCACATCCACCTTCCAAACGCCGCTGTCTGCTTGGTATTTCATAACACCTGTTTAACCACAAAGGCATCACACTGAGGTTCCAACGAAACAGGCTGTTGATGGCATGATAGATGATCGTTGAGTTCTTCACATTGTGTCCTGGAGAAGTGTGTGTTACTTGAGGATGTTTGTGCCATTTGTTGCTATTGTTAGCACCACAGCACAGGCTTAGTGAGGAGGTGTGATCAAGTGATGTTATTCTTATAGTCAATGTACATAAATCTGTTTCTACAAAGCATACAGACGCACTCAAAGCTTTTCAACTGCTGTATCATAGTGAGTCTTGAAACTAATCATATGTTGTGAATCTTTAGGAGGAGGCTTTAAGACGGCAGCGAGAACTAGAAGAAGCACAGCGCAGGCAAAAAGAGGAAGAGGAAAGACTGGCACAAGAAGAAGCTCTCCGAAGATTAGAGGAGAGAAGGAGGGAAGAAGAGGAGAGAAAGAAACGGGAGGAGTTCCTTCGCAAACAGGTGAGTGACTAAAACCTCATTCAACGCCCCCTTCCCACGAACTAAAGGTGTCTCTGGATTAAGATGTTTTGTACTTCACCAGGAGGAGGAGCGCCGGAAGCAGGAGGAACTCGAGGCGTTGAGGAGGCGTGAGGAGGAGAAGCGAGCAGAGGAGGAGGCAGCAGCCGCCGCGGCAGCAGCAGTTCTGGCCCAACAGCAGGAGGAGGAGCAAAAGAGGAGAGAGCAGGAGGCCCAAAGACAGCAGGAGCTGCAGAGACAGAGGCAGCAGCAACAAGAAGCCCTCAGGAGACTTCAGCAGCAACAGCAGCAGCAGCAGCTCGCACAGATGAAAGTGAGGACACACAACGTGAGTCTGCATAAATAGACAAACTGTACTCAAAAGCTGACAAAACACCTGGTCCTTTCCTTTTTTCAGCTTCCATCCTCCTCAAAGTGGGGCCAGCAGTCAGCCAGTGTCATAAACCAGAATCAGAACGCCCTGTCGCTGGCAGAGATCCAGAAACTGGAAGAGGAGCGAGAACGACAGGCGAGGGAGGAGGTGAGGACAGGACACACTGGAGACACGTTTTTCAGAACTGCGTGGTTGTTTATCACCTATAATGTTTTCGTGACTCTCCGTGTTTTTAGTTTGTCTTTTTTTTTCTATCTTAGATGTTTCCTGACCCATGAGTAGTCACGGTTAACTAAACCCTGGATTGTATTTTTTTTTTTTCCTCTACAGCAGCGACGTCAGCAGCAGGAGCTCCTGAAGCTCCAGCAGCAGCAGGCCTTACAGCAGGCTCAGCAGCCCCAGGCGAAGCTCTCCGGTTGGGGTAGTGTGGCCAAACAGCCAGTTATTACCAAATCTTTGCTGGAGATTCAAAGGGAAGAAGCCCAGCTGATGAAGCAGCGGAAGGATCATCAGCAGCAGCAGCAGCCGCAGCCGCCACAGCAGCAGCACCCTGTCTCCCAACAGATCCGCCCTCAAACCAGAACTGTACGTGGACCACATTAGACTCTCTTTAAAGATAACAAGGTTGTAAAGTATGTGAGTTGATACCAGAGTCATTGTCAGACTTCTGCTGCGTTCGAGTTACCTCGGAAGTCAGATGTCGGAGCTGAAAATGACGTCACACCCGAGTTACCAGCGTTTCAGTTACCAAGTTGGAAAAAAGAGAAATCGGAGACGGAAACAAGATGGCTACATCTACGAAAGTTATTTTAGCACTTGCGTGGTCCTTGTTAGATTTGGACAAGACAAGCGCTAAAATAACTTTAATAGATGTAACCGTCTTGTTTCAGCCTCCAATTCTGATGTGTAGGGGGGTCTTGGTTTGGCTTAGTGTTTGGCCGTGGGTTTCATCCCCCACTCTCTCCTACTCTACAACAATTTGTTTAGTTTATCAATCAGCAGAAGTCGAAGAAATATGCTCGAAACACACTGACCTTCAGCCTGACAAACAGCTGCTGTGTAACACGCACTCTCTCTCCCTCTAATCACAGACATCTCTGAGTAACTCGGTGTGGGGCTCTGTGAACACCAGCAGCTGCACTAACTGGGGCTCGGACTCCAGCAGTATCTGGGGCGACACCCACAACTCCAACATGGGCTTCTGGGACGAGGCGGTAAAGGAGGCAGGGCAGCAGCAGCAGCAGCAGCCTCCTCCGTCTAGGAAGGGCAACACGCAAAAGAACAACAAAGGCAACGCCAACCTGAGGTATGAACGGCTAAAAGCGTCTCTCATAAGGCAAGAGAAAAAACACGAATCCTGACCCGCCGTTCGTCTCCCTCCTGTGTTTGTTTCTCCATGTAAAGTAATTCGATCAGTGGGCGAGCCAATAAGAAGGTAGAAGAGGAGGAGAAGCTGCTAAAGTTGTTCCAAGGGGTCAGTAAGAGCCAGCAGGATACCTTCATGCAATGGTGTGAGCAAACTCTGCACACCCTCAACACAGCCAACAACCTAGATGGTGAGACTTTAAAAATAAAGTTTTTTTTTGCAAATGTAAGCCACCCACAAATATTGATGGAGCGTTTCTGGAAACTCACAAATACTCTCCATCTGTCCTCCTTACAGTTCCAACATTTGCATCCTTCTTGAAAGAAGTGGACTCTCCGTACGAGGTGCACGACTACGTCAGGGCCTATCTGGGGGACACTCCTGAGGCCAAGGACTTTGCCAAGCAGTTCCTGGAACGTCGTGCCAAACAGAACGCAAATCAGCAGAAAGCAGCTCCGCAGAACCAACAACAAGCCCTCAAACAGCAGCAGGTGAGTACCACCGTTGTTGTATCTACACTTCTTTGGAGTTCCCTCTGAGTCAGGTCCAGAGTCAATCATTCTTCTGCCCATCGCTTGTGTGTTCATGGGGAAGAAGTTCAAATCCGTCCAGTAGAGTATGGTGCCATCAAAAGTTTTACTCGTGGCATCTTTTTACACTTTTCAAGCCAAATTTATAATTCTGGGAGGATTGGCAGAGAAACACATTTCTAGCAGTTTTTGAATCCCTGTTCCTCTCTTGATCTCCCAGGACTCTGTATGGGGTGGAACGGGATCATCATCGCTTTACCAGTCCAACCATACGAGTGGCCAGCAGCAGCGCTTCGAGACCGTCACCTCAGGGAAGAAGAAAAAGAAGCAAAAGATGGTCCGCGCAGACCCCAGCCTTCTAGGTAAAGAGAGAAAGTCCCATAAGCTCAAAATCTAAACCTGTCGCAGGTCTCTTCGTCCACTAATCACATCTTTTTATTTTCATCTCCAGGTTTTTCTGTGAATGCATCTTCTGAGAGATTGAATATGGGAGAGATTGAGACTTTGGAGGACTTTTAAGGGACTGCAGCCAAGCAAACCTAAACTGACTGTATCCGATTTGAACAGCAGCTGTTTTACCTGGACCCCTTTCACAAAGCCCCCCCCCTCTGACTGCTTCAACAACCTTTATTTTTAGTTTCCCCATTTGTCAGACAAATGCTGGTCATCCTTTCAGAAATAAGAAGTGAGAAAAACCTCCTGAGGAAAGCGGGTTTTGTTGCCTACAGACCCATAGTACAATGAAAAACAAGACAAAAAACATACCGGAGCAAACTGACCGGCGAAGAAAACAAACCGCCTGATGGACGTAATAATGTGGAAAAGTCTGCAAAGGTGTTAATGTCTGTCTGGCATCAGCAGCTCAATCCTGAATCATGTGGCAACAGATTTCAAATTCGGCCTCCATTGTTTGAGTTTTTTTAGGTGTGGATATACGGGTGGGTGGTTTGGGTATTACGGGAAAAAGTTAGAGAGATTATATCCATACTTTTTGTTTTATTTATTGAAATTTTTTTCCCCTCACACTTTAACCTCCCTCCTCTCTTTCCTCTCCCTTCCCCCCGTTTTCTGCTGGGTGTTCATGGATAAGGACGGCAAAGTAGAGCCCAAGGATTCGTGCCCACTTATGTCCTGTTTTAAGGACATGTTCAAAAGTTCCAAGTAGTTATCTATTTCTTGTAAAATACTAGGCTGTTTAAAGAATAAACTTTCAATTCTGCATCTGTATTATAATATATGAAAAATGATCTGCTGGAGTCATACTTTTTTATTGCAGTATGAAATAATAAAACAGTCTATGTGGGCTGTTCACAGCTGTGTCTGAACCATTGAGAAACAACACCAACGCAGTTTTCTTTTGATTCACATCCATTCAGCGGGTCGTACTTCACCAAATCCCACTTTACAGAGATGGTCTTAAGAGGTGGAAATGCACATACACCATGATTAGACGTTTCTTCTAACTCGACCAGTGTTTTTTCTCTTTCACTTGACATGTTGTCTGCACTCGCTTCCCTTTGCACAGTCGGCAGTGGGTAGTTTCACATCTGCATAAGTTAAATTTAGACTACAGTAATCTGCTTTTACATCATCTGCTGACCGTTCAGCAGACCTCATCTGATTCAACACTTGTTGAATCCGTTTAATCAAAAGTTTGTCAAGTATGAGAACATGAAGCCTATTATTCACACACTGACTTTTAAGAAACAGCAGGCTGCATAATGGCCGTAAAATCGTGCAGCAATCGTGTCACGTTTTCTCTGATATTGCGAAAATAAATGTCTCCAGGAGCTAGATTTACTAAGGTCCTCATCATCCTACGCAGCTAGCTTCTTTGCTATATCTAGTAGGAAAAAAAAGGGTAATAACAGATGATAAAGATGCCTCAGAGAAGCATCATCTTCTTAATTGACGTGTATCTTCATCAGTGTGAAAGCATCACACTTGATAAAGCTACTGCTTCAAACTAAACTGGAAATTATATTCAGTGTGATTAAAAAATCCTTTTTTTCTACTGCAAAATGAGTGAACAATGAACAATTTTAGCTTAAAGGGACAGCGCTCCACACACAGAGGACCACTTCACAACGATTAGTGTACTGATCCATCAGAAATTCCATCAGATAACACAGAACAAGTACTTTTTAAAATTTAAGTTTTGAGAGCTGATTGAAGACTCCAACTTAAATTTGGTCTCAATTTTGGCTGATGTGATTTATTTGAAATCTCTTTGCTTAACCTGTGAGATAAATGCGTGTGCAGAGAAAGCCTTACTCTGCTTCCTTTAACCGTCAAACACGCTATTAACTGCAAAACTCTGTCCTGAGAAATCTAAACTGAGACTCTTTGGGTCTGCAAAATGTATGTCTGAATCTCAGATCTGGTGAAAGATTGAATACCAAACTTAAAGAATTTAGGGAATGTCAGAGGCCACGTTCACACTGCAGGTTATGATGCACAATTCAGATTTTTTGTTGAATCAGATCTTTTTGTGCGGTCGTTCACATTACAACAACGAATGCGGCCGTGAAGTGACCAGCATGCGCACAAAGCACAAATTGCTTTCCGCACCTGTTTGTGTTGTCAAACAATGGTGATGTTTGACGCATATTGATGAAGTATAGGTCGGATGAATGCGCCTGAGCGTCCACACTGCAGTCACATCAGATACATATCCGATTTATATCCGCATACAAAAGAGGCCTAGGTCGGATATTTGAAAAAATCAGATATGTGTCACATATGGTTAAAAAAATCGGAATTGACCTGCAGTGTGAACATAGCCAAAGTCATTGGTTACGACCTGGGCGGCTTTTGTTGGGCAACATCAAATTGAGACTTTTACAAGTTTAAATTGTCACAAACAAACTTTGATGTTTCCGTACTTCATAACAAATACCACCTCGAAGCTCTTTACACATTTATCACATTTGGAGTCAAGTTGCTCTAAAATTTGCATTAGCATTATAACAGAGACTGACACAGTTGTAGCAGCTGGAGTCTGGTGAGTCTGCAACAAGAACCTATAAGATGAGGAAGCTCAGGGCCTCAGAGGAACATCCATGATCGGTCGGTGACTTAAATGGGACACGAAGATTTATGTTAAGTTAGCGATATGTAGGCAGGTAAAGGAGGAAGAAGGGAAAAGGGGAGTCAAGTGTGCCAGTTCCACAGCAGATTAACCTTAATCACTCCTGATTTTGAAAATGAACTTCTTCCCTGCCTGAGGTCAGCTGTTAACGAGTGTTTCTCCCCCCCTCACACAGGACTGTGTGGCTGGAGAAGTTTAGAGGGAGTTGCCCTGCGATGATGTCTTCACAAAGTCCACACTGTCCAAACAGTCCTGTGCACACCCAGTCCCACCCCTTCTCTCACCCCTCGGCTGCCTACCTCTCTCCCTCTCCTGAGCTCCCCTCTACTCTTCTCCTGCTCCTGGGGTCGGTTACTCCGTCAAAGTTCAAGCCGTCAAGTCTGCAGCTCGGTCCTCACAGCCACCATGATGCACAGCAGCTGGATCTGCAGATTCCTCCTCCTGGCGCTCCTCGGCCTCATGGTGGCCCTTGTACACACAGGTAAAAATCCTCTAAAGTGGGCTTTTGATTTTTGTTTCTTTTCTGTGTAACATCACCTGTGTCATCACTGTTTTTTTTTTTAGATTACAAGAAATACAGGAAGAAAAAGCAAATGAGAAGTTGAGTTAAAACTAATCAGATCTGTTTGTAAATGTAGTTTTATGGTCAGCGTCAGTTTTCTGGTTAAAATGATTGAATTGTAAACTCATATTGCTTTTGGTGGGTCATCCATCCTCCATAGGTATCCAAATTGAATATAAGCGTGTACATGTTTTTGCCCTACTTTCCCATCAAACGCACATGAACAGGCCATGATGTGTGAGTCTCCAGCCTGATGTAAATGATGCAGTTGTTGAGGCTCTGAGAGCTGTGAAAGCTGCTCTTTGACAAGCAGGATGACTCAGTTGCTTTCATGATGCCTCACATTAAGATGACTACCTTCTCCCCTTTGATTGGAGCGGTTCTGTGCTGCGTTTATTTTGCGTATGTGAAGAGGACTGAGAGGCAGAGGCAGGGATGAGGACTTTTTACGTGATTTGACAAGCGAGTGCGATTAACAGAGCAACTAAATGTAACAAACTCACTCTGAGTGGTCAGTCTTTTACTTTATTATTTTTATGAACAGATATGGAGTGATTGACAAACACTGTTATCTTCTCTTTGTAAATGTCCACTTAATTTCTATCTGAGGACTGGTTTTAGATTATATGGTTTTCAACTTCATGGCCGTTTCACACTTGTAGGGTTTGTAATAAAATCATATTTTCCTACTAAACTCTCTCCACTTCTGTGATTTCGTAAATTTTCACTGAAGAATTTTCCTAAGATATTGAACTAGTGGATCCAAATATAGTGCATCACAGTGATGGCTGTGCACAGCCCTGTCTCCCGCCTCTTTTTAGAGTAAAACTATTTGATGAATATCTGTTGACTTTAATCCTCGCAGTGGGAGTCTTATACGGTGCCTCTTTAGTTTCAATGACTGCATCTTGTTAACTAAATCTGGTTAAAACTCTGTAAAGAAAATAAAACCCTAATTTATTTTTTGTGTATGGCCCTAAGTGTGCAGTGACCTCTGTAAATTGTCTTTGACATATCTGTAAAAAAAAACTTTCCCTTTCACTTAGCTCTTTTCTTTACTGTAATGTCTCTCAAACTCCTCTGAAAAACTGCTCTGGACACAGGAGAGCAGTTCTCAGACCCAAAGGTCAAAGTTCAAAGGGGCAGTGGGATGACATGGTTATATCTTGAGTTGACAATGTCCTCTCTGTCCTGTAGAAAAGAAATCACTGTAAGGTGCCACCTTTAGCTTGGTACTGAAAATCTTCAGTGACAGTAAAACGGCTCCAAACTGAATTCTCAGTCTGACATTTTAACGCTAAGGTGCTGTGACGTGTCTTTAAGACACTGAATATATCTTTTAAGGCGAAAACTGTTAGAGCAGTAAGTCTCTGATGTATCTGCCTCAGTGAACAGTGTGCTAAGCAGTTATATTATCTGTTGATTCCCAGAAGTGCCACAATTCTTGATTTCAACTCAAAGTGACAGAACTGGTGTGACCAGCCACCCCAGAGCTTGACTCAGCATGAAACAAACCACCAGAGCTTGAGCAACACAATGTGATAATTACTCACTCTCGCTCTTTCTCATGGAACTTCCTCAAATTTATGTTTATGTACAATATGCGGGACTCAAAGCCACTGGTGCATCACATGTTTTTAAAAAATAATAATAATGTGGCAGGATTACAACTCCAGGGTTTGGCCAAATCTCGAGGAGGGGCTTTAAAGGTGAAGAGGATTATGAAAATCATATGTTGTTCAAATTTTGAGTAGGTTTAAGGTGACTGATCCAAGCCACAGCCTACAGTGATTCAAAGGCAAAGCCAACCAAACCGAGGCGAAAAACCCTGTAGTTCCCCGAGCGTCCACTAGAGGCTGGCTGCAAAAGTCAAAGAATCCTCATTAGGTCCCATGTTAACGTGGCCAACTTTGCAGCGAAGTTAAACAAGTTTACAGCCTGATTTGAGTAAAAGTGAAGTTGAGTTGGCATCTCCAATATGGTGTCCATCATGGTTAGGTTCAATTGTTTAACCGCTCTCATGATGTTTTATGTAAAGTAGATGTCTGGGCTAGAAAAAGAATAAAGGATTTTGTACCAATCTGACAATTTACCAAAAATTTCAAGTCAAAGTCAAGCTTCAAATATCTATTTCCAAGCAATTAAGTCCCTTGTGCACAAAGCACATATGATACATACTATAATCTCTATTTAACCACTTAAAGATAACATGTTCCTTTAATAGTCCCACAGGGGGAAATTCCAAATTTACAGCAGCATACAGTCATACTAAGAGAAATTTAAGTATAAAGCAACTTACAGTTAAGTTAAGAAATCAGATAAAAGATATGTACACAAGTAAAATTTACATGTGTACATAATATGAATAATGATATGGTTTATTGCACGCTGAGGTTTCTGTTGTTTGCTTCGTTCTCAAATTGATTAAATCCAGTTTTGTTTGAAAAGCAGAACAAATGTAAACTGGAACCCAAAAGACAGACTTCATAATATGGATCGTTTTGATTCGGCTCTTCAAACAACTCGGCGCTGGGAGTCTATTGAGGGTTTTCTCCTCATTATTTCAGACTAAATTCTCCAACACACTGGTTAGTCAATCAAATATTTCACAATGGAAAACGTGGCTGAGTAGAAAAAGGGTGAAGCAAGGACACAGAGCACCTCTGCGTCACTTGCCGTTTTGGATGCTCAGTCAGGTTGCTTTTCACACACACTCGTCCTTGCGCTTTGTCATCTCTCTAGTTGGTGCGAAATCCTTACTGAAGAGGCCTGATGTACCAACAAACAGCCCTCTGTGTTGTTAGCATCTGAAATCATCCCTCAGTACAGTGTGCCAGCCTTTTTATGAGTCTGGAGTTGTAGATGAAGTCAGAGGGAGCTTGACTGACATGAAGAGTCTTGTGTTGGGAAAGTGTGAGTGAGTGAAGTGATTGGCGACCACTGACACTGCTTTACTGACAGGGCAGGCATGTAGGTAACAGGTAACAGAGGTAAAGTTAAACTAGACTGTATTAACTCAACTTCATCCAGCTAAAAATAATAATTAATAAAAATTAATGCAGTCAAGGATGGAGTTTAGCAACTTAGTAAAAGTACAAAATTGGTTGGATACCAATCTGGTAAAGTTTGCGTGATACTAAACCTGCAGACTGCACACTAAACACTAAACCTGAGTCAGTGTAACACAATATGTTTTACTCTTAAGCTACTAATTAAGCTTGTTTGACAACTTGACTGCTAATGAAAATAAGCTCAAATTGTTTTCCAACATGTATGAACAAACATCTCAAAGATGGAGTAATGTAAGCTAATAGAACAGTTTGATGAATCAACAGTAGTGCCAAAAACGCATGGAGTCATTATCCTGTTAGCTTAGTTACTGATGAACTGCTCGTAGATAGATAGATAGATAGATAGATAGATAGATAGATAGATAGATAGATAGATAGATAGATAGATAGATAGATAGATAGATAGATAGATAGATAGACTTTATTGATCCCAAACTGGGAAAACATGAAAAATTTGCTAATCATAAAAGTTGAACTGCTCAGATCGTTAGCTAAGAAAAGATAAATAATGAAATCAGGTGAAATGATTGTCAACGTAACGATAAATCCACAGATGACACCCTAAAGTCATGATTTTATAGAAATAGTCTAGTTGAAGTGATCCTCGGCTAAAATAGATGAATAAGCTGCAGATAATCAGCTATTTGAAAGAGCTGTGAGTAACTGATAAAGGCTGAGTCACTGAAAATCCCCGAGTATGCTGTGTAGGGACCAACCTACGTGGTTCATCTTAAGGGGCTGTGGGTGTATTTGTGAGAGTACAACAAATATCATAATTTAGGAACCTCTGCAGCTAGATGTTGGCCCAGAAAATGTGTTTTTTTAGAGGCTTCAGTGATGTTAATTCCATTAACCAGAAAATTTCACACTTGAGTAAACTCCTCCTTGTGGAAACAAACACCAACGGAAAACATTATGTTTTTATTTTTTGCCTTATTAAATCAAGCTGTCCAGAAGGCACAGCCTTTTACACACAGGGACTGTTTAATAAACAAGTTTGTTTGACATCCAGAGCCCCGGCCGCTGCCTGCTTTGGGCCTAGCCGGTTGTTACTGGTTGCAGCCTGCCGCCCTGCGTGACCGCACAAGCTGCCTTTTGTGCCCTGGGCTGAAGGCCTCATTGATGGCTGAGCTGGACGGAGGCCCGGGCCTCCAAACCTCCAGCCAGCTTCAGGACAGGAAGCTGCTCACGACTTGGAGTCAACACAGCAGCATCAGAATTACACATCACAATTTACAAGATACCACAGCTAACAGGCCGAGTACGTCCTCAGATGATATCAGATACGCAGACGTTTTAAGTATTCAGTTCATGTTTTCTTCTCTATCAGACAGGATGATATCAGCCCCGTTTGATAACGACACAAAAAAAGACAGCAGAGATGTAAAACAGGGTGAAGGAGTTTACTGAGGGCGTCAGAGGCTACAAAGTAAATATGCAGTGTTAAATAACCTGAGTGCAAATATGTTTGGAGTTTGGTTTTGACGGTATGTGTAGAGTTGAGGATTGGATAAGTGAATCAGTGAGTGGGTGGGCTTGTGTGTGAAGAGTTTGTTTGCTCAGGGGGGATGAAGATCAAAATTTTCCTTGGTCTTCTTTGGATTAAAAAAAACAAACTCCAAAGTCATTTAGTTCAAAATCACAAGAAGAAATGATCTCAGTATCTTTGGTGATGAGCTTTAGATAAGCGTTTCTAAAAGTTAAATTTTTATAAGTCGTGTTTGGGAAACGAGAAAGTGGGCAAGAAGGAGACTTTGTTTCTCTGGCTGCTGCGGAGTTGTGAAAAGTCTCAGGGTAACTCTATGCTAAGATGAGAGGAATGTCAGGACCACTGCTTCAGATAGAAAGAGAACAGAGGAATAACATAAAATGTCTGCCGCTCAAAGCCGTAGCTGAAGAGTTTTCTTTCATCAGTACTCAATTTTAGTTGAAGTGGAGGATGTTAAGTGGCTACTTGCAGCTCAAAGGGACAAAATGTTCGTCCTCGACAAAGACATCCTTATGCACAGGCCTGAGCCGTTACTGCTGCGGAGGAGACAGACAGAGGTTGTTGGAGTCATTACAGACAGAGCCATGTATGCAGCGTAGGCCTCAGCAGAAAGTCAAACAGAGTCATTAGCCAACGCAGTGAGTTTCATCAGTGAAATTACAGCCTTAGGAAAACACGACGCGCGTCACTACTGCACAACATTCAGTCCAAAGAGGATTCAAACCGCTCAAGGTTAACTTTCCATTCCTGCACATTGAAGCTGTTAGTTTTATTTTTTTCAAAGCACAAGTTATTATTATTCTTATTTTCTTGGTTTGTAGATACTGTGGCAGACCCTTCCTCAACGGCCAGAGACAACCAGGACACGTCTGGAGACCTCCCCAGCGATGTTACCACCAAAAGCCCTTTCCATGACATGACAGAGCCGCCCTTTACCTTCGACTATGAGGACTCCACACACTCCCAGGCCATGGACGAGGAAGAAGGTGAATTCAACTGGCAGTCAGAGTGACAAAATCAGTGTTGATTTTACATCATCTAATAAATGGAGTTATATTTGTGTTTGTATGCAGGGGTGCTGGGGCCCGGGGCCATCACAGCCATCGTCATAGCAGTTTTCCTGGGAGCATCCGTCCTCCTGGCCCTCATTGTCATCACACTCAGGAAGTTCACAGCCTCCTAGAGTGAAAACATCCCACCTTGTCTTGTTTGTGTGCGAGTATGTAAGTGTGTGTGCGTGCGTGTTTATAGACTCTGAGTGATTGTATGTTAACATTTCCCTTCAAAACTTCTCAACTCTAAACTTATCCTTCCTTTTAGATGAGTTGTGTCTTACGCTTTGCTGTGTGGCAGGTCCCTAGACTGACTTTTTGTAGATTGACTCTCGTAAACACACTCTCCTTCACTTTATTCTAACAGCCGCCATTTTCGACTGATGGCAGTTTCATGGTGGGGAACTTAATATCACAGTTAAAGCAGGATACAAGTATTAGGTATGACAGCACAACGTTGAGTAAATTAAAGAATAAAAGTGATTATACCAGGGGAAACAAGTAGTAATGTTTTTTGGTGTATGCAATCATTTGAGCTCCTTTCTGTTTCGACTTCTACTGTGACCATTGAAACTGAATCATGTTTCAGAATAGCAGCCAGTGGCAAAGCCAGAATCAGAGGCAACACTTACATTAAAATCAGCTGTTTGAGTTCAGGTTAAAAAGCTGCTAGTAGCTTCTTTGCATTTTAACATTATCTTTCATCGGTGCTGTAAATGATGACTTTTGAAAAACATGTTTTTTCATCCTCAAAAGTAAATCTCAGCAGATTTAAACATTGTCACCTTGAATGTGAATGTCAGCTGGTGATTAATGGTGATAAATATGCTATCAAACATATCGCTTTCTCTCACAGTTTAACCCCATATCCCTCATTATTTTGTTTCTTGCTGTCTTTGTGACGTAGAGGGAAGTGGTGAGAGAACAACACATTGAACCACTTCCTGACAAACACCGAGGAATTAAAGATCTATGATGTTTTTTAACTGCCTGGTGGTGCGATGCTAATACTCTTCATGAACTAACAGATACATGTTCTGATGTCCCTCTGTATTTTATTATCTTTTAAGTTGCTGATTGATCATTTCCTCCCACTATGAATGTGGCATCAGAAAAACTGGCTGGCGTGTGAATAGGGTGATTTGTTGCTCAGCATGTTTACTCATCAGTAAATGTATGTTAGAAACTGGCTGGCTCTTCCAGTGGAAATCATTGCTTCTCTGTTTTAATTTTCTTAATCCTTTATTTTCAAGTTGTTGCATTAAAAGTTTTTTTATTTTTTTTGACTGTGGGTAACTTAATGGTTTTTAGATGAGCCGCGTCTTTTGTGTTTTTGTTTTTTAATTTGTATATGAAGTGTATCTGTTTGTCATTTTTACATTTTTCTTTTCTTCAACAAGGAAAATACACCTGAGAGTGTTTTTGTGCCAACATGAGCCAGAATAACTTCCAAAGTATTACCTTGGTGTCACCATTTACATGTTTTGAAGTTTTTGTTTCACCATTTGCAAATTTCTGTAGAGTCAAAATAAAAAGAAAATAAAAAAAATAATAAACTTTTAAAATGATTGTGAACTGGGTAATTTGGGTTGACAGAGCAAAAACAGGAGTCAGATTAACCAGTTTGTTGTGGCGTCTGAGGGGGTTGAGGTACAGGACTGATTCCTTTTGGGGTCTAAGTCTAATAAAATAACCTTACAAAACTCAGGTCATCATTTGTAAGTCAGCACAGCAAATTCACAGTTCCTCTTTTTTTGTATGTCTTAACTTTTTTATCGATCAAAATGATATATTTTCTCTCGGCTATTTGGCTCTCGATCGGCCCGTTTTAATTTACATGTCAGGGGCTAGATAAGGGGGGTCTTCATTGGGGATGACTGTCCTGACTTCAGTCAACAGCAGGTGGCAGTGTGGATGCAGCTTTTATGGTCTTATATCAAAAAAGCCTATAGTTATTCCAAAAATGAAGCTGACAATAATATCTCTCAGTGATAATAAACTTTAATACTAATACATTTCAATGCTGTCTGAAGAGGATTTAAGTTAAATTTTTCCTACACACAGATAGAGTAAGTGATCAATGTGGTTTTTACTTTTGATAAAAGAGGGGGGAAAAAACTGCTCTCAGACTTGATCAAGTCATCGCAGACTGTGAAACCAGGAAAACCTCAATCTTAATCAAAGTCAAGATCTGCCTCTGCAGTTTCTCACAGACCTGAAAGAGAGAACTCTTTGAAGACATCTGTGTTCTTTCATCTCTGGAAAGAGGAGGCTCACTTTTTACAGAAACATAAAAAAAATACATGATTGAAGTCATCAGATTATATCAGTGACTAAAATAAATACTAGCCTTAAATATATTTTTAAAAAATTACCATTACAAATAAGAAATAAGGGGAACCTGGTCTGGTTTTGGTGTTTCACATATTCCAACATATGTCACCACATTGAGAGTAGATGGTAAAAATAAAATGGAGTCAAATGATTAATATTCACAAGTTTAAGTGAATAATAGCAAAATTGTGAAACTGTATTTAAAGTGATGGGAATTTCAGTCAAAGGAAGTACAATACCACAACATTACAGCTGTAGTCATGAGAAAGCAGTGCATCAGTTTCCTCAATTTATTATTCTGATCTATTATTGAAGCTGCAGTTCTGGTCTACTCACTGTGTCTATAATAGTTAAGACAGCTATTAAGAGGGTTAAGGGAAAAAGGCTTGAACGGTTTCAAGTGGATGAAATTACTTCAGTATCTACTATGATAAAAAACAAAAGACAGGAAATGAACTTTGGCAGGATGAGCAGTGGGCTGTTTAAAGGATTCGTTTTGATTGTTTTAGGTCAGATTTGACCCACTTTGACACAAATCCTCCTCTGTCATTTCTCCATCCAAAAAGATCTCTCATTGTTTTTGGCAATAATGAATTATTTCTCTTTGTGTTTTCTTGCTGTGCTGACTTTAACACAGGTTGTTTATAGCCTTTGTATTTTTTTGCAGGAGTAAAATAAGGTGGGGGTCAGTTTAATTGTAATTTTCTAAGATAACACTGATTTTCTCTCAAGTCCAAGATAAGGGGTTGAATGCCTGCTCCAATGTATCCTACTTTGTACAGTATTCATTGCACGGTTAAGTGTATTTTGCTGTGGTTGCACTCTGTAGTTTCTCTTTGATTGGTGTGTTTTCAGACTTCACTTTGCTTTGTTATTTGGGCTTTTCCACAGCCTCTCACATTTTAAGTCATTTTTAGTAAAGTGCTCCTCTTCGGCTTGCTTACTTAAAAAAAACAACAACTTTCAGACACAAATTGACCCTTTTTTCCAATCAAACATTAATTATCTTACTATAAATTCTAGCAGTTTGAAGTGGCGATGCATCCATTTGTTTATAAAAAGCGTATCAAAGCTCGGCCTGACTGAACCGTTCACTTATAGCTCGATTTCCACTATATAAACACATGTGGCATCATCAGTCAGGAAGTGGTGATGAAAGGTTTGAAAAGCAGAAGTGTGTCTGGCCTAAAGCAGACAGTCAGACAGATAAAGCCAACGTTCAGCGGAGACTCTGGCATCCCTGAGGTAAGAGCATTAGATACAGATACAGCTTAAAAATATTTTAGACGACTGATCTAATGTTAGTATTTAAAATGGCACACAGAAAAGGGCAACCCCAGTCTGGTTATATATTTTAACCCTTTAGTAATCTAATTTAAACCTATATGGAGCATTTAGAGTATTTCACTTGCACTTTATACCTTTTCTTTCTGTACTTGGTCTAAAAGAAGATAGGAACAACATGTTTAGAGTTGGCAAACCCACACAGCTGACAGATTTCTTGCTTGGCACAAAGGGAAACCTCAAACAAGTTTCAGTGCAGAGAACAAAAAGGAAAGAGACTGTTTATTCTGTCAGAGATCAGTTGATCTGTGATTTGAAGTTCAGACGCAGCTACAGAAATTAAATCTAATCATTTCTCCCACAGCAGCGTTGGTATCGTCATGACAAGCAACTGCTCATTTGAAAATGTGGATCACCTGATGAAATATCTGGAGCTGGTTTTCTACATCCCCATATTTGTCTTGGGTCTGATTCTTAACGTCATGGCTCTTTTTGTTTTCTGCGTGGCTCTGCGGAAATGGACAGAGTCAACAATATACATGACCAGCTTGGCTCTGATGGACCTGCTCCTCCTTTTACCTCTACCCTTCAAAATGCACGCCACCAATCACCGCTGGCCTGCAGACTTACAGCGTCTCTGTTCAGTTTTGGAAGCCCTGTACTTTGTTGGGATTTATGGCAGCATCTACACCATCATGTGTATAGCTGTGGACCGATGGGTGGCCATCTGCCACCCTTTTCGAGCCAAACAACTACGTTCGCCTAAGAAAGCTCTGGGAACCTGTTTGGGGGTCTGGGTGCTGGTTCTGGCAGTGATCTCCCCGACCATCTATCATCTGAGGGAGGCTAGGGAGACAGACTTCCACTGCTTCCACCAGTTTTCACAGAAAGGCTGGAGTCCCTCTATGATTATCTGTTTGCAGGTGTTTGGGTTCCTGCTGCCGGCGCTGCTGGTGGTTTTCTGCTCAGTTCAGACCATCTGGGCTTTGAGGCAGTCTGGAAGACTAAGCCCACAGAGCCAGGCCTGTGTGAAGATCATCTGCAGCAGCCTGAGCGCCTTCCTGCTGCCCTTCACCCCCAGCCACCTGGCCATCCTCCTGCAGTTCCTGGTAAGATCAACTAAGAGTCTTTTAACTCAACTCAGAAGTCAGGGTGATGAAAGTGAAAGTTCTTTTCTGTTGTTGTTGCTGTAGTGGAACTTTCCACTACTGATCTCCGTCAGCAGTTTAGAAGAAAAAATTACAGTCATTCACACAAGTACTTGTTGAAAGAGTCATCCTAAAAGACTTAATATCTTTAAAAAGCACTAAGAAGATGCTCAAATTCTCTCTATTAAACTTTTTCTTTTACATGGTTCACAAGACAGGAAGGTAAATGTCATAGGACTCAGTTTGAATAATCAGGCCCCTCTTTTCTTGGATCTACCAGCTGAGGTCTAGAGGCCTGGGCTGGATCTTAGTTAGACTGCTGGGGTCTTTTCTGGGAGTCCCTGTGCTCCATCATGTCGTAGGTTCCTCTGGATTGCTGCTGTAGATGTTTTGATGCTTTGGACCTGCCTGTTTTCCCGCTGCTTCAACTACTTACATCAGTCCCACATCTGTCATCTCTCTCTTTCTAATATTCTAATATCTAATATTAGTGTTAAAACTGGCAAACAGAAAAGGGCAAACCCCAGTCTGTATATATTTTAACCCTTCAGTGATCCAATTTAAACCTATATGGAGCATTTAGAGCATTTCACTTGCACTTCACACCTTTTCTTTCTGTACTTGGCCTAAAAGAAGACAGGAACAACATGTTTAGAGCTGTTAAACCCACACAGCTGACAAATTTCACGCTTGGCACAAAGGGAAACCTCAAACATGTTTCTGCGCAGATAACAAAAAGGAAGAGACTGTTTATTCTGTCAGAGATCAGTTGATCTGTGATTTGAAGTTCAGACAGACGGAGCTGCAGAAATTAAATCTAATAATTTCTCAAACAGCAGCGTTGGTTTCATCATGACAAGCAACTGCTCATTTGAAAGTCATCTCTCTCTTTCTGCGTCTACCTCTATCCTCTCAGAGGATAGCGGCAGATGAATGTCTAACATGAGTCTGGTCCTGCTCAAAGTCTCTGCCTGTTAAAAGGAACTTTTTTCCTCTCCAGTGTAACTTAGTAAATGCTGCAAAGTGTTAAATTGATGTGGTTAAATATGGGATGGAAGGATCTGATCTTATTCAATCTTATCCCGTCTTTACATTGGGTCTTTGTAAATAGAGGATTATCTAGACCAGCTTTTTTTTTGTTAAGCATCTAATGGTAACACTGGCTGGCAATTGTTGTTATATAAATAAAGCTATATAAGCTATATAAATATAATAGGTAGAGATAGTTTGGAGGTGAAGTTTGGAGGTGAATCTTTAGTTTCAAATATACCTGAAAATAAGATGTATGATGGATGATTAAAAAACTCAGCATCAACAAGGTGTTAAGAGATCTCTCTATATAAAACTACAACAGCTCACACTGCTCCAGTGTTATTGTATGTTTAAAAGACTTTCATACACACAATATCCTAGATTGACATGTCTCTGTCCTCCATGTGACACTGTTCATGTAACTGCAGGTGCACCAAGGAGTGATCGAGGACTGTGAAAACAAGACCAGGATCAGCCTGTTCATCCAGATCACCCTGTGCCTGTCCAATGTCACCTGCTGTCTGGACGCTTTGTGCTACTACTTCATCGCTCATGAGGTCAGAAGCACCAAAAACACCTTCAGGCTGTCAGTGATGAGCCAAAGAAGAGCCACCTTCAGCACTTCAGAGGTCTGAACACCGAACACAGATCAAGTTAAAGTAAATCTGTTGGTGTTGATGCCACCAACTGAGAACGAAGTGCGGTTTGTGCTAATGTGTAAGAGGTGGAGAGAAGCAGGTTAGAGGGCAATCTGAGTTAACCACCTCTCGGCACAGCACTGAGAATGAAGCTCAGAGGCGAGTTTCAGACAATTACAGAAACTTGATTTGGTCCACTGGCAGGAAACTGGTAGCACTTCTAACCTCATTGCGCTGTGAGACCTGGTAAGTATGCAGCAAAAAAAGTACCTTACCACTAAGCTAGAGAGTGACTTAGTTCAGTGATTTAAAAACCAGGGGACTTGAAGCACACGATCCAGTCCTGCAATTTTGCATTCTATGAAAACCAATGTTGGCTTGATACAGAGCTCAGAGTCTACTGTGTGAGCCTTAAGAAGTCATATAGCCAAGTTAAAGAGAAAAGCAGCCGTTCAAGATCAGGTTAGATACTTTACAGAACAAATGGATACAAAAGCTGAAACATCTCATCATGATAACTATGAAATGTTTTAATAATGTATCCTCAAATTAATAGAATTTTATATGAACATAGAACATATACTTCAACAAATGATTGAACTTGTGCTAAGTAACTGAAGTGAAATAATACACATTAATTAGCACATTTATTTTTATACTTGTATAAAATTTCCCATCATATGTACCATTAATCTCACAGACACATTAACTTAATAGAAGTACTGTATATATTGGTCTTAATAGTTTCTTAGAATTAAGAAAAACATGTTATTAGAAGCTTTAAACAGTGTTCACATCATTTGTTTACCATATTTCAGTTTAATAGTTTCTCAGTTTTGCACTTCATTACATTGAGACTTTTGAAAAGGTCTCAAATAAGGTGCCAAATATGTGGAAAGGTCAGAGGGATGTTTTAAGAATGTAAATTGTTTGCATTAGTTCTTAATTATTTGTACTTCCTCAGAACACCAGTATAAATGTGTGTAATGTACAATTATGTAACCAATGTAAATATAATTAAATAACTATATCTTTTACATTTTTGTTTATTTTTTATTTTTCATTTTTAAGATGAGGCTCCAAACATGCAATAGTGTTATACCCCATAATACCCCACCATCAGAAATAAAAACATCAACCGTATCCAAAGCTTTCAACACTAAAACAAAACTTTGGCTGAAATGATGACAAATCTGTGAACTCACATGTTCTGAATTTTCACTTTGCATTATTAGCATGACTGCTGGTCCATGTCTGTTAAATTTTATTTGTTTAAAATATGAAAAAGATGTAAATGCTTTCATCTCTGTGGCTGAATAGACAGCTGTGCATGCAGAACATTAAGCTGCTCCGTCTTGTATTGCTGATGCTGAATGCTTGTATTGCGGGGAGGTGTTTTTTTTAAGACACTGCATGTTGATGCTGTTTGAATTAAAAAAAAAAAAGTGTCAGCTCTCTTTGGTAACTGAAGACAGGAGAGTTTTATAGTTTTTAGGTTTACATGCATTACCTGATACTGTAGATACTTGAATTTTGCACTCATCCTTATTTTTGTGGACTTTCACATTAATTCCTTAGTGTTACTTTCTGTCTTAAACTTTTTTTAAAATGTGAAATCTTTTTTTTTTTAAATCAATTTGGTCATAAGGTGGGTGGCACATTTTGTCTCGTGAGCCTGGATGAAAACACAAGATCTTGACATGAAATTACATGTCTTGTAATTGAAAGTCCTTGCAAAAGTTTGCACACATGTGTGTCGACGCTTACAAGCACTTTAAGTTTGCAGGGCATCACTTTTGAAACCAAATCTCTCTCTTCCACTGAGAGTCTAAAATCTGCAACCACAGCAGATGTGTGAGTCATTTTCATCATGCTGAGGCGCAGAATCTTGATCTAGACCACTGATAAAAGGCAGCATATAAAGTAAAGGCAGTTTGTTTAAAGAGGTTAAATAATGTTTTTTAGGATGTTCACTTTGGAAATATAAAGGTTTGGTTCCTCTTTCTGTGATCACTGGCTGCCTGTGTGGGTGTTTTTATACGAGAACAATGCTTCAGTTTATCTGATCTGTATTATGTGTGATTATGATGTGTATACTTAACTGAAACTGATTCTGATAAATGCTTAGAAGAAAAAATTGTTTTTCTCATTTATTTTTAAAGCAGCAAGATATTACAAGAAAAATCGACTGTACATCAGAGTAAGAGTTCCAGGACAATGAGAATGAGCACAGACCACAGGTCTCTCTGAACAGAGACTTATTTGCACCCAGTTTGTCACAGGAATGGCACCCAGGCCTTTTTTTTTTTTTGAGTTGGGATGATCAACATTGATAAAGAGAATATAATGCCAAGATAGAAAGGGTCAAGGGAAGGCAAGAGCTAAAGACAAAGACAGGCAAATCCAACTCAAGAGGAAGATGAGCAAGAGGAAGTAAAGTCAGCCTTTGATTTCATCTACAGTAAAAAGCATTCTTTCTAAGTTGTTCATATATCCTTCACAGTAAGCACAGCATTTCTGAACACCGACTTTGGTTCCCTCAGTTCCTTAAAGCACTGCTACTAATTACAGTCTAAAGCCGTTACATCCAACGAGGAGGCAAATGTGACACGCAATAAACTAAAGAGACAAACCGTAAGAAATAAACAAACACAAAACAAGTCGATTTTAGATAAAAATCTATGCATGTAGTAGTATGTTGAAAATCAGTTTACAGTAGATATTGCTTAGGAACAATCAAAGTTATGTACACCGTTCATTGATGATAAAAACCAGCAAAGAAACATCTAAACTACATGAGGTATGCTTCGCCATTTTCTGACATTCGAAAAACAAAATACCAACAAAGAAACTAAAGTGACATGAGCGGACAGTGCGAGCAGCTTCAGCCACAGAGCACTAGCTTATAAAATTAAACCCAAAACAAGTCTAAATGAAAAGCTTTGAATTTAACAAAATCAAAAGGCATGTGATGGAAAAGTCCCAAATTGAGCGATAACGTCTGGTGTGCACTTGACAAGCTACAGATATATTCAAACATTTAAGACATTATTCAAGTAAAAAGACTATCGTAATTAAAAAAAGACATGAACATTTTACACAAACAATTGAAGAGCATTTCCAACTTGAGACGCAAAAACAAACGAACAAAAGACAGCAACTTAAACTGTTGGACAAAACCTGCTCTTAAAGTGCATTTGAAAGCCTAAAGAATTCAAGAGGTATGGTTTGGAGTTGGCTTCAGTGTTGGATGGCTGTGATTTCCGCCTCAGACTCTGTCGCAGATGACTGTCTCAACCACAAACGTGTTCTCGAAGTGACGGATGCTGTGACACTGCTTAGTCTCCCGCCTCTCAATACCTGGAAGAGAAAAGAGGACACCTTTAGTCAATCTGTTCAGACCTCAAGAGGAGATCTGCAGCGATGATAATAATTCCTTTGCCGCTACCATGACGACTACATGCCACTTCCATATATGTAATCGCTGTTGCGTCATATCTCAAGCCTTCACTCCAATCACAGGCGGCAATCACAGAGATATCACTCATGTGCATCACTACCTCCTCCGTGATGTGCGGATGTATCCCCTGCACTAGGAGTGACTCACAGAGCAGGAAGTTCCCTGACTCGCCCACGGAAAAACACACTCATACTGTAATGAGGCTGTGAGAGGAGGATTTCACACTGCGGACACACTGTCCAAGACTTTCACAAGGAAGCCCCTATTTGGTGCTTGTTGTTTTTGGTTTTTGCCTAGTCACACACTGTGATCGCTCCTACACACGGCAGATTCCCTGTGACTCAGATTATTGTCCTGCTTGATTTTAGAGGGAGATCACGGTGACTTGAAAATGTTACATGACCCAATATCTCATTATTGGCAAGAAAGCAGGTGAAAAAGGGGCGAAAGTGACCTAACGCTCATCTGATATAATATTAAGATTGGAGAATAAGTAGATGTGAGTACTTACGTTTGCGCTGGCTGCGGCGTCTGAGGCGATAGGTTTCTTTGCCGTAGCAGAGCCTGTGGATGAAGGGTCCCAGCTGCCTCATGCTCCTCACCCTCCCTGTCACCACCATCTCCTCCTGGATGATGTAAGTCTGAGGGAGGTACGTTCCTCTCTGCGACAAAGAGACACAAATGAATCATTCAGATGCTCTGTGACTTTCTCAAACAGCTATTCGTCACCGACAACGCTCTCACGGCAGCAGATGTATCAGTGCCTCACCTTGACATTGACGAGCAGCTCCCACAGGTTCCGTGGAGGCATCACCAGGGTGGTGTTCAGCTCGGTGATGTAGCATTTGTCCAAAGCAATGTCGTAGTAAGCAGTGAGGCCCTGGAATCAAATTTTAAAAGCGTTAAAATCTAAGAAACATTTGGCAAGAAAAATTCAATTTAAGCCACATAAGTGAGACTTAACCTACCCTCTGAAAGTCGTGGATGATATCTGCAGGGTCACTTCCTCCAAAGTGGGGTACAGGTACACTGATCTGCTCGTAGTTGTCGTCAAGGTAGATGCCAACGTTCTCCTCCAGTTCATGGCGGCCCCTCAGGGGAGCATAAATGGAGTCCTCATAGATGACCCGGCAGTGGAACAAGCTGTCTTCTGGTATCTGCTAATAAGACGCAATTGAGCTGGGTTAGCGTGTTATGTGGACCTGAGGTTGTATCTTTTTGTCTGAAATATTAAAAATTTATGATATGCAAGTTTGAGCGAACGAACCTGAGGTATAAAGTAGTAGCGATAGACATAGATGGAGGCCAGAACCAGCCCTGACATGAAGACCACCAGGCCGAAAGTGAGGCAGCAAAGGCCGGTTGGAAAAGGCTTCTTGGATGTAACAGGAAGAACCAGCTGCTCCTGTGAAGAGAAGAGCAGTTTCGTTAATAGAAAAGTCTAGAAACAAGTCAATAATATGACTTACAAGCATGTCCCTGATAGCATGGTACTACAAGGCACTGTGCTTCAGGTTTCAATTATAAAGCTTTGATTTAGAGAAACACATCTTCTATTGTGTGATCAGGAAGAAATATTGGTAACAGGATTTATGGGTGGTTCGCGTTTTATCGTTTCCAGCTATTGGATGAAAAGTCAGAGGATACATCTTCTCGTGTCACTAAAATTCAGAAGTCCAAATGAAGTAGATTCTGACAAGTTGCCAAGTTGTTCGTCAGCTGAGGGAATCTGGTGGATGAAGGACGTACAGGAGTAAGACATGCCAGACGCCCACCCACATTCTCTTAGTCAATCTGCTTGCCTCTCCATACTACTGTTGCCATGGAAAGCGGAAGTGGGGAGAACAGATTGTGCCAGGCTCTGACGAAGATGCTGGCACGTGGCCGTCTGAGTCTATTCTTGGAGGCCTACTTCCACGCTCCATATTTGTAGTTAGCTGGCACCCTCAGTGGGAGTCAAAATGAGAGCAATTACGTGGAGCCTGGAGTCCCTCAGCAGAGGCTGACATATTAATAGATCCACACACATCGGCTCTGACGCCAGGCCAACTGTCCCAGCCAATTTCTAATCCAAACAGCTTTTGAGATCATGTCTCTTGACGAGACAAAGAGGTGGAAAAATCGGTCTGCTGAAGAGATGGCTACGTCATCAAGCGATCATCATAGTGTACAGTATGTTTAAGAACAGAGATGGGGATTAGATGAGGATACATCCATATTTCGCCAGGTGTCTAATTATGTTTGAACACCTGGGAGGCAGCTCAGAAAAAAGGGGCTATTAAAAGATGGTCAGTTTTCAATGAGAAATATCTTGATTAACCATATGCAGAATAACCAAGGGCACATTTTAAAGCAAAGTTTCGTGTTTTCAAATTTTTTAAATCACAAATGAGGGCACTGGATCAGCCTTAAATTTCAGAATTGGTCCAGTGATGTTTATTTGTAACAGAGAATGTAGGATCTTTTTTCTTGAAATCCTTGGCTGTTCAAATGAATTTAAAACTGCAAAATTGCTCATTTAGACTCTATTTATTGGATACAAAAAAACTGCACTAAATTTGATGCTATCTTCAAAAAAATAACTTCCTATAAACACCAACTGAAAGGCTGTGCAAATTACCCTGCCTCCGCACCATCTACAAGATCTGCATAGGCAACTCAATCTACCATTAAGCCAGCTGTCTTCTCACTTTCACCCACTGGCTCACTGTTGTCTGCGGCGCTACCTGCAGGATTCACGGCGCATTACAACTCGTGACGTCACTGGTTGGTGCAGCGACTGCATCTGACAGATCTCTATTGTTTTCTCGTGTTACCGACAGCAGAGGGAATTCGCGAGTCTGCTGTGTGCACTGCAATGGATTTGCTTTGATAAGTGCAAAACTTTAACATGTGTTTGGAGTAATAATGTAAAATTTTATAATGTAACCTATGGCTGCAGTGTGACCATGCAGTGGCCAAATAAGGTGACGTAATGTCAACATCTCCAGGATGGGATGACCTGTAATGATAGGTCATCTCTTTGTTGTAACAATAAAGCCCAATACCCTTTATTCAAGTAAGAAATAGTTTCCTACAATAAGAATACCAGCGGAGGACAGTGGGATTTTAAGCTGCTTCGAATATAATGCAAAAGGTTACAATGTGCTGAACATTTGTGATCATCTAAACCATGGAGTTTAAAGATCGAATCAAAGATAATCAGTTTACACAAATAAATGAACAAACAACCAAAAAGATGATAAACTGAGCACAATAAGTACAGATTGAGAGACAAAGACAATAATACCACAGCACATAATTAAAAACAAAGTGTGCAAACTCACGTGAGCCTGAGGTATAATGATCTTGTCTTCATCGTTGTCTTTGTCAGCCTTCTGCGCCGAAACCGGCTGGAAAGTGATCTTCACCATGATTATTTAGCGCGGTGTTTGTTTTCCTTAGCTTGTTTTCTGGATGGATCAGTGTGCTGCCTTCTTGCACCGAGCAGAGTACATTATATAGCGGCAGACCGGTCTCGCCCCCGGGACTCAGTGACATCACAAGAGCGTCTTCTCTGACGAACGAGCGCTGTGTGGGTCTGAAGGAAAAGCCGCCTCGCCATTGTCAAAATAAGAGTCCGTGCTCAGCTATAATTTATGCACTTCCTAAACAAACATACGTACTGTAGTCCTTTTAGTAAAAACACAAAGATAGTTGAATGTTAAAAGGTTTTGAGCACGAAAAAGGCACGTTTAACTCCCATTCGTCGACAGCACATTACACCGTGCCTTTATTCTGAAATGAAGTGCCCGATATGGTAGTGTTTTCCGTATTTTATTTAAAGCTGCATGTCCTCTTCCTAAGCATGTTCTTAACACTTTTATCCGGAAATGTAGGAATGTATCAATCTCTCAGTCAGCTTCTTCAATGCAGTAAAGTTGATACTGGGTCACTTTAAGTGATAACAACAGTAGAAATAATGATTTTGTTCAACCCTCACCTTGCACTTACAAAGGCTCCTACAATCCAGACAGTGATGCACACTTCTATAGCAGCACACTGTGTGCTGTCTGTGTATTGTTCCTAAAGTTCAGCATGTACTTTTCTGTTTAAATAAGTCTAGCCTTACATAAACAAGGAAAACGGATTACTATCTTATTGAAACATTTAATTTGACATACTCTCAAGGTAACCTATTACGTCCACTTCAGAACTGCCATACTGTTTACACTGTCATATTTGCACTATTGTGTCCACACCAGGACTGCCATACTGTTTACATTCACTTTCTTCCACTCACCTTCTTCCTTAATACTGGTACGCTGTTCATACTGTTATGCTGTTTATATTGTTATCTTTATTTTGTAAATTGAGAGTATTTAAGGTAGTATTTTGTTTAGCTTAGTTGTTTATTCTATATCTATACTTTTATAGTTTTATTCCCATAGTTTATTCTTATGCACCATGGGTCTGAGAGGACTGAAACTTCATCTGTGCTGTATTTTCAATATGAATAGCGTATTTGACAATGAGGGGGAAATGAGGGATCATTGCTGTGAAATAGTGGGTTTCAGAAACTAATTTCAATTATACAACTGAAAGTTTCCTGGCAATAAAAGCCAGTTTCATGACACGACACCAGTGACAGAAAATCTCTGCAAACAAAACCAGATTTGCCAGTGCAAATACACTGCATGCAATTAACAGAACACATGCGAATTTGCAGATATGCACGCAGCTCTCACATATGTGAACAGTCATGATGGTGTATGTGACTCAACACAGACATAAGCCACATGCTGGGCTAAATATGGACTATGTACGGTATCAGATTTGATAATGCAAAAATGATTATTCAAAGCTTTACCACCACATTTTACAAATACAGACTAAGCAAATGACATATATGTGAAGCCACCGAGATATACGTATGTTTAATGTTCTTTCCAGCCTCCTGTTCTTTCTTCATACCACGTCAGACTACAGGCTTTTAACCCTCTGAAAGCATAAGGGCACTTGCGCTTGACAGACAGCTCACTCTAGTTCACATTAGTCTTTTCTTGTAGAGGGATGACTTGCCTGTTCCCATCCATGAATTGATGACTCACATTCAAGCATTGAACAGGCCTATCTTACTAATGATCTGATGTGAGAATTGGGAGATACAGCAATATAGCCTTTAGTGTTGGGATGCAATGAATGAGAGTGCTTAACAAAGTGAACATTAACACTGGAGGTTGGATGGAGGTTCAGAAAAGAATATTGTTGCTAGTATCATTATTATGAGTGTGCGAAAAACAAAGTAAACTTAACTGACATGACACAAATAGTATGTGAACAACTTTACGAGTAGTGTTATAAATCTAGTGTCAACTAAATGTCAATTTTGATTGGACAATGTTCAATTTACACATATAAACTACATGTCCAGTACTATTCTATGTCTGTATTAGGGCTGCACAATATTGGGAAAGCTGTTATTATAATTTTTATCTTATCTTATTTTGGCAATTAATGAATAGACATGACAATCTATCTATCTATCTATCTATCTATCTATCTATCTATCTATCTATCTATCTATCTATCTATCTGAGGTCATACTTGTTCTACCTCTGTATTCGTTGGTATATTCCTTCTTTCAGCAATGGGTATCAAAATCTTGATAAGATTTTTTTTCTGTTGTAAGTTGTGTTGTTAAAATCTGCTTGTAGGATCGGACCACATCCTGAAGTTTGAGACAATAGCTGACATGACCGCTGATGATTGGCGAGTACGAGCGTTGCGCGCCCTCGCTGTGTAGTGTGTTGTCCTATTCATATGTAAATGAACCGTCATATATACCTAGTACATGCCCCGTCGGAGCCGCACTGAAGAGCCCAGCCTCCTGCAAGCTTTGTCGGCCGCAGGGATCACCCGGCCATCTGTCCCATTGACAAACTGTAACGGCTCTTTGGATTACGCTCCAACCTCCAATCCTGTGGGTCTGTGGCAGCGCCTGGGTTAAACTTCAACAACATGGCCCCCATCCGTAACACCACCAACGGAATGGACAGAGGTGAAAACTGCAGTGGGATGAAATCTGACAGAAAGGTAAAGAAAAGTTAGCTTTGAAAACAGTATTTCTGTTGACCCTGGCTTCATACTGACGAAGTAACTCAATCGTTGACTGTTTTGGCAGATGAGGAAACCTCTGGTCGAGAAGAAAAGGAGGGCTCGCATCAATGAAAGTTTACAAGAACTCAGAGTTCTCATCGCTGATGCAGACGTAAGTTCTGGTTTCTCCAGTGTAAGGCCTCTGTTGCGTGTGGAGTGGGTCTTTAAAATTAACATGATTGACGTCTTGTTGAAGATTGTTCATGCTGCAGTAGCCTGTTGCTTATGTTTATCTTGTCACTCGCTGCAGATTCAATCAAAGATGGAGAATGCCGAGGTGCTGGAAATGACAGTCAAATGTGTGGAGAGCATCTTACAAAACCGGGCACAAGGTAAATATACATGTACAATAACGTCAGAGCACACCATGAAGCAAGATCTATGAATATTTAAAACTTAAACTTACCCCAAACAAGGAAACCACCTTAAATTATTCCTCCGCTGAACCTTATAGTCCCATTAATTTAGACAATAACAGTCAGCGCAATAATATCCAATTAACTGTAATGCGGCTGAGGTTTTCAATTATTGTCTAACTCTGAAACTAATTTATGTTTTATGTAATGTTTCTGCAGAAGTGGACGCCGTGAACCGAGAGGCCTGTGAGCGGTTTGCCGCCGGCTACATCCAGTGTATGCACGACGTTCACACGTTTGTGTCCAGCTGTCCGGGGATTGACACCACAATAGCCGCGGAGCTGTTGAACCACCTCCTGGAGAGCATGCCCCTGAACGACGAGGACTGCCTCCGGGTGATGCTACCGGACACGGCGACAGAGTGCCTCGGCAGTAACAGCACTTGGGCCGTGCCTGAGAGCATGTACACGTCCCTGGTGTCCCCAGCTCCCTCAACCACCTCAAGTGATGACCTCTGCTCCGACTTGGATGAGACGGACTCAGACCAAAGTCATGTTTCTTCATCAGAAGAGGCAGACAACCAGGATATGTTGAGCCTGCCTCCCCTAACGTATTCCAAGTCTGTGTGGAGGCCATGGTAGATCATTTGAATAGGAAGCCTGTTTGAAACCACAGTAGATGATCCAGTGCTTTGTTTTAGGTTGTTTTTGTGGAGTAGGCCTCAGTACATGGCAGAGTCATTGCTGAGATTACTTTTTAAGCTGGTGAAAGGCATCTGAGAAGCTCTTTGTGTAATTATTTGGAATCAGCCGTTAACCATAACTGTATTTAATAAATAAACTATGTAATAAGACATGTGGGTCTTCATTTTGAAGTGCATTGGCTTTGTACGGGCCTGCCTTCAGAGAAGGGTTGAATGCATTTGTATATATTTTCTTGTTATACTTGACTGAGCTGTATAGACGATAGCTGTCACACTAGGAATTAGTTGTATGTAAATTATTTCTAAGGTAGGACGTCTTAAATGGTGTATTTATTAGTGATTGTAAGAAAGTCAAATCAACTGCTACATTTCAACTTTTCAATAAATATCCTTTCAGCAAATAACTTGCATTGAATTATTTGTACAGCAAGGAAGCCACATTTCACACACTAGGAACCCACCATCCACCCACCCACTGCTGTTTGCAAGATATTAGTTATAACTCTGCAATTGTGGACCATTTGTGTGCACTCCCTCTCCAAGATCCCTTAGCACATCGTAGGCATTTGTGAGGTGTGAAATGAGTAATCCACTCACTCCTTATATAGGCCTAGTTGAGGGCTTGACAAATGGGTTTTATAACTCTGCCTGACTTCAGCTCTTTTGATGGTACAGTTAAAAATAACATGGGAACTTGCACAGTAATGAAACTGGGCTCTTAACCAGTATTGTTTAGCACTCTTCTTATCAGCCCATCACTTTGTAGGCGTATTGTTTGGGAGGTTTTCGTTTTATTGTTTTGTAGCCCGCTAAACTGTGTGGTAGAACTCCCTCGTCTTTGCCTGATGTAGACGTGCCCGGAATAAAACAAATTAACCATCTTACATGACAGGAAATTTCATATTAAATGTGTAGGCCTTGAATGATTATTTTAGAAAATTTATGACAAAATGGAGTTTTTCTCAAGCTGACTCACAGCAGGGGTAGTCTGTCTTCTCAGACATGACCTCTGTAATCCTGGTGGGAGCCCCAGACACTGACCATCCTCTGCACCATCAGCTGTAACAACCACTAATAAATAAGAAAAGGAAGCAGCCTTAATTCATGTCTAGTCAGATCCCTCCTCTGCTCTTCCTCTGATGTCCTCTGCAGAGTGACAATCCTAACACCATTCGCCTGACTGAGAGGCCTTTGGTTAAACAAAAAAAGATTAACAAAGCCTTAGACTTAAGTGAAGTGTTAATCCTGGGAGGCATTGGAAATAAAATAGGTACTTAATTCACAATAAGTGTTATCCCCAGATGGTTAACAAAAAAGCTGGATGCGACCATAGCATATTTACAAAAACCCAATGGAAAGATGGGATAAGACTGAGCCCAATCTCATAAACTCAAGTTACAGTGGAAGAAACCTTGAACAGAACCCAACTCATGAAAGACAGTCTTCTGCCGCTACATTATTGAGTTTAGGGAGGCGATGGAGGGAGATGCAGAAAGAGAGAGATGGAGTCCAAAGCAGTAGGGATCCAGAGGAAGCTAAAGCATGATGGAGCACAGGGACTCAAGGACAGGGCTGTCAGTGACTCTAAAGGGACAAATACAACTTTGGAGTACCAGAGCTTCTACACTATTGCTGCCCAGTGGGGGGGTGCTGTGATCCATAAGCATCCATATTACTGAACTGTCCTCTACAACCACCAATCAAACGAATAAACAGATTATAATGGTACCTCTGGTTTTCAACAGCTCTTTTTTAATATCTCAATCTAATACTTTCAACAACACTCACAGGTTTTACCAATTTAGTCATCATCTAGTAACGATTTCATCACTATTTCATTCACTTATTATCGTCATGATATCTTGTCAAAACTGAACCAGATCTCACGATCGTCTTGCTTTAGTAGACAGAAAGAGACAGAAGGACGTAGACGCTACCCACAGCGGAACCTTAATGTCTTGTATCTGTAGAAGACCGGATTTGCGGATCCGCAGAGGTGTGAAAGACCGCTACGGGGGGGCACTTTGTTGATTTTCGCACCTCGTCCTCAGCTCGGACCAGATCTGAAGGTGTGAACGGCGGACAAAGGGGGATGGGCCGGGGTCGCTCTGATCAGCCTGCCGAGTCATGGACGGTCTACAGAGGTGAGACAATTGTCTCTAGAGTTGGCTAGACATCCGATGGAGAGGTGAATGTCACGACTCCAGGACGACCTACAGAAAATTGAATAATACTCATATGTTTTTATTTGACAAATACTTAAAAAGATATTAAGTCCCTTTATCATCTGTTGAAGTAGCCTATCTGCAATCACCAGAATGAGGTCAATCCTGGTAGTTTTTCTCCTCTATTTGATTTAGTACAATAGGGATAACTACTTTGATTTGACCTGCTGTAAACAGGTAATCATTTGCAGTCTCTTATAGCTTCTCATCAGCCCATTAACGGCTACTTTCCTCAATGAGTCCAATATTTGTTGAATTCAACTGAATGCTGAAAACACACTTAACCTCACTGTGAATTAGGCAACAATTTATTTAGAGAATTTTTTTTACAAACATAATAAAAATAAAACACAATAAAGCTTTAACATATTCAATAATGTCTAACAGAGATATGCAGTTAAAACAACAAAGAGTGATAACAAATTCAGGAAATGTTCAAGTAGCAGAGAAAAGCGACGTTTCATCTGACTTCACAGCAGAGGCTTCAAAGCCAAACACAGTCTCCTGACATCTGTGTGAGCTGCTTTATACCCGTGCAATAACCCTAAACTCTGACTTCTGAAGCGAGCACGCTGTTTGTTCTGAACAGCAATGAGCTTCACTCACTTCCACTGCATCCTCTTTTCCATATTTATGAGGACCAACATCAGACCAGTTTAAGTGTCATGTGCCACACATTCATGCAAGGGAAGTCACCATCATTCACCCTGCTTTAACAGAAGCCCACCACAAACTTTTCTCATTATTTACAATTCGTGGTGCCACTCATAGACTCACTTTGTTAAAAATGTTATTTACAGAAAATATTATAAGTCTTGGTCCTGCTGCCTGTTTGAGCTGGGTCATTATAAGTTAAAATCTCTAATCTCTTCACACAGGGAAAAGCATTGCACAGAAAAATATATATGCTCTGATATGGAGACAAAAATTCATAAAAGCATCAAATGTGATACATAAAGTGTTTCTTAAACTGAAAATGAGGCATCCATATAATTAATGAGTGAAACTGAGAGTGTCACAACTCATATTGAAAATAAAAATGCTGCACACAGATGAAGCATGCAGAGTTTTGAATGAATTTTACAACAAAACATGAGGGGCTAGAGTAAACCTAGCTCACAGTTTGTGATGCTTCAGATTGTCTTTTTCACCAGTGTTTTCACCACCTCCATCCTGCTCGAGAACAGTAACAGAAGTACAAGGGTAATACCATTTTTAGCTACCTTATGTGTTATCTTCCAACATTTCCAAAGGAACAATAGTTCTGTTTTCCGATATTTAAATGATACTGACCACTATGATAATAGTTAGAAAATCAACCAGCCGAAAGCATATCTTACAGGACAAAAGTGACCTGACTCCGGCTAGCTACAAAATGCTGCATAAATGTCGACTCATAAATATTTACCATCAATGTGAGGTGGTGAAAACCTGTTATTTGTTTGTCTTTTATTTCCTTCTGCAATGCCACAAACTTATTAGTTAGTTAGAGCAAACAGAGCAGGCCTGCAGGAGTGTCATTTTTTGTCCTGTGCAGTCTGTGCACAGTGTTCTTCATTTGCAGCTTGATGATTATGGATGTCTCCACCTGGTCTCACCACATGCTAACATAGCAGTGCTGAGAAAATTGACTTCACAAAATGCTGAATGGATTCATTATCTGCAACAGTCAGAACCCCACAAAGCCGTTCCCCGAAACCTCCAGCTGGTTCATGTTTGTTTGACCTGCTGCCCAGTGTATGAGCGCTCCCTGTGTCTTCTCTATTGGGCCCTACAAATCTTCATCAGTGCAAAAACGCTTCAGCAATGTGCTGCTGACTGATCAGTGCTACAAGGATATGAAGGTTGCTATCAATGAAAACATCCCTCTGGTGCAACTTAAAAGTACGTTTGAATGAACTGAAGTATAATTTTAATGACCACGTTGTAACCAAGTCTTGACTGTCTTAGTCAGCTTTTCTGACATCCAAACAGATTCATTAATAAATAAAATTAAAAAAACAGAAACAGCAAGACAACAAAAGTGATGAATTCTGTGTGGAGAGCAAAGGGCCTGTTTTCTGATTCATTTAAATTAAGTCTCTTGTCACAGTTTTGCAGAACTAGAGGCTGATAGGAAACAAGAGTCTCTGAGAGTCTTTAGCATTTCACTGCTGTGCTGGTTATGCCTGAGAATCAGCAGACAGGCTGTGGCAGGAAATGACTAAAGTGTCTGTAGGTTCATCCCTAGTCCTCTGTCGACAGCTGACATCCCCTGAATCTGAATCGCCGATGTCCAGGTCTGGCTGATCCTCCTCTGCTGCTTCTAAGGTGTCTTCACAGCAGGAACACACCTGGTGAGTAAAGATTTAAATATGAAGATGAGAAAGAGGAGTACATCATGTCATTTTACAGCTGAGTTACAACAAAGAACAGAAATGGATCTTGAATTAAAAACATGTGACTCTACCTTCACGTCCAATGCTTTTGGCAGACTTCTCTTTTTTATCCAGGGGTGGACTTCGATCAGCTCTTTTTTCTGCTCCTCTGAAAAGCGCGGCTGTCTTTTCTGCAGCAGCCTGAGCTTCTCTCTATCTTCTCTGAGCACTCTCTCAATGTCACTGCAGAAACAGCATACACACACATATACATGACTCAACACTTTTATTGATTACAATCTGGTAATAAGAGGGTTGGATAATATAAACACAAAAGTGGAAAATCTCTGGCTGTCAAAATTACTAATGAATAATCTTGAGATAACCATCCCTAAACTTCAGCTCCCAAAGTGCTGATAACTTGCCTACAGGTGGCTATCAGCACTTGTTGATGTAAAAGTGCCATCTAGTGGTAAGAAAGAATGACTACACAGACCAACCATGTGGAGACGCACACTGATCCTAGAATCTTTAATTGACAGTAAAGCAGTACAGTTTAAAATAACATAGTGTACAAAATAAGACAGTAACAGTGCTATGACTACGATCACATCTCTGCAGCCCACTGTGACTCCACTTTGAGATGTGAGTGTAGCCAGCGGGCAGAAAACACTGCAGTGAGAGGAGGCTCAATACTTAGTGTGGACTTTCTTCACTACACCGAGTACAGTACAACAGGTATACAATGACTCATACACACAAAGACTATCTGGTGTAAATACAATGCACTTTAGTATCTTAGCGTTTTTAAAAGAGGACAATGTGCACAGTTAAGCTGTTCCATGTTTTCTGCTGCCTGATCGTACACACATTCTCCACGGTCCAAAAAGGACACCTGCTGCACTAATTAGAAACAGAAGACACCCAAATGCAAACTCTGCCTTCTGTAAAAACAAAGGTTACTAATCCAACAAACATTTGTGCCTACGAGGCATCTATCCTACTTCTCACAGGCTGTGCCACTGTCCTCCTACTCACCGCGAGGGCAGCTGATAGGTCATCATGACATTGTCATCAGCGTTGGCCGTCAGCAGCCACAGCGGGTCATGTAGTACACACTTAAAGTTTTCACTCTGCTCCATTTCCAGCTGTTGTCCATCATTGCTGCTCAAGTGACCTTTGACCCTCTGGCTGTTCTGGGACGAGTCCACACTGCCAAAGTATTTACTGCTGTTGTGGCTTCCTGAAGGAGCACATAGATATAGGGTTTTAAAATCTTTGAAACACTGTTAATTTAAAAGATCTTGCTAGAGTGGTGTCTGGGAAACTTTTCTAGGATTATATACAATATTCTTTAAAAGTAACATCTTAGAGTATGTGTTTCAATTCAAACAGTTCAAGAACAGCCTTCAAAAGATAGCAAGGGAGGAAAAGTCTATAAATATGAGGCCATCCTTGTGTTGAATCATCAATAAGTTTGAGACGGAAAGACAGACCACCCTTCTCTGCTTTTAAGGTTGAGCTTAAAACTTTTCTTATTAAATAAAGTTCACAGTCAGGCTGACTCAGATTTGGATGAGCTCCTAGTTATGCTGCCATAGGCTCATTATATTTAGTGATTTGCTTGTCTTTTATCTTTTATCTCTTTTACCTCTATCTTATCTCTGCTTTACTGCCTTTTTAGCTTTTGTTATACTTATAGTCTTTTCTTAATTAACCTTTTAGGCCTTTTATTGTTTTATCTCTTGCTCATTTCTGATGTTCTATTTTATCATTACTATTATTATCGTAATTACTTAATTTTTTTATTGTTATTAAAATTGTCTTTTATATTTACTATTCTGTTTTATGCTTCATCCCCTTTTATTGCATTTTCTTTTTCTTCATTATTTCATGTTTTTATTTTGGTCCTCATGATCTCATTTTATGTTGCATTGTTCTTGTATTGTCTGGGTTCCTTGTGACATGAAAATGGCCCTCTACCATTTTAACTGGGCTTTTTGTTTTATTTGTCTTTATTTATATGTGCCTTTTGACTCTTTGTCAAAGCACTTTGTAAACTTCTGTTTTTAAAAGTGCTATAAAAAAAATAATAAAAAAAACAACCCCAAAATAATAATAATAATAATAATAATAATAGGCTTTTTACAAACCCTCCAAAAAAACTTGAACAGGCATGTTATGTACATTTTTGTGTTTTTTTTTTTTTACAGATATGACTGCACTTGTTTTTCAGTCATTCCTGCTCATTTACTGCAAAGGATGTAAAAGGAGACCATTATTTATCATTTCCATAAAATCTGCAACAGACCTGTGCCACTGCCAGAGGTCCCGCTTGCTGAAGCTGCACTGGCTGATGTCCTGCTCTTAGATGTCCCACTGTTAGATGTCCCGCTGGCTGAAGTCCCACAGCCGTTGGACCTTGAGCCCATGGACCCCGAGGTGGCAGAGCCGGTGCCTGAGCAGGAGTCCCCATGCAGAATGATGTCTAACATGTCACTGGATGAAGAGTTTACGTCACTGTTGTTGCCATCCCCACGGGAACTTGCCTGCAAAACATAACAGCAGTGCTGTTAAAGAGGAGTGTGACCTCTCAGCTCTCGCTGACAGACCATATTTAGTTCTTTCTCCATCTCCCGCAGTTCATAAAGAAGGCAGGAGCAGTATCATTGGCTGTGCTGCATCTCGCATCTGACATTTTTGACTCAGCAGGGAGTGTATTTCTTCAGCAAATATGGAAAATTTTTCATCGACCAAACCACTTAGTACACAAAACGATCAGATTAGTAGAGCAACACCATAAGGCTGAGCAGAGTTAGAAACACGTCAGTGATCCTGATCCTTCTGCTGCTTCTTTAAAGTAAGGCAACTCATTCAAAAAGAGCACAAACACTTAGTGCCATGCAAAATCCAAGAGTATGTATGCATGCATGCATACATACAGTACAGTAGTGTACCAGAGGAAGGGTTCAGTTTTACTTTAAGGACATTTACTAGTAACTCATACAACATTTCTTTTATCAGATTATGTCCCTTTTAACTCCTCAGTCTCGCACATTATAAGCTTTAAAATTCTGATTATAAGTCATGAAAAGGAAAAAGTTACAGTTGTAATTGACAAATGGAATCAGGGAGGAATGGGATTGAAAAAGTGTGGAGTTTTTCTGATGATTTGCCTACCTCTTTGTTGTAAGCCCTCAGTCTAGAGCACACTTTATCCCAAGAAAAACGCTCACAGACACAGGGCGTGCCCTCGTAATACAAGGGTCCTGGTGGACCAAGGAGACTGAGAGATGGCTAAAGGGTGTAAGGGATAATAACATCATGTGTTAACACCCTGGGCCACATTTCATGGGAGGAGTCTAGGCTGATTTGACTTTGTTCATGGCATAATAATACAATGGCAATACATTTTATCATTGTCGGTTATACTGAGGAGTCATAGTGACCACGGCATCAAACCCGGAGAGGGTTGCGGGACATCTGACTGAGTATCTTAGAGGAACATGACTGCCTACCGAAGTTCCAACAACCCTCAATCATGAGGTTAAGGGATATTCTAAAATATTGAAAGGGACATTTCCCTTTTACTGTTTCAGGACTATACAGGTGAAGAACATCAATCGTACACTTTGGGAGACTTTGGGGACAAAGGACAGTTGAGGAATCAAAGGGTGGTTTGCTTCCTTGTTTACCTGCTTCAGCTCTCTCTCCTTGGCCTGGCCGCCACTCGCTCCTTTCTCCCTTTCATTCGTGTTGTTCCCTTGTCCTCCAGAAGAGAGCGCAGTGCTGTCCTGTCTGTCCACAGATAGCTCCAGCTCAAGCAGGTTCAGTGGAGAGCTACAGCGAGACTGGAAGAGGGGTGGTGATGCCGGGCCTCCAACTCCTCCTGACTGTGGTGTTGAGGAGCGAGACTGGCCTTCCATGGGGGGTTTCGGGGTTTCGGAGGGTGGAGGGTAGCAGAACAAGGGGGCAGGGTGGCTTGCTTGAGTAGGGTATTGGTTCCTGATGTTGGGCTGGTTCTGAGAACTGAAAGACGGTGGACCTGCATAGGGGACTTGGCCCGGAAAAGGAGCTTGACAGAAAGGCTGTGTTTGTATGAAGAAGCTGCTAGGCTCTGGGTGGTACACTGGCTGAGGTGGTGGCAGTCCAGTAGCCATTGGAGGATACACATAGTTGGGTAGCACTAGAGCCATGATGGGGGTGACCATGGGGGTGCTGTAGGGTGCAGAATGGATGGCCGAGGGGCAGGAAGGGGCCTGGGTGCCCTGGTTGACTCCAAGTCCTTGTTGAGAGGCATCTGCGCAAGGGGCTCCTGAGCTTGCTCTTGGATAAACCTGGAGCGGGTAGCCTGGCATGACGGAGGTGTAGGGCATGGGAAATGTCGACTGTGAGGTGTCAGAGCGGGACCAAGAGGTGGGGTTGAGGCCATGGTTTAGGAAAGGAGGCCTCAGGTGCTGTTGTCTGTGATGGGATACCGTACTGTCCGAAGACTCCACCTGCTTGGTTCGCTTCGACTTGGTCCTCTTATTCCGTGTACCCCGCCGTGGAGTGGGCCCTGCAGTTCTTCCTCCCTGCTTACAGGATGGAGTAGGAGGTACAGCTGCAGGTTGGAAGGAAAAAAAACAGTCGTTTAGGAATGGTGATTATTATTTTTAACTTTTTCCCAGATATGCCATTTAATCAAAACATGAATCTAATTGATTTTGTTTTTGATATAATTTTCCTCTAAGTAATTGCAGAAATCTGTGCCAGCAGTAACATCCCAGAAACAAAGGTTAATGAGGGGAATTGCAGTCAAAACAAGTGAAAATGTACATGCATCTGTCTTTGCATTGATGTGGCTGCCTTGACAGATACTTGTTTTTAACTTAGGAAAAATAATAACACTTCAGTTGTTACACACTCTCCATATCCTTTAAAAGGTCTTTGATATAATCGGTCACTCTTATGGACAGAGTTACCGTTGCTGGCGGTCTGTTCTCTCTGGCGCTGCAGGTACTGAGAGCAGTTTGCTTTGAGCGCCGTAAGCCTGCGAAGCTCCCTGAAACGATACAGAAAGGCCTGTTCCTCCTTCTGAGTATGGGCGGCCAAAACCTGCTTTGTCAACCCAAGCTTTTTATAGGACTCTCTCTCCTGACTGGGTGGTGAAACAACCGAAACAGGACCCCCGATGTAGAGGCTCGGCTCCGCTGTCTCTCCTATAACTGGGACGTCTTCAATAATCTCTGTGTGGATGACAACAGTGGAACAGCATTAACATATTGTGAAGCAACAAAAAATGAACTTCTGATATAAACCTTACGCACAAAAGCAGTGACAATGACAAGAGCATCACATTAAGCGACAAAAGTTAAGCGTCAGGCCTGTAGTACTTGAGACAGTTTTATATAGTAGACGTGCCCCAATAATTGCATTATTTGGTGTTACTAATTGGGTCGAACGTTATTGCAAGGATGTGATACGTACGATACGATACGATACGATACGATACGAAACAAAACAAAACGATATGATACGAAGCAAAACTAAATGTTACGAAATGAATCGATACAATAAGATATGAAATGAAACAATACCATACTAAACTAAACAATACGATTTGTGGTATTTGCGAAGTCGATTCACTACAACACAATAAGATACATTTAACTGTCGTACTGCACACATAATTCTGTAACATTGAATAAAAATCCAATCCGGCAAACGTGAATCTACATGTACGGAGCGCAGCTGTTTTGAATCGTGAGAAGACTTTAAATTTTCTTTGCGCATCGATATACCCGACTACAAAACCTGACGCAGACATGAATACACACACTAAACACACACATAGATTCAGAAGAGAGGGCATGTACAGTGCTCTGAAAAACCATTTGCTTCATCCTGATTTCTTCTATTTCTGCTTATTTGTCACACTGACATACTTTAGATCTTTAAAACGAAAAAAGGACCAAAAAATATTTATCATAAAATAGTCGAACAGTTAACAATGCCTATCTCACCTATTTATCATGTTTTAAGAGTTGTTCCCTAAATCCATGAAACTATAAGCTCATCAGTGCATTTACGAAAAAACCTGTGTCTAGTTTTCTCTAAAGATCTAAAATCTTTGCATGACAAATGTGCAACAATAGAGGAATCAGGTTGAGAGCAAACACTTCTTCACAGCATTGTACCTGACTCTGGTTGAGGTTTCTTGTCCCCAACATGCACTATGGTGCTACTGTAGCTACACTGGCTGGTTATGGACACCACACTTTCTGGCTTGTTAGGTACAGGTAGGGGCAGCGAGGTGCCCACTACCGCTGTGGTTGCGTCACTGGACTTTTTGTCTTGATCATCCAAAGCGGAGAGACCAGATTGATCCTTCAACAAGGCTGGTTCTGCCAAGAGAACAGAAAAGTAGATATTCTGACAAGGAGCCGGCAGAGTTCAAAGTTGGAAGGCGTTAAAAGGCTGCAGCTTTGTATGATGAGGTGAAAAAATGACTGTATATCTTAGCCGTACCTTCAGACACTTGCATGCTGTTTGGTTCATTCTGTTTGCAGTCGTCCGAGTTGGATGACGTGGTGTTGGAGGAAGATTGGCACTTCCTCTTCATGGTGATGGGAACATTACAGCTCTCCAAGTACCTTTGAAAAGAAGAACACCACAATAGTCAGATTAATCTGTGAAATATTAGCAACTTGCCCTCTGAAGGAGTAATGAGGTCTCATACCGGACAACAGCCTTCACTCAACCTACCTGACAACACTGTCCAGACAGCTGATCTGCTGGTAGGAGTAGATGGTCTGATCATTGAAGGCCATCTCCTCCTGAAGAGAGGACCTGCTGTTCTCCTCACAGCAGTTCTCCCGAGGGTTGAAAGAAGCTGCCGAGTCTTTGGGCCGAACCACTGCTGGGCTCTTCTGTACGGACTCTACTGGGGGGGAGGCCATGAGTTAGATAAGCTCAATTACTGAACAATTTACTACAAGCTGCTTTGACTACCCCTAACTTTGACAAGTATTTCCACAAAATAATCGTATTGTTATTGACTGGACTTACTGCTGTGGCTTTTCTTGTCTGGTTTGCCCATCTGCTGCTCCTGGCTCTTCTGGAGGTGAATTCCTTTACAGATTTCCTGAAATGTTCGCTTTAAAAAGAAACACAAATGTCAGTACGACACCCGCTGAAGTAAGTGGGACACTGGGGTGTTACATCTGAAAGGCTGAGGGATCATTTTCTTTAATATCTTTACAGTAGTAAGACCAAATTCTGCAGTCTTAACTCTTTAGTGGATGGATTTCAAAGGTACTCACAGGTCTGGCTTTGCTGCTCATGTCCTCTTCTTCTAGTTGCAGTTTGCACCTGCTTCCCTCTTGAAGGCTCTCATTAGAGGAGGTCATGCTCAGAAGATGGTCGTTTCTGGTGAGACTGCCGTAACCACTGGACCCGCTGTTATGAACAGGCTGTTTAGAGATGAAGAGATAAAAAAATAAAGACAGTTTCATGTTTCAGGATCTCTATCTTCCTTCAATAATCCACACCTTCATTTCCTTAGGGTCTCAAAACAGTGTAATATTATCTAAATGTTTACATCAGATATGTCATTTAATTCCTCATTGCAAGTTTTTTTCTTTACATTAAATCAAAATCATAATATACTATTATATGAACATGTCCTTGATAAGTATGCCTCGTCATCCACCCTCACCTGTAACAGCAGCCGATGGATCTGCTCAGTAACCTCCTGAATGTCGGTGTCCATGCTCTTCATCTCTCCGTGAGGGGAGGTTGGGGCCATAAAAACATCCTCATTCACAGGACCCCTAACAAACAAAAAAAACAACATGTCAGCAAACTGGGATACATCAAACTACAGTTTAGTCATGTCATGGCCTTGCTCCAGCGCTCAAATCTTTATTCACCAAGCAGCTTTCAGCAACACCTCACATTGCCTAGGTTATACTCACATCCGCACTTTGTGTCTCCCAATAACAAAGGAGACTTTGCGACTCCAGGGGTTGACAAAACTGGACCAGCTGGTGTCTAGAATGACGTATTCTCCATTACGTGCACAGAACCGGATAGACGAGTGATCGAACGGCTGACCAGCATATTGAAGAACTGTAGAGAAAGACAAAACGGTGGAGTCAGATTATAACTTCCTGTGAAGACATAAGAAGCTTCATCTTCATGTGTTTATAATTCTGCTGACTCACTCTTTCTGTGAATGGCCAGCATGATCGGTCTGTCATTGGGATGCAGGTGTAGGAGGACCGGCGTGCCGATCAGGTCCTGGGGGAGGTACCCGAGGAGAGGGACCGCTCTGAGTCACACAAAAACACAAGAAAATCAGTCAGTTTGCTGACAGGGAACTGCACCAACACTAGTGTCTTCAGACGGCTGGTTAAACAGTGGGGATATACTCAGGCCTGAGCTTACCTCTCATCCACATCCTGAAACACGCAGCTGGGAGTGTGTGTGGTTGTGAAGATGCGTTTGTCTGTGGGAATTCTTGGTGCTTTAAAAGAAATTAACAAAAAAAAGTCAGTTTACTATCTTAAGTGATTTTTTTTATACTAAAAAATGCATTTTTAGATTTTGTATATTAAGACTTTTAATATCTGGCACTTTTAATTGGGGTTAAAAAGATAAAGTTGTGATCTAACATTTATTTTAAAACAACCTTTATAATCAAATCAAATACTAGATTTTTTTTCTGTTCTCTTTCTGTCTAAGTAGTTTAAGGATGATTTTTGTATCATAAAGACTTATTCTTACCATCATAACCAGAGTGAACTCTCTCAGCCAGCAGCAGGCAGCAGAACTGGTCTTCAGCGTGGACTGTATCCTGAACCTTCATTAGATAGGGGGTCATGCGGAAGGGGAGGTACTGGAGCTCGCTCTCGCACTCTTTACCACCACTAGAAATGAATTTAAATACAGTGTTATCACATGTTTTTTCACCATGAAAGATATTTGTTCACATTTTTGGACTTTTATTAAATGATCACAAGGGGGCAGTATTGAGCTATTTTTCCAGCTACTCTATGTTTCTTTTTTGTCTTTCCAAATGTCAAAAAAATGCTTTTGGGTTAATGTGGGTGTGAATTTTTCAATTATTTGTGGATTATAAACATCAAAAGTGAATAGTGATGACTCAGAAACATGCAAGAATGAGGTTTTGATTAATAGTAGTGTTTTAGATTTAAACTAGAAGGATAACGTCAAAGGAAGGTCCTTACAAGTACAGTAAACGGTGCGTGTGGGTGTATTTTAATATGTATGACATTGCACTGGAAAAAGCATCTGATTACACTTCACAAGCATATGATGTCACAAACTAATTGAAAAACATCTAGAGTGGATCGACGGCATGAATAAAAACTACAAAGAGGTACGGGCAGCAGATGGCTCAACACCATGTTTGACCCAAAATTACCCACCTGATACGGCAAAAGAAGGACTTCTCCTGCATGCAGTCCGACGGGGACGTCTCTGAAACGAGAAAAGGGGAATGTTTAATTCAAATGCAACACAATCCCACCAAAATCTCCTCAGGATATTCGCTACATGCAGGTGATCTGGCTTTGATTATTTCCACAAAAAACATGACTCAGGACGACAGGCTTGCATTTTCCATTGACTGTAAAGGCGTGGTTGAACAAAGGGTGAAGTCTGAATCTCATGCGCAAACCAAAATATTTCCAGGCAAATCTGGGATAAACCACAACAGCTCTGCATCTAATGAATATGAACATTTACGGCAACAGACAAGTCAACCTGAGCCTTTTTGCTTCAAAGTGGTAAGAAAATCACAAGCTCCAAAAGTATCTTGAGTTGTCCCAGTTTTTTGTTTTTCAATAAACTTCAACAGCTAAGACAGTTTTCCTGTTTTATAGTTTTGTTTTTTTTCACTTTAACATCTGAAAGTTCAGTCTGTTCCACACAGAATGATTTTTTTTTTCTATGAAGGTTAGGCTCAGGTGAACATGAACTAGAGGCACCATGTGCTGCACTGAATATGTCATGCTCATTGAAGTCCAGCTGGTCCCTTAAAAGACTTTACATCAACAAGTTGTCTGTACATTTCACAGTCTGTGTAAACTAGACAAACTTTGATTTGTCATTAAATTTTAAAAGCAAAGTTTGTCTTTGAGATGCATATTAAACACATGCAATGTCACTTTTGAGCAGCAATCCCTCTAATATAGTTGTTTTTTGCTTTCAACCATATATGGATAGTCCAAATCACTCTTGAAATATCATGTGATGATTTTCCCTACTTTGTGTGAAATTAAGATCAGTGTAAATGGTGGAATTGAAGAGTAATAATGTGTCAGAAGCCATCTTTCTTTAAACTTTATACAATAATCCTTTAACTCTACTTCTGTGATCGAGGATTTCCTCTTGAGAATAAGTGATATCATGTGTTTAGGGAGTTGTGTAGCTGCTGCACATGTACCTGCTCCAGTGCACATGCTCCAAGAGGGCAGGCGGTACGGTGTTGTAAAGCTGTAGAACACACTGACATCCTGCGGCGTGAGAAACTCAACAAATTTAGTGTTCTTGAACACATCCCTCTTGCAGTTTAGGATGGAGGCGGCCTGATCAGAGATGTAGACGATCCTTCCTGTGTTGAGGGACACTGCGACTGCAAAACTGTCCTGTTGAACAAAACAGGTTAAATCGCTTAGTTTTGGAGATTCAACATCAATAAAAGCATTCAGTGAAGGCAAACACAACAATCCCTCCATATGACTTCAACGAGTCAGTGACTCACATTGTTTTTGAGGTTGTATTCAGATGTTATGCTGTCGATTTCCTCAATCGTATAAGAGGAAACATCCAAGCCTGAGGGCTGGCTGTCATTGATCATCAGCAGCTGGTAATACTCTTCATTTGCTGCAGAAAACAGATTATATTTATTCTCTTGATGTCTGGTTGACAAATTGTTTACATGACTGAATGAATGGTCTGCAGATAAAGGTCTTCTGGAGGGAAAATACAAATGTACATGAGGTAGATATCAACACACTGTGAAAATCAGCGCTGATACATATGATGATGTTTAAAGTAAGGATTAGTTTTGCCATCTGAGTAATTTTCTATGTTGTATTTTTAAAATATACTGTGAAATTTGACACAAGTAAACAGCTAATAGTAGTCCCTCCTCTTAAAATGTCACTAGAGCAAGTTCGCCAGACAGCATCTTTCTCAAAGATGGTGTGGTAATCTCACACAGCTGTCACAGTCTCTCACAAATCAGTTTGTCTAAATCGATGACTTCTTCTGCCAAATAACAAAGCTCTTCTCTGAATATGAAGATATAATAAGTGTTTAATCTGAAGATATTTAGACTGTCAAAGCATTTATTTTCTCGTAAAAATGCCAAAAAATGTTCTCTCTTACATAGGAATTAAAGCTGTGCTCACAAAAAAGTACGCAAAAAGACTGGAGTTGTTCACAAAAGTAGACAGCTAAATAAAAACACTTTTAAAATGTGAGTCGTTGAAAATGTGAAGAGTTTAATCCTACCTTCCACTTGTTTGACACAGCGCAGCGCGTACTTAAGGGTGTTCAAAGTGCTGGACTTGTTATTGTGTCTCTTCTCAGAGGGGAGATGAAGCTTCAGCTCTTTCAGAATTTTTAACACCTCCTTCTGGGTCTTGGCTTTGGCCGACTCCTGACTACTGCAAGTTGCACACACACACACAAACACATGTGCAGAGGGGCAAGTCAGAAATGGCAACAAGAAAAGCAGTTCCTTCAAATCACATCAAATAAAAGAGAAGAATATACTTTTTGGTTTAGTATTTTGGTGCTAAAGGAAGAATTCAGGGTTTTCAGAATCATGGCAACTCGAATGGTCACTAACCTGCAGCCGCTGGTCGAGGGGTTGTCCTGCTCTGAGCTCAACAGACTGAAGGCGTTTGAGCTGCTGGGTGGAGATGGACTGTGGGAGTTTGAGCTGTAAGAGAAAGAGTCAAACATGTTGATTACATGAAAGAATCAATTTTTAATTTAGTCCTTACAGTGTAAATCAAAGTGAAAAAGATTCACATTCACAGTAAAGAAAAAAAATATGACTGAATGTCACGATTTTGTGTTCCTCTGAAGCACAAGCAGCACCTTCTCACCTGGCAGAGACACCTGACAATAACACAGTGCTCAAGTTACTTAAAAAAATAAATAAATAAAAAAAACGAGTCTGTGTCACCTCCCAACATGAGGTGTTGCTAAAGTGAACCTAAAAAAAGATAAGCGGATTTTAGCCTTAGTGGAATTGACTGGGGAACAATGCTCACACAGCTTCACCTCTCATTCAGCTGCCGGGCTACAAAGAAACCCCACTTCAGCTCTGAGGTCACTCTTACCTCCCTGAGGACCTGAAGTGCAAACCCAGCTCAAAAGATGCACAGCAGGAAGGTGCTAACATGCCTAGGCTAAGACTTCGGAGGCCCGAGTACAATGAGAAACGGGACACGGCTCGTAATTTTGGGGGCTCTCTTGGAGCTCTACAACAGTCGCCTGTCCAACCCTGAGCCCTTTAAGTCATTAAATGTTGAAGAAAATTGGAGGAAATGTATGACCTGATCCACTCAATGGCATGAGGAAGAAGGTAAAATGATAAGGAGGATGATGATGATGATGATGTGGTAGCCAATGCTTAACGGCAGAACCCTTCAAGACTACCTTGTCTGTTTGTTGCCATGATTACAAGGGCTGGGATGATATGCTTTTATCCCCAATTCAATTCTACTACGATTTTTTGGACGCTGATTCTATTTTCAATTCTACAATAATGTCGGTTTTCTTGATTTTTAGTCTGCATTTTTAACACCAGTGAAACTGTTGAATGATTATGATTATCTACTGACTATTTCAGGGACTATATTTCCTCAAAAAATACACATCACATGCAAGTCAGTTTTTTAGATTTCTTCTTAAATTTGGGGAAAAAAAAGATTTTTGAACATAAAAATCTATTTAAAAATTGAAAAACAAAAAATCGCGATACTTAAGTGAATCGATTTTATTTCCCACCCCTAATGACAGTCCAACTAGTGGATTGATAAGCAAGAACAGAGTCACCAGTCGAGATACGACGGCTAACATCCAGGTATCTGATTATTTAGAGCTTAATGGACATTAGATCAAAGCTGAGAAGTTTCGAGATGCCAGGACTGCGTGTATACTGAACAATGTATACTGTGTATGTGTGCGTGTGTGTGTGTGTGAGATCTGCTGCATTAACCTACAAGCTTAACACAATGCTAATACGTGAGAGTACTCCCATACAATGACTTACCACTGCACAGGTTACAATAACCTTCTTACTAGGCTTAATATAGACTGAACCTTTACAAATAGCTTCTCCAAGCACAATAAGGTTTAAAAGTCCTTAAATAGAGTCTTCATCATACAACAGCTAGTTATAGACCACACAGATTTAGCAGGACTTAGAGCTGGATTTAGAAACAGTTAATTGCAGTAGGTTAACCAATGGTGTAGAAGTAGAGTGTCTGAGTGTCATCCTCTGGCACTCAGTGAAGGTTAAAGTGAGAGAAGAAATAATACCTTGTAAGCAGAAAACTTTTTTAGTAAAAGTTTGGATTTTTCGGGGATGTTTCATTGCCGGTACTGCTGAACAAATCCACTAACTTTGGAGCATGTATTGATTTATTTTGTTATTGTAAAGTGGTAATAGGTCAGCAGTACTTGATGCCTATCTCTATAACACATTATAAACATATTTATAATATGTTATAATCATGTTATAGCACTGTATAGCTATAGTTATAAACATTCATAAATGATCATAATGCTTTATAGCAATAATTAAAACACATTATAAAGCATTTTATCATGACTTACAAGGTCAGGTATTATAATGTGTTATAACTGTTAACAACTCACTGACAATGCTCACATAGATAATGCAATGCAACTGTTGTTAACAGTTATAACACATTATAATACCTGACCTTGTAAGTCATGATAAAATGCTTTATAATGTGTTATGATTATTGCTATAAAGCATTATGATTGTTTATAACTATAGTTATACAGTGCTATAACGTGATTATAACACATTATACATGTATTTATGATGCGTTAAGAAAAGAGTTACAGATTATTTCATCAAACTGTGTCAGTAAAGTCCTCTGTTGTTGAGCTGACTGGATCCTAGACAAATCAATCATTTGTAACATGTTGCAAGGAGTGGGGGAAAAACAAACAAAAACTATTGAAGATCAAGACCTTCTGTTTTGATGGCATTGTTTTTGAAAAATTCTTGTATTATCTCTATCTTCTCAACCATTGATCATCTAATTTCAGTTTAACTTCAGCTGTAAAAATCAGCTCAGTTTTTGTAGAGTTCCAGGAACCAGGGTGCCATGCAGACTGTGGTTGAAATACAACTGAGTTACATAAATAAATAAAAGGTAGCGAGTCTACTTTAATCCAACGAGCTTTAGTTAAGACTATCAACAGCTGTGGGATACTGAGTCACCTCGACTGCATCTCAGGCAACCGTTTCTAGCCTACTTACCTGTCCAGGAATAGAAACCCTTTTACAAATAGCACAAGCAGGTATCCCGCCATTGGTGTTTGCCAGTTGGACAGCTGGTTTTAGACCGCACAGTCTTATCTTGTTCTAGTGATCAGTAGGTTAATTCATGTGATTGTGTTTAGTAGGTGAGTCGTGGAAACATGTTCCTAATAGAGACAGAGTCCCTGTTTAGGTTTCACCTCTACAGGACTGCTAAAGGGTAAGATCAGGGTAAGGTGGCCTTGCTTGATCAGAGATAGGCTGCGTGAACACTTGACCTCTTACCTCACTGGGTATATGTGGATATCTCATTACATTAAAGAGACAGGAATAATGCAGGTAATCATCTGCATATGAATGAGGAGAGGAAAGAGGAGCTACAAGCAGCAGAAGCCTCACAATCTGGTGTGTTTTTCCATCCTGTGTAATAATGACTATTAATGATACGACATGAAATGAGATGAAATTTAGAGTGAATCTGCGCACAGGATTGGGTTCTTTTGGCTGATTAATGATTTCCTTTTCAAGGATATTTACTGGCTGAGCTGACAACATATTTTCCGCTTTCACAGAGCCTTTGTTGATAATTCAGTCATGGAAGCACAGTCAATACAGGTGGATAATCATCAAACAAACAAAGCAAACAGTTTACTAACAGAGCTCTAAAAAAGTAGGCCATTTCTGAGAGGGTAAAGTCAGTTAAATGGAGTAAAGTGATTATAGTGCAGTAGAACAGGGTTAAATATGCAATAACCAGTGTATAAAAACTAATACTTATATATGTATAAGTGGTTGTAGTGTATGTAGACCATTAGAGTAAATGGGGAATAAATAAGTAACCAGCTGTACAGAGCAAACAGAAGAAATAAAGTAGTCTTTGTCTTCAACAGACATGATGCTGGTCTACTACAAAAACCTGACTCAGATTAGAAAAGCTCATGAAAATATCATTGGAGTTAAGAACTGCACTGTTGCTCTGATGATACTGCACTGTGAAACTGGAGTCAGAATATAGACAGAGGTGATGTAGATGGTGGAGCTGCAGCATTAATGTTACACAAACACTCAGTCTTTTACAGTTTATAGGCTCTTATGTTAATCTTCATTACATATCCTCTCATGACTTGTTCCTGGTCTCTGGTTGAGCCACATTAAAAGTCTTTATTTTCATTATCCTCATCTACTCCCTTTTCCTTTCACATCATTGCCGGCTTGAAAATAACAATCACCTAGGCCTCACTTCTCTTGGAAACTGCAGCACTTAGTACTGCATTAATTTGCATCCTACACTGTAGAGTGGCGAGCAGTTTCCTCCGATACTCTCAACATATTCTATGGAGAGGAAGTTGTGCTTCCAGCATCATGCAGAGCTTGGCTTACAGCAAATACAGTGTTTAGTATCCGGCCAAAAAGCTCATTTTTGGTCTCATCACCTTCTGGCAAATACAAATGTCTAGTCAACAACAGTGGGCTTTTTTTGGCTTTACTTCCTGTAAAGCTGCAACTACTGAGGAAACAGCTGTTCTTGACAACAACAATAATGACTACAAAACATTATAGTACATCTACAATGTATTCATGTTTTTGTGATTATGTTCCTATTTCTTGTATGGGTTCATATGTTCAATATGCAAAGTGGGTAATTCTTGACACAGGCACAGGGAGAAGAGATTGGGTTTGATACTAAATTATCAAGTGTTTAAGGCTTCCTTTGCTGAAAGTTTTTCATTGTTTTTGAATATTACTTTCTTTCCTTCTGCGCGCCTGTTTATATGATCGCTCGAATGAAATTTGTAATTTTGCTGTAAATTTTTTAATCACATTGGATGTATTTTTGTTGCTAAAGATATACCGATGATTGTCGAAAAGTCTTTGTAAAAACAGTTAAACATTTACTTTGTTCATTCTTTAGTACATTAATCTACTTGAATATAACAAAGACTTTTCAAGCTTAATGTAAAACAGCACAGGCAAAGGAAATGATAGCAAGGAACCCTGATTATTCATACTCTGAGACTATATCTTTAAACACTCATCTTTTCCCCTCTCTCTTTTTCACACACAGACACACAGCTGAGAGCCACAGATGGGTGGAGCTGGATCTTTGTCAAAGGAGTAAATGGGGCTTATGGCGAATGATCTAGCTTTTGGCAGCAGATGGCATCAAAGTCAACAAAAATCAAATTCCTCACATGCTGGGCTGCTAATAATCGTATGTGTAGATGAAACTCGGAGGAGGAGTTTTTGTTTGTGGGCATAAAAGTTAGTAAATTCAGTTGAACTTTAAAAAGGAATGAGATTGATAAAGAAAAGAGCAGAAAATAGAGATTACACAAAAGTTAGTGAAGTCCCGTCATCAGCAGACGAGGGAGGGAGCTGTCGTTGGGGTGTGTAGGACCAACTCAGACAGGAAAAGGGTGTGGTTGAAACACAAAAAGGGTCGGTCTGGGCTGGTCAAATAAGGTAAAAGAGGTAGAACAGCAAGTGGGAGGGGAGAACGTGAACCCATACAACTCCCTGTCTGAGTGATAAACACAGACACATTTGTTGCCATGGCAGTAACAACTAGCTACACAGCATGACACAACCAATCTGGCATTAAAAGGAAAGCCAGCCTGCAGAATCCTGTATGACATCAATCCAATCCTCTAACTGGGAACTAAAGACCCACTCCCGGTCGACTTGTGGACAGACAGTCACGTCACTAACTATTTATGGCGGAGCTGTGGTCACGTCCTGGCAGTTTGAGAATTTCGGAAATGTTCAATCATAATGATTCAATGCGACCTCTGTAATGGAGCACTTGTGCCGCAACACAACAGACTGAGAGGAGGAGCTCGCTGACACATGTTGAGCGCAGTAGAGTTGAGGCTGTCACTAACAAGTCTCCCTACACTTTCAATACGCTGAACAAGGATTAATCCAAGCTCAATTAAGTTAATTATGTGAGTTCAAGCTGGGATACATAAGGCTAGCCTTCAACATCTGGGGCACACACCTTAAAAGCTTAAAATGTACTTTAACCAAAAACAAATGATAATCCAGTTTGTGAAAATGCAAGCCAGGAAAAAAGGAAAAATAACGGAAGAAATCCAAGTTAATGTTTAGATTCTTAGTCTAGCATTGTGCCTCATTGTGGGAAAAAAAATGGTGTGCCGCTCCATTATCCAGGTAATGGTGTGGACAGGTACTCAATCTTTAAATTCAGACCAAAGTTTACTGGACATCCCTAAAATGAATAACTTAGCCGTAAACTACAGTTGCATTTTGGTGAAATATTCTTCTGAAAACACCATCTCTGTGTTGTGTAAACTGTTGTGTAAATCTAGATCCATTGTAAACTGTAAATTAACAGCCCCATTCATACATGTATTTTACATTCCTTGTCCAATATTTTTTTTCTCACTGTGTTTTCAGTCATTTTTGCTGATCTCGGGGATCTGTGTGCATGTGGATGGTTGAATAACATTTTCATGTTGTTCTTAAAAAAGCCTTACCTTACATATAAATTTAAAAAAGGGGTTATTAGGAAATTAGAAAAATAAAGTGTGTACATATTTGCAGAAAGCTTTAGTTTCATACTTAAAGCTCCTGTAAGGAACTTTCAGGTTGTGTCTTTTGACAATATCTCATCTATCCGACATCCAAATGTATCATTTATTGTCAATATTTGGTGCAGAAATCGAAAAAAAAAAAAAAGGATTATTTCTTCAGCTGTTCTACTGACCCCATATTCCAAAATCAGGACTACTGTATCTTTAATCTTCTTCATATATAATACTGATGTAACAGGTAATGCTGCACCATTAAGAGCGGCATTATCTTACTATTTGTTTTGAAAAGGGCACATGATGTATAATGTTATTTGAGCTGGCATCAGGTCTCCTTCAAAGGGCGATAACATTATGACGATATAACGGACTGATGTCCCCGTTAATCCCGTCAAGCCTGAGACCCAAAAATAAACGTAATGACACACAACATGTCTGTCGGCTCTTCATGTCTTGTTGGAAGTGCTCAGCTGGCAGGAAAGAGCACTTGAAGGAATATGATTTAAAAGCAGTTTTTCAAATCAGTATCAGAGGACAGATTTAGCTGAGCAAGAACAACTCTCCTAGTCAGAGGAAGCAAATGAAGCAGGCTCACTAATATATACTGACATATACTGATATCTGTCAACATGCAGAGCTAATGGCTATGATAATCACAGTCCCTCTGTGGTGGTGGATGCAAGAAAGATGTGATTTTTAATTTTGGTTTTAAAAGCATTCTAGTCTGTTTGTATAACAGTGAGGGCCAAAGGAAGGAAAGTCCAACATAATTTTGCCCAAAAGGACGCCATGATGTGCGCACAAGGTCAGATTTTGCATAGTATTTTTAAGTGGCCCTAATATTGATATTTTTCACTAGAGTTCATTTATTCAGGGACTAAAAGATCATTTCAATTTTAGCCTTTATCAGGCACCACATCTAAGCACCAAGGTAGATGCCATTCTCATTAAATATATCTGCTTAGGCATAAATCATCCCATGCATCTCTGCATATTTACTGCTTTACAACTGTGCATTACTTGTATGGTATAGGGAGCTTTATTGCTGGTATATGACTAGATCACAAAATCAGGCATGGGACTGTTAGACCACAAGAACAGGGATCAAGTAACAAACTTTGTGTACAAAACTCTTTCCTACACCTAAATAACAAAGTTTGGATTTCAGAAGTATGTTAAAATGTATCCACAAGTAGTTTTTGAGAGAGTTAAGAGTGTTAACGGGAGCAGTAATTCCTCACTCCTCTTCCGCTCACAGAGCTATGCCACCAAAAAAAAAACTGGCTAACTAATGGCTTTATGATTACCACATCCATCACTCACCTCTTGCTTTCAGAAGACTCCAGTAGTGCAGAGTCTTTGCTGGTGCCGTTGGAGCTGCCCACTGATTCATGGCCGTGGCTCTCGTTGCCATGACTCTCATTGCCATGGCTTTCATTGCCATGCGATTCCGTTCCGCTCCCACTGGAGCCGCTGCTCTTCATTTCAACGTCCTCCTCAGGGAGCATTCTAGAGCAGGTGCTCTTGCGATGGTTGTGGGGCGAGGCGGACGGGTCCTGACCGCTGCTGTCGCTCCCCTCAGACGGGAGGCCTAGGTCGGGCCCACCTTGGCTGTAACCGCCTATCCGGTGCAGCTGAGCCATGGAGCTGCACGCTGGGGCCCCTCTTGGCATTGGGCTGCACGAGGTGGACGCTCTGCACCCTGAGGCTCCATCCTCATCTTCCAACACGGAGAAGGGATAGGGCTTGGAGTCTGAATCTTCGGACATCAGGAGGAGTACTACCCTGGGCTTGTTCCAGGTTGTGTAAATAGATGTTGAAAGAACCAAATCACCCCATTGTCTCAAGGGCGTTGTTAGACTGAATCACTGAGGGGCTGTCCTGATCTCCTGAAAGACAAAGAAAATACAATCAGTGAAAAAATGGCTTTTTTCTTCAACGGCACTTGGACTTATTAGATATATTTTAAAAATTAACAGATGGTAGATAAAGAAATAAATTATCAGGGTTCTGGTGGAAAGACAGAACACTGAGTACAAAAAAAAACTCATTGAAGAGTACTGCCATACTGACTTACATTTACACAAATGGTTGTCCAAGGACAATGAATCCATGATCAAGCATAAAGTAGGCATGCTGATTTTACTGAGCGTATAAGTTCGTAAAGTTATCAAATTTGGAAAAACATATCCAAGTTCCATCCACACAAAGTTTCATCCCTTTAGAAATGTGCATCTCATGCAGATACTCTCATCTTTGTGGGACATGAATCAATGCTCCACTTTCACTTCAAAAGACTCTCACTTCTCCTTTGTCTGGTGTGATATCAGAGCATCCAGCAGTGTTTAACCCCTGACCTCTGGGGAGCCCTGCAGGTGTTTACTGAAAATGCTCTCTTGTAGCGACACTGTGGCCTTTTGGAGCAGTAGATCTGACCCATCTGAGCCCTTTAACACTTTCAAAAGGGTTATCCAGACAGAGTTTTCATTGACTGCCACCATAGGTTGCAGACTGGCCCTTTGGCTCTCTCTCTCTCTCTGTTTTTTTTTTGTTGTCACATGCAGTAAACTCTACTGCAAATGTTATATGTGTCCTGTTTGATCATTATTGAGAACATCTTAGGTTTGGGGGACAAGGAGGAAATCTGGTTTTAAAACACATTTTAGAGATTTCATGACAGTCAAGAAATATCTAAATAACCAATGTCTCTCTTTTTGTAGTTATGGTTAATGTCATGCTGAAGAACAAAGGCAGAGCGTTTATGAAGTAAATCTTTCCTCCAAGAACCTTACAGAGCCCCACTTTTACATGAAACCGAAGCCAGTCATGGTTAACATGACATTGTAATATGAGCTGTTCCTCCTGTAATGATATATTATTTGGCTAATTATACCTTAGTGGAGCCAGGCACGCTATAAGTTCTGTGACTATCTTTGTGTGGAGTTCTTTTGTACCTGTGTCGAGAAATCTAAGCACAAAAACAACCAAACTGAACTCTACTGCATTTACAGTAAAGCTAAGGGATTCAAACATTAGTCCAGTCTGTCACTCTGGGTGCTCTCCAGATTTAGAGCGCGGGACAAAACGCCCTATCACTCACATAATCCTTTTTCTGGGCAACATGTTAAGGTCACATAAAGGCATCGATCCTAGTTGTCTATAAATAACATGCTGCCTTGTAATTCTCTTCTCTTAGTGCAGACCCTGCCATGGTCCTCTCTGTAATTCACCACAGCTCTAATGAGGCACAATCTGTATCACTCACTGAGAAGTTTAGCAGCTTTGAGTTTGTTAACGCTGTGTCGGAAAAGCTAGCTAATGTGTAGATTTCCTGACCACCTGGAGTTAATGAATCTGACCTCCATTCAACAGACAAGGATTTTAAAAGCTCTGTTCCTCTCCTCATGGCGGTGTTTGCTGCTGTTCTACTTTTTCCAAAATCACATTGCGATGTTGTTATTTTGGCTAACTCATACATTGAAAGTTAAAAAAAAAGAAAATTGGTCCTTTGTAAGTCCTCAATGCTGAAGTACATCAGCGTGAAGTCTTTGCATACTGCTGAATTAAGGCCCTCTTAAAACTGATGAAAGGTGCTGCTGCGTATGTTTGCAGAGGCACATAAAGGGAAGCATTGGCTGTAGGGGTGGGAGAAAAAATTGATAAAGATTTGCAATCGCGATATTTTGTCTGGTGATATATCGAGTTTTCAAATTAATTGCTAATATGAATTTAAATCTATAATAATGGAAAAATAAAACAAACTCAGTGAGGTTGGCAGAATTTACATCATAGAGCAGAAGTTAGTGCAACAATATATAGGGTTTGCAAGATGTGCAACATGAAAATAAAATACAGCATAAATAAGACAAACATAAAGGAAAGACAAATGCTAAAGTAGCTAAACAGTTGAAAAAAAAATAGATAATTCGCAGTATATTTTATCGCAGGGCTCGACAGTGCGACCATTTCACTCGCATTTGAGACTGTTATTTCATGTAAATACCGCGGTGAACTTAGTTTTAAGTTGAATATTTGACCGACGTTTACTGTGGATATACCGTAGTATAAACAGGAATAGCAACAGCAGCGCGGTTAAATCTACTCTGCACCGTCGCTGTCAACTTCAGGTGTTGAATAAGGGACCATCAATAAATTACCGGCTGATGTTCTCAAAAAGGCTTTCTTTCTTCAAAAGCTTCTATGTCATGTGACCAATTGACCTAAAATTGATTTCAAATAATAGTACTAAGGTCGGACATTAAGACACACCTCTTCATTTCCCTAATTTGTCCTCTAAAAATTTTTTTGTGTTGAATTTAAAGGAAAATTTTGAACCTTTTCTTCAATAGCTTTCATGTCATGTGACTAAAAGACCTAAAATTGATTTCAAATAATATTACTTATGTTAACAATTGTCATTGTGCCCCTAAAGTTATTTGTGTGCTCCTTACTTTTTCAACTTAGGAGCATATGTGCTCCTTGTGAAAAAAAGTTAGTGTCAAGCCCTGTATCGCAAATTGTTAAAAATCACAATGATATCGTATCATGGCCCAAGTATTGTGATAACATCGTATCGTGGGGCCACTGGTGATTCCAACCCTAATTGGCTGATAGACAATAAGTGCTGATGGGTTCTTGGAGTGGAGTTGTCATGAAACTGGTGAAAAAGGCTGGCTCTGTGATAGGACTCAAGCGTGATTCAGTGGAGTGCTGACTGACAGTAGTAAAATACTTCCATCATTAATTAACAAATAAGTTTGCTCTATCTGATAGTGGAGAGCTGCATTTTAACACTCGTCAGTCTGCTTATCACTGACCTGCTGACTGCAATGATTATTCAGCATCTGTGCCTCTATGGGAAGGGCCTCAACACACAGAAAGAAGTAAGCTTAAATCTGATATCTGAGGGACATCTTGCTGAGATAAACCCGAAAAAAGACCATTTCAGCATTCAGCAAATAACACTTGTTAGAGAAAACAGGTTTTCTCTTGATCTAGATGCACACATTTGCAGACGCACACTGTGACGTATGCAGACGTCAGTTATGATACTTTTTAACCAGGTCTGCGAAAATGAAGCAGTTAGACCACACATTGAGCTGGGTTCAATGGCTAACAGATGTGTAACAAGGTTAGATAGGAAGCACAACACCATTATAGGTTAAATATAACATTTCGTTTAGCCTTGGGGATATTTTAATTAGAGATCGGTCTGAGCTATCAGTTGTTGAAAAGGACTCACGTTGTGTTCGGAACATGTTGCTCACTTGGATTTTCTGAATCTGGGGGTGTCGGGAGATTATTTGAAGGAGTTGTTCTTTCATTGTGAAAAGAGGAGAAAACTCAATTTCGAAAAAAGAAACATCATCAAGCAAGGGAAATTTAAGGTTGATTTTGTTCTCAATTTGTTTGGTCTAACCATTTCTAGAGAGATAGACAGTTTCCCTTCACTGGTGAGAGATTTTCTGATATTTCACTCACTTAATCCAACCTGTTGCTTTCATGAATAGCCTTGTTATGAAATAAACTGGCTTGGAACTTAATCTCTAATAACTAAATTTCAAAGGAATAAGAACAAAAACCTGTGACACACTTCACCACTGCTGCCTCACATTAACATTACCTAAAATTCCTTATTATAAAATATTCCTATTATTTTATTCCATAGCAAAACATATTAATGTCACAGTGCTCTGATTATACTGTCTTGTGTGTCAGCTCTAACCATCTAACTATATAAGGAGAAAATTGTAGTTTCATTACGCTGCAGTAGTTACAGTGCTGCCAACATCTTGGCCTGTGGACTCTATTTGCATGACGACATGGGCAGAGGTTGAGGACAACTTTGCATCATGTAACACGTGACGCACCTGGGCCAGTCCTTTTCATCGCTGTAGCAAATAATATAGAGATTGGAAGTTGTAATTATACATTTAAATTGTTTTTTCACACAACAACAGCCTCATAAGCTGTGATCAGGGTTTGGTTCAGACTTCATCGGAAAAGTTGACAAGATTTTCCATCTTGGCTTCAATATGACAATTCTTCCTTCAATGTATGTCTTGTTCCCCCTTCTTATTTAGGCAAACTGTTTTAGTTGAGATATGAAGAAAAACATGATCAAATGCTGTTTTTCTGTCTGCTAGAAAGACTTTTGTAAATCTAAATAATCTAAAAATAATAATTGTGTTTGTGTAGAACCTTTAAAAACAGAAGTTTACAGACAAAGCAAGGTAAATAAGAATCATGAAAGCACAGGAGAAATAAACCATGAAAATCAATGACTCATAATAACCATTTGCAGTCTTTGATGCACTCTTTTGTCCTACTTTATGATGGTTCCCTAAAGTACTCTGCATTCTTGTGTGAGCAGATAAAGTCACAAATTTAATACCACTATTCTCTGACAGTGACATCAAAAATAGATGAAATTACATCAGATGCACTCTGCACACAACATGCTGTACTTTTCAAGACCACCCAAGGACTCATTCATCACCCTCCTGACAAAAAAAGTAGCAGACGTCCTTTCAAGTACCAGACAAGAGTAACAAGTAACACTGAGGTTTGTTTTTTATAGAGCAACAGAGACGATTACTTAAACAAAGTTAATGATATAAAATTAAGTTAAAAGCAAGACTAAGGTATGTTTTCAGTTTACTTTTAATGCACAATGTATCTTTACTAAGTTTAAGTGTTTTAGTATTTATTTATTTCTAGTTTTAATGACAGGATCATCTTTTATTTAGCTTTTTTGGTGCTTTTATTCTAGTATCTTTTACTGTTGTTTTTATTTCATTGTATTTAATATTTCTTGAATTTCATTCTATGCAACTCGGTTTTTAGATTTTAACCTTAACCTCTAGTGTTTCCTTATCTTGAGGTTTAAAATCAAGCCATTTTTTAAGTTTAGTAAAGATACATTGTAAGCAACATTGTACATTGAAAGAGCAACATTGTACATTAAAAGCAAACTGAAAACATACCTTTTTAGTCTTGCTTTTAACTAAATTTTATATCATTGACTTTAAGTGTTTTCATGTTTATCTCTTAATATCTTAATGACATGATTGTCTTTTATTGAGCTATTTTGGTGCTCTTATTTGAGTATCTTTTACTGCTGTGTTCATTTCACTGTATTTAATATTTCTTAAATTTCATTCTATGCAACTTTGTTTTTAGATTTTAACCTAAACTTCTAGTGATTCCTTATCTTGGGTTTTAAAATCAAGCCCTTTTTTAAAGTTAATGCATTTTAATACTGTTTCTGATGCATTTCGATTGTGGGGTGGGAATGAGGGGTTGGGCTGGGGTAGATTTGGGTATTCTTTGTGCTCCATGGTTGTGTATGAAAAGTGCTATATAAATCTACTAAACTTTCACTTTGAGGCAAACAACCTCTTTCCTCAGTTAGTAGGCTATTATAATGCTTTCAGTTTACTATGTACAGCAAATTCCCAATCTCCATTTGGAAACTCTTTACATAACATCAGGAATGCATTGTGTCGTCTTGCTCAAAAAAAGGGCGTTTTTTTTTTGTTTGGAGTTTACCTAACAACAGCAGAGTCATTTGTTACTTAACTTGGAGTCATTCTCCTTAAATGCCAACAAACCTGTGTGGTATGTAAGTCAAGTTCACATTCACAAATAGACAAAATTGTACTCTAGAAGCTCAACTAAAACAATCAGTTGCACTTGCGTCTTTCCCAATCCATAAAAAGCATCAACGCATAATAAATGAATTCCTCAAATGGGCAAGGTGTCTTTTATGTAAGCTCGATACGCAAGCAGGCTGACTCGAACATCCAGGAGCGGCTCAAATTCTCTGATCGGTGCTGCTGCGTATGAACTTGTGCCATGTGCTGCTGCTGCTGCTGCAGTCGACTCTTTATGTAAGGCGTGATGCCCAAGTTTTCATGTGACAGCACAGGCACGTCTACATGCACCATGACAGTAAACTCCCCCTAACTCTGTCCCAGTGAGAGTTTTCCACTACTTTTGGTCACGTTTGTATTATTTAACCGCCTATAAGAGGACTCCACTGATGGCATTTTAGAAAGCACGACAATGTTATCCGATGGACTCTGGTTTCCCGATGTCATGTGGGCAGGTCTGCTGGCCTGCTGACCGGGATTGACCCTCACACTGACACAGTTATGCAACTTTAGAAATTCACGCTTCCACAGTGTTGTTCATACTAACAGAAAACAGCACCAGGCAGCGTTGATATTTTCACCTGTCACATTTTGGGACACTGTTACGAGAACAACACGACCACTACAGCACAGCATGTAATAAGAAAAGTCCACCAACCTTACAAGGCGGAAATCCTCTCCTGAATGCGGTGATTCCGTGGATCAAAAAAGCCTCGTTTTAGAGCTTAAAGCGAACCAAAGCACGCAGGTACCGCTCGTCTTGAGTTAGTGTGCCGGGGTGCTCCCTCCAGTACAGGTTTCTGCATACTCCGACTCACTGCCCTGTATCTCGAGCACGGATAGTGACCTCATTTTGAGCTCCTCCTGAAGCCCTACCTCCAGCTTTGCGCCTATTGGTCGACAAACCTGCCCGTCTCCCGAGCCTTTCGCTCTGAACCAATCAGAATCGCACGCCTCCCGGGGGCGTGTAATTAAATTGCCGCTCCGCGCTGTGATTGGCCCACATCGCTGCCACTCTCTTTACATAAGGGTGTCACTGCCTTCACGTGGAAACCCACGGCTTGCTCAGGCGTGAGAGCGGCGAGAGCAAATCACTACGACGCAGCTGCCGGTGAATGAAGCAGTGCTGATGGTTGGTTCACAGCGACTCAGCGAGCCCGACTGTTATCTAAACGGTTATACAAGTGTGTGTGGCCGCGGTGGGTGAACTGCTCGGCGCGCTATCATTCGCCTAAGCACAAAAGTTGCTGGACTCCAATAAAAAGTGATATAACCCAAGGTGTCTTTGATCGGTATAGTTATCTGATTTATTAAGACTTTATATAAAATAGTGTAATTGAAGTTTTGGCTTATACATTGTGTCCACTATGCTTTGGAATGACGAGAAAATCGCTACTGACTCACTTACTGATATATATTCATTTTTTTCAGTCACTTAATATCAGAATAGGGAGAGTGGGGTAAGTTGAGCCAAAGGGTAAGTTGAGCCACCCTCTGTTGCTTAGAAATGGTAAAAGAAATTGATCACGTGACCAAATATTTAGGAGATGGGCATCAATTCATGGAGTCTGTGAAGGTTAGAAGCACATGGATGAAGGTGTTAGACATTTATTTAAAAAAAAAAAAAAAACATTTTTCACTCTTGTAAGTGAATTTAGTCTGTCATAAGTTCTATTAGAATTGTGTTCAGACCAAAAAAAGATCATTTTAATTTGTTTTATACATCAATTGTGGTATCTATGAGCTACAACATGAGGTCAAGTACCAGTTGAATAGTGTATAATAGATAAAAATGACTTGTTTTTTAGGGAGAGAGAAGGTGAGGGAGGGCTGGGGTGGAGAGTGGGGGTCCTAGTATGGAAACAGCTCAAGTTACCCCGCTCCCATGGTCAACTTACCCCGTACATGGGGTAAGTTGACCATAGGAGACCACTTTTTTTGGCATACTATATTATCAAGACAGTTATGTTAACACACATTCTGTTGGTTTGCAGGGATGCACAATGTCCTGAAATATGTGTAGAAACACTACTTAGAGACAAAACTATGATTGCCTTGATGTAGTGATCCGAAATATGAAAAACGGCTCATCTTACCCCACTCTCCCCTACATATCTGTATTTATATAATGTGTGATGCAGAGTTCTTATCTGACCCTGACCACATAATTAGGCATCAAACTTTAGGGTTCAATAGAAAACTAGAAAAATGGCAAAAAGCTCATTTCTTTTGGGTGACACATCAACAATAGACATAATATTTAAAGCTGCGAGTGCCATCCTCAATTGGCTATTTGATTAAAGTCTCCTTTTATTGATGATGCATGAACTAATTGTACGCTGTTTACATATAAAATATACAATCAGTATACAGAACACAGTGTACTTTTGCATAAGACATTCAATATTTAAGAGACTGAAAATGCATGTTTTTAATACTTTTGAATTATAGCAAAATCAGGCAGCTGAACATTTGGGATGTCTGTGGAAAATGTTTCTTCGGAGTTAGTCACAGTCAAACTGTCAACCTGTTTTGATTTGGACTCATGTTAGTTGATAATCCTCCCACTTGTCTGTGGTGCATTTATGAACAGACTGCAGCAGAAAGCTTTTGTGACGGATCATTTAATTGTTATTTTAAATGGACATTCTGAGTGTATGATTGCCTTTCGGTAATTCATTTAATTATATGGCTGTTGTAAATACCTGTACTGGTTTTTGATTAAATATTATTCAATAGCTCAAATCAAGTCTACCTTCTGCAACCTCCATCCCTGTCTGCAGTCTATATCTCTCTTCCCCTCCTCAGTGGCTTCTTCTTTCCTATTTTCAAAACCCACTTAGCCTTTTCAAATGGCATATCCCCGTATACACTCTGGCTAGACCACCAGTCATAGAGCCAGTTCATGTAAGACCACCACTTTACGTTTCCAGTAATAGAAAATCTATAATCTCTGACATTTCTTGACTCTGTGAGGAAACAGTTGCTCCTGGCAAGGGTTCAAAGTCATACAGGGAGACACATAAAATCCATACAAGCTGACTGGAGTCATCCCTGGTATTCACTGTTGGCCATAAAGCCCTTTAAATAAAGTACTTTCAAAGTGTTATACACCCATAAACACAATATTAAGATGTTACTGTACATAGACCACAATACGTGTAAAGCATGACCCAAAAAATAAAAGTGTATCTTGCTATCAGCCAGTCTCTCTTTTTTTTTAACCATTCTGAGACATAGTGAAAATTAACATATCTCTCATACCGCACTGACCTCCATTCACACATTTAGAGAACAGCTGTTAAACAGTGTGACTGTCTGCTTCTCTTGCATCAACAAAATGTTAAGGAAATAAAAGGAAAAAGGTGAGAGTGAGAAAGTTTTTTAAAAAGATTTGCCTATCTGCAGTAGCCAGAAAAAAACTGTTCAAAATTTTTAGATAGATAGTGTGCCGATAATAAATAAAAAAAAAATGCCTAAAATGTCACTTATTTCTTTGAGTTTTCAAAAAAAAAAAAACAATAATAATATTGAACTGCATAAACAAAAGAAACCTTCAGCCCCACAACAATGTAAATGACTTAAATTAGGCTAAATTCAAAAAAGCTTGTACAAAAACGCTGAAAAAAGTCAGATTGGTGGTTGTTTTTCTCATTATCTGGGTCTTCAGACGGAACCAAGTCTGAAGAAAGATCCATGCTTGCACAGGAAAAACAAGTCTCCACATATGGAACAGAGCACCAGATGGCAGACACAGCTAACTGGTCATGACGGGTGCTGGTTGCCTTGTGCTCTGTGCTGGGCTGAGCCAATGCAAAGTGAAGAGGTGAGAAAAGAGGTTGGTTTTGCCAAGCATGTGAAGCCCTTCAGACGAATGAGATGCACACATGTGTCGTCCCATGTGTTGTATGAGTCATGCTTTAAATTTTCCGTATGATGATTAAAGGATGTAGATTTTGGATACAAACTTAAAGGGATATTCCAGCGTAAAATTGATTTAGGGTCAAACACACCGTAACACAGAGTTAGACCCCCCCGCCGAGAGATGAATGTTGCTGACTGCTTGCTTCTCTAGTTATACCAACTATAGTAATGACTACACGATAGCAATACACAGCAGTCTAAGGAGCCATAAACAAACCTCAACCAAAACACCTCTCTATAGCCACAAATAATGCTCAGAACAGCACCTAACTTCATCAACAGGACATATAGGGTCACAGCCACAACACTAGCCACCAAACATCTTTTTAACTTTGCCTGATTTCTTTACTCACCTACTCTCTTCCAGCAGCCGCTTGTGTGGCTCTAAAGTTGGTATAACTAGAGAAGCAAGCAGTCGGCAACATTCACCTCTCGAGGGGGGATCTAACTCGGTGTTACAGTGTGTCTGACCCTAAATTAATATTACACCGAAATATTCCCTTAAGGTCTTGCCATTTCATACATGTAATCCTCCCAAAGTAGGGATTTAAATTGGGGTCTTATTTGTGTTTTGTTTAAATTTTTGACAAATGTGTTGCTATGATCAAAATTTTTGAGGTATTTCAGAGGATGATATTAAAATGTTTTAACAACAGAAATACTTTGAATGAGGATTTCTGAAAATGGTTACTACTGAAGGTGGATACAGAAGATAAAACTGCGCCTTTAGACTGATCAAACAAAAAGGAAATCCTACAAAGTGTCACACAGTGTCTGCACTGAGTCAGATATCTTTTGACTGCTGTAAGAAATCTAATCCAAAATTGTGCCTCAGAATTTTATAATTTCTATCATGTAACACAAAATTAAATGAAAGTCAAATGATCTAAGTGTGTCAAGTGACACACTTGTGTGTGTAAACAAGCCTGATCCTCTCTCACGCAGCCGGTGATGCAGACAACCCAATATGTTATGGAACTCAGACTGTTAATAACACTGATGACTCAAAAACAGGATGAGGAATAATGGAGGAATATAAGCCATCTCCTTATTTGGTGTCTGAAAGTGAAAGTGCGAGTGACGCAAATCAGCTCAGCAGTCCTTGTCCTGCCAGACTCCCCCAGCATAAAACGAGGATTTTCCCCGGAATAAGGAGACACAGAACTTCAATATTTATCACCTTTATAACTCACATCTTGCAAGTTTGTTCAATGTTTACAGCATCATACTGTAGATATTCAACAAGTAAGATCCTTTACATAGATGCTACCGCCTGAAGGGGAACTTCTGTAGTTTGAGTCATGATGGGTGATGACCTCAGGAGTCAAAATATGTCTGTAGTAAATAAGAGTAAAACAGTTGAGCTATTTGTGTCAAAGATTAACGCAGCCTTTCTATTGACACTTCTATTATTTTAATTGCTTACTTAAAAGTTAAAAATGATCACTTAGAGCTCCTCAAGCGTTTTAGATGACTACAAAAAATTGATGTCTAAAATGGCTGTTATAGCTTAGAGGTCAAGTAAATCAATTCATTGTTTGCCACATTTAATGAATGTTCTTTAATGTTTTTCACTGCCATAAAGCAAAATGTGATGCAGTCCACAATCAACTTCTACTTTAGGTGTTGTGTGTGTGTGCTGTAGGTCAAAGAATATTTCACTCCCACAGGGTAAGAAAGCCTGCAGTCTTCCTCCCACTTTAATATAAAGTGGAGCTATTTCTACCGCAACAACAGAAAGAAATGCGTCACAAGTAGAGATTTAGGGACGGCTGCCAGAAGATGTGAGAAACAAACATTTAAAGAACTAGGAGGTGGAGTCCTGCCAGCTCCCACTCATTTTATTCTACATAACAGAAGAGAAATGTAGTTTGCTGCTTATTAGAAAACTGTGAAAACACCAAAGAGACACTGAAAGATTAGGAAAGGTAACCTCAATATTAAGCGACACAACAGATTCATAAAGGATACTATCAGAAAAGATATGACAGCAATGACAAAAACATATTAAGTCTGGTTTTCTAAAATCACATCTGTTACATTTCGCAAATATTCTCCCCAGATTTTTAACAAAAAGCAACTTAATCCGTCAAGTTGTTAGTAACTATGAAGCTTTTAATGACCAAGAGTGCTCACAAGCTCTGCTGCTGTTGCCTGGATTGCAGGACAAACTGTTACTCCACTATGGAAAGATGGTTGGACTCCCAGTAATCCCAAACTCTCAACACGAGTGAGACAGAAAGTAACATTTTCCCAAATATGCTACATAAACTAACCTTTTTGCCCCAGCGTGAAATGTCCCTAACTCCTTTCTGAGGATTTATTTGATTAGATTGTCCCCATTGTCCTTTGTGATGGGGTTTTGACCAATCAGAACCAAGTACTTAACAGAGACTGTGTCCCCATTCAATGAAAATACTTGATGCCGCTAATCATAAGCGTCAGCCTATTTTAGGTCCACAGATAAATTCTCCTTTCTCTTTCGAAAAGTCTGTCACAAATCTCCATCCTGCAGCCAGTGAGCCGGATGTGATTCAGTCCCTTTAACTTGGGAGCACCAAAGGATCATCTTTCAAACTGATAATCTGGGGTTAGAGAATTATTTCAGTTTGAGAAAATTTGGCTTTGCGTGAGAAATGTGAAGGAACGGTATCGGATCGGTTGAGTTCTTCACAGTTCAGCAGGTGTCTGGGTTACTTGCATGTCTGTGATGAACATGGTATCCGTTTATAGTCCTGGGAGTCCAATCTGCCCGACGCCTGATAACACACTCCCACCCACATGCAGCTTGTCACTCACATGTAGGCGGGTGTCAAAATCCTGTGTGAGATCTTATGGAAATTAGCCACAAACGTGACGTATGCTCCAGATGGTGTTGTCTCTATGTCAGAAGGTAAATTCTAGCTGCTTTCCTCTGCCAAAGACAATCCAAACAGCCAGGTTATTTCTCATGACAAACAAAGCAAGCTGGTATATTAGATTGTAGAGTCTGGACCGGGGACATACGTAGTTTAGGATCAAGATGCAGTCTACCATCTTGGAGACTTAGCATCTTTAAAATTAGGCAAAAGTGGATTTTCACCAAAACTTTCAAATATATTAAAAGGGGTAACGGTAAATGGTTTACTGTGACTACAAAACTTTTTTGGGTAAAGTCTGGATTAAAGAGGATAATTTGGTGTTTAAAGCAGGTTAAAGGAGACTTATCTCATCTATCTTAGTTGGTGAAGTTAATCACCCATCTTATTATACATCTTTGAAATAGAAAGAGCTGGTTTATTAGTCATACAACCACTTTTGTAATTCAGCACCTGCAGCACACGTTGACAGACAAGATCTTTTTAAAGTGAGCCTCAACGTTTATGTTTTTAGCCCCTAAGATGACTCAAGAAAGCTTTTTATTCCTGACAGATCAGCAGTTCAGAGCGGCATTTTGTTCCTCTTCACTGGTGATGATACAGGTTGATTGCATTTTTATCAATTACAGCTGAATAATGATTTTTAATATAATTTTCCTTACTTTCCGATCTTTAAAAGTTCAAATTCAAAAAAGGATCTTGTGTCCCGAGGGCAGAGAGCAGGATGTCCATAATTGACACTCATTTCCTTTTTGCGATTAGAATTTAAATAATTTCCTTAACTTACTATAAGAATAAAGTTGTATGGGTGGAAACTGAAGATATTTGGCACTAGGCGGCAAGCACCACTTTTAAGCTACCACTGTTTCCACATCATACTGGTTTGGTAATTCAGGAAACTCTTTGATGTGATGAGAAAGGTGGTCCAATGTCAGTTGATTTGACTGTTAAAACTGTTAAAGTTTATAAAGAAAGATCAGTTAAAAGACTTTTAAAATCTAAATGTAAGTATGTTTGTAAGAAGTCTCATTTCACTTTGAAAAAATTATTGAATCTGCCTTATCTGAAAACAAATGCTCTGTGCACTTTGAGTTATGTCACTATGTAATCAGAGTAAAACAGATTCCTCTGTCAAAGGCCTAGTGATTTTAGTATCCACATTTCATCATTTCTCTACCACAGCAACTCCCCCTCTCTGAGGAAGTCACCACAAGGTGACTCAGTCTCTCCATTTTTCCACCTGCCGGCTTAAGTGGATGAGAGTAACCTGCCATAAAACCCCTTCATCAGACAATATTAAGTGCCTCTCCCATCTACAGGTGCAGTGTTTTATACTTGTGTTGTGTAGTTGATTGACTTTGCTCCTCTGTAAAAACCCATGACATTTGCTGATAAAATGACTCATTGGATGGATTTGGCCCTCAGTCAGTAGGTGCAGTTTCTCTTCAAAGCATCATGCAGCTATTTCTCAGGAAACAAGTATGATCCTATAGTCATTCTGTAATATCTTCATGCTTTTCAGATAAAAAAAAATGAAAACAGGATCAATTGTTTTAAAGGACTTGACAACATTGTTGAAGTTTTGAACATGAAATGAATACTTTTTGTTAACCTTGCTTTCATGTCATACTTGCACTAATTTTTTGAACTGAGGAGCTACATATGTAGATGTTTAGGTTAAAGATTTCTTAATTCCTGGTCCTTTTTGGTAACACATATGAGCACAGGCATTTAAAATTAATATAAAAATACTTTTGTGATTAAGAATACTTTTCAGTGTCAGAGTGAGGAAGCGATAAAGAAAACATTAAGACATTAGATATGCCTTTGTGTGCTTAAATAAAGCATGCACATTAACACACTTATTTGTTATAAGGTACCACAAATGCATCCATTAGTTGTACCTTAAGACCTGGCCCGGCAGTCAAAGAAGCGGTATTCAGTACAACCATAAAACTGGGCATACATCGCCATCTGCAGGATTTTAAGGGGTGTGCATCGGAAGAACCTCACTGCTGCGCTAAAGGGAAAAATGGATAGATATACTGTATTTCAGAACCGTTCTACACAATACCAAAAGGTCTCTCTACTCGAGTGTTGAAAATAGTTACCAAACATTTTAGAGTCATACAACAAATAATTCATTTTATTTTCTAATAACATGTAAAAAGACATACGCCAGTTAATCAGTGTGATGATTTACAGCTACTTGTTAACATGCAGTGGAGGTGAATCTAAAGTTATCAATCAAAATTGTTTTCACACAGAGGGACAGGTGACATGTGTAACTGTATTATTCAGATGGAGGAATGGTTCAAGTATAGATCTGGTTTCCTGAGGTGTCAGGCCTGGATGAATTTAGACACCAGTGAGTAACAGAGATGAGTGCATGAACAAATCAGATCAGGAGGTGGTTACATTCTAGAGGTCAGTTGTGACTACTGGTGTGACACCATGGATCAACAATGTTGGGCCCAGGTCTCGACTCAACAGGTCCAGGTGGTGCAGGTAGTCGCGGTAACGGTTCGTGTCTGCTGGGGGGCGCGGCAGGTACAGGAAACGCACAGCAGGCTGAGGAGCACCGTGTTTGCGAATCAGGTTGTTGACAGCACAGATGTATTCGTCCGTCAGCTGAGCAGCATTGTTGGGAAACTTCTGGATACCAGACTCTTCTGGGGCATCCCCTTCCCGTCCCACGTCTTCATTCTGTGCAGACCCTATCATATCCCCTTCTTTTTTTTGTCCTCGTCTCTGCCAGTGTAGCGCCACCACCTGGTCCCACACGACCATCTGCACCTGAGCAGAGATCCTCAGCTCCCTTAGCATTGCCCGTAACTTGGTCTCCTCTTCTTCCTTTAGACTGCAACCATCTTCCACGCACAGGTAGAGGCGGAGTTTTGCCTGGCTCCATGCACGGGTTTCTTGAAGCACACAGGCCAGCTGTAACAGGAACAGCGAGCAGGTGTCGACATATCTGCAGCTGTCAGGTCGAAGTAGATTCAGAGGCCACACGTCAACAAATGGCGCTTTCTTGTTTTGTTTGCCTCGAATTTTTCTTCCTGATGCCAATACCTCTTCACGTTTGAACTGACTGAAGTTACGAGCTAATGTCACATTCTTCCCCATTTTTACAGCATCAGCAATGACCGACACATACTCCTCTTCCTGTAGGTCTTTTAGATCGCCAGCACCCCGGACGCTGGGAAAGAAGGGCGTCCTTTGCTCGCCCGGGTCTGTTGATGGACTAACTACATCTAACCTGTGGCCTGCAGACTGAAGAACTTTACCTTGGAGGTGGTCTTCAGGAGTGCAGTCATCATAGAAACCCAATACAAGGGTGTTTGGCCTCATTCCACCTTTATGCAAACAGATGGGCTTTAGAAAAGAGCAGTCATAATCATAATTAAAGAGAAAAAAAAAAAGTAAAAAAATAAACACTTTTACCGAAGCCTGTGATAAAAAGCAGGTTCTGAACGCCGTGTCGCACTGAGTCAGCCAGGGTGAGGTTGACGAACGCTTTGATGTTTAGATGGTCCACCAGAGACAGCCAGGAGTCATAACGGCTCTGTAGAGGATCAGAGGGCAACCCATCTGCAGAGTCACGCACAGAGACGAACAAAATGTCAAAAGGTGTGTAAAAGACTGTCTTCACATTTCTTCTTAACAATTGCCTGTATTTTTTTTCTTTAATTTCCAACTTTGACTTTTGTTTATTTTAGTTTGACTATTTTAAATCAGAGACATATATAGTTAAAGAAATATTCCAGCATAAAGAGAGATCATTTCTTCATGAAAATGCAATCAGACCGAGACGATAAGGCAAAAGAACTACCATGTCTGCAGTGAAAAATGATTAATATGGTGATTATTACTTCAAGGATATGATGAAGAAATGATCATAAATGTTCTTCCTTGAGCTGCGTCACCTCGCAGCAGTCCATAATGGACTCCCTGAGGTCTTGCTACAAACAAGCGGCTGCTGGAAGAGAGTAGGTGAGTTGTGTTTAGTCTCTTTGCTAAAGAAATTTGGCAAAGTTAAAATGATGTTTGATGGCTAGTACTATAGCTAGGACCCTATATGTACTGTTGATGAAGTTAGGTGCTGTTCTGAGCATTATTTGTGGCTATAGAGTGGCGTTTTGGTTGAGGTTTGTTTATGGCTCCTCAGACCGCTGTTTATTGCTATCGTGCGGCTGTTACTAAAGTTGGTATAACTAGAGAAGCAAGCGGTCAGCAACATTCATCTCTTGAAGGGAGTGTCTAACTCGGTGTTACAGTGGGTTTGACCCTAAATTAATTTTACGCCAGAATATCCCTTTAAGTCTTCGACCCACATACTTCTTACCCAAGACGCCCAGTTTTACATGTCCCAGCACATAGAGACCACTCTTCTTCAGATCATTTATAAAAGTCATAAGACTTGTACAACTGCGAGGGTTTGCCACCATCAACAGCAGTTGGGGCCGCCAAAATTTCACATGATCCTTACGAACATCCAACCTCAACAGGTACTTGCGCACCTGAGTAAAAAAAAAAAAAAGTAAAACAGAAAAATAATACAATGTTGTTATTTATTTAAACTTTCACTATATTGCTGCTTTATGTGAGAAAGATGGCTTGTGTTGGACTGAGCACCTGGTGGAAGATGAGAGCCTGGCTTATGTAGCCCCAGTTGCTCATGGGACCGAGGTAGTGGATAAGCATTAACAGCAGCAGCATGAAAGCAATGCTGGCAAACGCATATATGGCATTGATCAAAAACATCATGACCAGGCATCCGAGAATGCCTAGAGCGCAGGTGTGCCAGGTAAAACAACGGAATGAGGGTCTAAATGAAAAGCAATGAAAGAAAATGACAGATTACAGATGATGATGGTCGTCTTAATCCTGAACATGCAAATGAAATTAAAAAAAAAATCTGTACCTGAAGTTTGGTGCTGAAGCCCACTCAAGAGCCAAACAGGCCAGGTTCACAGCTGCATAGACCAACAGGAAGAAGATGGTCACAATACCGGCAATGGTGTTTAATTTACCAGCAAACAGCACCACCTAGTGGGACAGAAAGAAAACAATAGGTATATGCAACATTTAAAACACCCTTGAAGGAAATACAGTATTTGAAAACTACAAAATTCACTTCATGTTATTAAGCCCTAGTGCAGAAAAGTGACTATTATAAACATAATTATTGCTTTTGTTAATCAATCATGTCAAAATTTGGAATTTTATATTTGTTTACAACACATACAAGGTGAGATACACGTTTTACACTGAAAGAAATATTTTAATAAGTGACCATTATTGCAATAAAAGTGTGCTGACTTTTGCACAAGCATTACCCTAGACTTGATCAATATGTATCGCTCTTTATAAGTAGACTGATGGAATAGTTTTAAAACATTGGATGCCCTTGATTCATAAAACATAACCTGTAAGGTACACCCAACATTTTGATACATACAAATCTTCAAAAAAATACAACCTTGCTATCTACTGAATATAATGATGCTTGGTACAATTATGCTTAAATGAGGAGGTCTCTTACAAGTCTGAAAGGACCTCCAGATTTCAGTGCTCTTCATTTGACTTTTGTTTAACAGAGTCTTGGATGATGAATGATTTATTTTGGAAGGTGAAACATCCTTCATCCGAACCCATCTCTCTATTAAGATGGCCTACTGTTAATGAATCTGCCTCTACATTTACTTTTACCTTCACCCCAGGACACGCAGATGTTTTTCTCCAATCAACACGCTTACAAACTCTGCCCACTTCATCCTCATGGTTTCTCAAATAACTGCTAACTACTCAATTAAGATGATTTATCTCCTGTTGTTCAACTTCAATTGAAAGTCAAACTGCTGCCCTTCGCTGCTGCATACTCATAATCAGAGATCAATGAAAGGTGATGGAAAGCAGAAATTGTGCATTAGTGCATAAAAAATTTGTCAAACATTAGGGGCAACAAATTAAACCAGTAAAGGATGGGGCTTTGGGAACATTTTTCATACATTTTGGGGGTAAAATTACGACATTTAGCAAAGATCTTTCCTACCTGTACAAGCAACCACGACACAAGCACAGAGGCCCAGGGGTTCCCACTGCGAGATGTTTTCCTTGCCAGAGCCAGGACACCACCTGTAGAGATTGATAGCATTCACTAAAGCAGAATCACTCTGTCTGTTATTGCTCAAACCCTAAGTTCGATAAACAACTGAGTCATTGTGCTCTGGTCCGTAAGCCAAAAACACAATGAGAGGATTTTGTTTCTTCTGAGAAAGTCGGCACTTTGAGCCATCTGTTGTCAAACGATGCTTTCCAAATTAACAGGCCTGCGCTAGAAAAACGAGACATGATGAAATTAATAACAAGTGGCAATTTCTCACATTTGATATGGAGGCCTCTTTAAAGCAGATGGCTGATTATTGAAATGTTGACTCAGCTTTACAGAAGACCAGCTGGAGTTAGGAATGCTTTCATATAGTCTGGATCAACTATTTTGCCCTGACCACAACCTAAATTTGAGCTAAATTTGACCAATCCTCCCTCACTAGAGAGGTGGTCGAAGGCTGTAAAAGTCTCTAAATTTTTCTGCTCTTGTTTCTGTAAAACTCCAGGAAGAAAACAAAAGCGAAGACTGCACAGTATGATACATGCTCATAGATCTCACCAAACAGGTTGTCTTTGGACAGAGCATACAGGATTCTGGAGGCTCCTATAAGGTTACTCATGGCTGCCGACATGGTGGAGGAGTAGATCCCGATGGTCACCATAGGTGGCCAAACATTTATGTCTCCAAGGAAACTGTAGTCTCTTTGAAGAAGGTGACTGAGGCAAAAGAAATCAACAAAGTGCTTGACATGAGAGCCACAGTATTTATTTGGGTCACTTGACTTGTACAAATCTGAGAAGTAAAAGTGCTTAGTGTGTGTGTGTGGCTGTAACAGATAGCAACAAGTACTTTCTCAGCATTTGATTTGCGTCTGTTTTTGTGTCTTACCGCTCACAGGTCCACGAAGATAGCACACAAAGCAGGTTGTATGTGATAAAAGTTGTAATTACAGCTGCTAGCGTTCCTCTGGGGATGGAGTAGCTGGGGTTTTTCAAGTCACCTGGAAACGACATGACAAAAATGTTTCCCCTTGAACAAAAACAAAATCTATACAAGATTGATTTTCAGTCAAAAATCGCCCCTCTCCTGTTGTCTAAAGATGAAGCTTCTTAACTCAATAGCTTCATCCTGCAAAAGCTGCACCACAGTTCTACTCCTCTTGCTCAGATATAGAGAAAAATTGGTGCACCCTTTACTCCCAACTCCCAGTGTCTATAAGCGCCCTGTGTAAACTGCTCCATTGTTTCATGTTGTATTTATAGGAGTTAAACAATTTTAAGTTCTCTTTAATCCAAAAGTTATGCAGAAATTTTGCATTATTTACAAGTTTCTCTATAATGAATTCTGAATTTAGTAGAAAACAAAATGTTTTCAGTTGCATTGATAGGCTGATGATTCAAGGACAGCAGAAAAATAAACCACCAATCATTTTGGAATAAAATATCAAAACTTAGCAGTAAACTTGTGTCACATCTTGGTGATAAATGTGACTGCTATTTTTGGACGTCATTCAGACACGAAGAGTGCCTCCTGCTGTTTAATGATTGAATGTGCAGTCATAATTGGAGAATAAGAATTAAGATTCAGCTTAGTGTCTGTGCTCTCAGAGGGACGCACCCTCATGGGCTTGGTGTATCGTGACAGTTGAAAAATCCTGCTACTTAACTTGCACAACGCAACAGCATCTTTTCTTTCTTTAATGAAACACGTCCAACGAAGAAATCCATAATTTGCCGTCAAGCTGTCTCACCTGACATGTTTGAGCCTGCCATGATTCCAGTACAGCCGTTGAACATGACAGCAAACACAGTGGTGAAGCTCATCATGGTGCCAGTGGTGTAGTCCACGGTATAACCGGCTGCAGACAGAGAGAAAGCTTGACCATTCTTACATATGTGGGACAACGTTTGAACACAGCATGGCTTAAATGGCCAGAAACCTTATATCGTAAAATTAGAGCAAATATAGAGCTCTCAGTTGGTTTATCCCTCACATCTTGAATCATGTCGAACACTTACGCAGTAAGTTATCCTCCAGTGTGTGCAGCTTGAAGCCAGTGTAATTGGCTGCATTACGACTACTGCTGTTTAGAGCAGATGCATCAGGCAAAATCACCACAGTGGGCCCCACAATGAAAAAACTGGTGAAAACAGAAGTCAGGACTGCTGCAACTATGATGAGGATAACAAAGGTGGCTTTGGCATAGATGTGGGCCCCCACCTGTAATGAGAGGCAAGTTAAGTAACGACTGGCAGAGTATACAAACAGATCCCCCCAGACTCTGAATACATCGTAAAAAAACAACTATTATCACCTTCTGTGTAGTTTGAACACTTTTAAAGCAGTCTGAGTGTATCTCAATTTTATGATAAAAAAAAAATTGAAAATGAAAACTTACTAAGCAAACAATGAGACACAAGAAGAGTAGGCCGGTGCCGTAAAGTAGAGACCACCAGTATCCTGAGGGCAACACCTCATGCGGGCCTGCAGCTCCCTCTGTTGGACAGTTGAACAGAGTTAAAATAAAGCAATACGCTTTTTAGTTTTTCACATCATTCAGATAGACCATACCTTCTGGGGTGCCAAATGCAGACAGGACAGCCTCGACTAGACCCAAAATATAAAGAGCACTGCCACACACATTGGCAAAAAAAAACATGATCCCAATGCTGCCGCCAAACTCTGGACCAAGAGCTCGGCTGATCATGTCTTGATATCCAAGCTGAGGAAATTAAAACCATCTACAATCGGATATGGTCTCTCTCTTGCAATGGGTGTTTATAAACCCCCTAAAAATACAGATTTATACAAAGAAGGAAAACATCCACAAGTCAGACTAACATGGACAGCCACTGGCTAGGCTACAAGCATTAAGGATACAATAGGCACCTCCAGCGTCCAGAGCTCCATTGGTGGACACAGCGCACACAGAAAGCACTGTCATGGTGATGATGAAGTAGGCCACAAGGAACATGGCAATAGACTGGTAGAGGCCTGCTTGACCCACAACAAATCCTGCAGGAAGAGGAGTAAAGACAAACTGTTTTCAAGGCTAGTTAAATACAACAACCAATCACAACATTATGAACACCCTGGCAATCTAATATGCAATCAATGCAACAGCTTTACTGTCTGTCTAGATGTCTACTGTCTCTTTGTTTGTTGACACGACTAGACAGGTGATTATTGGACTTTACTATTGAGGAAACAGTAGGTGGTGGTGGTGTTCTTGAATGTGCTATATTGAAAGGTGTTCCTTATATTTTGGCCAGAACATCATTATTAACACATTTATCACCTGGTTGTCACTGACAACAGAAGTTGAAACTGGGCTGTTGCGTTGTGTTAAAATAGCTATCCGAGGAGTTCGTGATGTTTTGGCAGGTCAGGTAAATTGTGTCAGAGAGTAACATACACAAGTGTGTTTCATTTCAGCATTTTTCATTGTTTAGATAACAGCCGTATTTAGAACCTTTTCAATGCTAAAGAACTGCTGAGTTTTATCATGACACCCCTGCAAACAATAAAAACAGGCTTGACCAAAGGAATCACAGACTTTTTCATATGAGCAGCAACTGAAATCAACGCATTAGTATCACTTATTAACCAAACAAACTCAGGTTATTTAGTAGTATTTTCAGGAATGGAAATAATAGCTAAATAATTGTATTTATACAGCACTTACCAAAATAAGTTGAAGTGTTTATCTATTGAAAACCATTCAATCAAACTGAAATCAAACCATTGAAATAATAGGTAACAGTTAGTAAAACATCCCAGTAAACAGGGTTAAGTGAGTTTAAGAAGACATTGAGTTTTTCTGTCAGACGAAGACAATGTTGTGCAGGTAAATATCGCTTGGTTTTTCACATCATGATCTCCTAAGGGTGAAAGTACAATCAAATACAGAAGGGTCAAATTGATTGAAAGTTTTCAAACACCATACATTTCAAATGATTATCAAGTGACAGTCACACATTTGCCACTTTCAGGTTATGAAATCTGGGCCATTTGCTTTTCTCGTGTTTCTTGATCCCTGTGGATTGAACTACTTGAAACTGTGAGCAGTTGTCAGACTGGGCACAATCAAACTTTGGTGGAAAGACATCAGCAATTGACAAAGGAATTTAAAGAATTATGTAGCTTATAAGAACAATACAATATACCAGAGAAAATTAGTCTAAAAACAATCTGAAAAGACGCCTGCTCTCCTGTGGTGTCTTTTGAGGGTGAGGTAACTAACCCTTTGTGATATCTTTGGCGCAAAAATTACGCGCGAACTCCCAACCCTTACTTACCAATGCGCAAGAAAACGACCACGCTAAACATGGACAGCAGAGTCGGTACCACCACGCCAAACACCACTCCGAGCTTCCGGGTGTTTTTGTCTTTAGACGGTGTGCTGCTTCCCGCCTTGGTTTGGCCGTGTTTGGGCGCATTGTCCGGGTCCAGAATGTTGCCGGCTGAGAGTCGGTAATGTAGAAGAGGAGCCTTTTCAGACATTGTGTGTGACGGTAAGTGCTGCTTTTTTTGTACCAACTGTTAGCGTAGGCCCTAACTACTCAGTTTTGACGGTAGCAGCGGCGCTTTGCTGGCTGGTTGAACGCCCGCCATTCAACTACGCACCTCCCTAACGCAGAGCCCGGCACACCTGGGGCAGGTAATGACGGCACTAATGAAACAATGACGTTGCTTTCGGTGATTCGTTCTCAAAAGTTTAACCTGGACGAAATGACTGGCTAGAAGAGTTTGTATCATTGACATGAGTTTTGTTCGCTCCACTCACTGGCTTTACCCTCTGTGCCATGACTACTGACTGTCCTGTCCAATACTTCAACGCTACTAGGCCAAACATGGGAAAAGTCACTCAAGAAACCAGTTTCCATTTTTTTGGTGCCGAATTTCATCGTCAGATAATCCTTAACCTCACCAAGTATATTTGTTAACTTAACCCGTTTTCTCATAGCACATAGATAGGCCGGTAGGCTATGTTGCCAATGTGAAGAAACAGTCACAGTTTTGTTAGCCTATATCTACTGCTGCCTATAGACTTTACAAAAGGTGGTTCATATCAATCCGGTTTAGTGGTATTTACAAAAAAAGGCTACCTGTCTGTCAGAAAATTGATTTTAAAATACTCCTGTTGTCCTCACAGTAAGACATACACCCCATGTCTAAGGGTTTATACTGTCCCTAATGTTATCATTCTCATTCCACATTAACTGGGGTCAATTTGACCTAGGCAGGAACATCAGGAGTCATGGGTTATGTGTTAAGAATTTCTATCCACACCATGGGGGTATTTTTAAACCACCAGGGAATCTTGAGGCTTACAATACTACTGTTAGTTGTCAGGGAAAGGTCTGCTTTGTTCCTACTGTCTGAACCACATAGTCTGAACCAAACGTACAGGAGTAATATTTAGTTTTCATGCTTCATAGGTCTGATCTACCAACTCCTAAAAATGTATGAGGACACTGGGCCAGAGTCAAAAGATAACTGAGAATAATAAAAAAATAATAATAATAAAAAAAAAGGTGATAAACTCGAGATAGTTAAAAAAAGTGACCACATGTATGACTATATCAAGTATTGTTTATTGCAGATTGTATTGCAGAGGTTTGTATCATAAACAGCATTAAATGGACAAAAGGTTTCCAAAAGTATCTTCCCATATGCAAAACTGAGTGTTGAAGTATTGTTGTAAAGAAATACACAAATGCATTTGAGATCAACTTTGTGTTTTTGCAGAAAAGCAAAACATAAAATGATATGTTCTACAGCAAAATGATAAGTGTGAAAACGAAGATTTAAAGAAACGTTAGATGCAAAAGTCTACGAAACAAAGTAAGACCTGGGCGTTACATTCTCTAACTACAAAGTATGTATCAATTCTGTCAGTAGCTATTATTCCTTGGTTGGTTCATAAATTTTTCTTTACATTAGACTTATTCGGAAGGACCATGTCTTGATCCCACAGAGCATGAGCATTTTGGTCTACAAGAGGTCTAACAGATGTCTAAATGTAGCCGAGGTGACTGGTCTTAAATCAGGCTACCACAGGTCTAAAAATGAGTAAAAAAATGTTTTTTAGATGTCTGAATTTAGACCAAGTCTAAATCTGGGCTATATCTATACTACACTGTATATTGCTCAATGGCTCAATGGCTTAAGTACTTGGAGATCAGTTATGCAGTTGCTTTTCGAAATAAATATTTATTGAATAGTGGGTTAAAGTGCAATGTCTAAATTCTAAATAGCTGTCTAACAGTCGTCTACTGCTCAGTGGGATCCTCCTTAGATTTTTGTTAAAGAAACAAAACACATGGTGGTCCATACTACATTTGAATGAATCTTGTTTTTTGTCCTCTTTGTCAGAGTTTTCTCATTTTACTCTCAAACAGCTCACACATAATGATAAAAAAGGACACTTTTTAGAGGTTATTTATATCAAAATGTCAACATTTTGACTCATTGCTTTTTTGACTTTTGCATTAGCTTAGCTTATCCACTACTGGTGAAGAGAACTGAATCCAGTGAGATATTTTTGTGTGTCCCTGGGTGGGATTAGCAACTGTCTTCAAGGTTAAGGATGAAATGCTCCAGTTTTCCTGAGATCAGTTGGTCGTAGTGCAGCAGGACTGTGCAGAGACTGTGGGTGCTTCGAGGAACGCAGGACAGGGCTGGACTCACTACTGACCCCTGCTGGTTTAAAAAGAAAATACAACAACAAAGAGAGTTTAGAAATGCAGAGAAAACGAATAGTGATGTGGGGGCTGAAAGTTGCATCAGAGGAGATTTGACATCACATCTTACAGTGAAGACTAAAATAACAGCACTTATTTTTAGATCTGCTAGTAAAAAACAAATCTTTATAGAAGAAGTTCATTTAAGTGATCGCATGATAACAAATCTGTACCCTGTCTACCTTGGAAAGTATGCACTGCTATCATCTTCTGACCCCAAGGAAGGAAAGTTAAAGGTCACATGACATTACACCATCACTCGTGGGGCAAAGATATCATAGAAACTCTTGGATTTATGAGAAACTTGGATGTTTCCACACCAGAGAGCACTGATAATGCCTAATCAGTGCCTCAATCAGATGCAAACTGATGAGAGAAAAACCCATCAACACAGTTTGTGTGAATGATCATCAACATACTGATGAGATGATCTTGGCTAGGTTTGTTGTGATGTTTTTCAGTGTGAGTGAAGAGGACGGACTGAGCCCAGATTAATTTAATTTGATTTGTGGGTTAGAAGGCATATTTCAACTACATGTAACCACACAGGACGTTTTAATATTCACAAATTAAAAACAAAAAGTTGCTAAAATGAGTGTTTACTGGATTTCTTGCTTGTTTGCTTGATTTTTTTCAGAAGCATCATCTTACATTCAGGTGGAGGTTTCTGAGAATGAGCAGGTAGTTGTTGATGTTGTTCTCCAGTCTCTGCAGAAGTGAAGTGGCGCATCCTGGCTGGCTCCGAGCCCTCGCAAACTCCAAACCCTCAATAAGAAGCTCAAATGATGCAACTATGTCTCCTCTCTTTTCCTGGTGCTGTGGTAATGCAAACACAACCCACGCAGGTATACAGAAAGAAAATAAGTCATAAGTGGTTTCAGAGATTATTAAGGAAGACAAGAAGAAAATACAAGGAAGAGGAAATCTGAGAGCTGAGATATTTGGAATCATACATGTGCCAACATACTGATTTGTTTTCCCAAGAGGCTACATGGAGCTCAACACAGGGGAGCCTAACTGGTGTAGAAAGGCTGGCAGAGCTGTGACAGCTACTCTGCAGAGGAGACAGGATAAGCAGATGAACTACAGAGAGGCAGACTGAAGGGAGACCACAGATAATAACCCAAGAAGATTAGATTCAGGAGGGGAGAAAGAGAAGCTAAAATTGGTCTTTTAGTAGCATTAAGACAACTTCACATCCTCACCAGTTCACTTTTCACCTCTTCAACAATGTTGAAAGCCCTTCTGGCGCCTCTATTACACACAAATGTGGGTTTGGTCTCAACACACCAGACCTCAGAGGCTACCAAGCAGAGCAGCAGGAGTTCTGGACAAACACAGCGAAGCCGAGCTTGTTAATTTAAGTGATAACAATTGTAATGTTCAGCTTATAACAAGTACATAAAAAACACCCCAAGTCCAAGTTTTTAGATGTATTACTCACTGCCTAAAGCCATGCCCAGCTCGGCCACTTCTGATGAGTTCCATTAAGAAATGTAACCAGGTGGAAAATGCCCTGTGTCCAGTGGAGAAGAAGAGCTGTGTGTCCTTTTTGTTTTCTCGGCTATTTAGTTTCCCACCTTCCCATTCAGGAGTGGGAAGTGTGAGAGTGTTAACTAGCCTGGGAGCAGGAAGCGCTCCAACTTTCTTGCTGCGCAGCACAACAAGAAGAAATAGACTGAAAATGGCATTTCATTGATATTAGATGGGCTGAACTGTAGCAAACTTGGCTTTGGGAGAGTTCAGGTAACAGCATGCTTGCTGACTAAAAGGTTAATGATTTATTATTGTGTAAGACTCAATTTACACAGCTGATCAAATCCAATCTGCAAGGAGGATGTTTTCTAAATTTGCGCTGACCAATAGAGACAGCAGTCTAGTTCATAATTCACAAAAGTGATGTCACAGGGAGTTACACAAACCACACACTACACGTGGGTGTGTGTTTGAGCTACGTGGCTGCTGGAGTGTCTGTTATCATACACTCATAACTTGGAAAATAGTGTTTTGTTTTGTTTTTAAGAACCTGCAGTCCCAGAAAGATTTTTGATGGATCAGTATTTTTGTCTTATTTAAGGCCAGAGGTATGGTGGCCGAGAACCGCCACTGCTGCAAAAAAAACAAAAAGCGACAACAGAAGTTAACGCAAAAAAGAAAAAAGAAACCAAAGCCTGCTGCAAATAAAAAAAGAGGCAGTGCAGATAAAAACAAAAAGGCCACAATGGAAGTTAATGACACAAAAAATGTGGTGATGCAAAAATAAAAAAAGTTACTTACTGCCAAAATAAAAGGATTCAAATAAAAAAGAGCAGCAACATAGGTGAGCTGCCGTGGACCAATAATGATGACGCGTCGGTGTTTTAAGATCTAGGCACAGACGAGGACGGCGAGAAGACGAGCAAAGACGTTAGTGGAAAGGTTATTATTCAATTTCCCTTTGTAACCTTTTCAATGTGTCATTTCGTTAGGCCATGTAGTGCCTGAGTCAATATGAAGTTGAACAGAAGCTAACACTACACTGGCATCCTCCAGTTCAACTTCATATCTACTCAGGCGCTACATGGCCTAACTAAATGACACATTGAAAAGCACATGAAGCGAAATTAAACAAGAACCTTTCCACTTACTTCTTTGCTCGCCTTTTTGTTGTCGTCTTCTGTGCCTAGATCGTAAAACATCGGTGCATCATCATTATTGGTCCACGGCATCTCACTTCCGTTTTGGCTTTTGTTATTTGCAACCTTATATTTTCACAGGAAGTAACTTTTTTATTTTTGCATTACCACATTTTTTTGCGTCATTAACTTCCATTGTGGCCTTTTAAAAAAAAAAAAATTATCTGCACCGCCTCTTTTTTTATTTGCAGCGGGCTTTGGTTTCTTTTTTTTTTCAGCAGTAATTTTTTCCATCACCCCTTTTTTTTTCTTTTGCGTAGTTAACTTCCAGTGTGACTTCTTTTTTTTTTTTTTTGCATTCTTTTTTTTTTTTTTTTATTTGCAGCAGTGGCTGTTCTCAGCCACCATACAGAGGAGCTAATTAAAAATCTCAACATGATGGCAAGTGTGTAAATTGTAAAATTCGTCCATAGAGACAGACTTTTATTGCAACTAAGCTGTATCTTTTGTTCTTATTGATGCAGTATATACAGCAAGGTTAAAGTAAAATCACCACAAACGTGATGACCCATCCTGGTATATATTTTGATAGCCTCTCTCCTTGCATTCATCACCCAGGGGCAGGGGTGAACGAACGGTGTTTTGCTGTTTACAAGCAATCATCCATCGGGTTGTAACGCCTGCGGGGCGCAGCTGCAAGACGGGGTGACGCTCCAATTCAATTGCCTTGTAGGAAGGCTATAATAGCTGTCAAAGGCAGAGATAAGAAAACATGGGGGAATGCACCATCCATCCTCATTTAGAGTCCACGTGTCACCCCCATCATCCCGGCCCCTGGCCTCTTCTCTTTGCACTAAAGCTGTTTATGCGCACCATCCTCACCATAAAGGCGCATGGCGTGTATTATTAGACCTCAGGAGTAGCTTTGTTTTCTGTCACCTACAAGGAGAGTGAAAGAGAGAGAGAGCTAGAGAGAGAGAGAGAAAGAAAGAGAGAGAGAGAGAGGGAGAGCGTGAACACTTAACACATGTTTGCTTTTTCTCCTTCCAAGCTCCCTCCTCGTATCCCAGCTGAAATTACACAGCGCCGGTAATTAAGACGAATGTGCGCCGCGGCTCCGCCGGTAATGAGTGAAGTGCCGGGAATCCTGCACACAAGGAGAAAACTGAGGGCCATGGCACTGACGGTACCCGCATTGCATCACGGACACGACACCCGGTACCCCGCTGTCTCCCTCCCACCTCCACTGGAGCCGACGAGGAGATTTTAGCATCTCATTATAGAGTTGCACAGTCCCATGCAGCCGGGCTTTCAGTCGACCGGTCCTCGTCTCACCTGGTCTCTTCAGCAAGCCAGCAGCGAGCGGTCTGCTCCGCTGTGCGCGGCTATGGAGGCGCAAAACCGGTAATTACGCGCCGTGCTGACAACTTTGGTGCGTTGCTGTATGGATTGCGCATCAGCAACAGGCCGGTTTCTTGGATCTATTGAGATTTCCCTCCATTGGAGTGACGTGTGACCACCGGGAGTCATCCCTTTGCCCCGTCACATCATCATTTAGCCCCTGCGCTGCAACCTGTAGCTCCGTGCCGTCTTTTCCCAGTCGTTGTTCCGCCAAGGCGCAATGGAGGGACGCAGCTGACGGTTCTGAATCCTTAGCCCGAGGAGGAGAGAAATTGAAAAAGGAGAAGGCAGACTCAGGGGTAAAAGTAAGTATGCTACGTCCTGAAAAGATAGCTCACTGTCTCTGCTCTCTCTCTCTCCACAGTGTCCCTTGAACTTTTCACCGTAAGTAGCTCAAGGGCAAATGGTAATTGAAGGTCTGATTGTGTTGTAGGGTCTCTGGTATGGTTTCTTGGTTATTGCTCTCACATAACAGTTTTATATCTTGCCTTATCAAAGTAAAATTTGACCATTTAGAAACTTGCCACAAAGGACAACAATAATGACATTAATGGTCCATGTTTTGATGTTGTGTATCAAGGACTCGAGGACCTTATAAAACTGTTAATGTATTTTCACTGAAGTGTAAGAAAATGCACATATTGGTGACAGTATTGTGCACTAAATTTAAGGTAGCTTTAAAGTCACTGGGAAAAAAAGAAATGGAACAAAAGTGGGAATTTCTTCAAGGTTATTTCGACATAACCAACATTAGTTACACTCAATTTGTTGTTAAGCTTTTCCAAAACTTCCCAAAATAAACCCTTTAATAATGTAATTCAGTGATCATTTTGTGATGCTTTCCAGATTTTTTGAGGAGAAAACTTTAATTTTCTCCTCACCATCACAAAAAACTCTTATATTTGTGTACCAGTTTGGCCTCCATGCGGCTGGTGGTATATTTCTAAATACTCCTGTGGTGGAGACTGAGAGATGTGGGTCAGTATGCTGGGGCTCGGGGCTGCAGGGCACCCAGTTCTGCTATTGCCAGGGCCACATCAGCCCAGTCTGTCTGTGACTGCAAACTATGTAATCAAATAAACTATGTGGCGATCTAGAAAGGGGAAGATGGTGTGAGGAGAGGTTGCATGCCCATGGTTGCATTTGTTCCTGAGGTTTGAGATTTGTGAATGACTATACCTCATGTATGTGAGAGCCTGCTCCCCCACCGATCAGTCAGTGGTCTCACAGGGCCAAGCTCATTCTGGTGCCTGTGGTCCAACGCTTTGCTTTGAACTGGTTGCCTAGTCAACCTCCAATCAGGTACGCTCAGGTGTAGAACTGTTTTATCTGACAGCATGTCGAGGCTCTGACTCCCAGAGGTAAAGCATAGGGAGTGTGATATTCAAATGCATGCTGGCCGGAGACCAGATTGTTTAATGTAATGCCATCTATTTGAAGCTTTATTAATTACTTTTGCTTTGGTGAAGGGATTTAAAACAATGACTGCTTTAGTCCCGCTAAGCTTTAAACTTCCTGAATTTCCAGTCCAGCGGTGGGAATCTTGGCAAACATGAAGGATATTTGGCTCCTGAGAAGCAGCAGTGAATCCTTGGAAGAGTGGTTATCTCTCAGGTGTGAGAGTCACTTGGCACCACATCTTCAAGTGCAACAGATTTAGCTGCCAGTGTGTAGCACCTTCTAAAAGGTTTCAGTGAAAGCCCAGAGAGATGAGCTTACAGTATCATAATACACGTGTCATCTGAGGAGAGGATGTGAAAGTGTCAAAATCCTTCATGTGTGAGCTTTCAGTGTCGGATACAAACGTCTTTGTGGATTGCCTTTGCAGGCACACACATGCAGACACAGATAAACCCAAAGAATTTTATGGACCACTGATGGTGCTTCAGCTCTGGATATGCAGCTGCTTCTGTAAGCCACATATTCTGAGTATTGGGTTCAAGTTTTGCTACTTCTGTCCGGTTGAAGGGTTAGGGTTAGGGTTTCTGTCCTCAAAGGGCTTTATAAGACATTCACAGCTATGCTCAATTCCAGAGGGAGCATCGCCTTATATCCACAGTGCTAAGTGTTTTGGTTTGCTGCACCCAGTGCCTCACATGACAAGAATAGTAAAGTAGAAAGAGTTTGCTTTTGCGTGTACTTTAAAGTTTATTGCTGTGCTGCCCGCCTTCTCCACTTGATGCAACTGACAGGTGGGTATCTCAGATCAAAGTCTCAGATGTGTCTCGTTTTAAGTTTATCAGACCAATGGTAATGTTTTATGATCTGTAAATTAGTTCAGAAGAGAGGAGGGAGTGAGTGAAGGAAGTCTATTTCCCTTCTTACTTTACTGTAACACATTAGGGTTTCCTCTCTTTGCAACTGGCATACTGCCTGGCTTCTTGGTGAGTGTTTTCACTTGTTTTAACATGTTACGGGAATAACCCAGTATGGAGGAGTCTTCTACCAGGCAAATAGTTTCCCCCTGTGGATACAGAGGAGCTGAATATCAATTTGAAAACTCAACTTATCCCACTACAGGCAGTTGATTTAATCTGAGATTTAGTAATTCTCCCCATTTACCATGTCGGCTTCATGGCCGTGAACAGCTCCTTAATATCTTTTTTTCCTTAGGGTCACTCTTTGAAACCTTGAGATCTCAACTTCACGGTCTAAGGCTGCAGTGTGGCATTACAGATGATCAACTAGGTGCTTTGCAATAGAAACATCAGAGCCTGAAACTCTCTTTCCCCTCCAGCTATGTTAAAAGACTGTAGACTGTAGGTTTTCTTTCCTTTTTTTAAACAATAAATCACCTTTAACACTCAACCCTACTGATGAATTAACCCGTCACAGATGCAAGCTCACCTAAACCCCAGTAGCCTTTTTGTTGAAGGAAAGCAGTCGCTACAATCTTATTTAATGCATTTATAACATTCCTGGAATTGTTGTATATCAGTCATACCTTTCATTCATCCCAATGCCTCCTTCTTTTCTTCCTTGCAATAATTGCAGTGTGATCAACAGCTGTGCAAGATTTATTAGTTCCAACTTTAGCATAGTATTTTTTGAATGATATGCTCAGAGTCGCCGTGGTTTCATATGCACAAACAATCGGAGAATACACTGAATTGCACCGCCGACCAGCTATTGCTGAGTGCCGTAAAAATTCCACAAATATGTATCATACTCATATAGCTGACTCCATTATTTCCACTGGCTCTGTGAGTGAGTGGAATTTGCTTTCACAGCATGATCATGCAAAGACATTGTTCGGAGACGAGTCATTTTCCTCCTTTGCCTTGTTTGCTGGGGCATACGTGAACACAGCAATTGCACACAGATGCTGCACAAAACAACTGAGCCTAGATCATTTTGAAGAAGAAAGAGACGTCTGGAGCTTTTCATTTTGCAGAGAGAATGCTATGAACCCAGCAGCTATAGAGCAAATAGCTGCTTGACACTGCGGTAGTAGTGGTATGATTACAACTGATAGTGAGTATTGGAAAAGTGATGGGCTCGTGTTACTTACTATCTCCATCATTAGCAGAAAAGCTAGAGCCAGAGGGAGCAAAGACAGGACTCAACAACATCTTTAGATTCAACAGCTGATTTAGTTCAGAGGATGAAGGGGGATCTTTCTCACCACCAGAACCTCCACTCCACAGCCAGGCTGGTCTGATACCTTTACTTACTGCTGTTGGAGTCTCTAGCCATCACGCAACACTGCTTAGTGAAGTATCTGAGCCCTTCTTATTTGTGACCTGCCTCACAAGTTTGTAAACTTGTGTGTTTTGTTAGTGGCTCCCAACATTGACAAATATGCTCATCTGCCCGAATGTTGATGATAAAGCATTTGGACAGATGATAACCGAGTCAACCAATGACTCACTTTGTTGGTAGGTCATGGTTTACTATAACGCAGAGTGCCACCATTTGTTAACCTACTATACACTGAGAAAAGAAAACTGTGAAGTAATGTCATACAAGTGGTACTGTGATGGTTTGTTCCTACTTAAAGGGATATTCCGGCATAAAATTAAGTTAGGGTCAAACACATCGTAACACAGAGTTAGACACCCCGTCGAGAGATGAATGTTGCCGACCGCTTGCTTCTCTCGTTATACCAACTTTAGTAACGACCGCAGATAGCAATACACAGAGCCACACGCTCAACCAAAACACCACTCTATAGCCACAAATACTGCTCAGAACAGCACCTAACTTCATCAACATTACATATAGGGTCCTAGCCACAGCATCAGCCACCAAACATCTTTTTAGCTTTGTCTAATTTATTTAGCAAACAGACTAAACACAACTCACCCTCTCTCTTCTTGCAGCCACTTGTTTGCACGGAGACCTCCAGGTGAGTCCATCGACTGCAGCAGGGGGACGCAGATCAAGGAAGAACATTTATGATCATTTCCCCATGGAAATGCAATCAGACCGAGACGCTAAGGCAGAAAAACTACCGCGTCTGCAGTGCAAAATGAATAATATGGGGATTAGTACATCAAGGAAATGATAAAGTAATGATCATAAATGTTCCTCCTTGAGCTGCGTCCCCCCAATGCAGTCGATGGACTATCCCTATCCCTTCAGTGATATTGTTGACTTGCTGTTATCCTACCTATGTTTCTCTGAATCTTCCAAACATTTTTTCTTGACCTCATGATTGTTGGAAAAATTCATAGTTGATGAATTTTTTGATGGCATCATTTACATCTCAAGTTTTACAGAGACAAGATAGTCTGTGCCCAATTTGTACTACCTTTGCAACCATGGAGACAGGGCATATACGACCAAGGGCATCTTATTGGCTTCTGGTTTCTTATACCTCCAGTGAGCTGCAGTGACAAGGCTTAGGCTGCACAAGGGAGATATGCTATACACTGGGTCCTTAACAGATTCCTGCTAGGTCTGAGGCTCAGGCTGCTTTTGAAAGAGGCAGGTTGTCTCATGTGTACCTACCCATTTCTTCAAACTGCTCAGCAAGCCCCTGATGTTGCCGGTTCATTTGCTCCTGGATAGAGTTTGATGGCCGTGATCCTAGAGTATAGACCTTGTGCTGCAGCTTGTGGCCTCATCTGACCTTGAACACCTGCTTATCTCTGGATAACCTCCTACCTGGTTGCTCTTTGCTGTCAGTTGGAGGATATTTGCTGTGGTATGGGGCTCACATAGCGGTGCCACAGGGTTCTCCCTCTGTGTTTGCTGTCTTTGCTGGACAAGAAGCTGTGCTTTTTCTGTGAGGGTCATTAAGTCAGCATTGTTTCAGAGGGCTGATGGTGGGATGCTCATCTCCTGCAGTCATGAGCTGAATTGCTCCTGGTGGCATATCCACCACACAGAGTGGGATTGACTGGCACTTAACACTGCATGCTCTGCGATAGTGCATTAATATCTGTGTGAATGTGACAAGTGATGAGATGAGGCTAGCAAAAGGTGTTGTTAGAGTACACGTTCATTTACTACTCACATTTTGACAATGTAATATTGGATAAATATCCAGACTGCAATGTAGTGGCAAAAATGTCAGGTTTAATACGTTCTCTTTATGCATGTGCTGTAACTTTCAGGGCACTGGAGTGTTGCCTTGGCCTCACCCATCATTCTTGCCAAAAAGTTTGCTGCTATACGCTTCAGTAAAATTATTGAGCTCATGATCTCTCACGCTTGCATGGTTTCAGCAGAACTGCTCCGTTAGGTGAGGGCATTAAGGTAATATACAAAGGCAACTTCCCGGGTGACCCTTCATGGACTGTCTTTCAGTGAGGTTTGTAGAGCAGAAATCTGGGCCACATTTTTCACCTTTACCCATTTCTACAGGGTTAATATCACTGCCTCTCACGCAGTGGGGGCAGCAATCTTTCAGGAACCTGCAGGTCGTTCCAGGTGAGAGCTCTTACAGAAATTCCCACACAAGAACAGAAAGCAGCTTTTTGGGGCCTTTTTTCTGAGACAGTTTTGAATCATATTGAGGTATTTGGAAATAAGAAGACATGAACATCAACACAGCAAAGACGTTTTATAAAATAAGCTGAATTAAAATGAGATATATGATACTCAGTTGGAACAATAGACTGTTTAACGAATGGACATTGTCTGCCTCCTTGCTGGGTGAAGCCACTCCGAGAACAGCGCCCTCTGTTGACGGGCTGAAGTATAGGTCATAAATCCCGCCTCTGCCAGCAAAGCTTATGGAGCTGTGGACAAACTTTATTACGCAGAATATAATTTTTCCCCCCCTGCTTGCGATGTTGACATGCAGTTATTGTAAGACTGGTTTGTGCTCAAGTCCTCTTTTTTCTGTACAGCTCAGTTTTTAAAAATTATTAGGGGGTTCATGTTTTCTTTGATTGACACCTGATACAACCTATGCACGTACGAAGATTGTGTAGCTCACCCGGGGGATACGCAGTTTGAGCCAAGCATCATCACAGTGACTCTCCCACCGAACGCGTACAACGCTACTGCGCAATGCTAGTTTCAGGAAGTGGAGAGAAAACGCGGAAATACTGAGAACTTTTTGGCTTCAGTCCATAGTATATACAGTCTATGGTTGGAACTATTAAAACTCCTCCAATTCCTCCTGAACTTGAAGTCAGGACCTCTTATCTGGTGCTGACTTGATTCTGTTTGTTTTGTAACTTGCTTGAATCTATGACAGGGCAAAAGTGAATCACTTTACTGTCCCTTTAAGATCAACTGATTCACTGACTGAAATTCAAGAAGGTGTAATGATATTTAGAAATATGAAACAGAATCCTAAAAGTTCACCTTAGTTGCATGTATCCTGATCTGGTGCAGTGAGAGAGGAGGATTAAGGAGCCTAGATCACACACTGACCTTAAAGAAATACAGATACGTTAGACAGTATTGTTTATTTGTTTGTTAAAATTATCTTTATCTTTTTTTAGTTATAGGAGAGCATATGTTTTAAACTAGAGCTAAGTCTAGACTCCCTTTAAAGGGGAAACGTCCAAGTATTGTATGGATAACTTTCTAAAATCGAGGCAGAGCTGTGTCCACCTAACATGAGCCTCACCCTGTGAATTACTCATCACAGTCGATCAGGCCAGCGATGACTCAAATCCTCTGCAAAGGACAGCTGAGTCCTTCATAATGACCACGCAGGAGGAAAAAAAAAAAAAACCTCCACATGACAGTTTGTCCAAACAATCCCTGCACCTGCACATGCCTCCACGCGAGAGAGCTCACAATAAAAAGAGCATCAAGTCCACCAACTCCACAGAGAGAGACGGCAGCACGGTGAGAGTGGAGGAGGAGGAGGAAGGAGGCGGTGTTTTGCAGTCAAACCGCACCGCTGCTGCTGCTCCTCATACCGCTCTCATCTGGCACACACGCGCACCAACACACACATACATACGCACACACACGGTAGCGGCGGCGGCGGCGCTTTGCAGCACGCAGGAGAGCTCCTGCACAGAAACCTGTTACTCTGTGCTCATGTGATGGCCGGTTACCGCGCCGCTGAGCCCCTCTCCTCCTCTTCCTCCTCCCCCCAGTCATCCGCAGATTAAGTAGCGGGCTACCTGCGCTCCAGAGTCTCGGTTTTTGCTGTCTTAATGAGGATATTGCGGCAATGGTGAAGGACAAGGCCGAGGACCGGACGCTTCAGTATCAGCAAACTTTGGTGAGTGGCACACGAGGTCATGGATGATGTTTTGTGTCGGGCATGTAAGTGATTTCATGGATGCCAGTTCGGCCAGAGGATGGAGAAGCAGCTGCTCGATGCTCAACGGTGTCCTGTTTGAGAACACGAGGAAATGTTCTGCTTTTTCCCCCCTCTAATTTGATCGAATATCCCCTCAAAAATCCGTAAAAAATCGACTTTACCAGCTTATTTGTAGGTCCTCTGCTGTGCCTCCCCCTATAATCAGTCCCAACTCTTCCTTTTTCACATTGATCCACAGGTGTTGCATCACTCTCAGCCTCAGACCGGCCCACCTCAATAATTAATTCTTAACAATTTGAAATTCACCAAACCATGTCAGATTAATTTGTTCAGCCTGAAGAAGTGCATGTGTGGTTATATCTGATCACTTTATGTATGGATTAATGGCTCTGTATTTGGTGTTAATACCCTTGAAATACAAGATTAGAGCTCTCCCAGCTCTCATGTATTTCGCTCACGTCCTGTGTCGACCATACCTCCTCTATTCTCTATTTCTATTTCTTGTCCCTCCTTGCCCCCTCTAATTGTGTATATCTCTGTCCCCTTCCCCCTGGTTATTTGAGTCCCCATTCCTCCATGTATGAACAAAAAAAAAGTGAATGTGTCTGAATTTTAATGGTCTCATGCACCAGTTTTCTTAACCAATGTAATTGCAGGACTGACAGTGACAGTGATACCCTGGAGCCCCATTCAGGCAAATCTATATTCAGATAAAGGGAGTGATATGCAGGCAGATTTCAAGTGCCCTTGTCTGTCTTTCCCCTCTGTTTCCATGCATGCATCTTCACGTAGAGCAGAATATATCACTTCATTTTCCTGCAGCTGTGATGTACCCAAGTGGTACAGATGTGTTTTTCTGCTCTCATTGGTGTGAAGATCAATACCAAGTTGTGTGTCTCAGAGTGAAAGATCAATAGTAATGTAAAATGGCAGTCAGTGTCTCTAAGGATCTGAACGTGCTGTCTGCTCCCCTCTCTTTGCCTCTTTGACCACAGCTCTTAGATCAATGGCTTTATTATCCACTCCCTGTGTACCAGTCCATTATCCCAAAAATAGATGCATGTGTGTGTCTGTGTTCTTGCACATGCAAGCAATTGTGCAGCATGTGTCCTGATACTTCTCCAAGAGCAAAGTGGCAGCACTATTCCTCAATTACCCTGCCACAGGCCAAAGAAAGCATCTGTGATTTTCCTCCTAGAAAACTGAATGACATGTAGGGATAAATCAGATAAGCGAAGGCTCTCCGCGTGTCTCGTCGTCGTGGCTGCGGTCTAAAATTGGATTCTAATGTTGACAAAAGGATCCTCTGTGTTTTATTGTTTGCCTTCAGCAAGATTCAGAAGATTCCCAGTCATGTGATTGCTTGAATTTCAGCAGCACAGAGCCACTTGTGCTGCAGCAGGACTGTGCAGATGACACAGAGCAGATAGACAAAAATGGAGATTTCTGCGATAACTTCTTCAGTGCAGAAATGTCACTTTCTCTTTCGCAGCTGTTGTGCTAAAAAATGACCTTTCCCCTTTGCGTTATAGCATATTGCAGGAAATAATGTTTTGTTTATATTGTATAAGGTGATTAACTGTTATGTTTGGCCAGAAAACAGAACAAGACTGATTAATGACTTGTTATGATCAGTGAGCTTTACTGTGACAATTCATTAACATAAATGTGGTGGGTATCATATACGAGTGAATAATTGATTTAATTAGAGTGCGAGTGGCCATAATTACATTTCTATCCAAGGAAAATCATCTTGAAAGGAAAACAAATATTTGATATGTTAATGACATCCATCCATATTTTTTACTGCAGTCCTGTTGCTGTACTTTCCACGACTGCAGTAAACAGATTTCCTGGAAAGCATTTCACACTCTAACCTCCCTGAAGTCATTACGGAAAGGGAAGAGTAAAACAGTGAATAAACACGCTATTTATAGCCATCAATGAATATGAGTGTAGTGACTTATTGTTTCACATCGCAGGTGTTATTTTCTGGTTTCTGTGTTGAGATGCAGGATCCTTTAAAGCATCAGCTGATAGTCACAAAGCAACCAGGCTCTGGTGCATGGGTAACCGGCTTCTACAGCTGTCAGGTGCAGTGCATGCTGGGATAGAGAGGCAACAGCCGTCTGCGTTCTTGGCGTCACGTGGGTATAGAGCAGGTAAAGGGGTGAAGATACAGGACTTGTCAAAGTGTTGCAGCCCTCCATCATCCCTTTTTTTCAGAGCTGTGGGAGGTCTGAATGTGTCACAGGCATTTTTCTTGTGCGAGTTATCTCCTGTGTGAAGCGTGTGGGCAAGTTTGCTCTATAGGTCTTGCATGTACATTTTTTTCTCTAAGTATTTGTGCTTGGTGGTGGGTGTTTTCTGCACCTACATATATGCACCTGCTATCAAACACAAGCCTAAATGAGTGTGTGTGTTAGGTCTCTGTCAAAGCAGGTGTTAAAGTGGGTATGTTCGTGTCCTCCCAGCAGTGGGGAGCTCGAGAGTTTGACTGCTGCAGTTATCAAAGTAATGATCCACCTGAACAGGAAAAGCTGCCACTCCACACCACTGCTCACACCAGCCCCACCCCCACCCCTCACCACAGGGCACTGCAGCACCACAGACATGATATATTGTCCACAATCTGCTGTGTTTTCTGATGTATGCGTGTATGTGTGTGTGTGTTTTTGAGCATCATTACATGCTAATGAGAATCAATCTGCACTCCTGTGTACCTGTACCCTGTGTGTTTTGAGAGGTTAACCGAATACTTAAATCCCTCATTGAGTTTAATTGGCTCATTTAAAATGCTAGTTTGCCTAGATAAATGGATTTTTGTGGGATCGCTCCATCCGCAGATAACTCAAAAGAAAACACAAAGTAACTGTCTCTAAAACATTTCTTTCTTTACAAACTCACACTTGAACACAGTTGAATGTACTTGTATTTGCTCGCTGTTATCTTACATAATGCAGCATCCGGACACAGATTGCCTCCTGAACAGCAGTGAGAAAGCACTCTTTGCACAGAAAACTGTTCTGTGAGATCTGTTGTCTCTCTCTCTTCTCTTTTGTATTGTTTGGTGTATTGTGTCAGCGACCAGTTGGGTTGGTAAATATGAGCATGCTGTTAGCGGTTTTACTGCCATCATTATCTAGAACTAGACTGTGCTACCATACATCTCATCGCCATTTGGTGCAGTTATCGAGAAGAGAATCCATGTCCTTTATGATGATGAAAACTTAGATATTTGGCCAGAAATTGAGTATCATACATTTCTCTGTGTATCTTTTTCTCCCTCTGTCGCTGTCACACACACACACTCACACACACACACAAAAGCGCTGTCTCTTCAGGGGGTTTGGTTCCTCGTAGTCAGCATTCTGTCCGTTCTCGCAAACAGAAGCTGGCTTGAGTCCATTTAAGGTCCTGTCACTTCCAAATAGCTGTTACCTGCACACCACTGAACGGGACATTGCAGAGACTGCAGACAGAAAAAAATCAATCTTAATTCATTTGACTACTAAAATAGACCATCCCTGTTGTATACTGTATAGTGTGATCACAAAATTAAAAAAAAGACACCATTTGCTTACGCTGTACTCTGTAATTGAATTGCTTAAAGAGAAGAGTGCCGGTGAAATGGGACTGAGAGGTATCGCTGAAATAGCTTAAATACTGAAATCCTTAGATAAATTAGTGAAGATGTGAAATCAACAGTGGTATGAGAAGTATTAAGATTCATCATTAAATAGATAAAGATAACATGCATAAGTATAACCAAACATTACATATTTGTCATCTCTAATGACCCTTTTTTCTTGAGTACCAAATGTTGATACTAACCTTAAACAGTTTCAGGTGCATGAACATTGTTGTCGTACTTCAATGCTATGTTTCCTGTATTTCAGTCTAATTGGGATCATTGTTTACAAAATTAATATTATATTGTAATTGGGATTTTAAAGCGTTCAGTGAGAACATTATCTCTTGTTCAAAAAGTTTAAGGTCGAGTGTTTGACTTGTGTTGTTTTATATAATCTGACTTCTTTGTGCAAATAGGTGAGTGTCCCCCTGCTGGCCGTAGGTAGTAATTAAAATTTGAGACATCTTACTTTGGATTCACTTCTGAAACAGAGCGGCTTCAGTCATTTTAGTTGATGGTTGCATGCTAGCTGCAAACTCTAAAACTCAAAGCTTTGCATTTTTGACCCCAGCCTTCAGTTTCTTATTGAAATAAAAAACTTCAGATGGAAGGCTTCAAAGTTTCCCCTCTGATTCTGACAGAGTTTAATGGCTGAATACTGTGTTTAAATGAGTCCAGGTGGAAAGAAGATTTTAGAGAGTTGTCTATCCAAGAGGCATTATAAAACAGTAGACCATAGACTGTATATAGAATGGACAGCGTCTGCCTCCTTGCGGGGTGAAGCCACTCCAAGAACAGCACCCTCTGTTGATGGGCAGCAGTTTAAGTCATAAATCCAGCCTCTACCAGCAAAGCTTATTGAGCTGTGGACAAACTTTGGAAATTTATTACACAGAACATAAATTGGTTAAACATTCACCTCTGTGGCTCAAGTGGATTTTCTGTGCATGATAAAGTCAACGCAAAGAGGAGCTTTCATGGTGGACTACTGGAGCTACCTTGTAGAAAAATTAGAGATTTTCAATATTAAACTTGTGAATTTACTGGAATAAAGTCTTAGATTTATGAGAAAAAGTGATATAAGGGATTTTGGCCTGTGGTTAGCTTGTATTTTATATAGTATAGTATACTTAGTGTATTTTATATAGTAAGTATTAACTTTATAAAAAAACAAAGAAGTCCTCCTTATTTTTAGCAGCACCACATTGTCATAAGCATCAGGATTTTGAGCCGATTGTGCAAGAAACTGGGTCTGTTTCAAAGAAGAGTAGGCTAATAGGCAGCCGGAGCTCGATTCTGCGACAGTCAGCTGTTCAGTTCAACCCCTCATGATGATCTTTGGTCCTCATGTCAGTGAAGGCAGTAGCTGGTTACCCATCATCCATACTTTTGCCTGTATAGATCAGCCCCAGCCAATAAGTACAACTTCCTCCAAGATTTACAATGTTAATCTCGGACTTTATTGTCATAAATTTGCCACTTTGTTATTGTAAAATTTGTCTTTTTTATTGCAGAAAACATATGTGGTAATATCACTTTGTTTTCGTGTCATGTGGATCAAACTACACCACCATCTGAGCTACTGTATGCTGAGATTTTCTATGTTTTATATATTAAATAAAAATGTATTCAACTTGAGGAACCATCACAGGAAAAACAAGATCTTTCAGGTCTCTAAAGTCTCTGTTTAGATTCTTCTCATTTTCAACCTGTTGCAAACATAAGTCTTCCTGATGCATAAAGATAACCAGCCCCCTTTTTTCTGCCTGAAAAGCTGTCACCCCCTCAGCTTGATCCTTTGGTCTATCTGACATCATCCCTCGACACTCTGCTATCAGCTGTGCTTCTTTCTTTTATAAGAGTGTGTTTTTCGTTCACGCTTGTGTGCACCAGTCTATGTGACAGCGTCAAGGTTTCTCTTGTGTTCTGCACCGTGTGAAATCTTGCTTTATTTAGGTATTCAAAAAGCAGCCTCGGTTACATACATTAATGTCAATGTAGACAGCCGGATGAGTCAAATTTGTCACTTCATCCTCTGATTTAATTTTCAGTCTCGTCCCTGGAGGGTTGAGGACATTAGTCCGAGTGCTTGAGTCTTCCTGTCATTACCCTGACGGTCTCATCAATACACCCTCGGCTCATTTAAGTAATCACACCTCCTCAACAGTATGTAGGAGTTAAAGGTCTAAAGCATCAATCTTTGCCTCTGCAGTGATGATGGGTCCTTTACTCTCTCTTACTGCGAAAAAAGAAGAGATTAAAATCTCCTTATGAATATTTATCAATTCAAACCAGCAAGGACAAAAGTTTTAGATGTTTAAGCCTTCATAGTAAAGTGTCAAATATTTGTCCTTGCTGCATCTTTACAATGAATAAATTATCCCACAGAGCCCTGGGAATTGCTGAATAATAAAGAACTTTTTTTATCTCATCTGTTGTGCAAAGAGGGCACATGATTTGACTTAAAGCAAGGTGGTAAAGTGAGTGATGATGCTTTAGGTGCAGGGAAGGGTTACGCACATACAAGGCTTTACAAATCCATTATAGATTTCTTTTTCTCTCGCTCTTTTTAACAAGATACCTATTTTTAAATCATCAGGATCTCATCTCTTAAGAAGTGTGCAACGGTGTGTGAAATCAATATTGATCTGTTGAAGGAAAACTGGAAACAGTCTGTGTTTATCAGGTCTGCACTGATTTGGAGGTTATTTTGATGAGTGAGTTAAATGAGCGGGATGAGATAATGATAAAACAAATTCTTGTCTGATCTATTAAACTCAATGTACAGATACAGTATTATCTATATCTGTACATTCAGCGTACAAATCATGCATCTGTCACACAATGGGATAGCTTTTATTTATTTAGCATAAAATTAGGGTGACCATATTCTGAATCCCCAAAAAGAGGGCACTATTACGCAGGGCAGAGTTGTGCACAAAATTTTGAGGGTATTTGGGTTAGGGTTAGGTAATGCCACACAAACTCACAACTTCCATTAGTGGATTTTTTAAACTCCCCCTGGAGAGGCCGGACAGCCACCCAAAAAGAGGACATGTACGGTTAAAAGAGGACGTATGGTCACCTTAGCATAAATTCTACTTAACGCACTATCTAAATCATCAAATAACAAGATGAATTAATAAAACTGAAGGATTAATTAATTCAGGTTTAAATATTTGACAAGTTTCCAATAGTTTAACAACACCCTAACAGCACCCTTCATTTGACCATTTCCCAGGTAGCGAAAACATTTTTTTTTTGAATGGTAGGGGAAGGTCCCGCCCTCCTTCGCCTCTGATTGGCTAGACATGCTGGGCTCCGATTGGTTATTCCTAATGGCTGTGAAATGCCATCATCTGTCAGGTTAGGATTAGGGTTAGGGTAAGGGTTAGGATTAGGATGAGCGTTACGGTTAGGAGATTCATAAGTGTGATAATGCTCTGTAATGTTCTGTTCGATGTTCAGAGCCGACAGCCCACGTTTGGCTTGAGCGTGTGATGACGTTCCAGCTTTTCTAACCAATGAGAGGCAAAGAAGGCGGGACTTTCCCCTACCGTCCTACAAAGAAAAATATTGTGCCCAGGTAGCTTCTGTTAATGGCTAGCGTTTAGCTTGCTAATAGCTAAATTTGCTCCAAACGTTTAATCTAGGAATTGGTTCATTTCTACTGTTAGCTATCGTAACTTCGCTTTTAGAAGCTCATTGGATATGGATTGTTAAACAGCAATATTTGCAGTAGTGCTACCCAAGAAGTGGTTTAATTCTACTGTTAGCTCTTGGAAGCTAACGGTCTGAGGAAACAGTCTTCCAGATACTTATTAACTAAGAGGCAGAGAAATTAGGACAGCTTTTCAGACTCGCTTTTGTGTGCGAACCAAAAGTAGCTCACAGAATCATAAGAGTGCTCGATCATCCTGTGCGTTGTGTGAAGTCAGAGGAAAATGCGAGTGGGGCAATCATGGGGGAAGTATCCAGAACCTAAAGACCAAATACAGTTATCAGGCTGGTACAATTACAGAATCACCATATGGTAACTTTTTTTTGTGACTTATTTATCTATGAAACTTTCTCCCAGTGAAAATACTGTTTTAAGAAAGCTGTCCTGCTTGTTTATTTTCAGACTGAGGCCCAATAACTACAGAGAAGATAGTCCAAGTTTGAGCGCTCTGTCAACTCTATTCTACCTCAAGAAACAATAAATGTAGATCTAGTTTCTCATGGCAGAAGCTTTGGTTGTCAATAACCTTAAATAGAGAAAAGCTAGAATGAAAGCTGAACGTTATCTTCTCACACAAATGTGGGAAATGCTTTTCTAAATCATGAATGGATAGAGGGTTTTATGCTGAATAGATTCTCAGTATTAATGCAGATTTCTCTATCGTCCCTGGAGAGATGGTGTATCACAGTTTGCTCCTCGTATAGAGTTTCGGATGTGTTTTAGGAGGCAAAAATATCAAATAATAATGCTGATCAAATGAGAAGATAAAAAAAGAAGGGGAATGAGGACATGAGCCAAGTTTGGATGATTGATGAGTGACTCAGTTTGAAACAGTTAGGCATGAGTGCTGCCTGCTCTCAAGCTTCCTCTGTTGTTGTCCAAATGAAGATTTTCTGACATTTTAGGTCTCTGGTTGTCTTGTGAAATCATTTCGGAGCAAATTTATCTCTGCAGACACCTCAGTATAAAACAAGTCAGTTATGTCTTGTTTTGAAGCTGAAGCTGATCTGTGTTGTAGGAGGTGAATTGACTAATGTAGATACAGAAGTTGGTCACATGGGAGGTAAACTGGTTACAGATAACAGCTTATTTAACCCACAAAGTACCACCTGCTGCTCAGCCAGGGGGGGCCGCGCTCCAGATGGCTGGTGACTGCTTTCACACAGGCCAAAGAAAGAAACGTTAACCCGGCCTGTTTATACATCCTGTGGGTGTTTGTTTGGTGCTGCTCGTGGGCTTGTGTGTGTCTATAGTCTATGTGTAGGCGCAGAAAAAATTACCAAGATGCAAGATTGAGTTGGAAAGTTGAAATGAAAACGAGACACTAAGAAGGAAAACCAGAAGTATCCCCTATTGAATCACCAGTCAGGGTCTCGAAAGTTGACAGATGTGGTTCTTTAATTTGTGAGAGACGACTCTGGTTACAGGAATGCTGAGGTAAAGATGCTATATAAACTGCTGTCATTTTTGTGTTGAAATAGCCTTTAACAGTTAGGTAATTATTCTAACAAATCTATAATCCAATAAATCAGATCATAAAAGTCGTGCAGTTGTGTGTGATGTATGTTGTCACAACCACAACTCTACAAAGCAACTTAAATCAGTGAAGAAAGTCAGTACACGTAGTTTTTATTCACCCTGTGGCCTGAATGACACCAGTACAAAAACAGTATAAATCATATGAAGATGGCAGCCCTCGTCCCTTTTTCCACTCTTTAGTCTGTATAAGTGAAGTACCAAAATTATTATAATTGCCAGATTGTGAAGAAAAAACCCAAAACATCATTTCCCTAAAACACCCCAGCAAAGTCAGGGTTGTGTGATCCAAAGCACTGAAATCTCTTTAACCAACCATCACTTATTCCTGTTCTCTTCCTGTCACAATTTACCTCAACTGTAATAATGCACAGAGTATGTCAGTAAAAGTACAAACTAACAAAAGCTGAATTTTTGTCGATATATTGAATGAGACTGAAATTAAATCAGATTAGAGCTCTTATTTTGCGGTGTAAATGGCTGTGTTTGGTTAATTTCAAGTATGCCTAACACATGCAGATCTGTTTACATTCACTAGTTTGCCTTAATTGACAGCTTTTTTTCTTAATCTGCATCAAAATGTGTTTACATTTCCCTCCCCTGACATGTAACTGCATGCTTATCTGCAGCTGTTAGTGTTTGGTAGCTGATTCCTTTGGGATGCAGCTTATAGATTGTGTTTTTTTTTTAATCTGAATATGATGTATAGCCATATCTTCCTTAATCGCCTCCCAGCAAGTGGGAGGTTAAAGTGGAGGAATATGAGCACCCCTGACAGCGTGGTTCTCTTTTCGACATTCAGACAATGAAACTCTGCTTTCCCTCTGCATCGCCTGTTCATGCGAGCAGAAAGAGCGAGTCTGGAGGAGTCGTGATGCCCATCTCAATGAGAGGAAGGGGGGGGTGGGGTGAGGGGGTGGAGGAGTGTGAGTGGGACAAAAAGAGGGGTGGTGCGCAGAGCAGCGGAGGAGAGATGTTGCAAGTTGTAGCATACACAGAAACCTGGAGGGACTGTTATCAAAAAATAACGAGGGGGAGACGGAAACCAGCAGCGAGCCTGCAGGAGTCGTGATGCTCATCGTAATGTAGCAGAAACAGATCAGTGGTGAAAGACAGGGAAGGTAAAATAAACCTCTGAATCATGTTCATGCCACCAACCCTGGAAAACTGTATACAGCTGAAGTTAACACTGCAATGAAACCTACTCATTTTCATACCTCACCATTCATTTTCATGTCTCACAATGCAGCGTGGACATGCAAAGTGTCCAGCTGTAATGCGACCTTGTGATTTCTCAGCAGAGTTGAAGAGGGTAGTATTACTTTGCAACTTCACCGCCGCTGCACAAAAGCCATCTCAGCAAAAAATTAAGCGAGCGACCTTCAAAAGATCAATTCAGACAAGCGACAGTTGTTAACATTAGCCTATAACAAGCTTTTATTAAAAAGTCAAGTCCACACGTGACTGCTGGTGGATCATCATCTCTTGGATTTGGTGTTGGGAGCAGATACAGCCCTCTGCTCGGTCAGGATCACCTTTCCGCTCGACACTAGAGCCGTCTGTCTTGAGGGGAATTTTCTCACTGCAGCTCTTCCTGAAAGAGGGATAGAGGATGCATCCATAACCTTGAGTTTAATGAGTTAAAATCAGTGTGAAACAGAATTAAACCTTAAAAATGAAGGTTTTGCTTCACTATTTTCTGTCAGGGACACAGTTTTTCCTCTGTAGGCAGATTTTAATTAAGTTAATGTCACGCACTTCCTAAGTTTTAACCTTTGAGGAGTTTCATGGTCTGTGGCACAGCCTAATACCCAAGGATGCCCAAAGCAGTGTACAAAATAAGAAACTACTATTTTACAGTTTGAGTGACTCACGTTGTCTGTGGCACGACTGTTCACAGGAGTTGGTGCTGCTGGGGTAACACACCGCAGTAGCACAATGGATGAACACCTGAGAAAGACAAGTAACATTTGTCAAGGAGGCTTCAGGTAACTTTGAAATTAATAGTCCAACTTGAATAGTCCCACAATGAAGAAGTCTACCGTGTCTTCCTGAGGAGTGAAAGTGGTTTGATCCACAAACGTGAACATTTTTACAATGAAACGTTTGTGGTGCGTGGGGAAATGAAGTCCAGAGCGACCATCCACAGGCACGACCGTGGTCAAGTACCGGTCATCATGATAAGGACACCTGAGGGCAACAGGAGGAGTGTTTTAATGGTGGAGTGAAAATGTAAGCCACTGTGTGATTATTGTAATACATTTTATATACCCATCGATCAGGAGGTCCCACTGTGGCAGGCTTTGAGGATTAGGAGTTGACGTGGCCCAACAGTGCTCCAGGTTCAGGACGATATTAGGATCAGATCTCTCCACGATGTTCACCTCCACGTAGACTGGTTCCCGCAGCACTTTAGAGACAGGGTAGTCCGCTGCATTATAGAAGGAGCTAAACGCTACTTCTTCTGCAAACAAAAAAAGCAGAGTTAGTACGCGGTGAATATTCGGAAGTTTTAAAAAACACAATCAAGCTACCCACCCTCCACACAGCCTTTAGTGTGACACACTCCGTTCCCCAGTTTCAGCTCCACTCTCAGGGGTCCTACAGCCGCCACAGGCACAGGTGGTGGAACAGCATTCACCTCCATGACGAGCACCTCCACAGCTGTGCCAGAATACCTGCACTGGAATAATAATCTACAGGGAGAGAGAGAGAGAGAGAGAGAGTAAGAGAGCGGAGGACTTACAGCCCGGGAGACCTCAGAGGGTCACGAAAGTAATAAAAGGAAGATCGATGTAATGCACTCACTCAAAATGGCTGTCCCTGGTAATTGATCCTCTGGGCCCAATTCCCACTTCGTATGAGGAGGACATGTGGTTCTCATACACCATGAAACCCTCCTCTTCCTGTAGAAAGAAAACAAGTTGAATGCAAATGTGTTAAGAAGTGAAAAGATTCAAGTTCTGCTCAGATTAGCGAACTTGAGAATCATTAAATTGCTAATGAAACACTTTGGCTTTGAATTATTTATCAGCTGGACTTATTCAGCGGTGAAAGCTTGAGCTTACGATTTTTCAACTTGTCATATGGATTATTAAGCGGCACTCAGTTTTCACACATTTGCTTAAGAAAGGACTACATCAATCACCTTCATTGTTGTTCCACATGCGGTCACTGGGAACTGGAATATGGTGAACGAGGAAGTGTAGTCCACAGGGGAACAGGAAGGGTCATCCATTTCCAGCAGGCTGACTGAATCCAGATCAATCTGCGGCAACGTTGCATCTCTAGCCACAACCACCACAAACTGGCCATCCCTGGTACACTGCACCGTCACTGGGGGAGAAATAAGGGATGGATTTCTGCTGCATTAGTCAAGATATTTCACTCTCACCACATAGAAGAGGCTCTAGAAAGTACATTAGAGTACAGATACCTGCTTTCCCATAGTAGCACTGTCGCCCATCGTAGCAGCAGTTTATATTTTCACACTGCTCAGCTGTGATATCTCTAGTACCACACTGGATCTTCTCGCCCTCCTCCACCTGGCACTTATCAAAGGGAGCTGCGGGTGGGGGGACGTTGGACTGTTGCTGGGGTAGCTTAGGAGGATTAGGAAGCTGATGTTGCTGCGGAGGCATTGCCCAATGTTGCTGGGAGGTAACATCAGAAACCAGAACAAGAACCGCCACAACACCAAACAGATACTTGTACTGCTCCATTATGGTGTGAGTAAACTACACACTGGGCCAAACTGCAACAACAGCAGCCACACCTCAAACAGGAGGCTTTAAACTTGATTGATTATGTATGGTTTGCTAGGAACTCCGCCTCCCATCATTAGGAGTCAATAGTATGGCAGCCCTGCTGAGTTAATCAGCTGGGAGCTGACAGGTGGAGCCTATTGTCTGCTCATCCATCTGAAAACAAATCACTTCATGACTGTGAGTGGATTCTTTTCCAGATGATTATAGGAAGTTTAGGTACAGTTTCTCCTCTCCTCTCCTCTGAGTTGTTGCCTCAGCATGTTGACAGTTTGTTGTCACTGTGACTCCACACAAGGACTGGGCGATATATCGATATAAGAAATATATCAATATATTTTTAAATGAGATATGGAATTGGACCATATTGCGTATATTGATCTACAGATATCAGATGCTGTTGTTGACAGGCTGGTGTTTCTCACACAAAATATTAAAACAAAGAAGGACACATTTGTTTGTCCTCTAATGTCTACCTCAAGACAGCACTAACTGTTTATCAAAGTCAAAAAGAAAGAGGGGGAAACGTTTACTGAATTCATAGTCTGTTTTTAGTCTAGAGACTGGTTGAGACTGTTAAAAAGATAAGAAAGACAGAAAGGTAATCTCAAAATGATGTGTAAAAACAATTTTCTTAAACTGAGCACTTTGTCTTCTGTCTTTATACACGTAAATGCTGCTTTTACTAGAGTTTGTCATTTGTAATCCTTTTGTAGTGTTTGTTGTTTGCATCTGTGGATTTGTTAGAGGGGAGAAGAAAATCTGCAATTTGATTTTGATTTTAAAAGGCCATTTATAGTTGTCAAAATATTGGTGCTCTTCTCATGTAAATTCATTTATTTCAGAAAAAGATTGGCCTATTTTACTTTATGGGCTATTTTTATCTAAGATATATTTTTCATTTAAATGTGCACCTTATGGAGCTACAACTTAAAAAAAAGGGACTCCTGTGGTTATACAGTATTTATGTTTACATTTAATTGTTCTTTGAACAGCTAAGCAGAATTTCATTCAGCCAGTTTGCTCTCACTTTGCGATAACAATAGCAGGATATATATTGTATATTGATATTCAGCCTAAATATTAAGGCCCGGCCTATATGGATTTTTTGGGGCTGATACTGATTATTAGGGGGGAAAAAATCCCACTACCGATTAATTGGCCGATTTTTTTAATTTTTAATGAAGTCATAAATATATATATATATATATATATATATATATATATATATATTGTAGATATACTGTAGACTACTGCTCTTCACACCGACAGGAAGACTGACTGATCAAACTCGGACCAGAAAAGCGTTTTCAACTACCCCATCACTGATCGTGCCTTCGCGTCTTAACTCACGTTACTCATTTCCGGTCCGGTCTCATCTGGAGACATGCAGCTGCCTCAGTGAGAGAAGTAGCTCGATCACGTAGTGTGTACTGTTGTTTATTCTACTGTTACTGGCACGACTAACAATGTACCGAGGCTAATAGCAGATGGCTAACTCTAACTTTAGCTTGCATATTACATGGTGTGTCACCGTAAACTCAGCGTGACCGAGACCAGCACAGTGGGGAACATCGTGAAGTGGGTTGAACTGAAACTTGTTGACTTATTGTGTATTTCTCAAACTGGTTTATTTACCGTTCAGGCGGACCACTCTCCTCCTCTCCCTGAGCTGCCTGCTGCAGATCTGTCACTCTGCTGTGAGGTAGTTAGTGGATGAAGATTGTCATGAGGTCGCTGCGCCATCTACTGGATAAGTTGGGGAACTTTTCAAATGGCGAAACATTTTCAAAGTGAAACCAAATCTTATTCTCCACATTTTATTTCTGAAAATATTGGTGAAAATCAGCAATTTTTGGCAGATTAACAATTAGTCTCAAACAAGCTAAAATTGGCCGATTTAATCGGCTTGCCGATAAATCGGTCCGGCCCTACTAAATATATCGGGATATGACTTTTGGTCCATATCACCCAGCCCTACTCCACACCAGACATTTTCCCTGAATAATTTATTTCACTCCCTCCCTTTTGTACCTCCTGCATCAAATCTTTCTTTATTGTCTTTCATTTACAAACAGATGTATGGGCGCTACACCCAGGAGCTGGGGGTGTACGCGAAAGAGGAAGCAGCCCGCCTTCGGGATGGTGGAGCACGAGATGGTGGAGCGCTGCGGAGGAACACCAGCGTCCGAAGTCGTGCTGCAGATCTGCTGGAGTACGAGAAAGACCCCTGTGCTAAGTGTCAGTGTAAGTGATAAACATTTGACAAGTGCTTAACCATCTCCAGAGCTAGCTGGATCAACATTTGCAGTGTACTTGGGACTCCAAAATAATGTGAAGGTCAGACAGAAGGAGGCCTCGGTGCTTGTAAGCTAAGTGGTCCTTGTGTGTGTGTGTTTTTGTAGCAGGTTGTGATGCTTCAGTGAGTGTGCAGTGAAAACATTGATTTCTTTCAGTACAGTAGAGCAGACTCCTGATTCTGGAGAGAGAGGGAGAGGGAGATTAATGGTCAAACGTATCTGATCTGGGCAGTGACATGCTGCCCACAAGGATTGACTCAATGTCAAACAAACATAGCCCCCTCTGCTGGCTGCCAGAGGCCCACCATGTTTGAGAGTTTGTGTAAATATCTGATGTGGACTGTCAGATTATTTTAAGTCTCGTCCTCCCAGATGGATGCAGATAAGGGAGTGGCACCAGAAGAAAGCTTTCCTTCAGACTGATATGATCAGCGGCAGCAAAGTGACAGACTGTGTGTGTATCCAAGGGAGTGAGAGAGAGTGTGTGTTTGCCTCCTCTAAATGTGCTCATTCTCATTCATACTCGAACTTAACCTTCAGTTTCTACGTCGCAGAAATCAAGGGTTTCATTATTTTTCAAGTCAGCACAGGCACAACGCTACTTAAGGGTCATTCATCCAAACTGAAACATCAGAGCCTGTTTCTGCTGGAGAAATAGCCTCTGTAAAAATCTGTTAACGCTGACGTCTAGGGATTATCCTCAGTAGCAAGGACAGTGGAAAGATACATCACAATGTCATTTTTCTATGTTGCAAATCAAGTTCTCCTCATCTGGATTAGCGCTTGTGTCCATAAATGCCGATTTATTTAGCCAGTGGTACTACAATTTCTTTTTTTTTCTTTCCAGTGCTTACAGTTAGAAGCTATAAAAGCTGTCCTCTGAATCACTGTAGATGCTCTGTTTGTTTATAGTAGCTTACATTTAATGATACTTTATCAAGAAACCATTAGAAAATATAGAAATTGTGTCGTAGCACTTGTAGCTTTAGACTTGGGAATTGTACCTTTAGACATCAAGTGTGGTTGATGTTGGGAAGAGGCTCAATACTCACTTTTTTAACCAGGCTTTTCACTAATTGCCTTTTTATATTTCTCTCATTGCAAATGTTCATTTTAATCGAAGTTCTTATTATTTGTTTTATGTCATTTTATTAACTACCTCTGTTCTTAATCTTTTTCTAAATTCCCATCACAGGTTCATACAATATTATTTTCTTGTTTTAGTTCATCAGGTTTTAGTCTTTCTTTTTACGGTTTTCATTTCTATTTTTACCTCCAGCGTTTCCAAGAGGTGGCTCTTTCCTCACGTAATGTCTCGGTGTCAGGCCATGTCTCTCTTACAATATTTCTTAAACGCTCACACTGTGTGCAGTTGTGTGTGTGTGTATGTGTGGGTGAGAGAGTGAGGGTGGGTGTGTTCCTTTGTGTGCCTGTGCGTCCATGGGTGTGTGTGTGGGTGGAAGGGTCGGGTTTTATTGTCATTAATTGTTGGTTTTAGCCTCTGTGAGGCACTTTGAACTGCATTTTTTGTATGAAAAGTGCCATACAAATAAAGTTGAATTTGAATTTGAAGTGCAAGGACCTCCTCCATTATAGAGTTAATATCAGGAGTCCACTGCTAACTTTTATAGGATGATGGCGGAAAAGTGACACACTTGAAAATTTAACTATTCACTTATGAAAGTAAGAAACAGATGTGACTAAGAGTGTCTTGTACTCAAGACACTGGGCACTAAAAACTCCCAGCTGTATTGGCTCTGTGTAAAGAATAGATCCTGGCAGTGTAAAAACGTTGTTAATGGACATAGGCCCTTATAGTAATATATGTTAATAAAACTCTAAATCTTATCCTGGTTTGATCCAGTAGCTCTCGGCTGGAGTTGCATAAAAAATTATGTTAAAATAGCATGTGGTTGATGAATTAGTGAATTGACAAATGTTTAAGTATTAAAAAACTCTAATTTGGGGTTACTGGTTTGAAACAGAGAATGATATTCATGGTAAAAGTAAGAGAAGAAAAAAACAAGTGCAGAGCAAGTGTCCTCACACGTGTTCACACAAGTGAGCCAGCATGGCTGCTTTCCAGGCTCAGTCTCTGCCTCTTTGCCCTTGTGACTAGTGATCTGATTAAAGCTCGATAAATTGCACCATAGGTGAAAGCCGCACTATATTTGCCAGGTCCCGCTCCCTTGCTGGCTGTAATGGAAGCCATTTAAAACAATCACTTTCAGATCAGGAGCCAGCCGGAGTGATTTGTGTGCTGGCTGTCTGTGTGTGGTGTGTGCTCGTAGATCAAGAGGTGTTTGTATTTTTAGTCTTGTCTTTAGATAGATGCCCAGGCTGGACAGGCGCTGATGTTGTTGTTAGGTAAAGTGTGAAGAGAGAACCCTCAGTTTGGGTGGAAGTGGGAGGTTTTTTTCTGTGTTTATCTGACATGTATCTACTGTAGCTGTGTGGGAACATCATCTTTGTGGGTGATGGACTACGAGTGTTTAAGCTTTGTAACAGGAGCCGCAGCTTATGAACAAGGCAGCCTACACATGCTGCCAAAGGCTCTGCTGCTGGTCATGGTGGAGAGCTAAAATAAAGTACTGCCTCACTGTTTATTTGGACTCAAAGAGAGAACATTTCTGGGTTTTTTTTACCTGTTGTCAAGCCCAGACATTTGCTCCCTCGGTTACTTCAAGGACTGTTTTGTGGCTTGTTTTATTTTGCCTCTGAAAATATTGCTTACAGGTGAAAAATGTCTCTTTTATTTTGACTTTTGTTGCAGATTACAGCTTGTTGGCTTCAGATGATGCATTGCAGAGGTGCAGAAAATGTCTGGCAAGGGTGGGATTTTTTATTACAAGATCAAGAGCAGACATCTGTGGACGCCACTGAGCCTGCGGATGTGAACGCAGGCCAAGATGCGCACCAAGTATGAGGCTTTGCAGGTGCCAGGCGAGCAGAGTATGTGTGTATTTGTGAGAGAGGGAGAGTGAAAAGAAGTAAAAGCTATGTCAATGGGAACTTCCCCAGTGCCTTTTAACGTAGGATTTCCAAATGAGCCCAAATAGAAATGACAGATCCAGAGAAATATGGTAGTTTGATCCCCAAACACACATTCACATTATGAGTTTACTCAGTTTTTGGCCGGTTTGTTGTCACATGCACATGATTTTGTGGCTTTTTGACGTCCTCTGTTGGAAACTGGCCATCCAGCAGGTGGCCTGGAGACCGGGCAGCTTGCCCCGTCATGCAAACAGTCGTGCCCCGCCTCCCTCTGGATGCTCAGCCTCCCCCCTGTGACCTGAATCCTGAACCAGACAGACTGCTGTAGTGTCTGACTTTGTACTCTTTCCTCTTTCTACACAATAGCAGTGACATTTAAAACAAAAGGTATGTTAGTTGACATGCCCTTTGAAATGACAGAAAACAACAAATTGGGAGAAGTTTGTTTTCTGTCAGTTCTGCACATATTGTAGGAGATATATTTTTGGATTAGATTAACCTGGTAAATGTAGATGATTTATAGTTTTGATTTGAGTAATAGTTCTGAGGCTTTTGTTTACTTTGCTGCTCAGACTAAGTCTGTCACTACTGCAGCTGACACACATTTTGACATAAATGACGCAGATGTCTCGACCTTTGCAACTGTTCCCTGGATTGCAGGGCAGAATCTTGCTCCTCATTTCCTTATCAGAGATGGTTGGGGTCCAGCAGCTTCTCCAGCAACTCTAACATCTGTACCTGGTCACAGTCATTGTTTACCGACTCTGAAGACCAGCCTCAGATTGAAACTATATTTTCCACTGTGTCAACTGGCAGCGATAAAACGTGTCATCTTTCTAGCTGATTGATTTGATATGTGTGTAATCAGATTTCTCTAAGTGTCACTTTAGCGATTTAGAGTAATTCACTGTTCCTGTTTGACCATAGACTGTATATACTTTTGACAACTTGGTCCCGCCTTCCACCAGTATACGGATTTGAGGCCAAAAAGCCCTCTGCAATTCTGCATTTTTTCTCCACTTCCTGAAACCAACATTGCACAGAAGCATTGTACACATTTAGCAGGAGTGTCGCAGAGAGTTGCTCTGTTGACGCTCGGCTCAAACAGCGTATCCCACAGGTGAGCTACGCATTCTTCAAACTCCCATAGGCTGTATCAAGTGTCAATCATAGAAAACATTAACCCTCAATAACTTTTGAAAACGGAGCTGTACAGAAAAAAGAGGACTTGAGCATAAACCAGTCTTACAGTAACTACATATCAACATCACAATTAATTTCTAAAGTTTGTCCACAGCCCCGTAAGGATGGCGCGTTATGAGTTAAACTGCAGCCCATCACTGGAGTGTGCTGTTCTCGTGGTGGCTTCACTCAGCGAGGAGGCAGACGCTGTCCATTCTATATACAGTCTCTGGTTTTGACCAATCAGAATAAAGTATTTAACACAACTGAGTAAAAAAAATAGCTTTGAACTCCAGGCCAGGTAATATTTGATCATGATCTAATCTTTTCACCATTATGAAATGTCACACAATTGTGTGAGTGACTAAAATGATGCAGCGCCTACCTTTGTCACCGAAAGGTCAAAGGTCCACTGTGATATTATTATGTCCTGACAAAAGTCAATAGTCCTTTTCATTAGTGAGTCTGCAACATGCTGTAATGCAGCTCTGCTGTCATTAGGCCATCGTACTTTCATATTGATCTTGTGGTGTGGTAATAGCAGCGTATGACAGTGTATGATGTCACCTTACGTTGTGGCGGCACAGAAGCATGAGGGGTCGACACACAGCGTGAACTTCACATAGACTTGGACAGGCAGAAATTCAGAGCACTGCTCCAAAGCCATCTGAGCAGCAGGGTGAGATCTCTTCTGACCCCTTTGAGACAAATGTGTTGATTGTGAGAAGGTTCAGGGGCAAAAATATGGGTCCTTGATCGGGGGTCATCAACAGGGGTAGAATCACATCAGTGGGATTCTCATTTGGTGACAGTTTTCTGTGGTGCTGTGTTGAAACAGTGGCGATTATCTGGATTATTTTGTGCTGCTTATTTGATGATAAGTCTGAAGAATCTAGGGCTGGGTGATAAACTGAAAATTTACAGATACCGAAATTTACGACAATAACCGGCCTCATTTTGCCCATATCTGTATATTCAGTGTCAAAAATAAATAAATAAAAGTTGTTTTTGGATGTGTGTAGGTAGGCTATGGTCTCATGTCCCTTTAAGACGCTGTCCTACATCAGAGACATGACTCCACCCCATCCAGTCCATAACAAAGAGAGAAAGACAGGTGAGGAGATGGAGGACGGTTCAAAAGTTGTAGCAGGTGGCTGAAGTTGATGAAGTTAACGTGGGAGGGGGTTAACAGCTTGTGGAGTAGTTATCGTCCATTTATCGTTATCAAAGTGAACTGCTCAATATATCGTGATATTGATTTGAGGCCATATCGCCCAGCCCTAGTAGAATCTGACATTAAGTTCTGTCCACTCTAATAGCTTCAATTTAATTAAATCAGCTCTATATAGCTTATTAACCACATACAGCAAACCTGACTTTGTGTTGGTTGCTCTTGTTTAAATGCACATAAATGTTATGAGAGCTCAATCTAACCAGAGGGGTCCCGTTTATATTACACGATAATTTGTGCAAAGAATCCCTTGCCAAGACAGCAGCAGAGTTTTAAAAATGTTTTAATACGAGTGGTTGGCAGAGACAGCCAGCTCTCACTGTGAAATGATCTGATGGAAAAGCAGCAATGTGTTAATCCTTTTGTTCAAACTTTTTGACTGTGAGGCAGAGTCTCATTTGTTTGTGGAAAACAAAAAAATTGACAAAGAGAAAATCGTTTCTTTGTCGGGGGATATTTACAGAGGCGGATTAACAAACATTTCTGGCAGATTTATTTGGGATCCACTCAAATGTACTTCATTGCTCATGGTTTATAAAGAAGTATGCCGCTTGGGTTATAATGATTGGTTTATCAATTGAACCACAGGCAAACCCACTCTGCAGCCAGATAAGTTATTTCAAGCAATATTTCAAAGTTTGTTCGGTCCAACTTTTCTACAGGAAGACTTCCAGTACAAAAAAGGAAAAAATTGTACAATTAGTGCAGTGGTTCTCAAGTCCAGTCCGCCCGTCCTGCATGTTTTGGATGTTTCCCTGCTCCAACACACCTGATTCAAATGATTAGCTCGTTAGTAAGCCATTACAGAGCTTGATAACGAGCTGATCATTTGAATCAGGTGTGTTGGAGCAGGGAAACATCCAAAACATGCAGGACTTGAGAACCACTGAATTAGTGTTTGACAACAGAACATATAGACAGAAGTTGATGATTTTTGAAGAGGATTAGATGTCAGAAAAATGACAGGAAATAATACTGTAGGCCCCTGCTTCATTTTTATCCCCAAACCATCTTCCAAGATCTATCCCCTCCGTCTTTTCCCTCCCTCTGTCTGTCCTGTTGTCATTCAGAGATCAGTTGCTTTCCTGGTTTCCCTTAAAACACATCAGAAGTAGTTTTTCACGACTAAATAGGCGTCTGCAGCAACAGTCGCATTTGTCTCAAATACGGATCTGGTAATTGTGTTAGTAGCACAATTTCAGCTTCTCCAGGGACGAGCACATCTATGAATGCTCGCTCTGGATGTGGAAGTGAATTCCAGGCTTTGGTAATGTCCGTAGACAAAAATGAAGAAATGAGTCCAGTGATGCTTCTTTTAGCTGACCTAGCTCAGAGTTATAGATTATAATGTGACATTAGAATTTATAACCATGACCCAGCTTTTTTTTCTCTCTAGATTCTGTCTCTTCCTCTCTTTTTTTTCCAGGTGATATTGGGGTCTGAAGACCAGAGAAAGCACTACATCAACACAGTCCGTTAAGTTCACGTGTTGCTGGCATCAAATCTAAAATATATCTAATTAAACTTTCTTGTTTTTGTTTCATTATCTTATAACTTGTCTTTACATTATTGTCACTTATACAGGATTTTATTTTTATTTATATTTTTCACAATGTTTGAATATTTTTGGATTTGAGGTTGCAGTTACACATCAAAATACATTTCTTACCGCGTTTTATAACAGCAAACGTCTTTAGCCTCTTGTTAACATAAAGCACAAAGCTGAGATTTACTTCTCCAACATGTAAAAAAATTTATTGCCAAGGCAGTTACAACAGACATAAAGCTTTTTGCCTCTGTGTACAGACGTCAGTGAGCAGGAGCTGCTGAATGTGACTTACGTCTTGCGAGTTTACACATGATGGAAATATTGAACAGTTAATAAAACAGCTAAGTTACAATGACGCTTTAGATTTTTATCAGCCTCTCTATGGGAAAGTTTGAGCTATAGCCTGAATATCTGTTATGGCTGACATTAGAATGAACTCTCTGTTGAAGATAACATCAGACAAGGTAAAGGGGACTTATCTGTCCTCAGCTTGGAGCTAAGCAGTCAACACACCTTTTAATATAAGTCATGTTTATTTCACATTTTTTTGCTATTATCCCTGCTGCTTAAACTCTGAGTCATTTTTTGGGATTACCAATTTCTAATGCTATCATCAGCTCTGTTTCCATGGCCTGGATTGCAGGATACTCCAGGGATGGTTGTGGTTCAGTGGCTCCATGGACTGTTCTCACACTGTCAATATTTTCTGGTTTTTGCCACATTATTAAAATAAAATGTTGACAGATGCTACCTCCTTTTGCCATGTTTTAGTAAATGTGCTGGACTCTTTTCTTGTGATTAATTTGATTTATAGATTTTTGCTTTTGCAGTTGAAAATGTATTTTTTTGTTGTTCGTGGGTTGTGAACAATCAGAATCAAGTATTCAACACAGCTAGGGAATAACCAAAGATATGTCATTTAAAGCTTTAACAGTGGTATAAAGATACTGTTTGTGTCACAAATAAATGCATCTTTGCTCTGATAATTTAACCTGTTTTGTTTCTTTCACAACAATGTGGTGTGTGTGTGTGTGTGTGTGTGTGTGTGTGTGTGTGTGTGTGTTTTAAGTTACTCTGAGGCTTTTAATTTTTGTCATTTTTGGATGTTTTATTATTTTTTCATATCTATAAAAACAGGGTTCCTACGCAGTTGGAATTTCCATACTTTTCCATACCCTACCTTTTAGAATTATTTCTGGACACACCTGCTTTTCTTTTTTAGGAAACTGTATTTTATAACTGTGGTAGTCTGTTAACATAATATTTTTCCATACTATATTTTTCATTTACCATACTTTTTAAGACCTGGAAATTGATCAAATTACTTCCATACTTTCCATACTTGTGGAGGAACCCTGTAAAAAGTATTTTTGAGTGATGTAAAGCAGTTTGTTCGTTTTACACCCCCATTGTGTCTCACATTAATACCCCCATTCTTTCTCTTTTCCTTTTTTTCATTACCTCATTTTTTCTCTCTGTCTCTGTCATCCTCAGTCCTCAAATCTTGATAAATTACTCCCCCTATTTTTTACCTTTGCTTCCCTTTCTCTCCCCCTCTTTATCTCTGTGCTCCCAGCATGTGCATCTCGCTGTCAAAAGTTCCTGATCTCTCGGGTTGGGGAGGACTGGATCTTCCTAATTCTGCTGGGCTTGCTCATGGCTCTGGTCAGCTGGGTCATGGACTACGCCATCGCCTTCTGCCAAGAAGGTAAGAAAGAGACAGAGAGCCAGAAGGGGGATAAGATAACAGACTGTTCTCTCAGAGGCGGCCAAGTTGTGTAATAATTACAACTATTAATAATTTATGATGACAAGCAAACGGGCGTAGTCAGGTATGCTACAAGAGTAGGAATGATAATGAAGTATTAATACAGATTGACTGGCTTTCTGCCATCAGGTTTTATTGATCAAGCCATTAAAGTGACTGTCATCGGTATTTAAAGGATCAATTAATATGATCTGCACTCACAAGTGGCTGTAAAATCGTCCTGGCACTTGGATTAATGGCTGAGTGCTAACCTCTTGGTTTCAGAGTTCATTATGATGTATTATCTTGACATAAAATATAAGTCCCTCTTTCTAAGGTTGTGTAATATTCTGAAACAGATGGTTACAGTGAGTTTATGGAGATGAACAAATAAAGAGTTTTACAGATATGTGGAAACTGAAGGTGCTGATCTGTAACAGGAGGAATTTTGTTAACTGAGGATTGTTTTCTCATTAGTTGTAGTCGTCATTCAGCTTCTAAACAGGAGCCTCTTAACCATTTATTAAAATCCAGTCCAGTCATAGAGCGCAGGCACACATCACACCTGCTTCTCCAAGACAACATCTAGCAGAAAAGGGTTACTCCGCTAATTTTCAGCAGGTCAAATCTTATTCAGTCATACTGCGATCAGATGTGCTGTGTTGTAATGCAGCCAAACTCATTATTTAATCATTCCCACCCACATATTTTCTGTTTCTGTTATCCAGAAAAAAATAAGAGAAACTGCCCAGTGAAGAATTAAAACAGATACTTGTTGATTTTGTGTTCCACACATTCGCAAAAAGGATTAACAGTGTCTCAAACAGAGAAACTGAATTCACCTTGCAGTTTTCCTGTTTGATCCACCCTCTTTAAGACAGACGCACAGGCCAGGCAAGCAAGGGCAACACAGTCACGTAAGAACAATGATATAATTTCATTAATCATTTATCCTTGAACTCATCTGGTAAACTGCCTGGTTTGCTCTTTGCAAATGACTTCATCTGCTTATATCAGGGAGAAATTACAGCCATCTGTGCGGTGAAGCTAAGTTACAGCTAGCAGCAGTGTAGCCTTACCTTGCTTGCTTGCAAATTTTAGTGCCACCAAAATACTATCTATATGACACTGATCAGGTGTCCATCAATTACTTGTTAACTGGAACTTTTACATTGTTGGAGAAGCGCTTTGCATAACGACAAAAGCGGAGTACCTGGAAATGTGTTAGAGGTGGAGTAGGCAGGATCTGAGGAAGTGCCAGTTTTGGGGAGAAAAATGTAAACACTACCCCTCCAAACCATTTTCCCCTCAGCTTCTCCTCTCCCCTCCCTCTCTGCTCCAGCAAGCCCCGCCCACAAACAGACGCTCCTGCTCACTCGTATCGTTCCAGTTAAATTCAAATATAATGCAGATAAATACTTCAGATAATTACAAATGGGGCCCAGTCAATGTGAAAGTAAAAAGCATAGGCGCTACTGTAGATGCCAACAGACTACCAGCAAACACAATGTTTTCAGGACTTCTACAACTTGGATAAAGTGACTAAGGTATTCCAGGACCCGAGGTTAACAGTTTAGCGGCGCTATGAAACGCAGTAGGTCCCGTTTGACAAGAAACACTTCTGTTACACTTGGCTTACTTTGTTAAAGCGGTTTACTTGTCCAGCAGAAAGACCCTAAAGCGTCCCCCATCATTGTTGACCCGGCTTTTTTACCTCCTTTTTAAGCGCCCATTATTCCACCAGAGTCTCCGGTATTTACTTTGTTTTATTGCTTGTGTTGGCAGTCACGGCTAAAGGATGATTCAGACAATTTTCTGTACTTTCTGGTTGGTTTCTACTGTCCGATATTGTAGCACGCTAACTTTGTTTGCCGGGGAGCAGCGTCTGCCTCACAACCAATCAGGTTTGGGGAGGCGGAGAATAGCTTTGTTTACAGTCAGAAAGAGCGGAGCGCTCAAAAATTTTAAAATGTTGACTACACAGACATAACAAAACACAGCGATATCGTTATATTACCATTCTATTACCATTATATTAATGTCATCAATAACTAATAGCTATCGACTGATATTAAAAGTTTTCTTGTATATACACCACAAAAAAAGATGCTTCTTGAATGGATTCCTGCCTACCCCACCTTTAATCATTGAAAGCGTGTTTGTAAGACCTCCTGGTGTAAAAATCGAAAGCACTGAAGGAGGCAATTTTCAGGACAGACATTTTCCTCTGATCCAAGAGAAATCGCTGTGCTGTGTTTCATGATACGGTATTTAACGACGTGGAATTGATAGTGAGGGAGATAAATGATGAATGAGGATGAGGAGGTCACTGAGAGGCGGGAAGTTGGGAAACGCATGAATGCCGCAGAGGTGGAAAAAAGCGAAGGTCAAAGAGAGGTTATAAGGTAATGAGGGCTTGAGTAAATCTCCTGGCATCAGATGAATCTTAATCGAACAGGAAAAAAAATCTTCTAACGTGGTTCGGTGTTGCTACTGCATTATACTGAGAGGAAGTTACCTTTGTGCGTTTGTGTGTGTGTGCAGCACAGAAGTGGATGTATGGTGGACTGGACAGTAACTTGCTCCTGCAGTACATCGCTTGGGTCACCTACCCTGTAGTGCTCATCACTTTCTCAGCAGGATTCACACAGATACTGGCTCCCCAGGCCGTGGGTAAGAAGCACACATGCAGACTAACACACACTCATTGACCCGTTATGCTGAGTCCTATGTGTTCATAGCTTTAATTCCTGGTCACATTTCTTTGTTTGAATATTGAGATTAGCTCCATAATGCAGCACGAGTCCTCCAAGGACATGTGCAGTATGACTCTCTGTGGTCAAGTCTGCAGGATATCTGTAAATCATACCTTTTAATGCAATGTGCATACAGGAAACTATATGAATATCAATCAGCTTCCCTCCCTCCCCCTTTCTTGCACATCTATTCTCCTCATCCCTCTCTGAAATTGCTTTCTTTCAATTCTTCTTTGCCTTTCACTCCATCATCCCACCTGGCAACTCTTTCTCTACTCCTCAGGTTCAGGTATTCCTGAGATGAAGACTATACTGAGAGGGGTGGTCCTGAAGGAGTACCTGACTTTTAAGACATTTGTGGCCAAAGTTATCGGTTTGACCTGTGCTTTAGGCAGTGGGATGCCTCTTGGAAAGGAGGTATTTTTCCTTTCATCTTTGCCCATCACAGTCTTGACTGTAAAAATCACTTAGACAGTTTTTTTTCTGTCCTCCACGCTTTATTAATCTTGCTTCCTCTGATCTCATCAAAGTCATGGCCGTGAAAATAAAAAGGTGTTTTACAGCTGATAACATTTCCAATTTTGTTTGGTCAATAAAGTTGCTAAACCTAAATCAAAGCGAGGTTTCGAAATTGCTCCTGAACTTAAATGCTGCATGCTCTACTCTTTGAGTCACATCCTGTCTACTAATCTGCTGATGTCTCTCCATCCTGCCACTCAGGGTCCTTTTGTTCATGTTGCCAGCCTGTGCGCCGCCCTCCTCAGCAAATTCATGGCTGCTCTTTTTGGAGGGATTTACATGGTGAGGATGTATTGAATAGCAACGCAGATTCACAGACGAACTGATGTACAAGTTAAAGTTGTATAAATTTTAAGCCTCTGATGACTTTGAAGATTATTTTACTCTAAATATTGCTGCTTGCAAATCTCAGACCAATTTGAATTTTACACTTTCACTTTTTAAGACTCATCCAATGATATTTAAATATAGATAGATAGATAGATAGATAGATAGATAGATAGATAGATAGATAGATAGATAGATAGATAGATATTCTTTTTGTTGTGTTAATTGATTAAAGTCAAGCATGAAAAATTGTATACATCTGCAACAGGTAGTGTTACCCTGCCATATCTCTCCCTTAACCCTATATTGCCTTTTGTATCATATATGATACATACTTTTATGATACTTCTATCAAATCATTAATGATCAACAAATTATTTAAAAAAAAAACACCTGAATACAGTCCAATAAATGATAAAAATGTCCTCTTGTGGTTTATCAGTTATCAAAAACATCTAATGTATCAAACGAGATAAATAAATAAATTTGTCAAATTTAAAGGACATTTAGATTTTTTGATTTTCAGTAGTAAGTGAAATAAACATTTCAGCTCCAAAAGAAATGGAGTTTTCTGGCCATAATTTGTGGTTTCAGGCATTAAAAGGTTAAGCTTAAATGATCTTGCTTCTTCAGTAAAAAAAAAAACCAATAATCATAAATCACAGATTTAAGCATTAAAGGAATAGTGTTCCAGTTTTGTAAATGTCATGCAGAAGACCAGAGATGCGGCTTTCTAAGGGTTACAGAACAAAACACCACTTTTTATACTCTTAATCAAACTCATTTAAATGTCTGAGTTTAAAAAGTTGAAGATGGTGGAAGATGTTGTAGCTGAAGAGCATTTCACCCTCTTCATGCTCAGACAGATTTTTGTCTGCCCTGATTTTGATCCAAACCATTTATCACACAAGTGGTTGGTTTACCACTCTTTTGTGGACAATTATAATCACTGGTGCTGATATGAATTGTTCCAAAACCTGTTTTTTTCATTATTAGTCCAATTAGATTATAAATGTAAATGCAAATGTAAATGTTCTTTATTTATACAGCCCTTTATAGCAACCTTCTCGGGGAACCAAAGTGCTTCACATTACGTAGTAAATAAAAATGAATGAATAAAAACAATAAAAAGCAATAAAAACAATAAAAAGCAATAAAAAAGAATAAGATACAATGCAATAAAATAAAGTGTCACCACACTACTGGGTATTAAAAGCCAACATATTTAATTCTGTTTTTCAATCGAGATTGGAAAAGGCCCAGGACGTAAATAAGTCTCATTGTGGTTAATATGATACTTAAGAAGCCATATTAATTGGAGGACAAATTCCTACTATGTCAGACCATAAACTGTGTAACAGCTGGAAACCAGGTCACAATGCTCCTCCCGCTGTGACAGGACAAGTCAAAAGACTGCCTTGATAAGTGCTGACATACTGTGTTTGAGGAGCCATGCACAGATGCAGTATATCCTATAAAGCCATGGGCCTAAAGTCACAGTCCTTCCGCTAACCAAATCATGCAGCTCATGAATTCAACATCAGAGAGGTCTCAGGTCCAAACAGGCCACAGCTGAACAGATTCATGCTCCTCTGCTAATCCAGAAAAAAAGACTGCTTTAAGAGCGGCATCTTTCAACAGAGCTGTCTGTAAACCATCTTTCACCGACTCATAACATAACTAAACTTCCCAGAGCATGGATCAGCATTATAAGAACTAAATTTGATATCAAAAAGCATGTTTGACTGTGTTTTAATTTTGTAGTTTGACCCACGTCTCATCTGTTGATAATGAAGGAGGCGGGGCTTATGAATTATTCTGCAGCCAGTCAGTAGGGGGAGCTCTAAATGTTTTGGCTGATTAGGTTCCAAACCCCTTTTTTTGTACCCAGTTGTATGTTTATTTTTGTAGTTAAAATGGGGCATTTTAATGTGGGTGGTAATGGGGTCTCCTGAGCTTTTGGAGCCAGCCTCAAGTGGACACTTGAGGAACTGCAGTTTTTAGCGCTTGCACATTAACTTCATTTTTTAACACTGAAGGTTGCAACTTGCTCCGGAGATTATTTAAAGGCTATGTTTTAACTAGCTGACAAACCCTTTTTTTCCTATTCCTCTGCTCAGTACAAGCACAGCAGCAGATGGTGAAACTAGAGGCCATCTTTAACCCTTTAATTACCCTTTAACTTTCACTCTTCAGGTCAAAGTTTTTTTAGCAGTCCTAATTGTTTTTTGTAAACACCTCTCATGTTTCCTTGATTTTCTACCGCTCCCAGGACTCACACTCTCACCTCCACTCATGTGAGACCTCACCGTGACCTTCTGTTAAGTCCTGCCCTGGACTTTGGGCTGTGTGCTTCTCCTGCGTTCCCCAGCAGCACCATAAGTACAAAGAAGACAGACGGCAGTGATGTGGGGATGGGGAAAATTCCCGTCAGCACTGTTAGAGATAGTCCCAGGCGTCAACAATGTGGCCATTAAACATAATTACTCTGGGAAAATGTTAATTCGGTTCGCAGAAGAATCAAGACTGTGTTTGCTGAAGCTGTCTCTGCTTGTTGACTTTGTGTGGTCTGGATAATAAGTTGGATGACTTCCAGTAGCAAACAAAAGGTAACCTCTACACTTGCACAAATCACACTCACATACTTCTGTCTTTTGTGTGTGTTTTTTCACTTTCTCTGCTAAAGGAAGAGCCCTTTGAGGGAAGCAAGGTATGAATGCACGAACCGAGTAGTTTCTTTATTGCCAATTCCATCGTCATCAATAATCCATGTTGTCCATTTCAGAAGCTGAAATAGATTGATGCCTTTCTATATGTGTGCGCTGTTTGACGCTGTTCAGTGGACCGTCACAGTGAGGCATCGATCCGTGCTGCCATTGCTTCTCTGCGAACACCTCATACCATGATTTCAACTCTCAGTCCTCCTGGCTTTGCAGTTATTGCTTCCATATCCCTTCACTTCATGCAGTCCTCGTGGATGTGAAAAGACAGGGCAGCAGCTTTTAAGTAAAACTGTTGCATTTGTAAAAAGTTCCTGACTTTGATTTTCATTGAAAACACTATTGTGGTGTATTGTGTGTGTCTGTGGTATTTTCTTGTGTACTGTATGTACTGTACAACCGTTGGCATTTGAGTGTGCGTATGTGTTTGCTTGAATGCTTGTGTGTGTGTCTGTATGTGTGTCTGTATGTGTGTATATTTGATTTTTGTCGGACAGAATGAGCTGAGGAACACAGAGATGCTCTCGGCTGCTTGTGCAGTGGGGGTCGGCTGCTGCTTTGCTGCCCCAATTGGAGGTAAGAAAAACATGGCTGCTGCACACTCTGATTTAACGCAATCTAATTATGTTAGGTAGGTGTGGGATCTAATTAGGTGAGAATATTTACACCCCCACCCCTAGGTAGGAGAGCGGGTGCCACTCTTGGTCAGATCATCTCTCGAACTTCTTGATTTAGAGCAGAAATTCAAATCTATCCACTTTTGGCCATCCAGGTGTTAAATTTGGCGCTGACGTCAATCTCAGAGGATGTCTCTCTCTGTTTTAGGTGACCCTGTGTCCTTCCCTCTAGCTGCACTCTTGAGTCAAACAACCTTGTTTCAATTCTCAAGTTTATCAGAGAGTTCAGCTCATTGTTTGGCTGTCTATTTTTTGGACAACTTTGCTGGTTCACTTTTTTCATTTGCGGGTTTCATTAAAACAGTCTAATTGGGTCCAATTAAACCTAGTGAAACAGTGAACATTAAGATATAAACAGTCTGTACTAATAGCAACTTATTTTTGTACAAAGCGGCAGGTGAAGTTCAATCATAGTGGCTGGAAAACAGACAGAGCAAAATAAGCTACTTTTACCTGGAGATTCATGGTCTCTTGAGGATGAATCTTCATGCTTTTTGTAATATCCTGATGATTTCCCTCATGCTTCCTAAGGGTCAAATTCTGACTTTTAACAAAACTTGGGTCCATGTCAAAAAGATAACATCTGTGCCTTCAGATCAAAATGTCATTCAAAATGGTGTAAAATACAGTTGTGTATCCTTGAGTTTAGTCATCAGCCCTTAAGCATATAGGCATATCAATTTTTACAACCTTGCTCCCTACATGACGAACTTTTGAGAAATATGTTTTAAGAATAGTTTGCAGAGTAGAAACCTTTCCACATCCAGCCTTATCCAGAAAGGTTTCAGTGTATGCATTGTGATACGTCTCTGTTTTTGAGTAAATTAAAGGTATATGAGATGTTAAAATGTTCCTCAGCTAATTTTGAGAGATGCTGTAGAAGTCTTTGTAGATGTGATACCATCAATGCTTTTTTATGTGAAGATGCTTAAAATAAAGCTGAGAAAGTTCCATAAGAGTTTGTGTTTGTGTAATTCAGGGGTGCTGTTCAGCATTGAAGTCACTTCTACGTTTTTTGCGGTGAGGAACTACTGGAGGGGCTTCTTTGCTGCCACCTTCAGTGCCTTTATATTCAGAGTGCTTGCAGTGTGGAACCAGGAGGAAGGTAAACACTTAAATAAGACAAAAACAAAAGCATTGAGGAAACATTTACTTTAGAGCCAGTGTTATATTTGGGAGTACAGTCTGCACAGATTGAAAACAGTCCCCTCTTTCCTCAGAGACCATCACTGCACTCTTTAAAACCCGTTTCCGCCTGGACTTCCCGTTTGACCTTCAGGAGCTGCCTGCATTCGCCATTCTCGGGTGAGTGTGTTTCTTAGGAATATTTCCACAGTACACTAATCCCAGAGCAGTTTGAATTACCCAAGAGATCTGAGCTCTAATGCAGCCCTGTTCTTCTGTGCAGTCTCCTATCCAGAGTCTGAAGGTTAACGTGTTTTTGATGAATGGGGCATTAAATTAACTTTTTACTCCGCTGATTACGAGTTGAGACTGTGTGCCAAAATATGTTAATGGACAAAAACAAAACATCATTTGACAAATTATGGTACTTTTTTCCTCAAAGCCTAACACTTTGTTTTTTTTAGGATTGCCTGTGGTTTTGGTGGAGCACTGTTTGTCTACCTGAACCGGCTGATTGTGGAGTGCATGAGGAAACAGAAGACCATAAACAAGTTCTTGCTGAGGAAGTGAGTTTCTGATCTCTGATAGTGAACCTTTTTTTAATGGTTGTAATGAAAGGAAAGGCACTTAGTGTTGTCTTGCAGAGATCTAGATATCATGGATAGGTATGACTCTTATGTCTAAGTGGGACATTGGCCTAGCTTACATTAGCATACAGCCTTAAACACAGAGAGAGCTATTTTTGATTATCCGGACTTATACTTATTACTACGAAAGAGGATTAGGGCCACATGAAGAGAAAAAAATTATTACAAGGAGGAGATTGAAGTTTAAATTTTGAGATTAAAAAATCAAAATTATGTCAGTAAAGTTGAAATTTTGAGATTAAAAATTGAAATTTCGAGACTGAAGTCCAAATTTCGAGATTACAAAATGTTGTGAATAATGACGAAATTTCAAGATTAAAAATTAAAATTTTGAGATTAAAGTCAACATGAACAATGTCAAAATTTCGACTTTTTAAAATTTCGATTTAATCTCGACCTTAACCTTGACATTTTTACTTTAATCTCAAAATGGAAATTTAAAAAATCTCCCTCCTGTAATTATTTTTTTCTCTTCTTGTGGCCCTAATCCTCTTTAGTGTAATACAAATAAAACACAAATAAACCAAGAAAAATGTCTCACTTAACTTTCGCTTGTTATAAGTACACTTCTGTCTATTGCAAGACCAGTGAATATTTGTACCAAAATAGACACGTAACTAAAGATAGCTAAACTAAAGAGTTTTACCACATTTTCTTGTGAAACTTCTTTCTCAAACTCTGATCTTCTTGGGGTTTGGCTAACATACCACATATAATGATATTGTACATACTTAACACGACAGCTAAGATATGTTCTCACAAATTATAGATCGCGTACCCCTACTGGCAGTGGGTGGGTATTGTCAGGCTCAGTCAGGTTATTTTCTTCCAGTCTAAATGCTAAGCTAAGCTTAGTGGCTGGTGGATGTTGCTTTGACCTGGACATTACAGAAGTGTTGATCAGATAGTCTAAATCTCTGCAAGAAACAAAATGAACATACTTCCCTAAAAACTTTATTTTCATTGAATTCCTAGAAATATTTAAGCGACAACAAAACTCAAAATTTAACCAGTCAAACTGTAAATAAAACCAAACTGCTCACATGCCCCTAAACTTGTATTTAAGTCACAATGTTGATAAAGTTTTGGGAAGTGTAGGATCAGCGTGACTATTTTAGCTCTTTCCTCTGAAGTATTCTCATACAGAGCAGTGTGACAGGCACGCCCATTAATGACCCAGCAGTCCATCTCTTCCTGTCAGGCGTCTGGTTTATCCGGCTCTGGTCACCCTGCTGGTCTCCACGCTCACGTTCCCTCCGGGCTTTGGACAGTTCATGGCTGGACAGGTGAGAAAATACTTTCACACTCTCATGACAGTATGAAAGCACGCTGTTAGAGGACTGATGGTGATTCAAAGTGAGAGTTGATGTCAGACTGAGGGTCATTTTGTCTTGTTTGTATTTGATAGAAGAAGCCATCTAATAGCTGTAATGTTTACTAAAACACTGATGCCCCTGCATAGTGTTTACAGTTGGGGTTTTCTACCATGCTTCTCAATAAATGATTGGTAAAAGCTGCATTTTATGAATAATAAAAAAACAATATCATATCTGTTACACATTCCCTGTGCTCTGCTGTTGACCTTGTGAGACAACATTGGCCTCCTGAACCAGTCTGTCAGATGTTTGTGGGGGGTAGATAGACCTTTAGATAACTTTGTTCCCCTTTTGCCGAACCGTCAGCTGACTCAGCACGAGTCCCTGGTCGCACTTTTTGACAACCGCACGTGGTGCCGTCAGGGCGTGGCAGAGGAGTTTGACTACATCAGCCACCACCATGCTTGGAAACACCCCCAGGTCAATGTTTTCATCACACTCATCCTCTTCATCATTATGAAGGTAGGATTTCACCTTAAGCGTGTCTGGGAAATGTGAAGAATATGAAAAATGTTCAGACTTTTCAAAGGATCTCTGTCTTTTGCCAGTTTTGGATGTCTGCTGTGGCCACCACCATGCCTGTTCCTTGCGGAGCTTTCATGCCGGTTTTTCTCATTGGTGAGTTTAACCTCCCTTTTCTTTTGGCAACAGTCAGAACACCTAAAAATAACTTCTTATTTCCTCTGTGCGTGATTGACAGGGGCAGGATTTGGCAGACTTGTTGGAGAGATCATGGCTGTCATGTTTCCAGATGGAATACATGCTGACGGCAGCGTGTATCCCATAGTTCCTGGTGGTTATGCTGTCGTAGGTTAGTTTCTATATATTTTTCCCCATATTTAGATGGATATATTTTTACACAACGCTCCCTAATTTCAGAATCATGTTTTCTGATTTCCAAACTACCCCTGCTCTTACCATTGTGATTAAAATTGCTGCCAACCTGCAGCCATTTTCATCACTTTTCTACCAGTCCTAAAATGTGACTGATGAAAATTGGTTACGCTGGAGTTGAGTGCTAAAAAAAGGAGTCATTGAATCAGAAATTGCCATGGATGTGACTCACTATGTAGTGTGAGAGGAATGTGCGAAATGTTATGAATTGGAGTGACATTTTGCAGGGATTATTATGATTAGCTGTCTACATTTAATAAAACGCCGAGTTTTTCGCAGTTATAAAAAAAATCACAGTTTTTCACTCCTCAGTCGCTTAATCCGTCTTTACTTAGTGTATGTAAACAGATTTTTAAATTACTAGACAGGAAAATCTTTCTTTACTTCGCTCTCTCTCGCCTACCCAGGTGCTGCTGCATTGTCTGGAGCAGTCACCCACACTGTATCCACAGCGGTCATAGTGTTTGAGCTGACTGGTCAGATCTCCCACATCCTGCCTGTGATGATCGCTGTGATCCTAGCCAACGCTGTGGCCCAATCGCTCCAACCATCACTTTACGACTCCATCATCCGCATCAAGAAACTTCCCTATCTGCCTGAGCTGGGCATGGGTCATCATGAGTGAGTCTTTGTAAAGCTCGCAGTACATGCCAGTTTCTTTTTTTTTTTTCCACCAAATAGATCGAGTTGTGCCAAGTTTCTTTCTTCTCCAAGTGATTTCCTCGCCATTGTTTGCTCAAACTTTTTTCTATCTCCTCTTCACTTCTTTAATTTGTTTACCCCTGTTTCCTCATCTCCCTGTCCCCTCTTTTTCATCATCTTTTAGGAAGTATAATATCCGCGTGGAGGACATCATGGTCAGGGATGTGCGCTTTATCACTCTCAGCTCTTCCTATCGAGATCTGCAGGAGATGCTGCTGACCGGTCAGCTCAAAACGCTGGCCCTGGTTGAGTCTAGAGGTGAGCTCAAGGCAAAAAAAAAAAATCCTTCTGAAATTCATTATCCCCCGGCGGCCATTTTCCTCAGATGTCAGTGGAAAGCTCAAAAGATGTTATGACGTTTTAACTTTGTGCATATAACAGGGTTCCTACACAGTTGGAATTTCCATACTTTTCTATACCCTACTTTTTAGAGTTAATTCTGGGAATACCTACTTTTCTAGTTTAGAAAACAGTATTTTAGAACTGTGGTAATGTAGTCTGTTAACATAAATATTTTACCATACTTTATTTTTCATTTACCATACTTTTTATGACCTGGAAATTGATCAAATTACTTCCATACTTTTCCATACTTGCATAGGATTCCTGATATAACCTGATTTAGATTTATATTTGGGCTTTTTTAGCCTTTATTGGCAGATAAAGAACAGGTCATAAAAAAGAGAAAAAGAGAAAACAAACCTTGCTGTCTTGCTCTATCCTTACCCTTGATCCAGATCACCCATAAACCCTCCTTCTTCCCCCAGAGTCCATGATCCTGCTGGGCTCCATCGAACGCCTGCAGCTCCAGTCTCTACTCTCTCTCCAGCTTGGCCGCCAGAGGAGACTGGAGTACCTTCGTCAGCTGGCCCAGGACAATGGAACAAGTGATCACCTGCCCAGTCTGACCACTGATAGCACCCCAAGCTCGCCCTGTGCCCACACCCACATCCATAGCAATGCCTCCACTAACACCAGCACTCGCCAAGTGGTCCGCTTCCTGGTGAGCACCCAACAGGTGTGAGAGGCGTCCGGGGGCGCCAGGGCTGGGCTGGGCGAAGTCTGGATTGGGTTGGGTGTAGCAGTAGGATTAAAGGGATATTCGGGCGTAAAATTAATTTAGGGTCAAACACACAGTAACACCGAGTTAGACACCCCCTCGAGAGATGAATGTTGCCAACTGCTTGCTTCTCTAGTTATACCAACTTTAACACACAAACCTCAACCAAAAAGCCACTTTATAGCCACAAGTAATGTTCAAAACAACACCTAACTTCATCAACAGTACATATAGGGTCCCAGCCATAGTACTAACCACCAAACATCGTTTTAACTTTGCCTGATTTCTTTAGCAAAGAGACTAAACACAAGTCACCTACTCTCTTCCAGCAGCCGCTTGTTTGTAGCGAGACCTCTGGCCAGCCCATTACGGACTGCTGCAGGGTGACACATCTCAAGGAAGAACATTTATGATCATTTCTTCATGGAAATGCAATCAGACCGAGACGCTAAGGCAGAAGAACTACCACGTCTACGGTGCAAAATGATTAATATGGTGATTATTACTTCAAGTAAATAATAAGGACATGATCATAAATGTTCTTCCTTGAGCTGCGTCACCCCACAGCAGTCTGTAATGGACTGGCCCGAGGTCTTGCTACAAGAGAGACGGTGAGTAGTGTTTGCTAAAGAAATTAGGCAAAGCTAAAAAGATGTTTGGTGGCTAGTGCTATGGCTGGGACCCTATATGTACTGTTGATGAAGTTAGGTGCTGTTCTGAGCATTATTTGTGGCTATAGAGTGGCGTTTTGGTTGAGGTTTGTTTATGGCTCCTCAGACCGCTGTATATTGCTATCCTGTGGTCGTTACAAAAGTTGGTAAAACTCGAGAAGCAAGCAGTCGGCAACATTCATCTCCTGAGGGGGTGTCTAAACTGATTTTATCCCGGAATATCCCTTTAAGTGGACACAGCATGTGTAAGCATGTAGCAGTAGGTAAAGGCACAGATGGGTTTTTTTGGACATCTGTCATGGTAAGTGTTTAAAAAGTGTATAAAGATCATTTGTTCTTTCTCCATAATGTTAACAAATGTCTTCTGTGTCTCTGTCGTCTGTGCCCTTACCTGTGCTGTCCTGTGCATGTGCTTGTATCTGTCTTTTTTTGTGTCGTCCCGTGTGTGTGCGTGTGTGCGTGTGTGCGTGCGTGCGTGCGTGTGTGTGTGCATGTGCGCTTGTGTCTGGCTTTCTTCGTTAATGTGTTTTCCATATAGATCTCCACAGAGGAGTCTTCCTCCTTCAGCCCAGTCGTTTCCAATGTTCAGCTTCCTCTGAAATCGGCCTTGAAAACAGTGTCTGCCATCAGTGACACAGAGACACCCAACAGTATGTACTTAACACCACAGCAAAATACACAATCACACACACACAGAAGACACAAACTGGTTAAAAAAAGAAGCATTTCCCGACCAAATTGAACAGAAATTGATTTTTTTTTCCTCCCCGAGGCTCTCAGACCCTTTCCTGTGCAGACCAAGACAAGGAGCTGCTGGAGGTGAGAAAGAAACAAGGCTGTAACTTTCGTGTGGGAGTGGGTGTGCTGTATGAATGTGACACGCGTCGTGGGTGTGTGTGGTCTCTCCGAGTCCATGCGTGATCCGCCCACCTGGTCTTCCTCCGCCTCCTGCATACAGGCAGGACCCTCCCACAGGCTGCAGGGTTTTCCTGTGTGATCTCATGCTGTGGTCGTGAAATTCTGCCTTACAACTTCTGAGTCATTGCCCCCCTCACTACACAACACATTCACTGCCAGTCAAACTCTTTTGAACGTCCCCCAGTGAAGCGTTTCTGTTAAGCAATGTTCGATTGTGTCATACATTAAAAAAATATTGATTGGTTTATTGCTTACAAAGTGGACTGCATGTTATTAAAAAACAGGGTTTTTTTTTTTTTAAGGGCTTTTTGCTTTGTTGATAGAGCAGCCTGAGAGACAGGATCTGTGGAGAAAGAGAAGCGTAATGGTCACACCATGATTGGGAATCAATCCAACAATCAAAGAGGGATGTAGCCTCTGTACATGGGGTGCATGCAAAATCCACCCGGCCAACAGCGCCCCAGTTCAGGAAAAAATGATCAGAATTCACACACAACAGGAGCTGATTTATGATATATTGTAGTTCACTTGACAGCCGTCTCTCAGTCGTTTCTCTAAATGAAAAGCGCTGATGCTCCAGAGCCGAGGTGAACTTCAGTGGAGGTTCGTAAAAACATGTACAGGTCACGAGCGAAAAGTCAAAAATATGTAGCAACCTCTGCTTAGGAGTTAAAGTGTTTCTTAATATTAAGAATAACTTCTATATCTCTGTTTGATTACTTTTGTTTTAACTTGTTTCCCTATGCTCTGCATGCATCTTGGACACCATATAGCCAAATACAGTCGTTCTCAAGTCCAGTCCTCGAGCCCCCCCGTCCTGCATGTTTTGGATGTTTCCCTGCTCCAACACACCTGATTCAAATGATCAGCTCGTTATTAATTCCATTACAGAGCTTGATAACGAGCTGATGATTTGAATCAGGTGTGTTGGAGCAGGGAAACATCCAAAATATGCAGGACAGTGGGCCTTGAGGAGTGGACTTGAGAACCACTGGCCCAATAGATGTGCTTTTGACCATGTGCTGGACAAGTGTGACAACTTCAGCGTTTGATTTTACAGATTTGGTTCACAGCGAATGAGTCAGCTTCCTCTTACAAACAGCACAAGACAAGACCTGATAAACAAAATACTGAAAGTGCCAGACACTAAAAGGAAAAACCCTCATTAAAAAAAACAAGATAAAATAAGCCACTAATAAAATCAAGATAAAAATGGATTAACATCAGTCAATAATAACAGAAATATTGGGCACTCCTGAAGTTCTTTGCAGGTAATATTAGATTTATCTTTTTCATGTTTCCATGTTAGGAATCAAGGAGTTTTCTCCTCATTAGCATATAGATAGAGCTGTTAGCCTTTCATAATTTGCCATTGCATGATGGTATGGCCTGATCACAATAAACAGTAGATGATCTGGCCTTGACAAACCTTATACCAAATCACAATCTGTGCTTTAATTGGCGCTTTAAGCCAAATGCTTAAGTGCATCCTAGCGTGTTTGTTGTTGTGAATCAGGGATAAGTTTACACCATGTTCCTCCTTAGTTCAGTTTTTTAGCAAGATATTGATACTTTTTTTGTCAAAAGATTGAAGTTGTGGGAAAATGAAAGCTTTAGCTCGTAGACTGTCTTTCCAGAAAAGTCAAAAGATCATCTAAGATTCCGTTGATCCTGAGGCAAAACGAGCTTTCATGTCAGTCTATCTCATAATTGTTGAGGCATTTCTTTAGAGGTTAAAAAAAGCAATTTTTTACTTCTCTAGCCTACTTTCAGAGGACTGATATGTGAAAGTTTTGGTGAGAAGAACTGATGAAGTGTTTGTGAAATTGTTCTTGCTAAATTCGGAAGTGATATTTTCACCTTAGAGTAACCTCTGGGTACTGTTCAAGAAAAACTAAGGCAGGGCTTAACAAAAACGCTTAAATCTGATATGTTCAAAACTTTGTATGGCAGTGTATCTATCATCCGATGTTGCATTAACATTGGTTCCTTGTTCAGACCTTGTGCCCCCATCTTCATTAGTGGTGTGGTAATTATACCCTTTCAGCAACATTGTGCTCACATCACAGCCACTCCCCCAGTCCGAGTCAGACTGGAATCCAATGTTGCGGTGACACCATGGAAGGGGCTCAAACTGTCCGCTTGTGCTGATGCTGTGTTAATGTTTTGCTGTCGATACCTTCTCTCCCCACCTGGAAGAGCCCGGCTGGGCCGGCTCCTCCTGAAAAAAGAAAGCCCAAGTCCAAACGAGTGAGGATCTCCATGGCGGTAAGATTGTCTGCCGCCTAGAGACTGTTGCCTAGTAACCGTTGCCTTGCGACACGCACGTAGTGAGAGCTGGACCAAAATATTTGTGGTGAAATATTGAAGCATTAGATAGAGGGAGCGAGAACGGCTGTGTGTGTGTGTGTGAGAGAGAGAGAGAGAGAGAGAGGGGAGAGGCGGGTCAATTTCTTCCAAGTGGTAAAAGGTTTGATTGCTTTTTTAATTACACTGAACCAAACGGTCTATTGAAGTTTGAGATTACTCGGTAAGTGGTGGTGGTGTGATGGTGTGGGGTATTGTTGTGTTTCTTTTTCAGTTCATTAAAGTTAATGGTGTCATTGGTGGTGTTCGTAAAACTGTCTGGGTACACATTGCTCTGTTTGAGCTACAAATCAAACCGTCTCCTAACCTTTATCCCAGAAACTCTGATTTCAACATTCTACATTGACACCAAAAACACACCTTTTTTAATATATTTATTTTTGCATTCTTTGAATTATTATTTTTTTTAAACTACAAACAGAAACTCCTGGCTTTCTGGTGTTGGTTACATTTTTTCTGTTTTCTGTTCTTGTTTAAATGACAGCTCGGTTTATTTCGACCTTCCTTTGTTGAGCTTTGTTGACCTTGAATTAATCTGTATGGTTATCCCTATTTGGAATTGTGTGCAGCATTGAGAGCAACAAAACTGAACTCTTACGCCTCTCATGTGCACACACACTTGGCCAATAAAGCTGACTCTGATTATATTCTCTCAGATTGCTTGCAGTGTGTGATGTGTTTATTGCCAGAAGTCGTACATTTTGTGTACACAGTGACGGCGTCCTTAGCCTCGATATTAGCGTATTTCTCATTCTAATATTTCCTTTTTTTAGGACTCTACTGAAGTAGAAGATTGTATGACCCCATCAGAAGTGAGACTATGTTGACAAAAATTATGCAGAGAATATAAAAAATAAGAATTTAATGATTATCTGATTATATAAAGTTGATGTTCTTATTCTCATTGCAGATTGCAGAGTGGGAGGAGCAGCAGCTGGATGAACCGGTGGATTTCAAGAACTGCAAGATTGATCCTGCCCCCTTCCAGCTGGTGGAGCAGACATCTCTACACAAGGTACAATATATATAAGATAACCAGAACCTTTTACAATAATTGCCTGTTTGTCCCCATCGATAGATAAAAATGATTGATATTTACCTAAAAATGGAAACAGTCAAATAAATAACCTCAGAGCATAACTGTGACTTCAGTGTTTTTAAAAATATCCATACTTACTTTCCATAACTGGTTGTGCGTCACTGTGGATGATGACTGATGTAGCATGGTGTATGACTCATAACTGCCAGCATGTCTTTTTGCTTTCTGTTGCATTTTGGACAACTTCAACTTCTTTTCCTGTAGGACTGATGCTCAGTTTGGTCATAACCATCTAAAACGGATCTGATTCTTCCTGGGTACCTTCTGAATGTTGTTTTTACCCCCTTTCTCGGACCATCTAAACACAGTACCTTCCTCTAATGCTGCTGAGGAACGTGCTCAGGCCTGGAGTAAATCTTTATTTACCAGAAACGGGGATTACAAACGCTGAAGCTGTTTACTCTCTGTTACTACTGTTGTAGTGTTTACCCACCCCTGCTACACGTTTTCATTGACCCAGTGCACCTGGAATCAGCTGTTCTTATTATTTTTAGAGTGTATGAAGGAGTATTCAGCCCACACAGTGCACACTTTCAGTGGAGTGCTTGTAATAAAATCATCAAGTCATAAGCTGAAGCTTTTAGTAAAACACCGCTACTGATTGTTGTTTTTCTGCATCAGCCTACATAAGAATATGGGTCATTGTTAAAATTTAGATACAGAACAAAAGCTTGAAGAAAGGCTCGTGCTTCCAGGTAATGATTAAACCCCGACAAGTGATAGTGATATTTTAAACAGGGGATGACAACACCTAAACCCTCTAACTTAAACACTTATAATTAAAAGGGTACCAGAACATTTCAGAGCCATGCCTCCCCTTTTAACCTCCTCCTGTGTCAGCTTTTACTGCGCACCCACTGTGTTAAGGGTCGGTTTCGACCCTCGTCTTAAATTAGCTGTAAATTACACTAAAAACAATTCTCTATCATCCAATTTGGTTCTCATCTCTAGGTTACCATGTTAGGCTTCATTATCCATGAAAATATTGCTTATAATATTTTTTGTTTTGGTCCTCTGGGCATTTCTTTATCAGTATACCCCTCATACAGACATCTATACTGAATTGATCTTGATCTTGATTTTGTTTTTTGTACAGAGAAATACATGGCAAAATGAGAATTTCCTAAATCTCACATGATTGGAAGAGGATCTGACTGTCAGTGAGGCGCCCGACAGTGCACATGTGATTTTAGATTTGCTCTAATTATTAGATATTAATCTAACCGGGTCAACTGCAACCTTAACACGACAAGTGCCATAATTTTGATAAGAGCATTTTATGATTTAGTTTATTAATTTTTTTTATTTGTTGAAGTATTTTGTTGAAGTAGAGGTTCCTGACAAAGTCAAAAAGTCTTGATGTGAAACAGTCAATATAAGTATTTCTTTTAAGCATTTAAAAGCTAAAACAGGTCGGTGCAGACCCTGACACAGGAGGAGGGTTAAGAGAAGTGGCAGCATGATTGGAAAACACAATGTCATCTAATCAGCCACATTGTTCCCGCACTAAAAAGGAAAAGGAAATAGAAAACCCAGCAAGACGGAACCAAGATGTGGTGTCCTTGTTTATATTCTAATGCCACCACTGAATTATATACAGTGATTTTAATTTGTGCATATTGTGAGGAGTTTTTCTCCTTTTGCTATTTAAACTCACACAATCTTTTAACAGCCATTATTGACTACAACCAGTACTCACTGGTCTTTCCAATTTAGGCTAGTTGTGAAATTTTTACAGATTGGAAATATTTGTTTTTTTCATTGAAATATTTAATTAGATTCAAAATGAAACACAAAATGTAGCTGGCTCGACTTAAATGAGTGTTAGCCGTAAGTGTTTTAAATCCTGGGTCAAATCTCTGTGACCTGTCGTGTCACCCGTTGGTTTCTGGAGAGTTGTTTTGAAGCCCTGTTATGATGGCTGCCATGTTGGAAACTTAACTTTTAGTCAACTTAGAAACCATAAACAGGCAAATTGGTGCCAACTCCTCTGTGCCCCTGACTATGCAAATGTATGTTTACTCTTTATGGATGTATATTTAAAAAAACACCCCTAATACAGTGTCAACAAACAAATGAGCTAGCACATAACTGCTTTTTGAATCAGTTGATAAATATGTTCAGTTCTCTTATTTTAACAGACTTTAATGACCAAACATAAATAAAGATCCTAATGAGGGTTTCTTAGTTTTTGCAGCCTCGGGTGGATACTTGAGGAACTGCAGTTATTACACTAGAACACTGCAATTATTATTCATTACAGCAGCAGGTGCCAGAGACAGGTTGTCAGTGGTTATAAACGTCCAAGTTCAGTCAAAATCAGAACACAACTGATTTCCTACTTTCACAGTAGGAAAGTAAAAGTTTGTGTAAGTTATGATATTTTTTATGATAATGTTCAAATCAAATCATTTGACTAATTACTGGTTGAAACCCTTGAGTCAGAGGTAAAACACCAGTTTAATCACAAATTCTGCATATTTAAGTTCTCTTATGGATACTATCTTATAGTTGAAAATGATATGTTTGTAATCTTCTGAATTTTATTGAAGGGTATTGTTCTAATATTTTGGGGGGATAATTCTCTGGTTTTCCACTCTTGAATATAAACAGTATGCACTCAACCTCCTTTTAACAGCTGGTTAAGGGGAAATAGTCTTATCTTGAATAGAAATGACAGAAATATCATGCTGTCTCACCCTGATACAAAGTTTGAATAACCCTGACCCAGAATGCAAACAAACCCACCACCACCCTCTTAAGTCTGTTTCCAGGTCATGATCCATGTCTTCTCTTCTGCAGACTCACACCATCTTCTCTCTGCTGGGACTGGATCATGCCTATGTCACCAGCATGGGACGCCTGGTCGGAGTGGTCTCTCTCAAAGAGGTGTGCTTGTTGTGTGACTTTTTTCAATTAGCTTCTGAAATGAGAACTGATTTTATAAACAATAATTAATTCTCACTTTGTCCCTGTTTTTCTTTCTTTATCTGTGTTACTGCCTCTGGATTTCTGCCATTTTCTGGCTTTGACTCTGTCCAGCTGCGTAAGGCTATCGAGGGCTCAGTGACAGTGACTGGAGTAAAAGTTCGCCCTCCGTTGGCCAGTTTCCGTGACTCTGGGAACACCACAAATGTATCTGAGGTAACAGAACTACACAAGCTGTGCATCCGCCACAGAGGGCTCTCTTTACCGAGGGAACCGAACCCTCCTGACGTGGAGGATCAGCCAGATCTCCAGTACAAAGAGATCCCTGTCAACTTCTCAGACCAATCAGATTTGCAGTTTGAAACCAGCCACGGTGATGTCATGAACGATTCAGCGGAGTTGGTGCTCCAAGAAAGCCCCTCATTCACCGAGGACCCATCAGAATTTACTTTTGACTGCAGCCCCTCCCACACTGAGGAAACAGAACTGGCCTGTGACTATGAACCCCCCAGCCAAACTCCTGAGCTAGATGAAACAGAGCACGAACAGGGGAGTCCATCTCCGATAAAGGACCAATCAGAGCCTGAGGGCGGGGGTAGCCCCACCCACTCCGGCGATCAGTCAGAGTGATCACTGGGTCATTTCATGAATGTTGACGTTTCTTACACCATAAGAGGTCACTTGCGCCTCACAGTCCAGCCTAGATACATGTTTCTAATGTTGTGACAGGAGAGAGCAACTCAGAGTGAGCATAAGTAGACTTGACATTTAGTTATGTGTCTCAGTAATGTGTCGATGTGTGGATAAAGCTTGGTTTGTTCAATATTTTAACAAATCCCATGAGCAGACCCAAACAGACAACAAATATCTGTCTGATTATACTGCCTTGTCCTGGGCTCCTTTGTTTGATAAAACCGCATATTTCTTTCCTTGTTTTACACTCAAAAGTCTATTTCACGTATTCAGTAACTCTCCCTAAGGTGCACCTTTAGCGGTCAGAGAGGGTGCTGCATGAAATGTTGTCATTGACTGAGTGCTGGTTGAAATTAGAAGCTGTTGTTCAGGGTTGTTTTGTGGTCAGCTTTCAATCTCTCAGTCTCACGGGGATATCATCGATAACCAGCGCGGCACAGCTGGAACTCCAGTTAAACTGTCAGCAATCAAGTAATAATGTGGCTAATTAAGACACCAGACAAGGAAAAAGAACGTGTAAATTAAGAAATCTGATCTCTGATTATTCTGATTTCTTTGGTATTGAAAAAAAATCATTAATTTATCTATTTTAGTCCAGGTCCCCGTCACAGCTGGCTAAGCAAATTAGTCCAGTCATCATCTTTCCAGCAATGTTTTAAGACTCCTCCTTGGGATTCCCAGGCGTCCCCAGTCCAAATCCTCCAAAGAAGCATGGGATCTACCTCAGAGTCTTTTCCCAGTTGGACATACCCAGAAAACCTCCTCAGCGGTTGCCCAAACCACCTCATCTGTAGATATAAAGGGGCAGCAGCTCCATTTCCCGCTCTCTAGGGAGTTAAAGCTCCTTCTCCTATCTCGAAGGCTGAGCCCAGCTGGCCTGGCATCGGCAGGCGGTGGAAATTGAAGGTGGAAATTTGACCGCTGCACTTGCAGTTTGAAAATTCTGTCACATGACTAAATTAGCCAATATGACTGTAGAAGGAAATCATTGTTTGCCGATAGGTTGTGTTGGGCACAGATGGAGGTCATAGACTTGATATGAAGGATAAATAATGAATATAACTGTGATTGTGTTTTATCTTTAAGTTTTCATGATAATAATTTTTAATTAATGTGTCACCTGATGGATTAAGCAACAGTTTTAAAGACCAATAACACGCCGTAAGTGATCAACAACGAAGACTACCTTCAGCTTTTCACAGGATTTGTTGATGACAAGAAAATTATTGAATACTACCAGCTTCATCTCTTACATGAATGTGGTTACGTTTGTGTATCTGTTTCTGTTTGTGTGTATGGATAATTATCTGAGCAAGTGATCCTCTTTAAGACTTTCCTCGCCATGCTCAAATCTGGTCCATACTCAGGATCATAATTTGAATCTCCACGCCAAAACAACATCTTTTAAAGATAACTACAAACACTACAAGAACAGAAATATGTCACGCACAATGTAAGAGGGGGGAGTAGAAAATCGAGAAGCAAGCACAGAAGAGCAAAGATGAAAATTATTCAACGCACAGTGATGGTATGAATCCAAACAACTACCTATCCACTCGCACTGGACCTACACATCAGAAGGGCCAGGCTCGTGATATTAGCATATTGTTTGTTCAATGTGGCCGATATGCAATAAATATTCAGTAATAATGCAGTAAAAGGTGATTTAACAGCACCGGTGTTCTCATTAGTTGCCCAGATTCAGTTGTTTACGACACCACTCTGCGGTCTTCGCAGGGTTACATGTCACAGCATTTCATCGTCAGGATTTTTATATTTATTCCACTATTAAAGATTGGTGTCCATTTCAACCCCCCTCCAAGTGTCCACATGAACACTACGGCAGCTTCCAAAGGTCCACAAGCTTAGCACAGGGCTCCAAATAATGATGAAGCACATTGTAATTACCATGAGTATCATTTATTCAACATTTGGCCTCGTGTGGCTTTATAGGAGCTGGTTCAATAAGGGCAATTTATACCGTCAGTCTCGTCACTCTGAAGAAGTGCTTTTTTTGATTTCTGATATGTGAGTATTTACTGTGTTAATGTGTTCATAGCATGATAAAGGGACGAAATCTGAGCTCTTGGTGAAAGGGAGACTGGCTGTTGTACAGAGCACACACACAAAAAAAACACACTCACACTGTTACACACACACACACACGTTATGTGTGCAGCCTGTAGATATTAACACCGTGATATCTCACACGTATCCTAATCAGCCTGGCCTCTAATGCAATGTGGAGACTTCTGTACGAAGCACAGTGGCAAACGAGTCAAAAACTGTTGTAGAGCAAAAATGTGTGTGAGTCCTTGTTACAACATTCAATGGGTGTATTTTTCGCTTCATGAGCCTTATTTCGATCTTACACGATGACATTGCTGCGTTATTTTGTCTGTGTTGACCTTTATTTGTCCTGTTTGCATCTAGAATGTAAAGTAGTGCTCGTCATATAGGGTCATGTATAAGGAGGTCAATGTAGAGAGTGTATAAGCTAATTTGAAGCGTATCTAGTTAAGCAATAAGTCTGTAGTATCTCCCTTTATATGGCACTGGCCTGTATATGCTTTGTACATATGAACATACATGGATGAGACCTACATACATGCTTTTGTACATAGGAGAATTATGCATTTGAAATCCAACAGCCATTGTTATTTTTCAGAGGACATGAAGTTGTTTTTGTACATGAGTGAATGATTAAATAACATAAACGAACACCTTTAAAATTAGAAGTGTTATTTCTATCCTGTATGCTCTAGTTTGGGTTTGAAGAGATTAAAAAAAAAAGCTGTTTTCTTTCAAAAAGTTATATTTATATATGCAGGACATTCAGACATTCAGTATCAAACATTGCCCAACCCACGTGACACAGGATGACACAGAGAAAACACTTCAAAATATTTATAGAAAAACGAACACAACAGCGACACATGACTCTGCACTAAAATGTACAAAACTCAGTTTGAACAACAGCTTTACATTCTGGTGGAGCTCTCCGACATACGTATATTTACTGTTCACAGCAGTGATTTACGGTGGAGCGAGATCAGTACATGAAAGGCCTGGAGGATGGGAGACAGAAGGCAGCGAGTAGAGAGGAGAGGAGGTGAGAAAGGATGAAGAGGGGGGGGAGGAGAGAGGTTAACGATGAAAGCAGAATAGATGGTGTCATATCCAGAATCAACACAGACCCAAAGAGACAGAAAGTTGGACAACACATCACATCAAAAACTCTTTCTTCTCCTCGATGTCATCCCTCTCCTCCTCTTCCTCGAATGACGCCACTCCAGATGAGGCCCTGTCAGAGAAGAAGCTCCTCGGGCTGCAATGCCACACCCGGACATCGTGAAACACGCTGCCATCCTCCTCCTCATCCTCCTCGTCCTCCTCTCCAGGAGACTCAGAGTGAGAGGTGGAGTAGCAGGAGTCAAACCTGCTGCTCCTGGCCCGGGGCCTCCACTCGGGCTTCTGGTGGATGTAGACCTCGCTGCGCTGTTCCTGCAACGGGACCTCCTCCCCCTTCTGGCAATCCAGTCTCCCTTCGTCCTCTTCCTCCTCCTCCAGGAAAGGGCTGGTGCAGTCGCTGGGCAAAGTAGGTGAATTGGTCTGGGATGAATGTGGGTCACTGTGAGAAACAGGCCTGTCGCAGAGCAGGCTGTCACTGTCGGGGCCCAGAGGACTGTCAGAGGGCGGGGCCTCACCGCCTACATCGATCTCAGACTGGCATAGCGGTCCTGTGGTAGGACTGGATGTGGCGGCGTCTGAGGAAGGAGCAAAAAGTCAGAACACCTGGAGATGGATGGATAAATGGGGTGTGGAGGTGGGAAGATGAAGCAATCTGTCAGTGATGATGATGACGCAGAGATGAAGATGAGATTATGACGATGACATGAACTGATAGAAAGACGGGGTGTGTGGATACCTGAGCTCTGACTGGTGAAGATGCGAGACTGTCCGTTGATGTGAGAGTCCTCATCATTGGAGTCATCGTCTTCGTCGTCATCCATAGACGCCCACGCACGCAGCTTAGCCTCGGCGATGGCGAACTGTTCAGCCACTCCTGTTCGAAAGACACCAGAGAGAAGCATTTCATGAACTCTGATGAGGTCTTTATATGCTTACGGATCCCTCTACTTAACTCATAAGCCCTCTGGTTTGTCATGTGACTTCTTAAAAGGATGAAATCGCTGTTTGAATAAAGGTGACTTCAGGCTCCAGAAATCACTGCAACTTTAAAAGGTTTTCCTCTACCTGTTTTGTGAGTCTGCTAAATACCGTTTCCAATTATAAATCTGAGAGGTCTAATTATTTTATGTTTTGACACCTTCTTTCTTTCGCTGCCTTATTCCACCTTGAGGGGCGTTCGATTACAGCGGGGAGTTTTTTGAACACTAACACAACCTAATACAACATCTCATAAATCTTACTCTCAGGGAGCTTTTATAACGTCTGTTTTGCTGACATAATCAGTCAGATGATTATTGTATTTTGCATTCATTATTGAAGAATTGGAAGGTAGTTGTTCTCCTTGTATTTCAAATATATGTCCATATACGTCTAAATCATGATCAAACATTAGACACACCTTTCAGTATAAAGTACTTCAATACACCTTTGACACTTAAAGAGTGACAATTTAAAGAGTGATTACTATGCAGCAGTAAATGAAAAACACAGAAGCGTCCTTTAAATTGAGCTGGTATATTAGGTTGCATTAGATTTCCTGGGTGTCCATCATGTTATAGCTCTTATTCATTGATTTGACTATCTATTGATTGCTCTACATATGCTTTATGCCCCAGGTTGAGTACATACTACACGATGTAAACAGTAGGCCCAATAATATAACAGCGTATAAAATTTTATAAAACTCTGAGCAAATTTCCCCAGAGCTAAGAGTAACATTTTTAAACAGACAAAAATGTAATATATTTAAAGATGACAGGGATTCTGTTCAATAAAAGCGCAAAATACTCAGCTTGTTTTCAACAAATTTTCATAGATAAATTCATCAAATGATGAGTTATCAATTATAAATAATAAAATCAATCATTTCTCCTTGCACTGATGAATTTATCCTCATGCTTTCAAAGCAGGCAAACATGTCTTCAGTAGCTAAGAAATGATTGAGACGTGAAAAGAGGAAAACACATTACACGGCGCAAGATTTACAGACGCTGCATCCTGTGTCCCTCTCTCTCTCTCTCTCTCTCCCTCATATTCTCTCTTTTGATCAAACCATGCTGATGTGACCAGCGCCAGCAAAGAGGATGAGTCACAGCAAAACAACAGGCGCTGTTGTACCATTGGTGGGCAGTGAAGTGTTCTGGGAGAGTGTCTAATAGGCCACCATCTGCTGCCAAGACAAGCCGTCACCCAAGAGACAGCGCGGTGGGCGGGGCAGGCCGCTGACATACAGGAGTTTTAGGGGATTAAGTAGATGACAGAAGGTAGGAGATGATGCCGGAGCTCGACAAGGCTAAGTAAGGAGATGCCCTCACAGCTTCTTACACTCTTACTGCTGCAAACTAAACAGATCATCCACAGATGTGTATACCTGCAGCAAAGCGGGCCTCCTTCTCTCCTTCAGTCAGGTGGCTGTAAGAGCTGAATTGGGAGTGGGTGGCCGGAGGCGGGTTTGCAGGTTTGGGCCAGCCTTTCCATTCGATCAGGTGTGCGACTCGACCCTGAGCCAGAGAGGTGGGCTTCGTCACATGATCCCTGACAGCCTGAGAGATACCTGACAACAGAGGAGAAAAAGGGAGAAAGGGTTGCAAAATCTGACGTGTGAAATTTATGACTCTTGGAGTAGAACACAAAGTAAACAAAGTGTTTCTTTCTACCATTCAAGGAGGATCTGGCAAGTGCTGCAAACTCTTGGATGCCGACACTTTTCCTTGAGTCGGTCGGAGATTTTCCTGACTTTGGAATCATTTCAGTCTCCTCAAATTTCACCTGCAAATTAAAAAAAGGGTTAACCAAAAAATCTTCACTATTCTTGCACAAAAGCGTGTAAGCAGAAATATTTCTCTTTTTTTCTACCATTTGTGTCACACCCAGCTCAAATACACTCTTTCAGATCAGTGTATATTTTCTTTGCGTTAATCTACGCAGCTTTTATTCGCTTGAACCGCTCTAATAGTCTGTAAACCAAAAGCCTGGATTCAAATATAAGTCACAGGGCAGACTGCCGGACAATCACAGCTGTGTCCTCAATGTCAAAATAAAAGCTCCAGTCAAAAAAGGACAATCTTAACAAACAAAACACACTTTTACCTCCATATCTTCCTCCATTTGATCCTCCTCTCTCTCTCTACTCCTGGACCTCAGCCTCATGGTGGACATGCAGAGATGTTGTCAGCGCAGCAAACCAACACAACTAAAAGTCACAGCTTGGGTTTATTCGTTTAAAGCAGCAGCAGGCAGACGAGCAAACAGCTATGCCCTACATTTACCGCACAGATGCTAAAGCCATGGTAAGCCGGTGAACTCGGTTTGAATGACTGACGCTGAGGGAGTTGAGGGCAGTGCTGACTGTCTCTCTATGCAGACATATGGCGCGTGACCAGCTCTGGTAAGCAGCTCCAGACAGGCCTGCTCACCCCCAAAGCTGCTGATCCCTATTAAAAGTGATAGTGCTACCTAACTAAGTCCACATCCAGAATAAATACAGAGATGGCTGCGCTTAGTGGGTCAGCTGAAATAGTGCATGCAATACATGAAAACAGCCATTAGTCTCTCTTGTTTTTAAAGCATGTGAGTCTTTTATTAAGCAGGTAACATCACGTCTAACGCTACTCTCGCCTTCTCTCTGCACGTGCATGACTTGACAGATACCCTTAAGAGGATTGGCTCCCAAAGCGGCTAAGAGAGAAGCAGAAGAGGCTCCTGACTCAAAAGCTTAAAAAGGTAAAGTCAAAAATGACAGCTAATGTATGTCAGTGGCACATGTGCAGAAGCAGGGATATGAAGGTGAAGGTGTAAACAGCTCCAGGCACCAAGGTGACGTTGAACGCCTCATCTGCACAGCACACCTGTCAACAGTGCAGACGTCACTCGTGCTCATCACTCGTAAACACACCTCATGCTCGGGGTCAGGAAACACACACACACACACACACACACACAAGCTCTAGTCTTAATTTGTTGACAGAATAAGACTTGCTGAAATACTAAAAAAAAACTACTTGAAGAAATCCTATTAGGTCCTACAGCAGCTTTACTCACCGTATAAACACAGTGAGCATATCTGCATTTTTCACAAAACAGCTCCTCTTGTTGTCACAGGTTATATTTATTTATAAGTCCTTCAATGTAGATTTCCCCTCCAAACATTGACGATTGTTTGAATTTCAGTGGCGGTACTGAAATATTAATTAGAAATATATATAGCAGGATATTCTTTTCTTTATATGCTTTGATAATCATCCCGTGACCTCTCACGTTTATCTGCTGACCCAAAGAAAGGGTCACAACCGTGAGGATGAGAATCACAGCTGTAAATAGTATGTAGGTCACATGCTGATTTGGTTTAAACCTATTATTCGAGCATCTGTCCATGTAGTTACCTGTTTTAGAGATTTACAATGTCAATGTGTCAAACAGCAAAACAAACAAGCGTGATTTTTATAAATGATTAATCTCCACAGTCGTTTGTAGAGGAGAAAATGCAAAACTGTCTTCAGTGACCTATTTTCCTGTTTTCTATCACTGTGAACTGGATATCTATAGGCCTGTGGTTAAATGTGTCATTTTCTGACATTAGTGGAACATGAAATAAAAATGTACAATATTTAATAACATTTATGTAAGAAAATCATGCTTTTTAAAATATCTTCATTATTGAACTAGCAGGATCACTTCCATCAGATTAACCCTAGAGCCACATGTTTATGTGATTTCATTATGTTGCGTTTGTCTGAGTATCATAGGTCTCTGAGTAGCTTTAGCATTTCCTTTGACATCTTTGAAGACATATTTGTTTCCCTGATCCAAAACCTGCTTTTTCCTACAGGTACGTGTTCGGGTGATTTTCACCCGGCAATAGTGATAGAGGTTAAGTATGTTTGGGTGGACTTGATAGCTGCATGATGTTTCAAGGAAATTTATATGGTGATAAAAAATATTTCAGTCAGCTGGTCATTTTTACTCACTCAAAATATGCCATGTTTTGGTTCTCTCTCCTGCAGTTGTTATTGTGCCAAGGACCCTGAGTCTTCACAAGGAAAGACTCAAATGCCCCAGGAATGGGTGGAAAATAAACTAATTTTACAGATGATATATAGGATTTTTTTGTTCATGAATGCCTAATTTCATTTATTTTCTTGCGTTTTTATATGGTCCCCTCATGGCACTTTTTTTCCCCTCCCTTTGGACACTGCACAGTTAAAAATAAAAGAAAACTAATTTAATTTGTCATCTGTTGTCCTATTTTGATATATTTTAATGACAAGTAGGGGAGACTGGGGCTTGTTGTCACATGGGTAAGTTGTCACGTTGTAATTATCTTTGCCACCAGAGGGCGCAACTAAAAATTGGAATACTAGTTTCTTTTTTAAATGGTCAGGGATTTTCCTGTCTGAGAAGAGAAGAGCACATTGTGAGCTGAGATGAGTGACAATTAACCATTTTTCACAACCTAAAGTAAACAAAATTAACTTTTTATATTTTAAAATAAGCTTCTTCCAGATAAAAATCCTAGCAGTGATACATGTGGACTTGTTAGAGGAGAGATTAAGACATCCTGTCATACCTCAGTCATTGTTCTGTTTTAAACTAACTTTAAGCTAGAGCCAGAATTAGCAGACATGGTAGTTTTGGGGGACATGCCTCAGTCATTTTGGGGTTAGTTGTAACATGTTTAAAAGAGTGGTTTAAAGGAGAGGAGAACACGTGAAGACGTGGTCAGGAATTACAAAAGAAAACCAGTACATGGCAGTGCAGTACCTGACGTGATGCTAAGGGCAGTCAGACAGGTGACCCTAGCTAATAAATCAATCAGGAGTACAATAAAGGACTTTAATGTCAACTACCATACCTTGGCTCAGTACTGTAAAACATTCACCCCGGCTGAAATACAGAGTCAGACAGCTCTCCAAACTCCAGAACATGTTGCATAATAGTTTATGTTAATGTTGTTTAATGGCTATGTTCGATGACTTTTTCTAGCTCAGTGATAAACATTTTCTGTGCCTGACTTTGATGTTCACTTTCACCTTAAAAAAAATGAGAACATTAATTTTGTCCTTGTCTTAATAGCTGCAAAATCCACTGACATCTTACCCCATGTAGTGAGACAACATGTCACATGTTCACACTCTCTATTTGATTGCTTATAACTCTGCACTGACACAAGATATGAAAATGACATGAATACAAAATATATACCCGAGACTTTGGTCTTTCATGTGGTACACATTTTGTTTATATATGATGCATTGATTCCAAGAGAATCAATTAGAATTAAAAATAATAATAATAATTTTAGCAATAGTGTTCTAGGCTTAAGCCTCTGTGCACCTTTTTTTTTTTTTTTTGCAGCTGACAAATGTTGCTTATTGTCCATATCCTGTTAGCAGCAGCATGTGTAACAATTAAAACTGAGTTGACAAAAAGTCCTATCAATAATGAATTCTTCTGTCACCTCCATGCAGAAGCAGACTGGTGTGCAGCACATGATTGCCATGAGGACTAAACGTGCCTGACAGGTCGGTCGCCTGACGTCCCCTCTTGTGAAGCCGATGATACCTACAGGGCCAACAAGTGGGATCGAGTCAGGCCGCTTTGACTGCAGCCAAACATCTGTGAGCTGCAATGCTGGTGTGATTCTTTTAAGTAGCCAGAAAAGGTTTTAATTCAAGCAGCAGAGGCGACAGACACGCTGGCGGTTGAATAACATATCACCCCGCCATTGATGTGTGGAGGCCTGTATAGCCTGCAATTACGGGGGAAAGAAGAAGGCACGCAGAGACGCGGATGCAGCAGCGGGTCTCCTGGCAACCTCACAAGTCTCCATCTGCATACCAATAGCAGCTCCATACCTGCATCTGATCAACACCAAGAGCTCCCTGCCCTATCTTATAATCCAACTTCACTGCTTCAACGACGCTTGTGTACTTATTATGTCCCTCGCATCCTCCACATCCAAGTACCTACCTGCAGGTGGGACCGTGGCGGTTCATGATAATGCGCTTAATTGTCTCCAATCCGATCAACAGATGACACCGCGCGGTTTGTCCTCCCGCTGCAGCCTCTGCAGCACAGCGTCAATGCCACGGAGTCGGCGGAAACATCTCCCTGTCTCCAGCATTAGGTCTCCGGCACAGACGCACCATTTGTTGCTCGGTATATGGGTTACATAGGCTGTCCAAATGTCTACCGATGGCAAGCGTCATCAATGCAAGGCGGTGTCACATCCCATCTCACCCACTCCTCGATCCTCCTCCTTCTCCTTCTCCTCCTCCTCCTCCCCATCCGCATGAAGCTAAGATCAAGATACAGAAACCTGCTGCAGCTTTTGGTCCTGGAGAGCACTGCAGCTGATTTCCACTTTTGGAAATACCTCAAAATCTAAAGACACGAACAGATTTATACTCTCAGCAAGGACACGGGGACATTTCTGGTATTGTCACGTCAAAATCTGATGAGATTTAGTTTGAGTGGAATCTGCTGGCATGATGTTTTTCTCTAAACAAAGCCATGTTTTTGTTCTGTTCATTTATTTGCATCCTCCTGGGCTCAACCTCAGCAGAATGTGAGTCTCTCTGGTAGACCAGACTCTATAAATTATGGATGAGGCAGTAAATCCTCGGCTATTGTAGGAAAAGGTGGCTACAGTTAACACATGAAACAAACCCTGGGGGATTTAACAAACACAAACAGGTATGAAACTTTAAGAAGAGAGCATAAAGCCAGATAGAAAATGAATAAAACAGGAACTTCTGACTTTGACCTTGTAGATGTACCCAGAGCTCTAAATTTAGTATTATTGTAGTTAGGGCTGGGCGATAAAATGATTATATATATATACACGAATATGAAAAAGGGAGTTGCTCCAGGTCTGCATCGCACTGAATCGATCATGTGCTGAATTAAAACCAAGTAGCAAACAACAGCATAGTAGCAGGGTGCAACTACCGTATTTTTCGCAACAATAAGAATAGACACGTTCAATGATCGTGCGCCATATGTGCAAAAAATACGGTACACGCAACCATGGCACTTGAAACATGTGAAGCCGACAGTACTGTCAGTGAGAAAAAGAAAGTGAGTGCTACACCTGACAGAAATACAGATGAAGGCACAAAAGAAGACGACATCGTCGACAACACTAGCTTAAAAAACGTCGGTGGTGTGAAGGTATTTTGTTTATTTGAGGTCGGACATAAAGCGGAGTGATGTGCACTGCAAATTATGTCAAATACACATTCTCGCAAAGTCAGGGATTATCTCAAATCTTTTTTACCACCTGAAGCAATGCCACGGGCAATGCCAAGGGCAATGCAAAAGGTTACAAACCCCGAGCGGCGCAAGGAGCCCATGGTGCCTGACCGTTCCGCTTGTTCTAGCGCAACGCCTTACGACCAAACGTCGAAGAGTCACAAAGACCTCATAGATGCAGTAGCTTGTTGTATTGCAAAAGACATGCTACAAAAAAGCACTGTTAAATTTAATTTTTTTACATCATGATATATATCAATATTGTCTTTTTCCTTTTTCCCGTATCGTCCAGCCCTAGTTTTAGTAAAACCGTAAAAACCCCCGTCTCATCGGACATATTTAAAACACTTATGGAAAAGTCTGCTCAGCAACTTAGTAAGTCCTTTATTTGCAATGCTCCATAACCTCATCTTTCCAGTTTCCGATGCAAAAGAAGCGATAATTTCTTAAATAAAGAAAGCAAAAAAAAAATATTTACAAAATTCCAATACAACTAATAATAATCACTGGATTATCTAAAGCACCTCTCTGCATCTGGACAACTGCGGTTTCTGTTGGAAAAGGACACTGCAATTACATCAGCAATTTATAATTTCTGAAAAATAAAACTGAAGAAAAAAAGTTTTTTGTAATTATTATTATATATTTACAGAACGCTCCTGAAATAAGTTTCCACTTAGAGTAGAAAAGGCTTTCGGATCATTTCTGTTTTTTTTTTTGTTTTTTTTTTTAATGTTTTGTTTTCCTTTTTTTTCTTTATATATTTCATCAAGTCAATTTTCTGTAGATTTCAAGTTTTAATGGTGATTGGGTCATTAAGTGTCCTCTACGACAGCTCAGGTTTAAGTATAGAAGAGGTAAAGATGAAGAGTCAGTCAGTGTGGTTCACTACTGGGGATGGGAGAGGATGGCTTAGAGGAAGCATTAAGACCACCCCCTAGTAGTCAGGATCACTGGTCAGCATCAGTCCTCCGTATTTCTGCCTCTGAGTTCATGACGGGGGCAACAGGAAGAGAAAATAGATGACCTATGCTTTAAAAATTCCATTCATCAAAGAAAGAAGTTCATGAACATTTGTCTTTCAGCGTATCGTCCACCGTTAGCATTAATAGAAACACACTTCAGTCATGCTGCGCACTCCAGTAAAGGACAAGGACATAAGAACCGAGTTTGGATTGAACACACATGATGACACCCACATATCAGAGAACCCATAACAACACACACTCCCTACGGTCTGTTCTTGCACGTCAGATAATAGGCAGAATTATCTAGAACCATAAAAAAGCAGCCGGTTGGTTTTATGTTATTGTGACCAAAAGTAAAAGTAAAAGGTTTTGTAGTGGCAGACTACACACCTCGTTAACAAGCAATCCTGCTCAATCAGTTTTCAAGTTTATTTGTCGAGGACACTTGCTGTCAGAAGCAGGTGGGAAAATAATGAGGAAGCAAGAGAGGGAGGGTAGAGAGAGAAATGATTGTTTTCTGAGTCCATCCCTCCAAGAAAAGAAAACATAATAAAGATTTATCCTCATTGAGGATTGATTTGAGTCTGCCTCTGGCAATATTGTCCATGAATCTCAGCAGCCGCCTGCAGAACCCCCGCCTAGCCACAGGGGGGGTTGGGCAGCTTTCAGTCCAGTCTGTTTTATTTACTCCTTGTCGGACTCCTCCTCGGCCTCACGGAGCCAGGTGAAGAAAGCGGTGACGGATTTCAAGGCCACGCCTTTGCCTGTTTGCTCTGCAGGGTCTTTGCTGGACTCCCATTTGTAGAAGGCCTCCTCTTTAATGACGTCCTCGTCGTACAGAGCGTCAAAGAACATCCGCAGCAGGTCTGCAAGGACACAATACAGAGGGATCAATACTGACTGAATGTAAGGACTGAAAAAAAACGATCATTCTGCTGCAGCGTGCTGCCAAAGGAGGGGACTGATAACACAAGCCCTGCAGCCTGATCTGAGCTCATGCTGTTCAACTTGCACAGCAGGCCCGTGTGAGAGCAACTAAGTTACATCACTTTTTGCACACACATCCATCCCTTTGGATGATGTAAAGTCTTTTATGTGAATGCAAGATCCGCATTTTCTCTCCGTCTTTCGACTTTGCACTTGCAGCTTTTTAAACCATTTACATCGCTTAAAAATACAGCCGCACTAATTCAACTACTGATGAGAAGCAAAAGTTGGCGTTTACGACCGTATGAAAGTAAGCTTTCTCTTTAAAAGCATCTCTCCCGTCTGTTCCGGTGCTTGGCTCAGCCTTTTTCTTGAAGGAATAAATCACCTTTTCCAAAACAGTATTTGCTGCATTGATCTTCAAACCCTCTGATAAAGGTTTTATTCTGCAGCAGCTCTGACTTTGATTCATAATGCCTTATTGAAAACAGATTTCATTTATGTTTTTGTGTCCTCTGCCTCGATGTTCAAATCCCTCTAAAAATACGTAGTGCTAGACTCTGGTGTGACACTGAACTGAGTTGGCATTTAAATCCTTGAGTAGCTCTCAATCATTGTCCTTCAGAGGCCCCTTTGTAAATCACTGAGTCGACACACAAATCATGACTAAGCGACATTTCGGGACTTACGAGCTGATTTACTGTTTAACTGAATTACACTGCAGGAAATTCATAAACAAGCTATTATCTTCTTTTACTGTCCTCTCAGGAATAAACGAAACACTGAGTCAAAGGACGACTGAATGAATCAAACACTGGGATCTCCTCCATGATGCTTCAGCGCCACCAAGTGGAAGCTGACAGCCTGTGTAGATCATTTAATACCCCTCCTGTAGCTGGAGAGTAAGGGAAGCTTCAATTCAATGAAAAGAAAGAACTAGGCTGTGTCCGAGATGAGTCACTCAATCCCTAACCCCTTAACCCAAACACAGTAATAATGAACAGAATTTGTATTTTCCCTGTCAGCTTTACACTAAAAGCGACATGGTCACACTCTACTATGAGGTATCTATATTTTCTGTGATCACATGTAACCGCCGGCGCCAGAGAGACATAGATTCGTAGCGGAGACACTCACTCGCTGGCTGCTCCATGTGCACCATCAGAGCCTGGAGAGCGTACAGGGCCTGCAGCTCCTTCTGCTCATCATACAGGTATCTCTGCAGCAGACTGGCCCTCTGGCTTATCTGCCTCGCGTCCACTCTGTATGGGTTGTCACCTGAAACGATGAGGGAAAAAAAAAGAGAGGCTTGAGCTCCGGCTGTTCAGGAGATAAAAACACCACTAGCGATGAAAAGAAGTCGTTTCAGACATGAAAACACCAGTGTGCAAGAAAAAGTGAAAAAGTGTACGTTTGCACGTTGTGATGACTAACGGATAGAGACATACGCTGAGTCTGGCTGCGGTGTTTGGCATGTTGAATTTGTCATACTCACATATGATGGCAGACTGACACACTGAGGTCATCAGTGCTCGTACAAACTGGTTGGAAGTGCTCTGCTGTTCGTCCAAGTTGGCCTGGAAACAATGATAACAAACAATTTCAGAAGATGACTTTTAATCAAGAAACAAATCACTACTCATTTATCCAAGGTGTGAAAATCAAACCTCGGCAGTCTCTTACCTCCACCCAGTCTCTGATCCGCTGGTTGTTGGCTTTGTCCTGCAGAAGTCTGTCCAGCTGTTTGCTCAGCTCCTCTCCACTGAGGGCTTTCTTCTTACCCTCCTCCTTTGACTCTGTTTCCTCTCCGGTGGTGAACTCCACTTTCTGATGAGGCGAAAAAAAAACAACATTTCTTTTACTTCTTTGTATGTTTTTACCTTTAAATCCGCACCACCGAAATGGATCAAAACGAGACCGTTAAGGAAAGGGAAACTGCTGGGCCCCTTATTTGAAATTTACAACATTTAAGTACTAATTCCTGCTTTATTGTTTATTGTTTAGCACGACTGTAACGCACAAACCTGCTCAGTCACAAACTTGTTGACGTCTTCGTCCTCAGGTAAGAATTCAGTCCAGTTCAGGCCAGCTTCGGTCCACATAGCACCAACCTTCTTAGGGGTCTGAGGGATTAAAAAGCAGCAACATTTTGAACAAATTAGTCGAAAATGTTAAACTTGAAATACAGATGATATGAGGCAGCAGTGATCGATACGAGAAAAAAGGACGTACCATTCCTTTGCAGAGTAACTTGAGGATCTGTACCAGCAGCACGCCAGCCTTCCCCAGAGGCACAAGAGGCTTCGCGATCTCCCTGCAGACACAATCGGCAACATTAACAGAAAGTAAACACCAGTTACTCCACTTGTCAGGACTTGATGAGGGTTAGGAATATGAAAAAAATCCTCTATTTAGTTTGTGCTCTAACTGTTTTTTTAATCAATACAGTCATGTCCAGATGCTGGCCTACACCTCCTGCTCACCTGAAGAGCGATCCCATAGGGATGCCTCCCTCGTGGAGCATGGGGGTGATGAGTTCAGCCAGGTAGAGCCAGATGTGAGGTATATCTATGGCTGTGTCTTCAGCTGCCTCCAGGGTTTCCTCCAGCCTACAGTCAAAGAGGACACAGAGCGCTCAGTCCTTCTTAAACCACACAGCTATTCGATTCAAACAGATCCTAGTTTAGAGTCAAAACAAACAGATATTCGATCACTTCTGTCCGTCTGTCTTGTGTTCAGAGCTCACCCTTTGTAGTACTGTGCTGGGGGCAGAGTTCCAGCCTTGACAAGCTGGTGCAGCAGCAGGCCCACGTGCTCTCTTGCGATTGTGCTTCGCTCGAGTGTCGACTCCACGCCATTCCGCACGAACACGAAGAGCAGCGGGACACTGTTGAGCTCTGCCACACACTGCAGCGCCTCCTACAGAACCAAGAGAACAACGCAGGGCATTAGAGGTGCTTTCACGTTTACTGGAGAGCCTGATTATGTGTGCGTGAAGATCACTGTGTGTCGTGTTTGTACCTTCAAGTCGTTGATGTGGAGGTATTCTTCAATGATGGCTTTGGACTTCTTCTCCACCTCCTCCTCTGTCATGGAAGATTTCTGAAGAGTTGGAGGAGGAGTGGGGGCGCTCTCACGCTTAGCTGTAAAGAAAAGAGATGTTAATCATCGATCCTCTGAGCTCAGTCACAGTGTGGCGAGCTCAAAGAGGGAGTTTTCTCTGCAGCTGCTTTATTACCTGCGAGATCTTTGCTCAGACCCCTGTCCCGGCTTCCCCGGTCTTTGCTCCCTTGGTCTTTGCTTCCTCTATCCCTGCTGCCTCTGTCTCTACTTCCTCTGTCCCTGCTTCCTCTGTCTTTACTTCCTCGGTCCCTGCTTCCTCGGTCCCTATCGTCGGTCATGCTGGCGACACGCCGCACAGGCTCGTTTGACGCCCTACTGTCTCCGCCCCTCCCGCCGCGCTCCTGCGACTCTCTGCTGAAGCTCCTCTTGGTGATTTGGTTCTGGGCGCTCCTGTCGTCGCGTCCTTCCCGCCCCTCGAAGCGTTCATACCGATCCCGGTCGCGATCGCCCCGGTCTCTGTCACCGCCACGCTCACGGCTGGAGCTTGACCTGGGGGGAGAGTAATATAGTCGTTTTTGTCACACTCATAAGCATCATGTTCTGCTGCGACACAGATTAAATTTGGAAACCATTATCAGCCGTTATTAAGGGTTTATGAAAATCCACAGCTGAAAACTACCTCTGAGGAACTCTGCGATCAGAGTCTGAAGAAGACAGCAATGATCCGGACTGCTGCAGGGCTGAGAAGCGGTTGAGGGTGCTGGTAGCTGGACGACCCGAGTCTTGAATGGAAGAAAGAAGACGGATTAACACTAACCAACAACTTCAAACCACACACTTTATTGATTTATTTTTTAATGTTGTCTTTTGTTACCCTGCTCTCCACTGGCTGGTTTAGCTCCGGTTCCTCCGCTGCTGCCTTTGCCCCAGCTGCCCCACATGCCTTTCCCTCCTGGAGCCAACAGCTGGTTGTTGAAGTCCAGAGCGCCAGGCTGATTAAAAAGGAAAAAAGACTCATTCGCATTTCTCAAAGTCACAAACCATCGATTCAAACTTACATGAAACCCCTGAGTGTCATTTTGTGTCGGACTCGGACGTCACCTTGGTGATCTTGCTGAGGCGGGTGGTGTCGATGGGTCTGTTTTTGGAGATGGGCACCGTGTTCCAGCCCTCATCCTGAGGCTGGCTGTTCCTGCCGCCCGGTGTGTGAGGCCCTCGGCCCCCCATGCCTCCGCCCATCCTGCCGCCCCCTCCTCCTCCTCCTCCTCCTCTTTCTCCTCTTTCTCCTCCGCCTCCCTCCTTCTTGGACATGAGCTGCTGCTGGACTTTGATCTGCTCCCTGTGCTCCTCCAGCTCTGCCTCTTTGTGAATCTGATCGATTGTTTTCGGACCCTGGTCTCCTCTGCGAGGTACCCAGTTATTCTGTTGATCAGAAATAGAATATTAGTCACATTTGTAGCTTATACCTCTCCTTTGAAGCCTTGCTGTTGGCGTTTATTTCATATTTTACCAAGAATGAACCGACGCTCACCTTTCTGAGGTCCAAGACGTCCTGCAGCATGAAACGGATTCTGGATGAAGTCTTTCTCTCTTTGATGATCTTGTCCATCTGGTTGAAATACTGATCCATACGAGGCTAAAAGAGAGGCAGACAAAAACAGGCTTCTTTAAAAGATGGATACGACACCAGACTGGTTAAGGGACATGGTTTCATGGGAGGTCTCCTCAGATCCTCAATCCCATCACTAGTTATCAGTGGCCCAGACACATGGCACATAAAAAATAGTGATCAATAGTGACAAAGTGTGATTGTTTGTTTAAATAAATGTACAATAACTTTAACTTTCTGTTCAAGTTTCCTTACCTTGGCCTTCTCGAAGTCCAAGTCTTTTCCGATTGTAGAGAGCAGCCTGCAGAGGCACTCCAAAGACTCCTCATCGTGGTTCTTCAGTAGTTTCACGACGCAGTCATGCATGATGGCCTCCGTCAGCATCTTCAGCTTGAAGAGCTCGCCGATGAACTTGATGTTTCCCAGAGAGCGGCGGCGGGCCTTGTCTTTAGCCTCCTCCAGCTCCACCCTCAGACGTTCTCGCTCATCCTCCTGGGGGCGGACACACACGGGTGTTTGATTAACGGGGTAAAATAATCAACTTTAACTGTTTGGGCGGTGATGGTTTGAGATTAAAGGTCGTACCTCCTTGGCGGCCTCCATCTCCTTCTGCTTTTTCTCGAAGATCTCGTCATCGTCCTGGTCCTTCTCAAACTCTTTCTGGCAGCGGTTAAGCAGCAGTTTGCGAAAGTTCACAGTTTGTCCTGGCTTGTCTGTGGTCGGGACTTTCAACTGTAGGGACAAAAATGAAAGTTTTATGCACGTTTAAATTTAATGACTAAATTCAGGGAGTAAAAACTTGATTGTAAAAATGTTGAGCAGACAATGAACGATGAAAAAAAGCTGCTCCATCAGTTCCTCAACACCATCACAAACATTCAGTGGCCCAGACACGTGGCTCATAAAAGAGATCATCACTGGAGCGAACGGCAGAGGTGCTACACCCTGAAACTCTCATGCCACTTACCCCCATAAGGCAGCGGCACATGTTGGCGTAGGCCACAGAGAAGTTGGGCTCTAAGATGGCCTTCTCAAAGATGAGGTCGATGGCTCCCTTCAGCCTCTCTTCTGTGTCTATCGTCAGCTCCTGCACCTGCTTCATCAGCTCCTGGAACTTCTGAGGGGTCAGCTTGTTGAGGATGCTGCGCAGACGCTTGAACAGCTCCTTGGTCTTGTTATGCTCGGGGTTGTCTACGTCGTCCTCCTCCTCCGGGGCTCGGGTGCGAGTCGACTTCTTGCCGGTTGGCTTCCAGGCTTTCTCCGCCTTGTTGAGCTGCACGTCGTCACTGAGGGACATGCTGCTGATGATCTTCCTGGGCTCCTTCCTCTGACCCTGCTGGGAGCGACGCGGCCCTGGAGGCTAAAGAGGAGGAGAAATGGATGTCGATGTCAGAAAACTGGTGTGACACTTTTCTGTTTTACAAAGTCAAGTCTAGGGGTGTCCCGATTAGGCTTTCCATGGTTTGAGATTTAGCAGTACGGTACGGTGACAGTACCATACACCTTGGTATTTCACGGTGACTGTATGGCAGCCTGCCCAGAACTAATGGAATATTCGATGCAGGACGATATAATCCGATCATTACTTTTTGGCTGATATTGGACCGATATCTGATATCGGATCGGGACATCCCTAACACAGACAAAAGATAGAGGTTCTGGATTGAACTGCTTGTATCAGAGTTTTGATATCTAAGATTTTAGATGCAGGCCGATTTTTTATTTTTTGCTGATATTGGACCGATATCCAATATCAATATCGGATCGGGACAGCCCTACTCAAGTCACAATGAGGCATTTCCTCATTTAAAAGCCTACCTCTATCACTGCTAAGATGAAAAAGTAGGTAACAAAAGTATTTCTTCACAACAGACCAAAGCAGAAAGTTCTCGTAACAAGTCACTCACCGGGCCTCGTGGTCCTCCCACAGATCTGCTCCCAAGGTTCCCCAAATATGAAGGAGTAAAATCAGGACCGACATTCATTATTCGAGTTGGGTCAACAGGCCGCAGGGGAGTCTTGTTTGCCTAAAACACACACACAAAACAAATCTTAACCATCCATGCTTGAGATGTCAAATAGCAAGAAAAATGAAATACTGCCCTGTCAACAAGCAAAAATAGTCTTCCTATCTAACTAGACAGCCAAGAGGCAGGAACCTAACATACCTTGTCCAGGACCACATCACTGATAAGAGGAAGGCCCTCAGGTTTGTGCATACTGGCACCGATAAACTGGAAGCCCAGGAGGAATTCCCTGTCGTACCGCTTCTTCTCTTCTGGATCAATCGGCTTCCATTGCTCTGAGAGAGTCACGAGAGGACAAAGAGGATTCAGAGTAATGTAGTCTGTGATGAAAATGTTCTACTTGTGTACCTGAAATTGTCTTTTAAAAGGTGTGCGTAATAATGGAACCTGCAGATCTATTCTTGTTTATCTACGTTTAATAATTTGGATGTAGCTTACCTTCTTTGTACTGGTATTTCTGCCCACTTGGCTCAGATGTGGCTTTAGGCTTTTCAGGCTCTGCATTTTGCTTGTCCTCTTTCTCCTCCCAGGTCTCATCAGCGACCTCCGCGGGAGGTTCAGCCGGAGCGACGGGGACAGGGTCGGGCTGAGTGGACGAGGGTTCAGAGGCAGGTTTGGTATCCTGCTCCTGCATCAAACAAAACAGTCAGAGACGAGTGAGAATAGAGATGAAACCGCCACCAATCGAAGTAGAATTAAAAACGCCTCAACACTGTAGCCCTCCATGTCATTCGGTCCGACACACACCTCTGTGAAGGCATCCAGGAGGTCCCCAATCGCCTCCTTCTTGTTGAACTCCTTCATGTTTTTCCTCTTCTTTGGCACAGACGTAGCAGCTTGGAGAGAACGGGACAGTGTTGATATCACAATCACACTCAGACTGACACAAATAGCGGCCATAAATATTAGTGGAAAATTAAGGCACTGTCAAAATGAGTGTTATTAAAAACACAGAGATCACTCAAAAGTGATAACATTTAGTTAAACGTCAGATTTCTTGGATTTGGTGCACTGAGTAATTAAAAACTATAGAATCTGAGCCTGAAGATCTATCACATCATCATATCAGCCTCATCAAGCCTCAATTTAAAATCCTTTATAACGCTGAAACCTGGGCTTTCTCTTATATTATGACAGAGACCAATGTCGATCGCCTCTCTCTCGTCAAACCCACACAGATACACACAAACCTCCTGTTCCTCTCCTTACATCTCTGTCTCCACATGTGGCTGCCTGATAGTTTTTAGCAGCTGTGGATCACCATTAACTCTGGCACTATCCAGTATCTCATCATGTCGCTCATAAGCTTCAATCTAGGCTGATATTAAGTGAGTAAATAGAGTGCGCTTTATTTACTTACAGGTAGCCCAGTGATCGTTCAATCTCAGTTTGGAGTATTTTTACGGTTTGTGTTGCTAAAGCTGTTGTTAAATAAAGATTTGATCACTTGCCCAAACTTACCTTGCATAGTAGTAGATTGCTCTGTGAGTACAGGTGTGGGAGGGGCATCTTCACTCTTCTCCTTGACTTCTTCCTCTTTCTTCTCTTTCTCCTCCACCTCCACCACCTCCTGGGCCGGCGCTGCCGTTTTAGCCGAAGGTGTGGGTTCCTGAGATTGAGAAGCGTTGGGCTTGTCGAGGGGTTTAGTGTCTGAAAACGCCAAATCCTCTGACAGCTCTTCGGCGTCCTGAGGAAGGCCGTTGGAGAGGAGGGGCTCCGTCTTTTCGGCTGGTGCGGGTTCGACTTTCGGTTCAGGTTCAGGTTCAGGGGCGGGTTCCGGGGCGGGTGAAGGTTCAGAGGCGGGTGCAGGGCTCGGGGCCTCGCTCTGGATCGGTGGAGCAACGGGTTCCTCTTCGCAGGGCGGAGGCTGAGAAACTTCAGTTGTTGTCTTTGTTACAGTCTCTTTGTTTTCCTCGACGACAGGAGTAGCTGTCGCCTCAACCTCAACCGCCGGCTCCTCTTCCACGCTGACCACCTGCTCTTCTTTTTCCAGCTTCTTCACCTCTTCAGTTTTCTCCGCCTCTGTTTCTGAAGCCTTTTCGGCGGGAGCTGGGCTGGCCTGTGGTGCCTCCATTTTGGCAGGTGCCTCTTGTGCTGCTAACGGTTCTGGAGGGACGACAGGAGCATCTACCGTGTCGCTGACTTTAGTATCGACTTTGTTTACCTCCTCAGCGGGGGCTGTAGGAGAAGCTGCTGCAGGAGGGGGGACAGAGGAAGACTCCTGGTCTTTTGTCTCCGGGGGTGGCACCTCAGTAGGAGCTGCGGGGGCTTCGGTTTGCGAAGCCAACTCTGCAGGGGGTGATATCTGGGTGTCCGTTTCCTCCATCATCAGGTCAGTGTTTTCTGTGGCGGGAGGTGGCGGGGTGTCGGCATTGGAGGGAGGCTCCAAACTTTCATCTGGACACAGAAGCATCAAATATATTCTCAGTACGAGTGCAGACGACATATCGCTCTTCTAATTCAAATCCAAACAAAAAAACATCCTCACCTCTTCTTGTTATTGTAGTAACAGGCTGAATGACTTCCCCATTGGTCTGTGCAGGGCTTCCATCTGCTGCCGAGGCCTACGGGCAAAAGAAACGCATCAAGTATTTTATAAGCTGAACAAATCAGGACAATTTTAAAATAAACAGCAAACGTTTGATTCAACTCTACAATAATTCTGGAGCCGTTGAATCCCTTCAGTATTTCTCGAGGTAAACTCTACATTCTCGTAAGCTCATCACAGCTAAAAAAGAATTAGCGCATATTTGCCCAGAGAAACGCCGTGCTGCATTTTTCCAGCGTCAATAAGAAGGTGTTAACATAAAGAAGGTCGAAACATACAATCACCTCAATTAGAAATGAATTAAGTTTGACGCTGGTGTGAAGGAATTCCTAATCTTTGCATTGTTTCCTCTCACAATGAGACCTTTGTTCAAACAAATCAACAAAATGTCATTGTTTCTTTTTTTTTTTTTTTTTAGAGAGTTTTTCTGGTCGATTTTTTTCGCCTCTGGGAGAGATGTTTGAGAGAAAACGCAGAGGAAATTTTGCTTTGATTTTATGTCGTGAGTTCAGACGCCTTTGTTCTGATAACTTCAGTCTTTCATTTAATGTTGCTGAAATGTGCATGTAAATTAACTTGCTTCACCTCTTCTAGTTTTTTTAATATTAGTCTTAATCTACTCACGCTGACATTCACTTTATAATCGACACTTTCAGCTCCGACTGAACAATTACGAAATAAAGAAAGAACTACAGAAGGATTTAGTCTATATTACACATTTTTAACACCTTTTATTTCATTTATTGTTTTTTTTAATTTAACCAGGTAAGAAAATCCATTGAGCTTGATCTTTCTTTTATGTTATCTGAAAGGTGAGCTGCATCCTACACACTAGTGCGGCACCTATAAAAAATACAGTACGAGGTGTTTTACTGCATTATCACACAGACCACAGCAAGCATAGAAGCAAAGTACTGCCAAAGCATGCTGAGACTGGTCGTGGGTGTAGCAGCGCCACATTATAACAGCTCTCCTCCCTCACAAGCTCATCATAAAGCATTTAGATAAAGGGGGGTTGCGTGGTGTTGTCAAACGCATCAGCTGGCTCGTGTTCATAGTTTTCATTGTTAACATTCTCTGTGCTGCAGAAGTATCGAGCTGATCAGATCGCTTATTAGACGACGACACAGGAGGACACTTTTTGAATGCGACTTTTTTGCCGACGTAGTGCGAGGGTGAAGAGATCTGAAGTAAAGCTGCCATCGTGCAGTCAACACAGTTCTGCGTTTAGCTCCACATTAAAAGGTAAACACTATTGTAAACCTGCGCAGCTCATCTTTAATTTTTACACTCAATACACAAATAATTATCAGTGTTCGGCTCTTAAAACCAGAAATACGACAGCAGAGACATTTTTTTTGGTTACATCTTGAAACCCTCCTCACCTGTGGGGGGGTCGGCGTGGTAGTGGACCTTCCACCTGACATGATTTCTTCTGTGATATCACGCCCACCTTGGTTCGGGTCTCGTATTCTAATCTAAAAACATAAAAGGAACAAGATACCGATGAGTTCAGTCTGACACACACACACACACACAAAAAAAAGACAAACAGTATGAAAAGCTTCTGTCAATGCTGGTCTACAGCTGGCGCCTATCATAATAAACCCTATTGTTATTTTCAGGTAAAAGAGAACATTCCACATTGAAGAGACAAAACATTTCTGCTCAAACAGTTTGTTGTTGTTGTTAGTTTTTTTGACCTCAGAGAAGAGGCGTGCAGCCCTTTTGTTGTGACACACTACCGGTTTGCGTTCCCTCTTTGGTGGGCCTTGTGACTGTGCCGGCGCTTGCTGGGGAGGCGGGGCTTGTTGCTGCTGCTGCGCGGGGTTGATCATGACAGGTGCAGGCTGGACAGACGCAGGGTACTGTGGCTGAGCTGGATAATACGCCCCAGCTGGAAGGTAAGGGGGAGGGAGAAAAAAAATAAACAGTATTTAAGCTGCGAAAACAAACACGTTAAAGCATTCATCCTGGATTAACAAGACTGTTGCTATGATAATCTGCATTTGCTATTATTTAATGCCGCAGAGTTAGACTGAACCAGCAAACCCACTGGTATTTTGGTCCACTGCAGAGGGGAGCATGCGTGAGTTTCAAAGTTATTTCTACAGGGTCTCCGCAGGTTTCAACAAGTCAAATTAAGACTTTTTAGAGACTTTTTTAAGATTGTGATTAATACGATTTAAGACCCATTTTACATCCATACTGGCTAAAAAGTTCAAAAGACATGAAGGGAAATCATATTATTTTAAATTATTTCAAATCAATCTTTATTCCTATGGCAAGTTACCTATTTGTAAGTAAAAAGAATAATTTTTAAGATCTTTCAAAATCGTATTTAAGACATTTTATGAGATTTTAAGAGAATTTTAGACGTTTTCAGACCTTAAATTTAAATGATTGGATTTTAGACTTTAAGACCCCGCAGATACCCCGTTAACACTAATATAAAAATTAATAACATCTCTTTTTATAACCTATTATTGAGACATTGAAATTCAGACATTCAATACTCTGAACAGGGCATTCATAACTTTCTCTATTGATATCACGTTAAATACATCCTGTTTCAAACTGATTAAACATCTTCTCAAAGACGTCTATAGTGGACTCCGGTTCTATCAATAGAAGTGATCATTTGTTCATGTAATAATGTGTGAGTAACAAAGAGAGGAGAAAAAAAACAATACATTCAACACTATCAGAGACAGAAAGTGCCACAGAGAGTTTTGCCACTAAAGCCTGCTGGCCGACACACAAGCACACACACACACACACACACACACTACTCACCAGGGTAGCGCTGGGAGGTGAGAGGAGCACCGTGGAGAGAGAGACGGCCGTTCTCTCGCCCGCCCCCTCTCCCCCCGCCACCCCGCCTCTCCCTCGCAGCAAGAGAGGGCTCTGAACCAACCAACGCAGCAAACGAGGGGGGAAGGGGGGTGAGGGACGGGAGAGGGAGGAAAGAAGGAGAAGAGGGCAGGAAGAGACAGATGCAGAATGAGTTAATGAGAGGATCCAGAGGAAGCAGGGTGTTAAAAAGGTCCCATGAAATGACCAATTTTCTTTTTCTTTACACGCTGCTTTGGTGGCTGCAAGTTTCTTTTATTGAAATAAAACTCGCATGAAGAGTCTGAAACCTTGTTCGCTAAAACCACATTGGACTGGAAGTTGTCGGTTCGTTTTTCTTAAAGCCAATGAGCATTCACAGCAGTCATACAGGTAAGGACTGTATTTGAGGTCGCACTTGAAAACAAAATCAAGAGTCAATCTCGACCCCGACATCAGGTTTGCACACGGATCCACCTTCTGCATTAAGTTCTCGGTTCACAGTCATTTCATGGAACCTGTAAGGCAGCGTCAGGTGAGACTGCAGATAGAAGAGACCGCGGGCCAAAGCAGAATCAAGCCAGACCACATGCAACTGGCAGTTTACCGTGTACAAAAAGACGTTAAACACACCAACGAGCCAAGCAAAACCACGACACATCCAGCGACACCATACTGGCTAAAAGGTATGTGAAAAGTTTAGGAATGAGCCCAGAGGTCTCATTTCTCGTTCTGGTCAAACTGCGCTTCTGGTATTTGTAAAGTGACAACGCCTCATTTTTATGGCTGTGCTTGGCTGTTTCGAGTTTTAAGCTACACCTCTTACCATAACCTGGGTATTCGGCAGGGCTAGTTCCAGGGAAGAATCCTGCTGTACCGCTGGTAACAGGATACTGCTGAGTGGGAGGCATATATGGGGCCCGGTACTGCAGAAACAACAGAAAAAGTCAGACGGAGTAACAATGGGTGGAGCATTTTGATTGTGAGTGCTTCATGTTAATCTCTGCCAGACTGTTGGATATGGAACAATCCTCTTTCCCAAACAAGACCAGATTTCCAGATTGGTTTCTGTCATTTCTCCTTTCTCTGGAGATGTCATTTTTCAAACTTCAATTTTTTTAGCTCACCTAATGTTTCGATTGTTTTGATAAGGCAGCAATACATGCTGTCACTGTTGGCTGAGAACCCCCCAAAAAATCCAAGGTAGTAAAAAAAAAAAAAAAAAACTACCGTATTTTTCGCACTATGAGGCGCACTCAAAATCCTTTTGGCTTGTCGGAGCGCTGCAGCTACCGTAGCCTCACAGAGTTAAATAAATAAAGTTTGACTTATCTGACTGTTTTGTTTGCGCTTTAGACGCATATTGATGGTGCGCCTTATAATCAGGTGCGCCTTATAGTGCGAAAAATACGGTAGTAATCCTGACATTGTGAAAATTGCTCTCGAAGACACTTAAAAACTACGAACAACCCATAATGCAACACACGGCTTTATCAAAAAAAGTACTGTCTTGTAGTCTCACGATGTGTGTACAGGTTTTGGGGTAGATGTGTTGTGATTGTAAAGTTCAAACAAAATAGTGGCTCCTAATGTGGACTAACCTGTCCAGGGGGAATGAAGTAGCCCTGAGGAGAGCCGGCAAAAGACAGCTGCTGCTGGGAGAGCATCATCATCTGGGAGCCTGTTGGGTACACATGAGCAGGTCCGACAGGTCGAGGGCCGCTACTTGTTTGTACCCTGGGAGCACTGGGGGCCATGGCCGGTCGGTTCTGATAGTAACTCTGGAAGAAAGATGCGGGACATTGGAGTAAATCACTGCTGCAGTAAACCTGTTTTACCATGTGCACACTCATGAGAGTCCTATCTTCAATGTGAAATGTCTGATTGGGTGTACGCTCAGCACACCAGAAGCTCTGCTGGTAGCAATGCACTCACGGCAACTGCCAATGTGTACAGCGAGTTCAGTTCTTAGGTTACAGAGTATCAATCGTACTGCATGTCAAATCTCCCTGCTTAACTGAGAGTTAGCCAGAGTGAAAGGAGGAGGGGAGGGGGGGGACCAAGAGAGAAGCCGTTACCTGTAATGCTCGGTATCCACCCTTCAGCCGCGCAACACATAAGCAGAAAGCAAGAGAGGGAGTGAGATTAAAGTGAGAATGAGGACATGAGACAACGTGGAAGGTCGAGAACACAAAGTGTAAAAGAGGAAGCAGCAGCAAAACATCGCAGCCATGAGCAGTTACGACAGGACAACCGTAGCTGCGGATGCCGCTTTGGAGAATTAGGGTCTCCTGCAGTCCTCCAGGTCGCAGTCATGAGTGGTTTAAGAGTAACTTTCCAGCTGCATGTGAGCTCTGGATAAATGTCTGAATGTGGAAACTTTTTAAGCTGACCTCGAGTTAGGCATCATCAATTTTTATACACCATATGTAAGAACTACTCAGAAGTATTATGAACTCAAAGTAGCAAGGGACTAAATATAGGTTTGTGAAGGAACAATGTAAAAAAAGGGCACATTATGAATGTAACCTGACACCACTTATAATTAAGAAATGTATATTTTCATGATAAACACAAAATACAGAATTCAACTTTACTGGCTCTCAGGAAGAAACAACTAGATTGTTCCAATCAGGTGCTCTGAAAGCATGCATTACAAAGTAGATGGAGGGGGGGGGATACAGGGGAAAAGTGAGGGGTGTTAGTACCTGTTGGTGTAAAGTACGGGGGCCTGCAGCAAACTGGGAGGACAGCAGAAAGAGAGGACAGAAGTCAAGATTGACACTCTAGGAGGAAGACTGCAAATAGGCTACAACACTCACGTACACACACACACACACACACACACACACACACACACACACACACACACACACACACACACACACAGAAATAGCCAAGGCCTTCAAGCAGTGGAAGCCATGTCAGAAATCCTTGTGGAAGAATAAGAACGGGTGGGTTTCTAGACGAGGTAACAAATATCGTGACACCTCAACACAGAGCGCTCCTAAAAGAGGCGTGTTCATGTCATTACCTGTCTTGGCTGTGGTGCAGGGTTCATTTGTGGAGGTGGGGTGGCAAAAACTAGGGAGGGTGGTTGGCCAGGGCCGTAGGCAGCCTTGAGGAGAGAGAATAGATATGATTAATAACCTTCATCTAACAGAAGAACCTCACATTTTGAAATGTTAAGTGTCCTTTACCTGTGTTAGTCCGGGGGATGGGGCAGGGTTTGGGACAGAGGTGGGTCCCGTTATAGGCTGTGGCGGTTTGTTCATTTCACGTTCTTTTATGGTTCTGCATCAGGGTGGCGTTGTGTTGCCAACCTTTACTGAAAAAGAGAGGATCGAGAAATACTAAAAATGGTCTTACTCTATTAAACCTCTGTTACACAATTCAGAAACAAAACTAGAAACGATATAATGATGCATGAGGGGCTGGAAACATGTGGTGACATCTAATCGAGCAGGTTGGGTGTGGCCTGTGGTTTCGCCTATGATAACATCACCAGCTCTCAAAATGTAGTGAACCTGCATATGGCACAGTTAATACATGAGGTCAAGCAGATCACAACTCCCCAAAAACTGCCATTGGCTATTCCAAAAACGAAAAATTTCAAGTGACAACTTTGCAAGACAGTAGGGGTGCGCCAAAAAGTCAATTCACACAAGAATCGCTATTCTAATTTACAACGATTCAGAATCTATTTAAAATGTCCCAAAATAGCTGAGCAGACCAACGCACGCTGCAGAGCTTCACGAAGCTATTTTTTATACAAACAATATAAAGCTAAACTATATATACTTTTTATATAAACTTTTTTTAATATAAAGAGATACTTTTAGTTTTGTTACTGCAGCAGTATGTGATATTGCTTGTAAAAATTCCAGGCATAGATAAATGCTTAAAAGGTCCTTACACATCAGGGCCGACACAAATATAGAACGCGAAAGTACGCAATATCCGGAGGCCAATTTTGACGCGCCTGACTATACACATCAAGCCCGATGCGATTTTGCGAATTTCCTGAGGAAAAAGACGCATCCCAGGGAAGACTTTTGCTGGGGAAAGTCCCGCCTCCTTCGCCACTGATTGGCTAGAAAAGCTCGAAACGTTATTTCATGCTCAAACCAAACGGTCAGCACTTATAGCCAATCAGAGGCGATAAAATAAACACATGAAACTATGGTAACAACCGTTAGCATACGTTAGCACAGATGAACTATCTTCATATGAGGAATCCGACGCTATGACTCTCCACAAGTTGTCCTTCAGGTCGTTATCTTTGTAATATTTGTGTTTTTTTATTAAAAAGCATTCTGTTCTCCGACACGTAAACAGTCAGCTGGTGAATCTGACGTCGCAACAACACGCAATCTGATTGGTCAGAAGTGGACACACAGTATGCAACTTTTAAAAAAATCGGCCATGATCTGAAAAAAATAAATGCCTTAATATCGCAGAACGGGAAAACGTCGCTGATGTGAACGCTTGTATTGACAGGATACGGGTTCGAAAGAAAAAAAAATTTACGTCCGAAATAATCGCACGAAAATAAAAACAGCTAAAAAAAAAGCCGCCACACCTAAAAAAAATTAGTTTTTATCTCACATAGTTCTACCTCGGACTCATATGTATCGACAGTGTTTCCCCTACATTCAATGATTCTACTAACACCTTGTGAGCACAACAACACGCAACGTTATTTCCGTCTTGTTGTGAGTCATCAAGGAGTCATCAAATCCTGTCGGACCCTCTCTATCGACGTGAAAGATATCGTTCAAGCTTCTTCACGGTCTACATAGTGAGTAGCATTAATAGCATTAGTAGCATTATTATCGACGCGGCACTAATAATCTCTACTCGCGCTGTGTGAGCACAACAAGACACAATGTTATTTTTGTTAGTGTTGTGTGTTGGTTTTTCCTGTCTGACCCTCTTCCACTCATGTGAAGGGTAACGTTTAAGCTTATACATGGTCTATGTAGCGAGTAGCGCGGGTAACGTAAAGTGAACGTAACAGCGTAGCAACAGCCGAAAAAAATCTAGGGGGAACACGGTCTTAATAAATGTGAAAAAGACACTTTAATGTCCTTATTTGTCATTCTATCTTGCACAGCTGATCAGAAACCAGGTCAGAAATCATTATGAATAAAATCGTTTAGACTCGAAGATCGATTTTAAATTGAATCGTGGCTCCAAAAATCGGAATCGAATAGTGAGACAGTAAAAGATTCCCACCCCTACAAGACAGCGTAAAAAGTTAAATGGAGGACAAATGGGGTAAAAAGGTGTTGCAATGAGCATCTAATTCAAAGGTTTTAAGATTCACACACTTGGATGGGTCCAATCATGAGTGAATGTAGAAAATGGATACCTCAGGTCAAAGTTCATTCACTCTGTTAACAGTGGCTTCAATGCCCCCTGGTTGTGCTAGCAACATAAGCAGATGATCCATCCAAAAATTAAGTATATTACAAATCCCCATTAGAAGACCTTGGATTTCAGAAAGCAAAGTCGTGTCAAATACATGATCCCTCTAAAAGCAGACGTGTAACACACAACATCCACCTGCTGACAGAGGAACCATTAGCTGCCGGCTAATGCCACGCTTTTTTCCCCCACTCAGGACGTCCGTGTAATACACTAACATATGTCCCTGCAATGGAGATAGAGAGGGCTACATAGTTTAATCGTCTTCATTCAGTAAAGCCGTGTAGGAAAAGTTTCAGATTGTGTTAAATTGCAATAAAAAAAAGGAAGAATGTTTTACAATGGCCTGCTAGCGGCGCAGTATTCCCGACCGGAGCAGGCTAACGATACGTGTCCCACTACCACGGAGAGTCCGCTTAGTGACGCTACGTGGCTGATCCACATTTAACCTTAGCAACCGCGCAACTCATTCATACAGTTTTAATAAGTTTAAGGATTTTTTTTCGTTATCAATGTCACATTGATGTTAATTTTCAGAGGGGTGAAGTCATGTTAGAAGCCTTGGCATGGTTTAGGTTACAGTAGAGCTATTGTTGGTTCATGTTAGCCCTGCCCGATCTGACGACATGAATCCAGATACAGGCCCCACTATCAAGCCCACATTTCATTTCAAACTGTACCATATAAACGGGTTTAATACTATAGAGTTACAAGGTGGAGATATCGGCGATTAAACCAAACTGAATATCACTTATAAACAGCGACCAATAAAGGATGTAAAGCCTGCGGGGATATAGTGAATTAAGATCAGCCATGAGAGGCAGAAACCCGGGCTGTCACTTCAGCCAGCGTTAGCTTAGCTTTAGCCGGTGAAATTCTATGATTAAAAAATATTTTATTCCAATTACATATATTTTTTTACATACTGTTATAAATCACTGACAGAGATGATAGATGGTTAGCTTTCGGTGTGTGTGTAGGCTGACAGCCGGCCGGGCCCGGTGAACCAGCTAGCATTAGCCTGTTAGCCTGCTAGCCTACTAGCCTGAGCGCCGTCGACAAACACCACTTCGAGCTAGCGTTGGTTGGTTTTATTCTTACCGGGAATCAATAGTGAATGTGTTGCAGAGTGAGAATTCGGGGATTCAGCCTCAGATCGGTCTTCTATCAGAGAAAACGGTGGTGTTGTAGTTTCCTTGTCCTTTACTCCAAAAAAGTGATGCCCTTCTTGGCTACTGACTTTGTGAGCTAGCTTGATAGCTGACCGGCAGATGGGGTGAGGGCTACTGCTGTCACTTCGGTTTAAATCCCCGGGCATGCAAAAGTGACAGTGCTCAAAATCTAATAATATAGTACTTTAGGAGTACTATTGACAACTCCGATGGCCCCGAAAAAAGCCTCTGGACCGGGGGTCCATGATCAAGGCGTCGATGGTGACGGATTGCCGGTAAGGTGTGTACACAGCTGTCGCATCAGGAGGCTCACAGAGAGGCCATAATGCGATGTTTCTGCTCTATGGAGCCGGTACGCCTTCGAGTCGCATGGGTAACTTCCGGGAAAATCAAAATGTGAAGCCGTGTCCCTGATCATGTGATACAGGACCTGGAGTTCATCCAGCGCCATTCGGATTCAAATGTGGGATATTATCCGAAACAAATTACACTTGATTGGGTTTATTTACCCCTGATCCTCAAAGTCACAGATTAACTATCTAGATCTCAATTCAACGCTGTCTAAGGCGACTGTAGAAACAAGTGATGACCTGCCCGTTTCTTATGACCTTGGCCTGCATTGATCCACAGGTGTTAGATCTTCTTATAATATTCACATATATTGCTAACTGGTTTCTGATTTATAAGCTAACTCTTGATTTAAGAAAAATGTAACTTCATGATCTTCTGCAACAAATCTTTTCCAAAAGAAGAAGTCAAATTATCAATTAATAGTACAGAAATCTCTCAAGTACCCCACATCACTTTTTTGGGTGTTGTCCTTGATGAGGGTCTTAAGTGGAACATTCATATCAGTCAATTTTGCAAAAGGTCAATAAAGAGCCTCGGTATAATTAATAAGGTCTGTCCTCTGATCAATCCCTCTGCTCATTTGACTTTGTATTATAGCTTCCTATTTCCATACATTAACTATTGTAACATTGTATGGTGTGCAACCATAGACTGTATATACTATTATATTATATACTATTCTATATACAGTCTATGTGTGCAACATATCCAACTCACCTCAAGAAAATATTATTAATTCAGAAAACATTCTTAAGAATGATATCACGATCCAGCAAACACGAACCTTCTGCCGATTGACAAACTCAATGTCTTTCACTCGTGTTTGAAGATAATTTTGTCAATATACAAATATATAAAAAATAAATAAAAAATATATTATTATTATTTATGATAAAGATTTGCCTTTACAGGAGATGTTATCTAAGAGTGTTTTGTTCCTTAAGATGCTATTGTAATTCATTTTTAGGCAGTATCAACTGACAGTGTCATGTTGTTTCCTCTGCTCCTCTTCAAAACTAATTTCTGTCATTTATGTATATTTTTATGTGTGTGTACAGTATATATGTATACATATTAATGTATATGTATGTATCTAGGTCAATACATGTGTCTATTATATTTTCTATGTTGTTGGAGAATAGCTTTTTAATAAAACTTTGATCATTACATCGTTGTATTCTTCACATTTTTTATTTTATTTTGATTTGTAAAAACTTTGTAACCCTATTTTAAAAGTGCAATTTAAATAAATGTCATCACTATTATCATGTTTTTATTTATTTGAATCTTTCTATAATTAGGGGTACATATCATGTCAATGGACTGTAATGATCAATTTTACCAAATATTACCTTCAACCAATGATCAATTTTATATCAGGGCACATTTCTCTTTTATTTAATACGAAAAGTTTAACAGATATCTTTTTTTTTTTTTTTGTATTATACTGGAATTTGTTGGTTTTATGCTGTCTGATTTTCTCAATGTCAGGTTAAGCTCTTCAGATTAACATTAAATTAAATAATTTGGTACAACATTTTTGTAAATATTTGTTCAAAGTAATAACTAAAAGATGGGAAAGTTGTTTAAAAATCAATTTTGTTCATTCACACACATAAAATCATCCGCTTTGTGTGTGTCCAGGAAACTTTTGTTAACTGTGTTACCCAGTGAAATCCCCCCCATAAATCAGCAATTGTTTGCCCCTAAGTCACATGTTCAGCATCATTTGATGTCCTATCCTTTTTGAAGGGAACATCTAGTTTATTTATCAAAAAAGAATACTGATATTTTAAGTTTTTGGTTGACTTGAAATGTACCCCTAATTGTCGAATGACCCATTTATAAACCAATTTTGGGATTACATTGAAAGGGTTAAGTTCCTCACATGATGATAAAGTTAAGGAGGTTTCAAAAGGTTTTATCACAATAAATTTAACACTTAGGTTCTCCATTGAAGTTGCCACTGTTTGCATATGTTGAGGGCCCGTGGTTCATAATGTACCTGGTGCATTTTGCTGATTTAATGTGACTCAAGAAGGACCCAGAGTAAATTTCTGCCCTGTGGCCTTATTTGTTTGACTATGGCAACATCATCAGTCAATGTTTGTTTATTACCTAAGTTCCTGACATCGCCAATTAATAAACCAGATGGGGTCAATGCACTATGCAAACCTTGCTAGTGATAATGTTGTTGACCAGATGTCTTGACTAAACTTTTGTAGTTTTTTGGGGATTAGAATAAGCCCTTTTGGAGGCTAACCACAATAAGCAGTGCCCCTTTGCTCCATCTGAAAAGCTGTTTCTAGAGCTGTCTTTTTTTCCTTCTGAAGTCTCAAGGAGCTCAAAAATATCTTCTTCCATTTATAGAACCTGTCTTGGAACTACACCAAGTCACACAATGTTCTTTTTTTTGTTCTGATATTTATATTTTTCATCCAGATCTATGTTTTACCATACATCAACACTAGGACTGTCCAACACAGCTTTAAATTACCACCAGGACTACTTTAGAAACATATTTGGTCACATTATTCTTCAATAACAATACTGATGAGCCCATAAAAGTCAATATTGCAAAAGAAACAAACAACAACCAGCAGAAGATGGCATTATAAAGTTTTATTTGGGAAAAGCCTCGTATAACAAAACATACTTGATCAAAAGACATATCAGTTTTTTTCTTCAGGTTGTAATTGGAAAAAGAAATCTATACCAAGGTCAGTGGGGAAAAAACATGATCGTTATGATGAGTGTGGGAAGTGGTGCTCAAATCATGAATGGCAGGATGAGATGCCTCATGGTTTAAATTTTTTGCTGACAGGAATGGAAAGTGCAAGATTTCTCCAGGTCTGCAAGAAAAAAAGGAGGTTGATGAATACAGGGGACAGACAACATGGCTAAAATAATTCAGAAAAAAATAATGAAATGTTTTCTGGCCTGTTAATCTTGATATAACCAACAACTGAGTTTTACACACCTGGAGCAGTAGTACCACAAGACCTGAGTGAGTTCATGGCGTCCATGTATTCTGATCCCAAAAACTGGTCGTATGTTGTGCCAGCCTGAACCTCCTGGAGACACTTGGTGGAGTCTTTGAAGAGGAGGTTCTTGCCATTGTTGGAATTGAACATTTTGAATGAGAACTCATCGGCACTCATACCAAATTGGGCCTGTAGACAGATAGATAAAAGAAAGTTAACATTATAACATGTCTACACAACCATATCAAAGATCAACAGAAGTTAAGCAATGATTAATATGTTTGTCAGTGAGCAAGACGCCTGTTACTGTGAACAGTGTGCAAATATAGAAACCTCTAGAGTCCCTTGTTTACTTCCTCCCAAATGTTGATGCTACAGCTGTACCTGTAGTTATTTTGCAGCAGTTTAATTGTACATGCTGAAATAACAGCTGTGCCTGTTTTGCTGAACAAAATAGAGTGAATCTGAACCAGTGACTAGATCAGATTAAAAATTCAACTTTCTCAAAAAGAAACTAGCTATATTGATGCTGGTGTCAGTGTTAGCATCAAAGGTCAGTACGCAAGTATTGAGATTGTCTCTGAAGTTGATCTACTGACTGTCAATCAGGAGATCAAGAAAACAAACATTAGTGTGAGAGCTTAAAACGAAAAAACAAAAATAACTTGAACAGTGAAATAACAGTGAAATAATGAGCCGATCAATGCTGATGTCTTGTTGAAGTAGGAATTTCTGCAACCTCTTATTTTCAGAGTGTGAAAGAAAACACATTTTACTGCACTTTAATGCAAACTCTAAATGTTATGTGAAAAGAAGATGTTTAAGTTTATCTAATGAATTCAATCACAACAAAAAACATTAATTTAAAAATTCAACAAAGATAGGTAAATAACTTCCAGTGGGGGGAAAAAAACATCTTAATTAAACTTAACTGATAAAAGCATTGCTTACCTGCTGGTTCTGGAGAACTTGGATCACGTCACTGCGGCTCTCTGGACGAGTCACCACAGCGTGTGCAGGCACCTTAGCAAGATTGCATTGCTGATATTCGGAGATTGGCACTGGGCCTCTCCCTGGGCAGATCAGCTCATATTCTCCAGAACTCACACCCGAAGCCCAATCTGGACCATTGCCTTTGAGAGAAAGAGGTGGCAGGGAAAAGGGTTTTGGTCTTTTAAAAAGCCACACTGTTACAGCTACAATAAAAAAAAAGTCACTGTCAGTCTCTTACCATCACTGTTTTCTGAAACAATTGTGTGTTTGATGAATGCGACATCACCAGCACCCTCAACAAGACATCTGCAATGATACGTGAAGCACAACTTGTATGAGATCAAGTTCCTAGCCTAAGCTTGATGCTCTGGCAACGTAAACAAAGAAACACTACTTTGTATCCAAGAGGTAGAGTAATGAACCTGGAGTATAGACTGTATGAAATAATATATTCAGAGCAGCCAGAAATTGTCTGAGCTTTGAAGCTTCAGATCAGTAGATAAGTATCTACTACTGTCAGCCATACTGGTTATTGTCTTTTTTTATTTTAAAATGGATCATAATTTACAAAACCAATCTCATTATGTGCTTATTAAGACTTAAAGGTATAGCGTATAGTATTTAGTGGCATTCAGCTAAAAGGGTTGGCAGAAATAAAATACATTAATCATATGTTTTAATCAGTGTACAATCATCTTAAGATATTAATTATTGTATTTTGTCTCTCTTAGAATTAGCCTTTAATATCTTTTTAAGGAGCGGCCCCCCTTCCATGGAGACCATCATCTTGTGCTGCCATGTTACCATCTTAGCAAAGAAAAGACAAACTAGTTACACGTGAATTATACACGCATATCTAGTGAACGGCCACGCAAAATGCAGGAGTTGAAAGACAAAGAAGATGAGAGTGGTTGTTGTGCTCCAAACAATTTGTACTGATAGAAGTTTTTGGTTGTACAAACTTAACCAATGCAGGATCGTACTAATCACACATCACAGGGGTGTCATGTCCTCTTAAGGCCACTGTCACTTAACTAAAGGCAGGGGTGAACAGGGAGTATTTTACTCTTGAGTCTGCTAAACATTGCTTAATATCCTCTTTTACACTTGCAGCTTCTTTCTGCAGCCAATAGAGGCGCCCCCTGCTGACTGGATGCAGGCATTTAGCACTTGATTATTAAGCTTGATTGCAAGATTTTAATGAATTTAAATCATGCTGGTGGAGCTTTAAAGACAGTCATTTCCCCCTGCTACCAGTCTTTTTGCTTTTGCTAAACCCCATATTTAAACCACAGATGTGAGAGTGGAATCAATTTTTGTTTTGTAATTCTCAGAAAAGGAAAACATTTTCTTAAACATGTTCTCTTCATATACATGCATAGTATTTCAGTTTTTAAAACTGAGGATAACAGTGCTGTTTAAGTTTACCTGAAAGCTCCAGCGTAGCCATAATACTTCTCTTCAGCACTGGCTTTGCACTTCGCTTCATCACCCACACTTTTGCCGCTGCCGGCACAGTTTCTACAGAAAGGAGAGGTGGGGTCTGAGCCAGGGGCACAGCCGCTGCTGAAGAATGTACCTGAGCAGAGGATGATAGGTGGTCACTACAATGTGTTGGTGTTACACTCAAAAGTGAAGAAGGGGCAAAAGTGTCCCTAAAAATCCTCAACATCTAGTCTGAGGTACAATCACAGACTTACTGAAGTCACAGTTCTGAGTTTGTTTGTAGACGTGACCCATCGGGATGTTCCAGCCAGCAGTTCTGCCGACACCTGTGTGACAGGACCTCTTGCCGTTCAGGGTGTCCCATGTCACTCCTGAATTCTTCTTGACAACAGCAACGGCATAATAGGAGGATGCAGCTGTAAAAGAGGGAGTAATGAGGATGCATAAGCAAATATAAACAAGAGTAATTAAAAGAGAGATTAGAGAAAGATACAATAATCTACATTTCCATTCCTTTTCTAAAAATATTATAGAATAACAAAACAAAAACATTTTACCAAATTCTTGTCTTATTGGACACGTGATCATATTTACATCTATCTATTATTATTATTATTATTATTATTATTATTATTATTATTATTATTATTGTTGTTGTTATTGCTGTATTTCTCTTTTCTTATTTCTTTAATATATTGTGTTATCTTTGAATGGTCCATGTAAATGACATTCTTTACATCCTGCCCTATACCTCATATGATATACCTTCAAGGTTGTAGTTTACATCTTTATGCCAACTTACTAGTCTAACCTAAATTGATGGTTCTTGGTGATGGAAAAAAAAATCGATTTAGATTTGAAACTGGCAGGTAAAGTAAATCTTGCACAGGCAGGTTTCTTACCTCCAGCACTGCCGCACAGCTCTATGGAGAGAAACACAGATGCAAATATCCGTCATGTGGTAAAGGTAAGAATATAAAACTCAATTTTAAGTTATAGTTTCAGAGTTTTTTTATGGTCCCATACCTTGATCATACTGCTCCACCATAACCGGAACCAGACCACACTTGCCAGCTGTGTACACCTGTCCTCCATCCACTGCCATCGCATCTGCCTCGTTGCGCTACACAGTGAACAAGACAAGTCAGATAATTACAAACTAATGCCTCCATTTGACAAATAGCCAAGCATGCACATATTTCCATCTAAAAGATATCTACCATAATCTTGCTCAGGCAGTCTTCAACTGTGAGGGCATTCCGGCACTCCACAGTGGCAGTGTCCCCAACCAAACTGTTTGGAGACCAGGCGTCACACTTAGCTGTCTCGGCGTGGCCCACAGCGCACCATCTAATGGCACCAGCTGAAGTGCTCTGGGTCGGCTCTGTTTAATGAAGTAAAACATAACCATAAGACACTGTCTGCTGCCTAAAAACACGTTTGCTTATATTTACAACTTACCTTTCTTCAGGGAACGGATAATGCTCATGTATTCAGCACCCAAGTACAGGAAGGAGTCTGTGTTGTCTGGCACTCGAACCAGTGACTTTGTTGAGTCTTTGAACATCAGATTTTTGGAGCCAGAATAGCCCTCAGATGAGAATAGGTTAAATCCCTAAAAACACATCAAGAATAAAAATCCATTAGGGCTGCATTATAAAGTGAGGCAACTGTGTCATGTTTGAATGAATGGTTTAAATTTTCAGGCTTGTTTAAGCAATGAAGCCTTAAGTCTTCAATCCAAATAACTGTGATGAAAAGAGTCTTGCAAAAAAAAAATCCTCTTTAGAGTTTGAAAAGCTCTAAAAGGAACGGCAGAAGTCACAGGACAGAGTACAAGGTTAAAATAAACATGTATTTACTGGAATATCATCACATCTTTTTACAAAACCTTTTTCTTTGGTAACCAGTCTCATCCCATACTCGGAATAAAGGTGAGAGTTAAGATCGTTGGCTGTCAACTGGGATGACCAATCAGATTTTGCCCACCATGCATATGCAACTCTGATTGTATCCCTATTTATTAAATCGCTGTATCATCTCCCCTGATCTGACATCTCAGGACCCTTGAAGAGATTGAAAGTTCTATTACCTGAACCGACTCGAGCGCCTGCCAGATAGAGTTAGCCAGCTCTGGGTCCTTGCGGGTGACGACAGCATGAGCAGGTACTTTGGCCAGGTGGCACCTTTGATAGTCATCGATAGGCGCTCTACTGTCGTCCTTGCACAGGAGTTCATATTTGGACTTTTCTGAATCTGAAAGTGTGAAACAGGACAGAAGCTCACACTTTTTAAAACTCATTCAACTACCCGCTCCTAAATAATCCATCCCCAATCCTCTTAGTGCCATTTTTGTCAAGTCAAAAGTCATCAGTTTAACAAATACCTAAAAGATATAAGTATGCCTGGCAAAGGAGCTGTTATTTCTTTGTTTCTGAGTCAAATAGACAGGACAGTAGCTAATAAAATGCACTTGACTAAAAAAGAACTGTTCTTTTTGAACAGTTTCTTTAAACAAATGAAAAACTGTTAACTTGACTGATATCACTATCAGTCAGTTACTTATCACTGTCACACTAGTACTAAGAAGAACAGATGACATGTAATACTGACCTGGTACGGTAAGATGCTTCACAAAAGCCACTTCTCCAGCATCCTCAACTAGGCACCTTTAGCACAGAGAGATAAATATATATATATATATATATTTTTTTTTTTAACAGAGGGCAGAGTAGTGCATTTCAGCAGAGATATGAAATCTGAATACGATCACAGAGAGACTGGTACTGACTGAAAAGCTCCAGCGTAGTCGTAGTAGGGCTCATTGTGGGTCTTTGAGCAGTCTCCCTTGCACAGCTCGCACAATTTTGTCCATTTCTTTTCTGCTCCTGGGGCACAGCTGGCTGAGAAAAAGTTGCTCACGGCTGTTGAAAAATGCAAACATGGGAGTTATAAAGTTATAGTTATAAATGCCAGCTTCTACAATACAGGCAATCCTGCCAAGACTTATGTAAAGGAAGTTGATAAAACTTATACATATAAAACTATGACATATCATCTGACCCATTAATATGATAATTGTCGGGATCACATTGGAGGTACCATGGTTTGATATTTTCACTAAATCATCAGACTATGGGCTCTATTTTCGTGCCCGCCAGTGGCACGGCGGAGGGGGGCGGACCCCGCGCAGTGGTATTTTCGTCTGGTGGAGCCCGGCGCCCAGCCAGTTTGGTATTTTCGTAGACTGAGGTGCACCGAGGTCCGCCAAGCTGGGCGTGGTGGCGCGGTAGGAGGAGGTGTCGACAGAATCAGCAAGCTCAGTGACATTTTCGTGCCCGCCGGCAGTGTGGAAAGTGTGCTGAAAGCTTGCCCATTCAAACCCAGTCAGCTTTCAGCGCAGGCGGAGCGCAGCTGGTCTGGTGGTATTTTGGTAGACCGGCGGCATAGTGTGCATACGTCACTGATGCCTCATGGGCAGGTTTCCACAGTGTCAGGCACATTTCAGTGCAATAAATAATCATCAACAACTAATATTCTGAGTCAGCACATACGTTTAGATCTATAGATATATTCTGATCTATATCTCTGTTTCAGAACTCGACTTTGTGGTTTTGCAAGACTTCATTTAACCTTTTCAGCAATATGTTAGCTATATGTTAGTGTAGAGACATCCCCATGTACTAACAAGTGTATGTAGTCATTTTTCAAATTCAATTACATCGTAAAAATCAAACACTGGATTTTAAAAGGGCTTGTAACTTGTTACTTGATGTCAAACAGCTGACAACTACATAAGATATATCATCCGCTGACTCAGGGGCAATGTTACATCCAACTCACCCTCCAAAAGAGCAGTAATCACATTTTAACATAATCTGAAACTCTCACTCAAACTCCCTTCAGTTCTTAAAACACTCAAGTTGTGGAAAAATTACAGCACAAGTAAACTAGTGGATAATTCTCACATTATATTAGTATTCTGATCAAAGGTGGTTAAGTGTGTTCATCAAATGTGGTTGGAAAAGTGTGCTTGAGTGTTACTCACCCTCCTCCACAGGTTTGTCTTCAACGCCTTCCCACTGAATCAAACCGCTGGACACCAGAGTTCCTATAGGGATGTTCCAGCCAGCAGATTTCCCAAAGCCAGTGTGACAGGACTTCCTTCCCTGGAGCTGACTGAATTTAAATGTGCTGGTCTTTTTCACCACAGCCACAGCATAGTAACAGGTTTCGGAAGCTGGATGCATTACATAAAACAGACAGAAGCAGAGAGTTACAACAAGTACAGCTCAAACAAACTATAAAATGCCCCTTTCTCTGTTTTCCATCGGTCAATGTAAGTTTATTTGTGAACTCACTGGTGCCGTAGTCCTCAGCGATGATCGGCTGCAGGTTGTAGTTGTTCAGTCCAGCTGTGTAGATATCCCCTCCATCCAACGTGATGGCATCTGCTTCACCTGCCTGATAAAACCAACCAACAACTTTTTTTATCCTCCAATATCTCAAAGAAATATGAATATTAGCACTTAAAAAAAAAGGTTGACAATGAATACAGGTGTGCCATGCTGCACATTCTGTCCCAGATAACATAAATATTTTAATTTAACTTTTTACCTGTATTTCAAAGCAATAAATTTAATTCAATATTATAGTTTGGACATTTATTTGACATATGCAGCCATGCTAGGATGTGAATTTGAGAGTTAAGCTAAAGGCTGTCTGACTTCACACCGTAGCAACAACAAAAAAAGCTCCTCTAATGTTGGTTTATTAGCTGTAATTCTAACAATAAACATCAGCATTATACACTGAACATTTAAAACTACTGAGTGATTGTGTTTTTAGTTTTATTGCATTTATCATGAAATACTGTGTAATTGTGACCATTTTTTCTATCTTGTATAATTAAACTATGAGTGAACTATACTTATGTTACACCTACCATTTTGCCCTTTTTACTATTTGTCTTGTTGAACTTACTTCAGCCCCAGGTTGATTTCTATTTGTTTATCCTTAAACACAGTCACTTCTGTTACATTGGCATAATTTATTATGCATTATATCATATAGCACGAAGTCACACATTTTTGACAGAACTTAACGTTTTATTTTGTTGACAATACCATGCATAAAATCCATTGTCTTTTACCAAATTCGATGGTTTAATTCTTGGCTCTTAACAGACTTTGTTGGCTTTTTAGTTAAACTATAGGGGAGAGTGGGGTTAGATGAGCCATTTTTCATATTTCCCGATCACTACATCAAGGCAATCATAGTTTTGTCTCTAGTGTATCTGCATGGTCAACTTACCTTGTGTAAGTTGAGCCATATCCCTACAACCCCCTACCCTCCACCTCAGCCCTTCCTCACCTTCTCTCTCCCTAAATAACAGTCACTTCTTCACATTCAAGTGTATTTTTATTTTTTATACACTATTCAACTAGTACAATAATTATTTTTATTATTATTGCATATAACTGCTAAAAAGCTGTTTTGTAAAAAGCCATCTTAATTCAGAACATTCACAGCTGTATTTTTGAAAAGAAAAAGTAATACATTTCAACAATCTGAACTGAAACTCTGATCCTCTCATCAGACTTCTTTACTTTCTCAGTTCAGCCACTGGCTCAACTTACCCCAGAACTACTACGATGACTTTATTAGTCCTCCAAGCTGAAATGGTGGACTTTTATGTTGCAGCTCATAGATATCACAATTGATGTATAAAACAAATCAAAATGATCTTTTTTGGTCTAAACACAATTCTAATAAAACTTATGTGCTTCTAACCTTCACAGACTCTATGAGTTGATGCCCATCTCCTTAATATTTGGTCACATGATCAATTTCTTTTACCATTTCCAAGCAACAGAGAGTGGCTCAATTTACGCGTTGATTCATCTTACCCCACTCTCCCTTACATTAATTGCATCTTCGTGGACTTTAAGTTTAAGCTCATTGAATCTCTTACCTTAATTGCAGTGATGCAGGTCAGGGTGCTCTCTCTCAAGACGCAGGAGAACGTCGGGTTAGAAGCTGCGAGGGCCATACATTTCTGCAGCTCTTTGTCCGAAGTGACGCACCATCTCACATGAGAGACGGGGACAGCGAGAGCGGTTGCTGCAAATATAGAAAAGAAAAAAAAACGCAGAAAATAATGAATGTGAAGCTATATTTGTGGTTAAAATATCACTGCAATAAAAAAATTAAAAGGGGATTTACCGAGGCAGCCGAGAAGTGCTACGAGGAGGAGAGGTGTCATGTTTGACAGCCGAGAGGACAGGTCAGCACTATCTGGGAGGGAGCGCAGGCTTTTATAGCGATCCTCTTTCTCTCTCTCTCAGAAAAAAAAAGTTTACTCGGATTTCTTAACGTGTGTGCGTGGGCGTGTGCGCGTGTACTTTGTTTGCTGGTTCATGGGCTGGCAGAGAGATAGATTATCCCCAAATTTCCTCTCTCTGGAATTTCACAGGCACCATTTGCTCCACCTGAAATGATTCACAGGGAGGTTCTTTGTTTTTTGGATTGTTGTTTGTACTCAATGTCAAGCCACACACATTCAAATTCAGGATTTGTTGTTTTCAAAGATTAGCTAATCCTCTGTCTTCTTAAACAGACTTTAATAATACCAAGTCAACCAATTCGTCTAAATGTCCAACTGTGGAGAGTAAGGGTTCAAGTTAGCCAACAGTTTAGCTAGTTTACTATCTGTCTTACTCACAGTTACCTGGTTGTGCTTTCTGATATAACCAAAATCCCTGGTTATTACTTATTCTGAATACCAATGACAACCAAGGAGAGCCTCACACACACCACATATCATATCAGTCTAAGAAGAGGAAATATGGCACATCTTTTGGAGGCCAGCTATCACTTCTTCTGACAAAAACATCACTTCCTTTATTGATAGGACAGCTGCAGAGGGACAGGAAACCATTGCAAAAGTCAATGCTGGGAGTTTAACCGTCTGCTGTAGGACTAAAGCCTCAGTTGATGGGGTATACTTTATCTTCTAAGCCCCCATGTGAGGTATTCATCTTTAAATAATTGGCAGCCACAAACTACAATGCAGTATGAGCTTTGACATTGTTTTAGGACTTTAGTTACAAGGAAGAAGATCTTACATAAGTGCTGGTGTAACTTTCTACTAAGTCTAAGTTTAACCTGATTTATATTTGTAAAGAAGGATAATATTAAGACTTTATCGATAATGAAAATGCTAGGAGTAATGCTGGTGACTATTTTTAGGCTGTGATTGGTCATTTTCATGACGTATTACAGCCTAAACTTAAATATAAATACTTACCGTCATCTTGTTTGTGAGTGTAGTTGGTAGCCCACTAACAAGCAAGATAATGACTAGTTAGTGTGTGGTTACGGAAAATAGAGTCCATTAACGCATCACATGACAGACCTGTTAGCTTAACTGTAGGCTTACTTTGATAACAGCTTTTGTAACACAGTGGATGCCACTCTTCTGCTCTGTGCTGAGAGCTTTTCAGATATACCTTATCATTTATTATTGTTTTGCTTCGTATCCCAAAATGACACTGTATACCAATGAGTTCTGCTGTAGCCAGATGTGACCTGAAAAAGAAAAAAGAAAAACCAGTTTGAAAGCAAATATTGCTTTAGGCAGACGAGGAAGCAGTTCGTATATCTTGAAGGGATTCATTATGTTTATTTAAATCAGTGTTGGATTTGTGTCAGAGGAAAAAAACTCAAAAGCTTTTGAATATTTTCGGTGAATCAAAGCATTGTACTCAGGTTAGCTACAGAGTGACCCACTTAGGATTTGTGTGTACAGAGTCATTGTTGCCCAACATAAGACCAAAGGTTCACGTTGGTCTGTAAACTGTACCAACACCTCTGTCTTTGTTCTTATCTGCTCAAGTCTGAAATATCACCTGAAAACCTTCAGAGTCGAAATGATGAATGACAAGGAAACTAATTCAGTTTTTAACTGGAAGGATACTAGAAAATTATACCCATCACCCTTTGTTGGAAGGATATTTGATTTTTGGAAAAGAGATCAGTTGCACTTTTGATAACAGCCAAGAAAAATATAAAACCTTGTTGTAACTGGAGGCCTTTAAGATAATCAGATGAATTCAACTTCCTGCCTCCACAGCCAGACTCTTTGTGTTCATAAATAAAAGAAGATGCTTTTAAAGACATGGTTCCCACAATCTTATGATACTGTATTCTGTTGCATATTGTGTCTGTAACTCTGACCCACAGTATCTTGACTGTAAATGTTCTCAAATTCTCTTGTCAGTATACCACATGGTCCATGCAGACTCTGCTCCCCTTTCATATAAAAATAAATAAATAATAAAGATTGAGTTTGTTTTTGGTGCATTTTTAAAAAAACATTTTTGTTGTTGAATTTTCTCTGTAGCTTGTTTTTCAGAGTTGCACAACAGAACAGAATCTTTGAATTTACCATCATAGACAACAATGAATTTAACTTAAAAGTCATTTAAAACAGTCTTTGTCTAAATTCTGTGGAAGTGTAAAAAGGTTGAACATGGTTCTGATATTGCCAGTAGATTTGAGATTTCACAGTCTTTAAATGTTGATAATCAAAATATCCAAAAATCCACACTGTCCATTTTTTAAACTCGTCTTAAAACACATTTTTATTCATTGGCTTTCAACCCTGCATGAGACTCGGCTCCTGTTTTAGTGTTTTATGATTTGTTTTTAGTTGTTTGTTTCTATTGTTTTAAAATTGAAACTATATTTTACTTTTTAACATCTGCTTTTATTTTATCCATTGTTTTCATTTTTTTTTTATGTCTGTGTTTTTTCAACTGTGCATGTTTTAAAGTGCTTTACTTAAGTTGAGTTTTAAAGACTTAGCTGAGGCATTACAGCAGTGCTATTATGAGGAGACGCTGAATATCGGACAGCAAGATCTCCAGATTATGAATTATCCTTAACTGGTGTGAAAACATATTTTTTAAATAACAACAGTTTGCTCAAGTTCTCTGTGTGCACATGAGTGTACACACGTACTTCAACTTGTTTGCTGTTCTGTGGGTTACGGCAGGGAAACAATCCCCAAATTTCAACATAATGGAAATTCACAGACATCATTGTTTGCTGTCCCTGAAACCATCTGAATGAATGTTAGTCAAATAAAAAGATAACACGGAAACAAATACCTGCTTCATTCCCCAGTCATGAAGTACAGACTTCTCAAAGCCTTTTGGCTTCACACCCAGTCACACAAGGAACCCTTTATTGTCCAAGTTCCTGGACAAAGATCACTATTCTATCAACGAGACATTAACAAAGCAGCTGTGACAGCACGCACTTTGCCAAGTTTTTTTTTTTTAATTAAGTGGAGATCAGCCAGTTACACAACTCTTTGTTTGGATAGTGAAATGTTTATCAAGTGCCCATGAAAAAAAAACCCTTTTTTTATTTTTTTGCTGACTCATTACAAAGGAGCCCCAACCTCTTCATCGCCTGGCATGACTTAGTCTTTATTTGAAGCTCGTCTACAGGGTCAAACCCAGACGTTGAATGCACGTAAACAACTCTTCCTGTTCACTTTGGTCTTTTTAGTGATAATCTGTAAACAAATTGGTTTATTCCACACGGAGACTGGTTCATAGGTCTTTATCCCTTCAGGGCAATAGGGGTTCCTGAGTCTCTTAAAGCACTCCTGTTAATTCCTGCTGTTATTTCTTGGAAGTTTATAAATGCTGGTAATCTTTCTCTTTAAAAACAAAGACAGAGATGATTTCCTCCTCTGTTTAAGGTGCTCATTTGTGGTTGGAAATTTGGCTTTAAGGGCCATTGAGTGCACAGCCAAATGGAAGTGAAGTATGACTATGAAAAAAGAAGAACCCCAACTTCCTCTCCCTGGGTGAGGTATGTAAAAACTTTTCTTAACAGGCTTCCTGAAATGCCCAGTTCTCTTATCAGACTGTGATTGTAGTGTATGCTGACTGTGTTGAATCAGAGTGGATACCTATCAATAGTTTCCCCTGAGACATGACCAGGGGGGTTAGCAAGACAGGATATTCTTTTCTGCTAAAAGCGACACCTCTGGTTTGTAACATTCACTTATTTAATCACAAAGAAAAACAAAAAGCAATAAAAATAAAAATAAAAATTAGAGTCTTTGGGCCAATCCCTGAGAGCCATCCAAGACATTATACAACAGGCTGAGGAGATTTCTCATCCTAAATTTGCTGAACTTTGGGAGGAAAATCTGCAATGCACCTCTTTAGGCTCACTGATCATACATTAACTTCTATTGATTTCATTCTGAGAACTAGCTGAAAGGTCCACTGATGACTCAGGTCAGCATGCAGCATCCATAACCTTCTTATGCAACAGACAAATACTTCAAACAAGCCGGGTCTGACCATCTCCATCCCGGTTACCTCATTCACCTTTAGGCACATGTGTACAAATCACAAGTGGAGTGAATGCAGGTCGTTCTCTGGTGTTAGGTTAAAGCTAAAAACACCTTCCTCCTAAAAAAGCTCGACCAACCTAGCTTTTAGCTTGTTGTTGTTATTCCAGCTGGGTTTGAAAGCTTTTATAACCTCAGAGCTCCAAAATGAGCAAAACATGACATCTAAACTGGTTGTATATTCCAGGTGCTATTGTGGACAGCTTACATTTGAAATCTTATTATATATGTATATCTATTTTTTTACCCAACTTAGCTGAACTATTCTGTGCTTAAAAACAAAAACAGGACTTTATATCTCTTTAGCAAAGGTGGGGGGGGGTTCAGAAACACTCAATATTGCCCTTTGCAACCTTCCTTTGTCAGGAGGTAAAGGAATGCTCTCCTCATACTGTAGTATCCATCGAGTGAGGAGGGAAACAGAGTCCATGTCCTCATCTGTTTGCACAGCTGCAAGGCCTTTTCTTTCACCACCGACCCTTGCCTCTATGACACTCTTGCTAATATCAGTCGGGGGTCTCTTTCAAAGAGAAATATTAAACATGATTTTTAACTTGAAAGATGCTGACAAATGACACATATGGGCAAAATTACATGTCATGGAAACACGATTTATATAATTAAATCAAAACCACACAATTTGAATTTGCGAATCATGCTTTCAAATGAAAGAGTATGAAACTGAATTCTAGAGGAAGATGGGGAGCAGCAGCCTCCTCTCCTTATGAGTGAGAGGGCAGCTGCTGTCCTGGATATTCAGCTGCCCCATATTGAGCTGCCTCTATGGGTCTTAGTGCAGTTATCTGTGAAGTCCTGCTCACTGCTTTGTCGGACTGTGACTGAATCCCAACATTGAGGCATCTATTCAGGGTTTCTCATGCCTTGTCTGATGTCCCAAGTGGGGTTTTCTGTCAAATTGGGGAAGCTGATTTACTCAGTCAAATTGACTGATTTTAGAATAACAGGAGTCCAGTCTGACTCACACTGTTGATATAAGACACCAACCTGTTTGACCCTTTGCAGGAGCAAAGGACAAAGAAAGCTGAAATTTTGCTCAGTACCACAACCCTTAGGAACTTTTCTGAGGTCAAATTAAAGCATGTTACCTTTATGGAGGATGTGGACCTCTGCTGGTGACTTACAGTAGTTCTGTGTTAGATTCAATTTCACAATGAATTTAAATGTAAAATGTTGATTTGTGTAAGTATACAAACTGAAAGTCATCGAACAACCCTTCTCATAATTTTTTTTTTGTCATTCATAAGTCTGCAGTTTTTTATTGGTTCCCAGTGAACAGTCTGGGATTAATCATGTCAAATAAGACATACATGATATGGCATTAGGTGACACTGTTGTAAGGCCTCTTTCAACCAACAACCTGCAATCCTAATACAACCTATTTGATGATCTTAAAAATGAACACCATAAAACAAATGCAACACTTATACAAGAGTATTCACAAGGTTTTATTTAGGGCTGCAGAGGTCAGCATTATCACCTCACAGTAAGGAGGGTCCTGGTGTGAATCTCAGCTGTGGCCTTTCTGTGTTAAATTTGCATGTTTCCCCATATCCTCCCTCCTGTTTCCAAACTGTAGTTGGGAAGTCACGTATCAAAGGGATATTCCGGCGTAAAATTATTTTAGGGTCAAACACACCTTAGCACAGAGTTAGACACCCCGTCGAGAGATGAATGTTACCGACCGCTTGCTTCTCGAGTTATACTAACTTTAGTAACAACCATAGATACCAATACAGAGAGCCACGTGCTCAACCAAAACGTCACTCTATAGCCACAAATAATGCTTAGAACAGCACCTAACTTCATCAACAGTACATATAGGGTCCTAGCCATAGCACCAGCCACCAAACATCTTTTTAGCTTTGCCTAATTTCTTTAGCAAAAAGACTAAACACAACTCACCGCTTGTTTGTACGGAGACCTCTGGGCGAGTCCATCGACTACAGCAGGGGTACGCAGCTCAAGGAAGAACATTTATGATAATTTTTTTATCATTTCCTTGAAGTAATAATCATCATATTTATCATTTCACACTGCAGACTCGGTAGTTCTTCTGCCTAAGTGTCTCTGTTTAATTGCATATCCATAAAATAATGATCATAAATGTTCTTCCTTGAGCTGCGTCACCCCCCTGCAGTCGATGAACTCGCCCAGAGGTTTCCGTACAAACAAGTGGCTGCTGGAAGAGAGTAGGTGAGTTGTGTTTAGTCAACAAAGTTTGACTCTGACAAAAACTGCAACAATATGCACTGAACATTTTTACTCTCCTCACCATTATTCCCACGATGCAGCTCTGAGTGCTCTCTCTCTTCACACAGGAAAACTTCGGAGCTCTGGTTGCGAGGTCCAAACATTTGTCAAGTTCTATTTGGGAAATGACGCACCATCTCACCTTGTCGTTGGGGGCTGCAAAAACGGTTGCTGAAAATATATATATAAAAAAGAGGTGAAGTGAGTGTTTACACATTAGTCAAAATTCTTCAGCTGCAAGAATATTTGACAATTTTTACCGAAGCATCCGAGCAGTGCCAAACAGAGAAGATAATGTTTGACATTCTTCAGGTCAGCAGACAGTCCAGGAGGCTGCTGAGGCTTTTGCAGCAAATATCATGGGTGTGCATGGTGTAGGGGTGTAGTTATGCCCTTTATGCACTTTGTTTGCTGGCAGAGGGACAGACCAGCTATTGCCTCAAAGTCCACAGTGAGGGGACTTTCATGGAGTTTGTAGTGGTTTAGCAGCTTGTTCAGTTGCCTCTAAGAACAAGCAAAATGACCAAACAAATGCCAGTCAAAGTTGCTTAAAAGTGAGGTGTGATTACAAAAATAACTTCTTCGATGGAGAGCAGTAGTCCTGGCTTTTCATTATAACAATGATCAACATCTGAAGAATTGGCCTGAATGGCTCTTGTAGCTTGTTGTATGTAAAACAGTAACTGTGGGTTATTCCGACTGTATTAATCCAAAGAAAATATGTTTAGAGTCATCATGGCATTTTTCAGACTCATTCAAGTCAAATCTTGTTGCTTTAGTTGTAGTTGATGCATAGACAGGTGGTGAACCTTCAATATTAGGTTTTACTCTTTTACCAAAGCCACAGAAATGTTACAACAGGCAAAGGTTTCAGTAAAATGGAAGAAAATGCAGACATGTTACGAGCCCACCTGATGCTCAAATTCTTACCTTACACCGAATCCTCCGTGTGTAATGCTGCATTTCCACTGCAGAAACTTTCATACACCAGGAACCATTGATGATTCCTGGTACAAATCCACCGCATGGACCAGGATCTGGTTTAAGGGAAATTTTTCTACCTTCCAAAACCTCCCGACTTAGGGCAGTACTTTAAAAAGTTCAAGAAATTTGGGGTTTGGCCTTTTCTAGTGAGTGAAGCATCAGAAACATTTGATTTTGAACACTTTCTCTAAAAATCAAAGTCCGGGTACTTGTGAGTGTTGTCTTGAGGAACAGAGTCCAGGAGGAGATTGAAACGGACGCCTGCGATAATTAGTTCTTTACTTTACATAGTATAATACTTCCGATTTTTTATAGCAAATTGCAAAAAAGATGTGACATTTGTCTTATCATTGCGGAAAGGTCATAGTACTCCCTCACAAAGTAGTACTTAATATTGTAAGGTATTTTGAGTAGTTGTGTAAGTAATCAATCCAGAGTCCTATTGTTACACTTCCATGAAAACTGCACTCTCTTACGGCTCAGTGGTGCCCTCCACAGCTGTCTCTTCTCAGGAATGCCCGTCTTGTACTTTTTTATCCACAGAGCGAGAGGGGAGGGATTGAGTCAGTGTCCTCATCTGTTTGTACAGCTGCAAGGCCTTTTCTTCCACCTCACATTGTTGCCCGTACAGACATTGTTGCTAGTATCAGTTGGGGCCCTTGTTCAAAGAGAAATATAAAACAGGATTTTGAACTTTTAAGATGCAGAAAAATTACATGAAGCTGTGACTTATAGATGAGTCAAGTATTTACAAGCAGAGAAAACTGAATTTATGATGCTTCTTTTAGTTTTGAAGTTTGTGTACTACTATCAATTCAGCCAAATGCAGAAAACTTACACTTAAGCGTAAGTTCCCTTAAGTATATTGTAGTAGTGGTGTGCAAATGCCATATCTAACTTTAATATGTAAATACTTAATTTACCTTAAATTTTATTAAATCTTTATTCTTTATATATAGTATTTTTGTTTTAATTATTCGGCCATTCTGCTTGTTTGTTTTTCTGTACATACTGATACTGCTGGAACTTTAATTTTCCTACCAGAACCTTCCCATAAGGATCAGTAAAGTTCTATCTAGGCTCTGTCCAAAGATGTTCATGTGGTTATAGGTGGAATTTTGGGTTATGCTTTATCTAAGTCTTGTACATTGAAAATTATGTCAGCAGCCTGTAAAGAGGCGATTACAAGAAAATAGTACAGGGCGGACCCACCATCACAGGAAGACTGGTTGAAAATTATGGACACTCTACACTTTGGAACGACTGACTTATAGAATAAGGACTCAAGAAGATCAATGCTTCCGGAAATGGGAAAAATGGACCGAATACATTAAAACGACGGGACGAAGACATTCACACTGAAAAAGAAAAATGATCAAACTATTGAGGCATGGTGATCCAACATGTTCTTTTCATATTTTTTTTCCCTTTTTCTATGTGCTCCCCTTCCATCCTCACATACGTATATTGTATCATACACTGTTGAAGAAAATCAATAAAAAGAAAGTGTAAAAAAAATAAATAAAAGCTATTTCTGATCTAATCTTGTCTAATCTAAGCTACAAAATTGGAAGAACCCCTTCAAAAAGAAAGCAAACTTCTGTAGCACCATGTGTGACAGCCCTGCCGTAGTTATTCTTTAGCCCAGCTGTGCCTAACCTGTCCTGTCTCCTCCCACTTGCTTTATAGATGCCTGAGGGCCATTAATGATGATGATTCAGATCACCAGGGTCTGGCCCTGGTGGGGTTAAAAGCCTAACCCATCCCAACTTCCACATGTACCCTTTGTCTTTGTTTTGCTTGACAACACCCTACGCTTTATTACCACACACGTCAACATTCACACCACTGACTGGACTTCACACAACTGATGATTCTCTAAATTGATGGACTGTTTGTTGGGTTAAAAAAAAAAAGTCAAAATTTAAAAGCAAGAATTCCTTAGACCAGTGGTTCTCAAGTCCAGTCCTCGATGTTTCCCTGCTCCAACACACTTGAGAACCACTGCCTTAGACCCACTCCGATAAAAATCATGTTTTTCTTGTTTTCTACATGTTCATATAGCATTTTTCTGATGCTACACGACATATCATGAGAAGTTGCATTTCTGAGTATTTCTTCATTCAAACTCTGTGAATCTCTTGCGATCGCAGAACAAGCATATGCATCAGTGGATTGCAGTGCACATAAGAAAGCTAATTTTGATATTAACTTTCATTGTGTCCCTTAAGACATTAGTGCCTGAAAGCCGAATAGCTCCTATGTTACCTGCCAATTCTGCTGCACCGGCAATGTTAGGCTGCAGGCTAACATGAAGACGAGTGTGCAGAGTGGCGCCGTCTCCGCTCACAACTCAGAGGCGAATTTCTAATGATCTACTGGAGCTCTGAAGAAGAAAAGCCCTTGAAAATGACACAGGTAACGGGATTTTTGGTAGAAACTTCATAATCAGAATTTAAAGACAACTGAGAGCACTTTAAGTAGAAAAGAAAAAAAGATGACTTTAGTGGGACTTTAAATGCCTTTCTTTAGTACATTTTTAGTGTTTTTTTTATATTTCATAGCACATAAAATACTAGTGAATAACTAGTGAATAGAATTTCCACACCCTATCTGTGTGGTTATTTCACAAGTGTAAAAAAAGACCAAGCAGAATCTCCCTCGGTTTTGGTGGTTATATTTCAACATCAGCATATTTTCTTGGCGGCATATAAAAAAGAGAGGAAACAATGACTACAGCTAAATCAGTCTTTAAGCCATTTCTGTACAGTGTAGGTCCGACTGATGAGATGTATCACCTTCCATTCATTCCCTTCTGTATCAAAAGTTGAAATCCAAAAACAATCTACTAGTCTCTAATAAACCAATAGAAACTTGAGTAAAAATGTGCAGATCAACCAGAATTCTCCGATTTACATGATGAGCGTGCCACAGATGTCCGACAAGAGAGGTCTTTTGTCTGGTAGTTTTCTGGCCTTTACTATTAATAGCCCCATCTCCCAACCAATGACCATATGAGAGACACTATTTTGGATCACTGTTCGCCAGGTATAGAGAGTCACAAGAGGAGCTTGAAAATCCACTCTTGACATTTATCGTTTTTTTTTTTTGTACAAATTTGCAGTGCATCATCATCATCAATAATTATTAGGGAAATTATTTGTTCTATTTCATTTCTCTGTGGTATTTTCTACTCTGATGTGCCTCAGTTTTTGAAACAAAATGAAGCTGGCATCAGGAAATAATGAATCACTTAAGAAAATGTAAGACTCCCGGCATCTGTGAAATATTACTGGCCAATTGTAAAGCACTACAAAGGGAGAAGGATGTCAGTAGGGACATCAGGATTTAGACAAATGATGTGGCAGGGAAAGTAGTCCATCCACTGAGAGCTGTCATGAAAAGAACAGGGCCAAATTCCCAGAGAACAGAAGGTTATAGGATCAAGGCTGGTAACATCGTCTTGGATCATCTGTGAAAAGGTGAGGTCTATCAGAGAGATACAGACAAGCAAGAGTGGGTGTGTCTGACAAGGCTAGTTCCTTTCCTGAACAAATACAGTCTCCTGTGGACAAAGCCCCGCCTCCTGTAGAGTGATGTCATAGTCCAAGTGGGCAAGCTTCCTCCTCGGGAAGTTGGTGACGAGTTCAAAGCGTTCATTAGGGTAGCCTTTGGACTGGACATGTCTTACCAGGGCCTTGAAGGAGAGAGAAAGAGATGATCAGTCCTGAAGTGTAACTGGTAACTGAGTTTCATCTTTCACCTTCATTCCACTTCAAGCATCAGTCAGACATTTTCAAAAATATACTTTTTATTTTTCTGCAACGTGTTGGGAAGAGTCTCAGGTCTGGAGCAGTGGCTAAACTTAAAAAAAAAAAGACTGTCTTTCTTTTGGGCAATGAAATGTATATTTACCCAAATCATTAACCGGCCTTTTAAAATGTTGTGATTTTTCTATTCTTACCAAAAGTTTTGCTTTAGAAGACAAGGATATTTGTTCTCTCTGTCCATCTGGATAACGAAGCATCAACCTGGCTTTGGGACCTGTGGGAGAAAAAAAAAACAAACAAAAAAACAAGATGGTCAATGTTTATTTTTTTGTTCAATCAATGAAACTATTGAGTGAATAAATGGAGTGACTAGAACAAAAAAAGTATTCTGCAATAAAAACAAGGGCACTATCCATAACCTCCTCTGTTGTGAATAAAAAGCTACTGATGTCATCTTTTAAGCCTAATCTATAATTAATATCTCTCGTGTCGTGTGCATGACTAAATCAATCATGGCTTTGTAGGGTGATGACAGCCCCATGTGGCAGTCACGGTCTTCCTTGTAAGTAATAAAAGTACAAAAATTTTATAACAGGCTTATACTCCCTATCTACAGCCAATAGGGGAAACCTATGGTTAAAGGGATAGTCAGGATTTTTGAACTAGGGGTGCACTGAGTACTTAATATCAGGGCCCGAACAATAGGAATTTTTGGGGGCCGATGCCAATAACGATTATTGGGGGGGTGGGGGGGTCCGATAACTGATTAATCGACGGTTTTTACATTTTTTTTTATTAAGTTATAAAAAATATATATATTGTGACTATAACTCAGCGTGACCACGACCAGCACAGTGGTAACATCGTGAAGTGGGTTGAACGGAAACTTGTCGACTTATTGTGTATTTCACAAACTGGTTTATTTACCGTTGATGCGGACCACTCTTATCCGTGCGTCCCTGAGCTGCCTATTTCAGATCCGTCACTCTGCTGGTAGTTAGTGGATGAAGATTGTCATGAGGTCGCTGCGCCAACTACAGGATCAGTCGGGGATCTTTTCAAATGGCGGAACAGTTTCAAAGTGAAACCAAATCTTATTCTCCGCATTTTATTTCTGAAAATATCGGCGAGTTTTGGCCAATTACCGATTAGTCTCAAACAGGCTAAAATTGGCCGATTTAATCAGCTCGCCGATAAATCGGTCGGGTACTGCTTAATAATAGTAAGTGTATTAGCCACATTGTATCCAGATCAGCACGACTCCTTTATTTAGCTAATTTTAACAATCTCCAACCAAAGTTCTATTCTCGGTCAAAGTGTAGCTTGTTTTGGAAAAATTTCAGCGTTTTACTTCACAGTTAGAAAGCCAATTCATTTTTGACCTACCCGCCGACAATGTCTGTACGGCCTGCACTGCTCAACAACCAGAGTAACCTGCCACACTGTTTTTACGATTGCCCTTCTTCACTGTTAAGTAAAAAACAGAGATGCTGAGTGGGACTTTGAAGCAGGAGTTTGGCTTCCATTGTTTTTGCGATATAAGGACTCAACCCCCGGTCCACTAGATACGTTTACGAAGTACAACCTGTAGGCTGTTGAAGGGGAAGACTGAGCTGAAATAACATACTCTATGGCTGTTATGATATCCAATGGATCACCTTTGGAATCTGGTGCTTAAACTTGTGTACCTTATTGCTGTTAAATCTCTTAAAATTCAACATTTGCTGTTGCACTGAAAAGAAAACTCTATTTGGATGTATAGATGTGCTCTAGCCGTCACTACTTTGTAAAAAGGGCTCAAACGACCGTCCACCATAACCCCTGAGAATATGTTTTAGGTTCCAGGTGACACACTGACTTACTGTCGTCATCAGGAAAGTCCTCTTCACATGCGGTTTTGATAGTGCCAGTCTTGGACGGTCCGGCGCTTTCAGCCGCAGGAGAACAATGGTTCCCTCCAGAGTCTGTGTCCGACTTTCGATGCAGAGGACCAGCAGGTGAGGGCTCCAGATGGTTCTTTTTGCTTTCCTCTTTCTTGTGACTGTGGTTGTTTTCTTTGTACGGAGACTTTCTGAGGGAAGACGAGGAAGAGGAACTATCGGGGTGTAGACGCTGCTGGGCTGCTTTGGTCGGGGGAATAGGGATGTGTTTGCTGGTGGAACTTTTCTCTTCGTGGGGTCCTGGCGTTTCACTGTCTGAGCCGTCGACAGAGATAGGACCCTCGCTGTCGGAGAAAGGCTCTGCGTCTGATTCATCGTCTGATCGGGGGGAATCAGGGGCTTCAGGGGCACTTGAGGACTCGTAGTGAGTTTCCTGTAAAGAAGCCCGGATTGCCGCCTCCAGCTGACTGTCCTCACTGGCATCAATCAGACTCTCCTAGAAGAGGAAAAAAGAAGTGTGTGGCTGTTGGAAACATTTGAAGAGCTGGGGGAAATAAAACAAGAATGTATAAAGTTTGTTGTGCTTTTACTCGTGGATATGTGATACTAGCATGATTCCATATATGCTTAAATGACAACTACATAGATGATCATTTAAGTAACATTTTAGGATGAATTATGGTGCTTGAAATGACAGGGTACATGCAGATTTGGGAACTTATCAGTAAACAATCCTACATGAAGCTACTGAAAGAATTTTAAATATGTGATATTTTACAAGAAATGAAGGTTTTTTTGAGGTTGGGAAGAAAAAACAGAGAAGAAGCTACATTTAACGGCTCTACGTGAGATAGGGGACCCACAGAGCGTGCTCGTTTGGCAGGGGGTGCGTGGCAGGAAGGCCCATCGAGCTGCCCGTGCTCTGCGAGAAATCCAGTCGCCTGCTCCAGAAACGACGCCACATCTAACTGGTTCCACTCCACCATTTTCTGACCTGATGAGTGAACGAGACATGAATCACACAGTTACGTCTTAAGGCCACTTTTTCTGAAAATTGTTCCACTTAAAGAAAAGGGAGAAATCGGTTCTGCTGATGATGCTGCAGCCGACTTCTCATACTCACCTGTACGAGGATCCAGGATAGAAATATAGGGGAACTTGTTCAGCTTATAGAACTGGATGTATCTTTGCCCCTCTTCACTATCGTGATATACCTGTCATCAAAAGATCACACACAAGGATGAGACATGTAAGTGAACGTTAGCAACACTAGATTTGGACTTTAGGAGTAGACCAAGCATCAGTTAATGGTGCTGATATTCAACGATGATCCAATTATTTGCATCATAAACTTACTAAATTAAAAAGTGTGCTACTTTAGCTACACTGCTGGCGTGTCTTTCCCACTTGGTTTCAATTAAACATTAGCTAAAGGCACTAAAGCAACGTTTTTCACATAACAAATCCAAAATTTTGACAGAATGTTTGTCAGTTTTATTGTCAATACATATTGGTTTCCTGATAATGATGTTGTTTTAAGGCAGTGGTTCTCAATCCAGTCCTCAAGCTCCCCCTGTCCTAGACGTTTCCCTGCTCCAACACACCTGATTCAAATGATCAGCTCGTTATTAAGCCATTACAGAGCTTGATAACGAGCTGATCATTTGAATCAGGTGTGTTGGCAGGGAAACATCCAAAACATGCAGGACAGGGGGGGCGCTTGAGGACTGGATTGAGAACCACTGTTTTAAGGCAAGGAAGAAGAGGGCTCTATGCATCGATGTTGGAGCTAGTTATGAGCAGAGTGAAATCTGGGGTAAGTGCCGCTCGACACTGAGCAGGACATTGTTTGATAAAATCAAACAAACATCAAAATATCTTAACAGCTCTGAGAAGTTTCTTTTTTTCTCCAGCTAATGAAAAATTCTTTCAAATGACAATTTCAATTGGCAGAGTTAAAACTAGTTCACTCTATGAAACAAATACAGTCAAGAAAACACTTTAGACTAACTTCCAAACACTTTTTCTCAATCCTCTTGTCTGTGAACAAAAACAGCTTGATGTGCACTTCCTTCTTTGCTTTCTTGAAAAGGTTTGGGAGTCCATGCCTAATGCAGCAGCATTATACCATCATGTATAATTTAACACATGGATGTGACTGGCATGTGATGAAAAAGCAGGATTGCCCCTCACCTCATATCCATCCAATAACCTTTCAATGACAAATTAAGATAATGTAAAATGATGACCCTCTCTTTTATCAACATAAAACTTACATGTGGAATATGGTCGTGCTTTTGAAATAATTAAATCGCCTTTTTAGCAACATTTCAGCACTAGTAGCTCTGGTGTGCTTACAAGTGACCTACATGTACTTTAGCTCAGTTCAGATAACTTTGTTTACTTCAAGGGGCAATTTGCTTCGCAGTCTACTCGGACCATACATACAATACATTCAAAAACAAGACTTGACAGGTACACGTCAGAGACAACAAATAATGCTTTAACGCTTTGCCCCCCCTGTGTGGTCACTTCAAGTCATGACACACACAAAGGCCAGGCACATATCAGCGAACATTGTGAAATGATTGACACTGACATATTTTTTTAAGTTATGTTTTTGAGCATTTTTTTTTGCCTTTATAAACAGGACAGCCGAGGGAGCAAATAGTGGGGGAATACATGCTGCATACAAGTTCTTTTAACCGAGACGTTCTGCTGGGAGATAAACTGTCACCTTTTCCTCTACATCTGAAGGAACAGTACAGCACCAGTTCACACATACATTTGGATCAGGCTCCGTCCCTAAAATGATTTTTTTGGTTCTTCACAAATTACTCATATCCATATTCAAGTTTAACAGGATCTCCCTGTTTATGACTATAATGCTTAAATCACTGCAGGGGACTTCAAAACAAAGTTTAAAGAAACCAAAGACCAGAGGCGGTGAATGACCCCGAGATCTGAAAGTGCATACCTGCCAGAATATGAAGTGCTCTCTGATGATGGTCTTCACTGCATCGTTGCTCCAAACATCCCTATTTAGACACTGGCAGGCAAAGTCTTGAACATTTTGTATGTTGATCATAAGCCACTTGTTCTCCAACTGTCCACAGTCTTTTGCCTTGAAAGACAATAAACAGAAATAATGAATTAGGGAAGAAAAAAAAAACATGCCATGACAGTTAAAATGCAGGTTTTCATTTTAAACAACACCAGCATTTTATATGTCCTGATGCTGCACTTGTAACCACAAGGGGAGGGACAATGCATAATGTCAGGATTTCAACCTGCATACTTCTATACTTCCATGCTGTACATGGCAAAACCACCACAATCAGTCTCTGCAATTTGTAAAGTTCCCATAATCTGAATAAAGATGGGTGGTGCAACGTGTCCTGTGAGTGATTCCTCACCGTCTCAAAGCTGCCTTTGTGCATGAGCTCAATGGGAGGGCGGAAAAGGTCTGCCAGGGTGCTCAGTTTCTTATCCACTGTTCCACCATTGCGCAGCTCCTGTTCCTGGCGAACTAGAAAAAAAAACAACAACACCCGATGTTGTTACAGGTCCCGATGTTAAAGGCTGATTGACTTGGTGATTCTGAAGCTTTAAGCTGTAGCAAATTTGCAGCCAACCACATTTTTAGAAAGCGTGAATTCACCCACTTGTTTCTGTTTGGAAGTCTCTGAAGCCATCAAATATTGATCGCGCAGGTCTTCTTCGTTTGGGCACTGTATGTGGAACAGACACATAGCATTGGTAACATCAGTTTACATTGAGATCATCTTGCATGAGGTGAAATCAGAGAAGAGGATGAGTAATACCTCCAAAGAGTGGTTCTGGTTCAACCAATATATCCTGTTTCTGAGGAATAGGTGCTCGAACTTCACTGAAAAATAAAGAAACACATGAAGAGATCTGAGGATAATTGGTTTTTAATTTTAACTTGAGTTTGTAAAAGACAAAAAATATGGGCTTACTCTGAAGGGGGAGCTCTGCTGCTTGAGGCTGCTGAACTGGAGCTCGTGCTGGGCTCTTCTGCAATCCCTCCTCCATCCAGAAACATGGTCACCGCCATCTCAAGGTTGTTGTTGCATGCCTCTAACATATGTTTTCCTACGCTCTCTGTGGCCCCTACAAATGAGGTGGGACATATGCATTCAAACCCACACGATCAATGTCATTCCTGGAAAGATAAAGCTATCATTTTAACCATATATCATCAGTTTCATAACAGAAACTGAAGTTTACAGAGCCATTGCTTTAAATCAAAGTATCTGATTCTAAACATGAGATGATACACTTTTACATACTGGAAACTGTAGCCATGGATCATGGGTACAATACTGCCATCCTCAATTTTGAAAAACTATCCAAAAATTCAATGTTTCATGTTCTTAAAGTTGATTAAATTTCACTTGCAATAACAGATGTGGCCTCCCCATGTAGAAAAGGACACGACTAACAAACATTCATTATTGCCAAATGAAATGTGTGCTGCACCCAAAGTAAATGATCCAGAACTGGGAGTGCAAGAAAGCACTTGTCACAATAAGCAGGCTGACAATAGGAGGATCAAGCATGTGTTAATAAAGCAAAGGGGCAGAGTTAGCATCACAAGCTAATAAATGCCAAGCTGAACGGAAAGCCATATACACAGTACGTGATGATAACTGTGTAAGTCTTTTCATTTTAAAGACGACAGCTAAAAGACTGTGATAGGTCGCCTCTGTAACTCTGCTGTGAAAAAAGGGTGTCAGTTCAGGTATTGTCAATAAATTTAATCTTATAAAATTAAAGCTTTATCACAATTTTTGACTAGTTTTAGAATTACAACTAAAACTGACTTTTTGTGTCTCAGCCCAGCTCTGTTGATAGGTAAGAAGCACATTATATAAAAGTTCTTGAACCACACAACAAACAAATAAAAAGTCTAGAAGTTGGCGTGAAAGAAGTCCGTTATAATTGTGAAATACTTTTGAGCAAAACATTTGCTACTGTCATTGTGGCCAGTTTCATGCAGCCCTATTTTATACATTGTATTGTGTTTTGAGAACATAGACCTGACCAACGTTGGTTTAGGTCTGTGCTAAAGAATCTGGAGTTGACAGAATAATAAATGTACAGGCTAGCATTTGGCTTAAACTGACAAAGAAACATTGTAAAGTATTCAGCAAAACAGTCATTGAGTTATTTTCATGACTTGTTAGCCTATAGTGCTGTTTATTTAACAGTTAAGCAGACTAATGTTGCTTTGTAAATGATTGGCTAGACTAAAGAAAAACTTATTTGAAGTCGTAAATTTATAAAATAATAAAATATCATACTGATTAATCCAGGTTTTTGGCCTGTTGAGTAAACAGCATGTATATTAAATATTAAACTGTTATGACACTCCCTGTCATTCAAATGGACACTAGCTTTTGTCAATACAGTGTTATGAAATTGCATACACGGCAGTCTGTTACACATCTTTGCGTATGATATTTAACCAGCAAATAATACAGCAATGGTTCTCAACTGATCTCACTCTGGGACCTACATTTTCTCATGGTCCTTAAGTCGTGACTCACTTTTATACCAAGCAAATTTATTTCTTTAAAAGACTCAAATCTTTTACATTAATACACCAATTATATTGAGTAAAGTGCATTTCAGAGCACATGAACTACTGAAGACAACAACTACTAAAGTTGTGTGTACAGAAAATATCAAATTGCACACAATGGAGACCAGAAAATGAAAAATTTGACTTATTTGCATCTCTGCATTCAGAGTATATTCAGAAGAACTTGAGGAGGACCATGATACAGCATGGACAAAAGTGAATAAAAATCAAATTGCACAAAATAAAGACCATAAAAACCGTGTACTTTTACTGCCACATTAACAAGACATACTTATTTTTAAAAACTCCTACCACAACACATTACTGAGCACCTTAAATTGTTTGTTTATTTATTATCCCATCTGTGTGTTTCGCATTTCATATTAGTACTACAAGTGGATAGCCCACTTTTTTTCATATCTCACTTTTTCCTCTTAGGATGTTTAGTATATTTAGTCTGCATTTATTGTATATAATTATTATATTTACTCTGTATTGTACATACTTATTATATTTAATTTAATTTAGTGTTTTTATTGATGCTGTAACATGGGAATTTCCCAGTTTGGGATCAATAAAGTCTATCTATCCATCTATCTATCTTAGATACAGTATTGAATACAGTATTGTCTGTAATTGTCTGAAATGTCGTTGTGCTTGTCACAATGACAATAAATTCCATCTTATCTAATCTAAGTCTGTTCAAAACATCCTCCAAATTAAACAGATTATCGTGTGGTGTTTTTGTGATACTGTAGTTCTTTCGCGAGTGTTTCGCTAACGTGAGGTACTGCTGCTGGACAGACTTGAGCACGTGAAAATACTAGGACGGTGTTCATGTCCAATGTTTTGTTATCGACATGTAGTTTAACAGAGAAAGTATTCTGCTTGGCAAAAACAAAGCGTGAACCTACTTTAGTATCTTAAAAGTGCAACAGTACATTACAGCCTCGCTAAAGGGACCTCTGCGTATTCACTGCGCATGTCTGTTTCACTTTCCAAGTCCAGCAGCGCTGCAGCCCCCGAACTGAGTCTCCTCTTTCCTCCGTGAAATAACTTCAAACTCGAGCACTGTCCATCCACTCAAAGCACACTAAAACTATTGTGGACTTTAGAAGAAGTGGTCAGAGACGGACTGTGTGCTAACAGGAGTGTGGTTAACGCTAAATGAAAGAGTGAAGATGACTGTAACATGAACATGAAGCTGGGGCTGATGATGAAGAGGGAAAATGTTGAACAGCCATTCCTCTCTATCGTACAAGCAAAAAGAAAGCGACCATACCAGAGCTCAGGAAACTGTGTCTGTAGTAAGCACCAAGAACACTAACTGCCCTCTTTTAGCAGCTGTTTTAGAAAAAAATGTAAAGTAGACTGTTTTAAGCTCAATTTAGTACACCTTTTACTTCAGTTTGCCGGATAACTGGTTGTGGTTTTTCCCTCTGCAAAGCATTGACAGCGTAGGGGCCACACAGAGACTTAACGTCCCTTTTCTTTTCTACGCACAAAAATCGAGGTTTGCTGGGCAACTGAGCAACCTCTGTTGAATAACTGAAACCTATTCAATAGATGAAACACAAAGTATTTTCTCATATTTACCTGTTATTGCTGTGAATTGTTGAATTAACCCGTTCACCCCCGGAGCTGAGGTGTCTCCGAGCGCCGCCATCTTACCGCCACAAACAACAACATAAATGTGGCGCATGCGCAAACCCGTCTTTTTGGCTCCTGCCTGGCGCGGCGCAAGCTCCGTGCGTCAGCGGAGGATGCTGCTGCATTGTGGGAAATGAAGTCTGCCCATGAAAAAGGGGTGTGACGCTACCACAGTAGCAAACCTAGTTTTTATTTTCGTCGGTTGCACAGTTTTCGTTGATCCCCATTTATTCAAAATGACATATTGGGCTTAAATGATATTTTTATGATATATATTTAAGTTCAGAATACACGAAAAAGTAGGGAAACAAAAAAAAGGTTGCAACTTCAACGCATTTATTTATCTGTTTGTCTTTTCTGCACTTGATAGAAGTGAATGAAGCTTATATGTTATAAATGCAGCATTACTTGTAAAGTTGAAGACTTTGCCTCAATTTTAAGTAAGCTTAGTTCTGTGAATGCAGGCTCACAAAGTCATTTGGGACAGGGCCTGTGGCAAGATCTCCTTTGCAGGGCATAATGAAGGTAATACTTTCCTGTTTCTTTATTGCTGCAGATATTTTGTGTCCCTTTCCAACCTTTTTGATCAGATTTTTGGTTTAGATTTTAGAATTTGTCATTTTAAATACAGATACACCAGTTCAATTGATGACAGCGTTGCAGCATGGCAACAGTGGACGAGGATTCAGATATGTGGGCTTTTGGTAGTGCTTTAAAAGGCCTTAGAGAGACGGTAAATAAAAATAGCACTTAAGGCAGATGCTAAATAGAGGGTTGTCAAAGACACTAATCTAAAACAGATATTTTTGAGCATAATTTAATAGCTTTTTTAGCACAATATTCATATTATTAATGTTAAAGAAAATGCCTTCCAAAAGGCTTTCTTACTGCAAGTGGAGAAATAGATTTGTTTAATTTGGATATCATCTTATGTATAACTACATTTTAAGGCTGCTAATTATTTTCTATTTCATTTAACATCCACCCATCAAAACACTGAGAAACTGAACTAGCTAAAAAAACAGTAAAAAACTATATGTATTCAAATATAAAATGACTGCAGCAATACCTTGACATTATGCTCTTTAATAACACCTCAGTCTTCCTTTTTGAGTAGTGTCATTTTATTATTTGCATAATACATTCAGTTTGAAAACAGCTTCAACCAAGTCCAAAACCTGAAGAATCAGTTCTAACAACAATGAACTACTAGCAATTGAATAATTGCTCAGTCAGCGACCAGTGAAGGCCAGAGTAAATCAATAATGGTTCCTCACACAAATCTGAAGTGCTGCCTGGCAAAAACAAAAACAAGACAAAAGAAAAAAAAAAAAAAGAGAGATTTTATTTTACAAAGGGGAGGTGATGATGGTTCTGTCTCTCTACATCATGATATGTCCAAACTATATTTACAAAATACACAAAGCGATGCTTTCAATCACACTGGCCAGTTTTAACCTAAGGATGATAAAGCTGAATATAAAACAATATTACATTCATATCAATAATGCACAATGACCTTCACTGTTGATAGTCTTGTAGGGGCTCCTCGATGCTCTCGAGTTATGATTTTAATCATTAACATTTGAATATACCTTTGAGTCTAATTAAAAATAAAAAGATCTTATCTTGTGCCACAACACAAATCATGGTATTATGTTTTTTTCTTGCCTATTACATCATGATGGTCAGCATCTTAAATTACACAGTAAGCACTTAGTTAAGCCTTCACCATGTAAACCCAGCAATGCACTGAAATCTGATGCTCTTGAACTGCATCCATGAGTAGCCTTTAAACCCTGAGGTGGGAATTTTTCTTATATAAAAGCTGCATCACTTCGAAATCGTAAGGGAGTAAAGCAAGTACAGACAAGCATTATATACAGGGGACTGTAAGAAAAACTATTTCAATTTCCTTAGATATTTATAGGTAATTATTTTTAAGCAATACTGATGGCCAAATGAGTATATTGGATTATCTTTCAACTTGAGTGCTGTCAAACATCTTATAATTTGGAACAAAAACATGTATTTTGGAACAATTGATGACAACAGTCAGATGTAAAATATCTTACATTGATTAACATTACTCCGGGTATGAGAAACCAGTCCAGCCATTAGTTTGTAAATTCAACTTCAAAGACGATCTGCATTTTACTGTAATCAGGTCAACTTACACTTAAACTCACTTTACATAGTCTAAAGAACATGGAGCCGTCATCAGCGATGTGTTGTGGGTTTACATCAAATAAAGCATTGCCCTTCTAACCAAACCATTTTTATGGCCATATTAACAGATTTTTACTTTCTTGTGAATTTTACTGCAGGGGTCAAATTAAAGGTTAAAGGTTAAGTTATCTGGACGAGAGATGGGCTGGGCTGCGGGAATGAGCTTTCAGTTTCAGCTTCTTTTCTTAATGATGAACTATGTGCCACAACTCGGATTTAAATCTGCATGGCGTCAGCTTTACTGTCAATGAGTTTGTGTCTGAAAGTTTAGAGACTCATTTAGAAAATTTCTTAAGCTTAGTGAAACACATCTAGAGAGAAGCTAAAGGTTAAAATATACAGACCAGCTTTTTTTTAAATCTGATCTGTTTTGTAATGGACCCTTCTAAAATGTTCATTTGTAACCCACTGTGTACCTTATGAGAACAGTGTCACCCTGTGAGATTAAAAGGGTTAAATTAAAACATTATGATTCAGAATGCAAGTCTTCCTCACATCTGATTAGCGTGCAACTTCAACAAGCTAAATAAGACCTCTGTTTGTCCTGATGGGCACTGTGTGAGCGTGAAAAACAAGAGAGATCTGTTTTGTATCCCACATGCAAAAACAATGAAAAAATAAAAAGATGCAGAGGAAGAAAACAGGAGTAAATTGGCAAATGTCACTGTTTGAAATCCTTTTCACAGTTTATACTCAGCTTAATTAATAAATAAGCCTCCACACAATAGCATAGATCAAGGTGTGAATTAGTGCATACATGCATACATGTATGTTCAGTGAACTATGGGTGAGTTTGATGTTGGAATGTATGCGCATGTATGGACTGACAGTATGATGCAGGGTTGCCGGTGTGTTTTCATAATGAACTTTGTATATTAACTTTGTAAGAGGGGCAGGCAGGGTGGTGAGAGGCGAACACTGAATTTGGCAGCTGAAAGGTTCACTGCAGCCTAGAAGCGGATGAAGGTGGCGTCGATCTGGCGTACACTGGGCAGCGCCAGCATGATCTTCCGCCGGTACTGTGGATCCTTCTGTAGCGGGTTTCTTTCAAGGTAGACCGTCTCCAGGGACTTGGCATTCTTCAACTCATCAAGATCGGACCAGTTATCTATCTGATTATCATTCATCTAGAGAGAGACAGAAAGACAAAAGAGCCAATTGAAGAATGCGCTTTGCTTTGTTGTGCACAGCTTCAACACAAACTGGAGGAGATAAGACCATTAAAGAAATAAGAGAGGAAAATAAGCCAATAGGAAGAATAAATATTACTTAACAAAAGTAGACAGTTTAAGGGCTCCAAAGGTGTTTATGCTGCTTATTTAGCAGGCCTGCTCAAACTTGTGGTGAACACCATTGATCAATATAACACATTTTTATGTCTTTCTACTTTAAGTTCATATCCATCAGAAAGGGGCAGAGGGGAATGCCCTGAAACTTGCATAATGAAACATGCACATATAACCCATACAAAACCATTCACAAGCAAATGTTCTGTACCCAAAACTCCTGCAGGTCTGTCAGATGACTGATATTTTCGATTCTCTTCACTCGATTGGCGGCAATGTCCAGGGTTGTAAGCTTTTTCTGTGGGGGAGAACATCAAAATGAATGAAAAAAAGCTTATTTGGCTAAGCATGTTTTTAAAGTAAGCAAATTATATAGTTTTGGAAACAGCCCTTTTATTAAAAAAAAGAAAATTCTGTAAATGTCCTAACTCACATTGTTTTCCAATCCCTCGATGACCTCGATACCATTGTGGCTCAGATAGAGCTCTCTCAGGTTCACGAGGTTCTGCAGACCCTCAATTTTGGTGATGCGGTTACTCTGCGAAAAAATTGTGAGCAAATGCATCAAACAGCAGTTCTATTAATACACTTCAGTTTTATAATCATAGCCATCAAATATGTTGCAGAGAATTACTATGAAAATACCTGAATACTTAAAACCGTCAGACTGTGTAAGCCGTCCAGATTCTGAAGCTTTGTTATTTTATTGGTTCCAAGAAACAAACTTTGCAAAGTATTAAGTGTATCCAAGTTTTCTATGACCTGTAAGTGTAACAAAATGAAAAAGGCAAAAACAAAACATTACACGTTTTCATAAACCCAAAATATCTGATGTTATATTTGCATGGTTAATTATTATTCCCCATGCTGTAGCTGTCCTAAGAACACCTAATGTCATACCCTTATGCGATTGGAGCCCAGCTCCAGCATCTCCAGGCATGTCAAGTGTTCCAAGTTGGCAATGCTGCTTATTTTGTTGTGAAGCAGAAAAAGTTTCTTCACCAGAGTCAACTGCTCCAAACCCTCAACCTTCCTCAAAATGTTGAAAGACACATCGAGCTGCCTGTAGATCAGTGAAACAAGTTTTATGTTACACAATGCTGTGCCATGTTCATCAGAGGAAATTGTGTGAGATTTGTTTCCTCTATCATGTAATCGACTAAAAATATGACTTTGAAGTGAAAAACTTTGATTTCTTTGGAAAAGAAGCTGTATGATGTGCTGGAAAGCATTTTTATCATACTTACTCCAGTTCTGTGAGGTTTTGGAGGTTCTCAAGTTTACGAATCTGATTGTCGTAGAGATCTAGTTCCCTTAGTGAAATCAAACTTTCAAGGTTTTCTATCTTTTTGATGAGATTTTGTCGCAGGGAGAGTGTCTGTAAAAGAAATTTAAAAAATGAAAAATTAACAAATGTTATTATAAATTTTTCCATGTCTTTTCAAAGCAATATATGGTAAAAAAATGGAAAAGTCTCATCCTTTTCAGTGAGACAGATAACAGTGGCAGTTAACACCAAGGTTACTTACCTTAGCCTTCTGTAGCACCTCCAACCCTTCAATTTTTCCAATACGACAGTGAACAAGATCTACATCCTACAAAGACACACATTTTTTAGTACAACATAAAATCTGTAATTCTGGGACATTGTTTATTGTCTCATGTCTATCCAAGTTTCCAGCCCAAAGAAGTGGACTGAACAGACATTTAAGTACAGCTGCAGTGCTGATATATTGACCATAATGAAAATAACGCCTTGTATATATCATTTTATTGCAAATGAAGAACTTTCTCTCCCTTCCACTCCTTCAGTAAAATGAAGCATAAAGATGGGGAACTTTTCACTACACAGCATTATGACTAAACGTCATAGAGTGGCTGTAGCGTAGCAGTAGTTATGATTGAACCATTTTCTGACCTCTTCCTCAGGGTCCAAGGTGATGGTGTCCATGTCGACAGGGGACTCTTCTTTATCTATAAGATGGAAAGATATTGATAAGGTAGACTCAAGGGCCTCAGTGTATCATAGGAAAGTATTCACAGACATTATGTAGACATCATTGGGATGATTTATAGTTATGTAATGTTGAAAACTATGGGTAATAAAATTGAAAACTCGGTCAATTTCATGATGAATTTTAGAAGTGTGAAGATTTACTTGTGGATGTGGGCAGATTGGGGTCAACGTCGCCATTGATACTCCTCCTCCTGGTCTCATCATCACCAGACTCCTCAGACTCACCTCTTCGGTCCACTGTGGTCAGCACAAAGCAGAGGAGCTTCATTTTCAACATGCAGTTGCAATCATGGTGGATAATAATGGTTCACTGTTAGCTGATTCACGTGTAATTTGCTCGCTGGGGCTGCCAAGGAATGTCACATTCAGCTTCCAGCTTAAACACACAGCACTGGATCATGTTTATGCACCATACTACACGAGAGATAATGAGTACACTTGGTTCCTGCCATCCTAGTTACAAGACAGCTCGGAGGTAGCCCAGGTTAGCTCTCATACATTATCACACATGCTAAAGATAACTAGGATGCTTCACATGCTAGCTAGTTTAGCTCTCAGCAGACAGCGGACACATGCTCAATGGACAAATGAGATACAGAAGATAAAATTCAGTTTAACTACAAGACAAAAGACGCTTTAAAGGATGTTGACAGTTTATGAGATGAAGAGCACAGCTGCAGCTGATGTTAGCACACCGAGTACCGTCTGCTAACGAGGACTGTTGTTAGCATGTTAGCTTGTAAACCAAGGATGACAATCTGGTTGGTAACAAGGTTAACGAATAATCGGGGATAATATCATTAGATGTTACACATTCACTCGAGTGAGCCTCAGTTCACGCAGCTGATACAGGATCAACATGGCAACATATTTTCATTTTTACTCACCTTCCATTTCTTGAAGCTCTCCAACTGACCGAGAAGCCATGTTTCCTGTAAACAGTCCTGACAACCGCTCAGCCAATCAGTTAGGGGCTCGTGCTGTTGTCCACGGACACAAGATGGCGCTGGTGGTACACGATGAAAACAGCTGACAAGGCCTTTGTGGTTGTGCGTTACAGACCAGCCACGATTCATGCATTTGAGAATTGTTTTTAAAATAGGGCATATACTGTATATACCACCGCTACGGTGGTCGAGAACCGCCACTGCTGCAAATAAAAAAAGAGTGCAAAAAAAAGTTACTACGGAAGTTACTGATGCAAAAAAAAAGAAACCTAAGCCCGCTGCATTTAAAAAAGGAAACGGCACAGATGAAAAAAACCGTTTTTTTGTTTGTTTGTTTGTTTTTTTTACAGCTGGCTTTGCTTTCCATTTGTTTTTACTGCAGGCTTTGGTTTCCTTTTTTAACAGCAGGCTTTGGTTTCCTTTTTTTGCATCAGTAATTTCCGTTGTGGTTTCTTTTTTTTTTGCATTCTTTTTTATTAGCAGCAGTGGCGTTCTTTTTTATTTATATATATTTTTTTGCATTCTTTTTATTTGCAGTACTGGCGGTTCCCAGCCACCGCACATCACCAATCTATTTTTTCCTAATAAATCCTAAATCTGAAGAAGAAAGAAATATAAACAAAGAAAACAAAAAATATTTAAGGGAATAACTCTCTTAGTTTACTTATAAACAAACTTATAATGCAGTCACATAAAATATTTTGATGTGCACCAAAAATGTGTTTCATAAGTTCTTTAAGAATTCCATGAGACTGGAAGTGGTGGTTATGTTATTTTAAATGTGTTAATGTTAGAATTATAAATGCAAAATGTTAATTGTGTTTCTTTTTATAGGATAAGCAAGTTTCTTCCATACTTTGAATGTAGATGGATTACTTTTACTTAAAGCAGCTTGAGGCTGTGAATTTTCTTCCTCGTTTAAGCTATGAAAAACACCTAAAACTTGGCAAAAATAACTGTGTTGTGTGAGTAAATGAAACCCTGCAAAACAAAGGAATCGTGAGCACTACACAGTTTGACTGCAAACCCCCCTCTCCTTGTGAAGTCCTCTGCACTCTCACAGGGGATTGTTTATACAGTGACTTCCCACTCTGCCCTGCATACCTTCCATTTACAGAATACATGCGCAGAAGATGGAGACTGTTAGTTTGGAAGTCTAAGGACAACAGTAATGATAACCATTTGTTTACAGCAAAACACAACATAACAACTTCTTTTCAGCTTTGCTTGTTATCATACACAGATATACTGCACAAAACCAACACATACTGTAGCTCAACATATCAAATTATTAGCCATCTGTCATGTCTTTCTTATCTCATATATGATACAGTCAGAAACATGAGAGTCACACTTGACCTAGAACCTAGATAAGCAGACAGGGAGACTGATATGGACAAAATGCTTTCCATCGAACAGCTGTCTGTGTCAGTTAGAATAACCATAAAAAATCACAAGATTGCCCGGTGATGTCATGATTTGAGCAAGTCTTATACTGATCTCATTGAACTCTCACATGACTTTTTGAATGAGCCATTCAGAGCACCCTGTTGTCACATCTGGGTTACTTCAACACACATTAACCTTACAATCTTAAACTTTGCTCGTGTATAGCACTAACCTCAAACATTTTATCTTAACATTTGTTTTCAAAGCATGAAAAAAGCGCAATACCACTTTTTTAACCATAGGCTGCAATTAGTTTGTATATTCTTTGCCATAAAAGTAGGCCTTTCTTTAATTCCACCATCAATATAATTAGGCTACTTGGATTCAAACACCCTATTGTGTGATAAAAAAAGCCTTGCCTTTAAAATATCTGGATCGACTGTGACTGAAATGAAAACAATATTAAGTTGATGAAGTGTGAATAGACCTAAACTCATGTATCCCACATATAAGGTTAAGTTATTCTATTGAACTCAATCACTTTCACTTTTGCTGCTTTAAAGAGTTTGTAACTCAGACAGTAAAGCGCAGAAGTAATTTAAAAGGGATGTAGACTTTTGTGAAGTCAACATCTAGTGGTCAATAAAACCAGGCACAACTAGTTTTATTGACGACAATAAACCACGATACCACAGTTTAAAAGGCTCTACTTTCACAATAATGCAGTGCATCAATATTGAAGACAGGGCCACTACTTGCATGTAGAACAGTTAGCCTAAACAGTTCACTAAAGCTATTATTGTGCCTAGTCTACGATCCTTTTTCCCAATTACAACAGCATCTTTACTTTGGAAATAGTTTGAGTGCAACCACCACCACCACAACCAGTACAATAATTCTTTTTAGCTAAAAAGCTGTTTTGTAAGAAGACATTTTAACATGAGAATGTCTTTAAGTGATTCAGAACATTTACAGCTGTATTTTTGAAAAGAAAAAGTAACACATTTCAACAATCTGAACTGAAACTCTGATCTTCTCATCAGACTCCTTTACTTTCTCAGGAGAGCCACTAGCTCAATTTACCCCTGAACTACTATTATGACTTTATTAGTCCTCTAAGATAAAATGGTGGACTTTAATGTTATGTTTTTGACCTCATGTTGTAGCTCATAGATACCACCATTGATGTATAAAACAAATTTAAAATGATCTTTTTTGGTCTGAACACAATTCTAATAAAACTTATGACAGGCTAAATTCACTTTCAAGAATAAAAAATGTTTTTTTTTTTTTTTTTTTTTGGGGGGGGATAAATGTCTAACTTCTTCATCCACGTCCTTCTAACCTTCACAGACTCCATGAATTGATGCCCATCTCCTAAATATCTGCTCACATTAATTTCTTTGACCATTTCCAAGCAACAGTGGCTCAACTTACCCCACTCTCCCCTAATAAAAGATTGACTTGTTTCCTTGGTTACCACTCTGAGCTGATTATTGCTAACTCCTGACACCTGTTGCTGTTTGTGGTACGGTGCTTTTGTCTTTTTTTTTTTTTACTTTGGGTTTACTTGATTTACCTGATGTGCCTCTTATTAATAAGGTTTGTTTCAGTGAAACAGACCCCCTGACTGTAGACTACACTTGTAGGCGGGGACCGTCGAGGCCACATGCTGAATACAATGGCCAATAAATGGCGAGGCGGACGTAGGTGCTTTAAAAGGACTGTAGTGAACACAAGTGAAACTGAGGCGATAACTTGACGGAGTAGAAGAGAACAGTAACCTGTCCGTGAACTTCACAGATAGCTCAGGCTTTGTGAAAGGGTTTTGCTTTTGTTTGGATGTAATCTTAGTGCACCGGTTTCTCGTAAGTGGCTTAAAAGAATCCGTGCTATTTTCTGATTCCGGGTAGTTTTGTCCTTCATTTACGGCGAAACGCTGCTGTTGGATTTAAAGCCGACAACAAACAACGTTAGATATGTATTTTCTTGGCATATTCCTGCTAATGCTGTGCGATTCATCACGGGGGTTTCCTGTGCCAATAGGTAAGAAGTCCATCTTTGCATTGCACCTTTTCTTCCATACGCTCACTTCTGCTTCTGCAAACACGGACTGATAAGCTCCGTCTTTCATGGAGGCGAGCTCCTCCGGGGCAAGTTGGCTGTGGACTTAAACATATATACCCCAGTCATTCATTTGGGTTTTCTCCATGTTTTGAATTTGACCTTTACGCCTCTTCTTTTCACAAGACCGTATGTTTCTATTCTGTACGCAAACAGTGCTGCACAGTACAAGTGCAAAACCCTGCATTCATCCTGTGTTTTTTCAGGTTTGTTTACACTTCACCGAGGCGTTGGTTCCTCTGGCTATTGTTAGCGTTTCAGTTAACATTAAGCAGAAAAATAACCCAACATTTTTAGCCCCTTTTAACGTACAAAATGGCATAGATATTTGGTTAATTTAATGTAATTTAATTTTATATTTGTGGAGATAAAATCGTAGAGGTTTATTAACATGTAAACAAAACTTTAAAGCTCCTCAGATGAATTTTTTGGCAGTTAAGAAATTGACTGAAATTCATTTTGGGGAATTTACATGACATTTAAAATTCAATACAGTCATTGGTGACAAGAATGTTGGCTTCGATATTGTAATTTTTATAACTGAAATCAGTGTGAGGGGGTAGGTATCAGCCAAGACACTGAAGAAACAGCCCTGTTTTACATCTTTTAAAACGAAATATTCTCAATAAATGATACAGTTTTCAGTCAAAAGTCCTCCAGGTGAGATTTTTGTCGAAAGTCTTTGTCTCCAGGGAGTGCCAATATTGATATAATCTAAAAGTTCCTCACAGGAGCTTTACAATGAATCAAAAAATTTTTGTGATGCATTTTTTCTGAAGCCATTATTCCCAATATACTTAGTGCAGGAAGTCAACTCTTTATTCTCCTGAGAATGCAATAACTAGCTACATCAACAATTCTCAGTAACGATAAAATCTATCAAATACTGAAACTGATTGGACCTACCAAACACTTGGAATGATTGGACTAACTACAATTTCAACCAACACAAAAACATGAAATTATTCTGAAAAACAAAGAACTGTACACACATATAGGAACCAGTCAGGACTGTCCATTTGGGCTGGTTTTGCTGTAATGATTTACAACATTTAGCGATCCCCAGGAGGGAGGGAATTTAGTATTATCAGTCTCTGTTATGAGGAGTACTGTAACATTTTTGGGAGCGTAGTCAGTCTTATTGACAGAACGTTGCAAAGAGAGGTAGAGTTTTGGTTTTGTTTTGTTTTTACTGCCCCCCTTTTATTGTTCATGCATGTGTTTTGCTCTCTCCCTTTAGATTCCACCATACTGCAGGTGCAGCAGTGGGGTGTGGTGGGTTATCAGCAGGTTGTGGAGCAGGTCCTCCTCAATGGAGTTCCTTTGGCTGGCAACAATCAGGAGATGGACAGAATAATCAAAACCATGTCAGCGAGCCCGATCCTTCCAGCTCTTATCAGTGTCAACCACACATCAGTTCTGAGTAAGAAAGTTATCATGTTCTAGTTTTTGATCAAGTAATGGTGAAAACAGACAATCTTATGTCATCAGAAAGTACAAAGTGAGATGAAATCTGATGATATGTCCCATTTTATCTTGCAAGGAAACCTTACTCTGCTGCGTTCTCGTGAATGTGTGCTGGAGGGGTCTCAAATGCACTGGGTCGATCATATGTTCTGTGATGGGGAGCTGTGTCTGACTCTGGACCACACTGACACATGGAAAGCTGAAATACCTCAAGCACTGGCTCTAAAATTGTTGTGGGACCAGGAAATGCAGCGTACAAGAATGGAAAGGATTCGCCTTCAGGAGGGGTGTGCCAAGCTAATGAAAGAACTGAGGCTTTCCCAGGAGCAGCCAGGTATTTACTCTTACCTTTTTGTGGAAATCTTTAGGCTTTAAGAGCTTTAAAGAGTGATTTATTGTACAATATAAACAAAATGCTAAAGAATATCCACATTTGCCACTTGGTATACTTGGTGTGAACCATCTCTGTAAGGTGAATGCACAGTAATGCCCTACATGATAGAGATTTAATTTGAGCTCTTGATGCCTTGCCTGCCTGTGACTCTCATAATGATCTGAAAAGACGCCTTAGCTGATGGCTGTGAATTTTGGAGGCAGCTGATGGCATTTGGCAGTGAGTCATATGACAGAGAGAGTACCTTTTTAAAAACAACAAAGGAAAGATGCATTTTTAAGTAAAACATCACCACCCTTACATTTTACAGTGTCAAAGTTTCATGGCGTTTTGTTGATGTTTTGCTTCTCTAGCTTCAAGGATTCCCTTGCCTCATTTTCTGATCCCCATCTTGGCACTCCTGGCATTTGGCGGACTTGCTGTAATCAGCCTCCTTCTCTCAAAGAGCTATGGTCAGTAATCACTATTTTGCTTCCCATTTGAACAGCATTAAAACATGTTCAACTTTGTTAATCTCGCTTACATAACTGTAGAGGCCTGCACAATGCAGCAAGATTATGACTACCAAGAAAAGAACAGTCTTGGGTTGTACACTTTCACAAAACAGTACAACCAATTTAATCTTTAAATCTCCTCTAATTAAACTACCAATTAACCGTTATAAAATGCTGCATTGCTTAACTTTATTTCAAAATATGTCCTGTCACATGATGTGGGTATGGAGCCTTATGCTCGCTGAGAAATGTCAAGCAAAGTCATGTGTTTTGTCTTTCTCTCACTCTGCGTAGGTTTGAGGCACCCTGGAGGTAAGACAACACTTCCAATGTTTTCTCTTTAGCCTGACTGTAGAACTCTTAGCTAACAGACTTAGTGAAAGATTGGGAGAGAGTTAATCATAACAAGAATTTAAAACCTTTGGATGTGCATGCCCTTTTAAAATTCCAGGGTCTGCCACTGGTTTTGCCCTGTGTTAATGTTTATATTCAGCATGGCCTCAATTGAATTATGACTGGCCTTGGCAGGCCAGCTGGAGATACAGAGATGATCATCCTTTCAAAACAACTCATAAAAGTTTTATCATGAGGTTAATTTTGATTGTGTGAGTCTTATCTGTGCTCTTTGGTATCATTGCAGGTGTAATCGGCTCAGTCATACATTATCCTCAGGACATGACTGAAATGCCTTCACAAATCAAATCATCTGGTTACTACACCCTATAATTCAAAGCTTCACCTGACTTCCAGCTCACGTTTGAGCTCTCCGCTCCATTTTTAGTGTTATTAGTCTACATAATGATTTTACAGCTTTTGCTCTGTGTATGAACGTGATGAATGTGACCAAAGCTCTGCCACAGTGCCAACAGTCCGTTTTATGATAAACATGTGGTCTGGGTGTCAGCCCTTATTTTTTTAATGCACTTTTGCGCACATTTGAGAATGTTTTTATAACATATGCTTTAAATCACTACATATCAGCACATGTGTATAGAAATCTTAATACATTAAAATATATTGTTTTTTGCTTTTTATAATTGCAGACAGGAGTTTTCACTAGTCATTTTTTTCAGCTGTTCAATTAAGCCATGTCAGGGAGAGTGCATTTTTCAAATATTTACAATATCCTCAAGCCAAGATGGACAAGTACATTTTCTAGACTGAAGAGAAGTCCTGCTGAATTTTTTCATCTTTGTTTTGTCAGTGGTTGTACATTAACGTGTTTTTTTGTGTTACTACCTTGAAAAAAATCTAACATTTAAATTTTGTCGATGTAATATTTATAGAAAATGTAATAAAGTTACTTTTGATAACTCTTTGCTTTACTTTCTCATGTGTTTTTGTCCAATTTTTTTTGGTTAGCTTGTTTCCAAGAAAAGTGGGGCACTTTTGTTTTTTACCTCCGCCAAGGAGGTTATGTTTTCGGTAGCGTTGGTTTGCTTGTCTGTTAGCAACTTTACTGAAAAAGTAACAGACAGATTAACCTGAAATTTTCCCCAGAGGCCCCAAGAGGATCCCATTAAATTTTGGTGGTGATCCGGATCGCCTTCTGGATCCAGAAATTTTTTGAAGGATTCTTTATCATTGTGAGAGAGGGCAAATTTTGGAATTTTTGCATTTCACTCTATAGAAATGGCCAGAGTCTTTAGTAAAAAATTACACAAAAGGATCTCAATGAGTTTTATGAGGTGTCAAAGGTTGATCCTGATCCAGACAAAATTCCGGATTCTGTGATCCAGAACACACAAAAATAAGGGTGTCGTTGGAATTTTCAATGCTGAAAGATAACCAATGAAGATACAAGGAAGTGTACGCTTACAAATATTGCATAATCAATCATGCATTTGTGTGTCTAATATGAGCTTTGTTATTTTAGGAACATTATGAACAGTGAACATACCAATTTAAACACAAATAAAAGTTAATAAAAGACACAACAGTAAAAGTTTTGTTGTGAATCACACAGAGGCGGAGGTCTGCGCTCTCAGAGTGCTTTTCTAGTTTACTTGTGATTTCAGCTTTAGCTCAATGCAACATCTATTTTGTTTGTCTTTAGTGCTCGTAAGATAGTGGTGCCTGATCAAACTTCTAATATTAAAATTAAACATTTAAACATTACAGTTCCACATTAAGTTTGGTAAAAGCTTACTCGGAATAAAACATTATCAGGCTAATGCATTTTATTTTCAGATATGTGTCCAATGTTGTTTTTGAATTTTAACTCTAACTCTTTTTAACTCTATTCTTTTTTTACTGTACTCTATATTATTTTTAACTAATAATTTTGCCCCAGTTTACTTTCCATTAAACATTTTTTTTTCTAATCAAACATAAAAAATCCCAGCATGAAGTGTATCAAATCATAATTAAGGACATGATTAATGATGCCTAAAGAGAGCAATAAAGGGATGACTGTGATTGTTTTGACTGAGGTTAAAATTTCCTTTCGAGCAGCCAGCATACCCATCATTTTATTTTCCCTTCCTGGTACTCTTAAAATTACTGGCAGATCACATGTTTATATTGCAGCTTATATTAAAGTGCCCAATAAAGTTTGGTTCACACCTACTAGGACATCACACTGTTAATCTCATGTATTGGGTTTTATTCCTTGTTGCTGCCAAGTTGTACACTAACAAAGAAGCTGCTTGCAGTCACACACCTAGGTCAGTATTACTCTTGTAGGAATTCAGAGGGTGTCAACTAATCTGAAACATATAACTGTAGTTGCATCTTTGTGGCATATTAATCCTTTAACCACACATAAAAATGGTAAGATTTTCACGAGATTGATCTGGCGCTTAATCAAATTTATCAAATGTAATCACTCTTCAGCTCCTTCATGAACATTCAGCTGTAATTCAAACTTTAGCATCTGAAACCACACGAAATCTACATACAATTTCAAAATCTCTGACAGTATGCTTTTAATGCTTGGTCTAAAAACAATGTTGTTGTCAGGGGAGAATAAAGGTCAACTTGAAACAGAAAGTGAAACTGGAGAGTGTTTATTTTTGTACTCTGTTACAAACCATCTAAAACATCTTATTTGTAATGGTCATAATGAAGGTTTGTGAGATGCTACAATATTAAACACAAAACCCCATTTAACTCATACTAAAACTTCTTAACCCTTTAATGCCTGACACCACAGATTATGGCCAAAAAATTCAATTTTATTTGGGGCTGAAATGTTTATTTCACTTACTACTGAAAAACAAAAAAATCAAAATGTCCTTAAAATTTAACAAATATATTCATTTATCTCGTTTGATACATTACATGTTTGTTTTTAAGTAATTTGTTAATCATATTGATTTTATAGAAGTATATAAAAATATGTGTCAAATATGATACAAAAGGCATTAAAGGGCTAAAGTCTAATTAAATGAGTTGATATTTAAAAGAGATGAATATGACCATTAGATAAAATTTTCACCTCGTAAAGACAGCTTCTTGATAAAGTTGTCTTACATCTTAAAATTAACAACCTGTAAAACTGTATTTTATTTTGTTTCTTACTCATCCACATCACATCCTCAATGTCATCTTTAAGCCAATAGATGGCGATATATTTTTAATAATGAGCGTTGTGAATCTATGAGGAAGCGTCCAACACCTTGTAAAATTATGCACCAATCAGATAAAAGATACCATAGAAATGCCATGGTAGCGTCACTGAATGAACCAATCATCGGGGCTCTTACGGCCATTTAAATCGTATGGCGTCAGCTCCACGAATCTTTGAACAGAGGGGAAAAGTTACAGGTGTTTTAACAGGTGAGAACAATTTGCTTCTGTAGAGGTTGTGTTAACTTCACTTTTTTTCCCACTACAATAATCAACGCATGTAAGTTGACCACCAGACGATAATTCAGATATAGTAAGCGGTTACTGCAGTTAAAATGTATCTGTTCAGAGCACGAGTATAAACTGAACTTCCGGTCACTGCGTTACAAACCCTGTCACTTCTCGGACATCTTTGTACACGACCAGAACACTCTTGTGTCTTTCTTGTTGGACAGACTGGGTGAAAAGGTGGACAACATGGCGCAGTTCGGGTTTGAGAACGACATTCACAGTATCCTGAAGCTGGACATGCCCATCATAAATGCTCCTAAGGCGAGGTGGCAGAGGAAAGCCAGCTCCTCCACTATATCAGCCCCCACTGCTTTGACACCTGGAAAATCTGCCAAAGCATCCCTAAGTTTATCAAAAACGCCCAACAAAACACCAGGTGATGTACTGTAAATATTTAAACACTTTGTCATCCATGCCTTTCATTCATTCATAAATCCATCCAAACTTTGTTGTATTCTCTCAGGCTTGAGAGTTGACATGGGAAACTGTCTGTATGTATTGTCACTACAATCCAAAACAGAGAAAAACACATCTTTGATAAACACGATAACTACTTTTTTTTATCCTGTTATAGGTAAAAATAAAAAGCCAACCCCTTCTAAGATGGGAGGTGACCGTTTCATCCCCACCAGAAATGGCAAGCAGATGGATGTAGCAAGTTTCCTGCTTACAAAGGAGAATGAGCCTATGGACATTAACAATCCAGCTGCGACTTTTGTAAGCTAATAATACACATGACATATGATCCTCGAGTCAAATAAGGATTTTATTTAATTAGGCTGCCTGTGTCGATACAGGAGAGCCAGAAAGCCTGGTCTTTGTCACTGAATGGATACAACGTTGAAGAAGCAAAGATCCTGCACCTTGGGGGGAAACCTCTTCATGCTCGGGAGGGTGAGGATATTTTCATGGTCGCACAGTTTGTATTGCAAAAAAGTAAAGTGCTGACTTTTTTGGTATTGAACGTGTTTTTTTGTTCTTCTTCTATGTAATGTACAGGCTACCAGATCAACTTGAAAGTCCCATACAGTCAGGTTACAAATCCTGCCTCCGTTAAAAAGACAAGATACATTTCCTCAACACCAAACATAATCTTGGACGTTCCTGACCTACGAAATGATTTTTGTAAATTTGCCTCTTCAAAGTTTTCCCTGTGATTGTTTTTTCTTTTTTTTGTTTTTCCTTCTGATGATGGTCAGTGACCTTAATTCCAGTCTCCACATGGATATTTTATTCAAGATAAGCGATTTCTTCAACATATTAGACCATCATAGAAAGCCACAGCTGTTCACTGAGCAAACTTTTCATTTGTCCAGATTTGAATCTCTTTGACTGGAGCAGTCGTAACGTTCTTGCTGTGGCGCTTCATAACAGCGTTTACCTGTGGGATGCAGAGCAAGGAGGCGTCACTCCCCTCATGAACTTGGAGCTCGAGCAAAACTATATCTGCTCACTGTCCTGGGCTAAAGAGGGAAGCTGCCTAGCTATTGGCACCAGTGACTGTAAAGTTGAGGTCAGTGAAATGTCAACTGTAGGGCATTAGGTTTATGCTACTCAAAAAGCTAGTCGCTGGTGTTGTTTTCAGTCACACATTTCTTTTTTTTATTTTTCCCTTAGTTGTGGGACGTCGACAACGAGAAGCATTTACGCAGCATGATTAGCCATACTGCTAGGGTTGGCAGTCTAAGCTGGAATAACCACATCCTTTCCAGGTAAAGGTGTTTTACCACCTGTTTTTTTTTTAAATGTATTTTATATGGCTTGTGTTTAACTTTAGTTTAATCCCTAGTGGCTCAAGATCAGGGCACATCCATCATCACGATGTGAGGGTTGCAGACCACCACATCTCCACGCTCACCGGTCACTCACAGGAGGTGTGTGGGCTGCAGTGGTCTCCTGACGGTCGATACCTGGCCAGTGGAGGCAATGACAACTTGGTGTGCATATGGCCCCGAATACAGGAGGGCAGCTTTGGCAACAGCTCTCAGTTGGTGCGCTGCTTTAATGATCATCAAGGAGCTGTTAAGGTGATACATGATCATTATGGATATCATTATGCCACAAATGAGGAGATGATTGTTTGAAACTTTCTTTTTAAAAAGTATTTGTAATGATCTTATCTAGGCTTTGGCATGGTGTCCATGGCAGCTAAATATCCTTGCATCTGGAGGCGGTACCAAAGATCGTCATATCCGTGTCTGGAATGTAAACAGTGGCTCCTGCATCAGTTCACTCGACACTAAGTCTCAGGTATCTACACACTTGTACCTGCCTTTTTTGGTTCATTGGTTAACTGTAAATCTACGTCCTAACACAGGTCTCTCCTTGAATCCCACATGATGACTTTTAGATCTCATCCCTGGTGTTCGCACCCAACTACAAAGAATTGGTCTCTGCACATGGCTCCCCCCTTAATAATGTGGTTATCTGGAAGTATCCATCCTTTGCCAAGGTTGCAGAGCTAAATGGTTTGTAACATTTTACACTTTTTCAAAAAAAGTTTAGATGTTTTTTCAGTGAACAACAGCTTGAAAACTGGAAACAGTTGAACCATACAATTGATCTAAATGCTTCCTCCCTCAGGCCATGAGGACAGAGTTCTTAATCTCACTCTGAGTCCAGACTGCTCTACTGTTGCGAGTGTTGCTGGAGATGAGACGTTACGTCTATGGAATTGTTTTGAGGCGGAGAAGATGGTCAAAACAACACACAGTGTCATCCATCCATCAATCAGATAAATTTCTTGTTGACATGAACTTTTACTTTTAGATATGCAGATGAATTATGTGCAATGTTGTATTTATCAATAAAGATTTCCACAGTGTTTCCGTTTTAACTGCTAACTTGTTGCTCCTGGTGGTTGGTTGGTAGTTCACCAAAATACTGTCAAATGTATTTTTCAGTGTGCAGAATGACTTGTGTGCAATGTTTTATTCAATAATAAAAAATTTCCACTGTGTTTTTGGTGTAACTGGTAACTTGCTTCTGTTGTTAGCTGGTTGTTGATCAAAGTAGCTTGACCTATATAGAATACAACAGAGGTCTCTAAAGAAATAGTTTTCCCAAGTGTGTTTGTAGCATTTGCTGTATATTGCGGATGTACTTAGTAATATAATCCTATATGCTCAATTTGGTTGGTTGGTTATCTGACATGTTTTTAGGCATTTTGTTTGCCATTTCTGAAGGTTAGCGCTATTTTAAATTAATTTCCATGAATGACTTTTTTTTTTTTTTTTTTTTACAGTGTCCAAAACAACAAAATGGAATTTTCTATTTAAATTTTTTCCTCTGTCAAATATTTTGTCCCTGATCAAAGTGAATCCTCGTCTTTTAGACCAAGACAAGTGTTGTTTGGGAAGTGATCTTCTAAAAATTAATCAAATAAAAAAACTTATTTTTACAAGCATATAACCCATTGTAGATGTTTGTCACTGAAAATGTAAAAAAAAGGCTTTTTTTTTTCAGTGTGCTTTGAAACACTGATATCCCCTATGTTTCCGAACTTTAGAAGTAGCCTAGCTAGAGAAAAATCAGTATTTTTACAGGTTGTCTCATTTGTTTTAGCTTCTTATACAGAAGAGAGATTAACATTTTTGTTTCGGGCAGGTTCATCCTTTAAATATTGCTGGAGTTGATCTTGACTCATTTGCAGCTCCTACATGCGTCTTTTGTGGTAAATATCAGATCTAATTTCCAAAATCAGGTCATCCTTTCACTGTAAATTTTATCAACAACAGCAGAAAAAACACTGGTAGGTTTATTCATATTTACATTCTTCAGAAATTTTCAGAAACAGCCATACACAGCATAGTTTAGTTTAACATTAACAATAATTAAAAAAGGTTCTATGTATTAACTTCATGCCCAGTGTGCCAACTGTGCAGCATTGCAAAATTCAGGAGGATTAATATGGATGAACACAAATAGCAGTGCACATGTCACCACCTAATCAATGCAAAAATGCAAAATGTGTTGGTACTGTAATATACAGTAAACATTTCTTTCCCACAATTCTTAAAATCGAACACACACAAAAAAAGGAAAATAGGTGTGGTATGTTACAAAGTGCACACCATAACTGCTTTCCAAATGACACAGACCTTTATCTAAAATTTGTTTTATTTCAAAAGATAAATAAAAACAGAAAAAATAGTATTTGACATTTACATTTTTTTTTCCTTTTTTTTCTATGGTCTAAACTTTGTTGCAGTTATATATGTGTGCTAGCCTTCAGTGGAAACTGTGCGATACTCCCGAGCGGCAGCAGGGGTCATGCCAGCTCAACAGTTGTGTAGGTCAGGCTTATGTGGGTCAAACCTGAGTTGAATACTATCAGTGAAAAAATGAGCACCAATCTTCATACAGTGTTCATCACAGTTAATAGTTTTCACAACAGCTAACAAACACAATGTGGCAGGTAGATCACGAGTAAAACACAACATGTCATTCACATCCCAACAAGTGTGCGGAAGAACTAATGGGGCTAACACAGACGTTATGACGTTTAAGATGAGGCACATTCAGATCTGGGCCTGATCCTGAAAAAAACTTCTGTGATGAATGACATGAATTTAAGTTAGCTCTCTAGAGCTTCCTTCTTGCTTTCAGTTACCATGTTAGATTTCTTTCACTTTGCCCAGGACCAGCTTGCCGTTTGTGTAGTTGTGCACATTCCCATTCCCGTTCTCCAGATGCTTCCCATTCCCATTAGCCACCACACTGATGGGTACACTGGTTGAGCCATTCTGTTTGGGTATGTCCTCTATGACAGGAAGCCGTTTGCCCTTGATGTAAGCCTGTATCCAAAAGTTGGAGAAAAGGAGGAAGAAAAAGACGCCATACATCCAGATAAGGTGGATCCAAAGAGGCACCTGGTAGTCGCACTTTTCCATAAAGTAGTACTGGCTGATGTGGATGGAGACCAGAACAAACTGGGTCTGTAAAACAACACACAAAAGACAGATTATCAGTTAAAATCTAATCTTAAACAGATGCAGTGTTTGTTTCCCTTATACAGCACATTGTAACATGAGTGTGTGCTAAAACATTTTGATTTAAATCACAAAGGAAGGACATACAAGCTGGATAGCGGTCATGTACTTCTTCCACCACAGGTATTTGTGGAAGCGAGGTCCTGCAGCTGAGAGGCCGTAGTAGAAGTACATGATAACATGGACAGTGGCATTCACCATGGCGTGGAAAGAGCCCATTCCTCCAGCTAAAGAGAAGAATAACCAGGTTAACAATTGTAACAGATATCTGAATTACACTGTGGATGTCTTCACAATTTATCAATCTGGCTTTAAGCATGCATCTCTTTCGATTCACGCAATTTGTGGTCGTATGAAGTATAATAATGCTCACCAGGAGTCAGTGTGATTCCCCACCACCACGTCCAGGGCATGAAGGAGTGATGGAAGATGTGGAGAAATGTGATCTGAGTTTGTTTCTTTCTTAACACAAAGAACATCTGAAATACAAGTAGACGAGTTGGAATTAAAAAATACTGCATATCACAAGAGGTCCGACAATTAAAAACAGGGCTGTATCCAGAGAAATGGGCCCCTTTGAAATCTGATTGGTCACCCCAATCCTAGACTATGATTGGCCTTGACTTATTTTAAAATTAACTATTTGTCTACCAATAGGTGGCTATAGCTTTCTTCTCGTTTCACTGTAGCACAATATTAATATTGTTTGGCCACTCATCTCCTTTTTGAGCCTGTAAAGACTCAATATATACGAGAACAAATCATTTAAAATACCCTGAGGTTAACTTTTAATTATAAGTGATAAGTGTAAATAAAAATGATAAATAAATGCTTTTCATTCATGTGTGTTCATAAATCAGGGCCCCAGTCCAGCCACCCCTTTCAGAAAGTCAGAGACAGACCCTTATTAAAGAGATACTTAAAAAAAGCAAAGACAGGAAGTATTTGGAGTGAAGAAAATGTCCTTACTGTGTCGAGGAGTTCAATGTATTTCGAAAAATAAAACAACCAAGCCACTCGAATCATCTAGGAGAAGGGAAAAGAAGGAAACGGATGTAAGTACTTGACATCAAAGGGTTGTCTTTAAGCCCCAAGGCAAAATGTGAACAATCTTCAGCTTACCCTAAAAGCCTGTGGAGTACTTGAGGTGTCAATCAGGTCACATCTCCATGAGAAGGTGGTGGCCCATCCTGACATCAAGAACTGAGAATCAGAAATATATCAGCAGCTGTTACTAACATTTCACAAGTACTCTGGCATGTTTTAGTCAGAAAATACCCCAGCTTGACGTTTTGTTTTGTTTTTACCTCATACACAATGTAGGCATTTAATAAAACCATGCTGAGGTTGTAGATGATCATGGCTGTGTTGAGACGAAAGGGCTTGCGGTTCGCCATAAGGCGAGGACCAATGTACACTGACAAGAAGACATATGTCAACAGGATGGAGGTCATGTGTACGGGATCCTGCATCAGTGGGTAGTCTCTGACCCGGGGATCTGGAGGTCAAGAAAAACAAACCCATTGTTGTCTTAGTATATCAGTACAGGACACAAATACAGATACATGGTAAAGTTGGCTGTAAATGAAGATGTTTATGATGAATCTATGGGCTTCTTCAGCTTTTCCAGAGAACCAGTCATTTCTTACTTTTTAAAGAAAGCAGAGGTAGACCACTGTGAAGCTAAAGACATACTTACCGATTTTTGATATCAGATAATCATGGAATTTCACCAGGTTTGATACAGTGTCTCGCAGCATGATGGCTGCTTCTGTTTTTTTCCACTATCAAAAGGCCTGAAAAGTAAGAAAAAGATTCTGAAATCAGGTGATGGAGGAGAGGTGGGTTTATTGGTTGGTTGAGCCACAGAGTGACTGAACAAACAGGAGACAGCTGCACAGGCTCATCAAACATCCTGAACTCTTGTGTAAACCGTGTTTAAAAAATACAGGTTGAAATCTGTACGGGAGGGCCTGATCCAAAGTGCCAGAGCAGAAATCTCTATCATGGAAAAGCTTTTTTTAGATCTAGTGAGTCAAAAGAAAATAATGTTGCAGCATATTTAAATGTTTTATGATGGATTGTGAAACATCTGGGATCTGCTGTCAGTCTAAAAACAATGAAATACTCCTCTGCTGACTAACAGATCAAGTAAAACAGGTGAGGCAGAGAACTTGGCCCTTGTGGGCAAGCTAGCCAACCTACTGAGCCACATAGATGTGTGCAGAGCAGAGACTTTCGAAGAGGAAAAACTGTAAAACCACAAAATCATACTTAATTCAAAGCAGCAGCATTAGGATGTTTGATCTAATCTTGACAAATCTTACAATGTGGTAAAATGGCAGGTTTGTCTGACAGAGGATACCAGTCGAACCACCATTCAATCAAAGAGACATTGTTAAAGGGGTAGCTACAAATACAAGTGATACACATGCTTGAATCCATGTAACTCAATAAAACACTTCAGAAACAATGTGACTTACCAGCTAAGAACAGTCAGTCTCAGGTCTCTCTCCCGGTTGTGAAGAAAGCAGCTGCACAGCCGAGGCAGGCAGCACTCAAACCAGAGTATCCAGCAGATCAGCAACACCGGTGAGCCTCAGGTGAAAACCAGATACATTCAAAGCTTTTCTGTGGATGTTAGCCCCTAGCTGTCCTCAAAGGTGTGAAACTGTTCACTTAAAATCCAACCAAGAGAGCTGAAAGTCTCAACATACAGTGAAAGATTGAGAGAGAAAGCTGAAAAGACACAGAAGGAAAAGCGTGAAGCCAGCTATGATGACTATAAGGCCGGAATCATTCAGCTCAATTTAAACCCTGGGGCACTACTACAGAACTTGCTGGTTTCAGGACCACACCCTGTTTCAATGCTAGACTCCACCTACCTATATTCACTCAGCCTGACCGTGATTGGACTGTCTCATCAATGGTGCTATATGGGAGGGAGGCAGGGATGACAGACCCTGGTTAAAGAAACAAATACTCGAAGGTCAAAACTCTGAAGATGGGGAGAAAAGAAATAATAAAATACAAAAGGGGTAGAAAAGATTATAATGATTTAAAATACACTTTAAAATATGAAACCAACTTGATAAAATGCTTGGAAAATAAAATTCTGAGTTTGCATCAAAGCCAGTTTAAAGTTTCATGCAACATCTTTTCAAATATGTCCCCAAAACATGATTTGGGCCAAAGGTGAACCTTAGATTTAACACATTTCCAAACTTCACACCACTTAAGAGTGTTGCCCATCCCTTCCTCTGTGTCGTTGCACAGAAGGCAGGGCTCGTGTCCAACCCTTGCAGCGATGATGACGAGCCCTGCTGTGGCTCTGGTTTTTCCTGTTTCCCGAGCACCAGCGACAAGGATGGGTGTGAGTCCTGGAAGAGACCTGACAGGTGTCCTCCTCCACATGAACGTTGGGCTGGAATGAAAGGAATCTGCATGAGAGAGAGCGAGAGACAGAGAGAGAGAGAGAGAGAGAGAGAGAGAGAGAGAGAGAGAGAGGGAGGGAAATCAGTGCTGACTGTTTATATATTGCTTGACAGGCTTTTCAATGAAGATAAGGCATAAAAACCAGACACTGTGTCACTGAAGATGCAATTATAAGCAGACAATTCTGCCGGTAGAATTAATTTGATGTATTTTTCTTTATCATATATGTATATATTTATACATATATGTGTGTATATATCTATATATAAAGCTACCATTTTAAGTTTTAAATTTTTGTATGTAATGTGAAAGCCTCTATGACTGAATCAACATACAACTGTTTTTGACCGTTGCCAATTTGTCTTTTGTTTCTATATTTTTACTGCTACCCATAAAACAGGACTAATATACTGAATGTATGAATGTTAATCTACTCTACAGCAACACCCAAATCCAACTGTTATCCTTAAAAAAGGTCATACAGTAAATTCCGGACCAAGAAAGCTAACAGCAATTGTATTTAATTCTTGCATGTCATACTGTTTAAACCTTTGTGCCCTTACTGTGCTTATGTTAAGTAGTTACTGTTTCAGAATAGGCCAAAACTTGACTGGCGGCTACTAAATGGCTACTCTAAGGTGGGGCTCTCAGTCTCACTTGCAGTAGGTCAGTAAAAGTAGAGCTCATTTACAAACTTAGAAGGGTCAGTTTCACTTGACGAGCTTTAAAGAGGGGGGTGTCATGACAACAAGTGTTTCTCAAACTCATGCCTGTAGACTGTAAGGTATGTGGACATTAGCAATCATCCAATTTGAAGTTTAATTTGCTATTCTAAAAAAGAATCCCACCAAATATCTCCACTTTCAATGCAATGAACACATGCAAAGCATGTGTAAACTGTCCCATTGTTTGACAGGATTTTGGCCCAGTCTGAATGTAAGAGCTGGTTTTATTGTGTCTAGCCACGCGGTCAGCTGCTTCTCATAGTTGCTATATGACCACACACCACAACACACACACACACTCCCTGTTCTCCACAGTCTTGTGACAGTTTAAGAGTCATTTAAGCAGAAGCTGAATTAATTATATAAAAAAGTGAAAAACAAAAAGACAGCACAACGTTGTTGGTGGACTATCCGCCCAACAGCATCACCAGAGAATAGGCTGCACCCTTGAGACATACCAATCATCCTCAATGAGTCGATTGTGAAAATGGATGGTAAAGTTGCCTCTGGATATGAGATACTGAATGAATGAACTCAAAGAACATGAATGTGGACGTGCATGTCTCCCTATAGGTTGCTCAATACGCGAGTCCCCAAAGCATGTGAGTTTTTAAACTTTCCAGTGACACTGATGTTCAGGAATTTGGGGGCCCATCACTCTTGGTGTCGGTTGAAATGACACAAAACTAGATTCCAGGTAAGGTAAGCAGTGCAGTCTGATCAGCCAGGTGGTGAGTTACATCATGTAGATGTACTTTTTCCAGTGTAGCGACAAATATTTATATAGAACATGAGCGTGTAAAACTTGTATGCTGTTCTGATGTGTGGGTCACCTGAAAATTAGATCCACTGTGGATTTATCTACTGAAAGCTCTTTTTAAAAAAATCTGGCATGTGAAATAGATGCTGACGTGAATGGGTGGCAAGATTTTTTAAAGCCACACTGACATGCTAATTACTAAAACAACAACATACCAACTGAGGAAAAAACGTTTTTTTTTCCTTGAGTGGCATTTTGATTTTTACCTTTACCCAAGAATTTGGAATAATTTTCTGTTTTCTAATTCATCAATTGATAAACCAAAAACAAACAGACAAACAAACAAACATTTTAGGGTTAAATTAGCAACAGTAAGTTTCTACTTAGATTTCTTCTAATTGTGTCAATAAGTAATGATTTAATATAAACCACTTTGTACAATAAACCCTATTATTATGTAAATTCTGCACAGATGTAAATATGATGCATGTACATATCTTTTTTTAACTCAAAGTTTTTTAGGATACTTCACCCAAAAAAGTTCTGTTAAAAATACAAACAATCATGTGCAGGGACTTACATATGTAGTAGACAGTCAAACAGACTGGAAGATATTGAAGAAAATGCTCACTTTTGACAGAATCGACATTTTCTTTGTTTTCAGGGGTATCTGTTGTCTGAAAAAACGTGATGTCGAGGTTAACAAAGTAAGTAACAGCGACACTCAGTGGTCAATGAGTTTACTTTAAAACAAGGATTACTCCTCAATAGATAAGGCATATAATGGATTGTAGTACTAAACAGATATTGGGCCTGTTAAAAGTTAAATAAAAAAACGAATAACTCAGATTATTTTGCTCTTCTTGTTGTTCTGCAGCTAAAATTATTAAGGGGACAGATATGTAAAAAGTCTGATAACGGTGTCTTGTCTGAACGGGTTCTTACATTTTGTCCATAATAACAGCTGATGAAAATTGTGTAAGTGAAATACAATACTCCTTTCTCTTTAAGGGACAACACAAAGCGAGTAAATGTAATGTCAGTGCTATATCAGTAGGTCGGGGTTAAAACCGGATTAAGAGTTGACACTTTTGGCCTCCACCAGGAACACTTACATAAACACTGACCGCAGATCAGCTGCACACCTGCACACCTGTGAGCTGGGAAACCCCAGTCGTAAACTGTATGCGGTTTTGAGTCACTTTGAAATGTTTGAAACCCGACTCGAGTTCCTTTGAAATCTTTTGAGACACAACGAGAAAAAAACCCGCCTACATGTGAATTAAACTGCGGGTTTAAAACAGGTGAATCCGCTCAGATTTGTGAATGAAGACACGGGCGCAGTTGATTTGTCTCCCCCTGGCCGCCGTAGGAAGGTTGTTACTGTGGTAAGCCGTGTGGCAGAACGTCAACTCCTCCTCCGGGCTCTTCCTGGACTGTAAAACAAACGCACCCACCTCACGCCAATGGGAGGGCGGGACAACAGGTAGGCGTCCGCTCACTTCGCCTTTTGGCTGAACCCCGTCAGTCGCCGCTTTTTCGGGCGAAGAAGCGGACCGACAAGGGCTAAGTCTCCCAAAATGAGAGCTGGGAAAGAAGTTCGCCCGGTGGTTTCTTACTGGTTTTGACACGGCTCTTTTTTGGGAACGGACGAGCTGTTTTTTTCAGACTTTTAGCTTGGAAACACCACGAATTGACTTGAAAGACTGCCTCATTGTGCCTAAATTAATTGGAGGCTGCATCTCAATGTGGATACAACGTTAAAGGTGAGCATGGTTTCTCCTTTACATTGAACTCTCATTGATCGTCTTTTTCTCTGTATTGGGTCACTTCAGGTTCAGTTTATCATTCTAAAGATAGGACTGTTGCTGTAGGCTACTGAGCAGCAAAAACGCTTCCCTTGTCATCTTGTGGTATCAGCTTGGTGTTGCATAATCCAAGAAGTGTAGCAATATCTTGACTATCCCACCATGTGACTCACAACAATAACGCCTCCATCATATTCTTATGTAAGTTTCTGGTCAGATTTAGACTCTGAATATCTGTGGAAACCCACTGTCCTTCCTTGTGGATGTAACAAAGTGTCCTGGCTGCAGGGAATGACAGGGATGGTTAATTGAGTTACACAAGCTACTTACTTTTTTGGCTTCAGTTTGGTGTTTGAGAGTCTCTCTCATGCAAAGTTAGTAATACTCCTAAAACTGGGGAAGCTTTATAAAATTGTTACCATAATCAAAAAAGAAATTCCCTTATATTTTATATACATCTGCATTTTTTTGTCTTAATTATGTTGGTTCACATAGCTGTACATATTTTTTTGTACCTGCTGTCAGACTGACTCATTTGTTATCTGTTGCTGCCTAAAAATAAGAGTATTTTGTCTTCCACAGCCGCCATATTGTCCTCATAGTAAGATATTCTCTGAGGACACACTGAGACACGGCTGATCCAAAGAGGTCAGACGCTCTCTGACCCAGATCCCCCCTCCTGCAGGAGGACATGGAGGTCCTGCGGAAGTCTTCAGTATTCGCCGCAGAGGTTCTTGATGTATTTGACCGCTCGCTGACCGAGAAGGAGCTGGTGTCCCAGTCTAAGGCCCTATGCAGAGACTACATACTATCCAGACTCAACCAGAACGGACTTGGATGGTCCAAAACTGAGCTCAATCTCTCTCCTTCAAATGCAGCGTTGGCTGAGGTGTCTTTGGTTCTTCTCTGTTTAGGTAAGAAAGTAGCTGAGAAGCAGTAACATTTTTACATGTCTGCTGTACATTCAAGGCTGGGGTCTTTACCTCTCAGTGAACTTTGAACCTCATATGTCCAGGAGAAGATGACTTGAGTTAGATGAAATGGTCACACAATAGTTTAGTTTTTGAAACCAGTCAGTTTCCCCCTGTTTTTACTGTAAAGTCTACATTCATGATAACGTTCATGGATAGCAACAATTTCATGTTTCAGTCGTTCATAAACAGGATGTTTTGGATATCATCAACATCTCATAATATAACCCTGAACCATGCAAAGCCAAAAGCTTTACATGGTTCAGCTTCTCTTCATATTCCCTTAAAATATGCCAATGTGGATCTAAAATGTATGACTTAAAACTAACTAACAGATCTGAGAGCTTATCCTCCTCCTTCAAAGTTTTAACTGCTTTAGCATAAAATGAAAATAAGTTGAAGAAACTAATGTGTATTATCATTGACAGTCTTAGGGTTTGGCAAAATCTTGTTCAGGGTGTGGATCCCATGTTTAAGTACTCATACAAGAAGAAGTCACAGAGTCAAAAATGCTGGTGTTTTTCACTGAAATTTGAGACTACAATTAGATTTGAATTGCAGCACTTCAAAGTAAAAGACTTAACTTCTAAACCCAATCACACTGTCTGCTCTCTAAAAGGATAGTAATTGATAAATTGCTTTTATTAGCTACAAACACTAAAAGCTGAGGTGTGTCTTTCTTACGTGAAGCCAGTGTGAGATTACTGTTGTGACAGTGATCTTATTGTTAATCCTGAGAGTAAAATACAGGGTTTTTGTGCTGTAATCTACTTTTAGATAAAAGAAGGCAGGGAGAGGTGATGACTCAAGAGACCAAGAGGAATTTATTGATTCATATACTTCCTCTTTTGGTTAACATTGTTCTGTTCTGTACGCTTGTATTGATAGTTATGGATCATAACTAAAATTTCGGAGTGTATTTTCTCAGTAATTTGAATAGACATCTTAAAAATCTCCATCGTTTGTACTCAAAGTCTTGTGATCGATTCATAAGCAAATATTTAGGCGTTATCATTTGAAATGAAAATGCTGATCTCAGCTATCACTATGTATTCTCTAGTACAGCAATATCCATTTTATTATTATATGTATTTTGTAGGTGTGATATAGTAGTACATATTTTTCATTTTTACATCAGTAGCTGAATTTCTGCACTTTATGAGTAAACTCTGATAATAAGTTGACTTCCGGGGTTTTTACCTTTTGCACATTTTCTGGGTGAGGCCCCATATAACCTCTGTACATGAATTCATGCCACGTGTTTTTGTGTGAAAGAACAATTTACATCCAGGGTTGAGTTGTAGTGAATGTTGCAGTATGAACTGTAAAACAGTCTGTATAATCCAGAGTCTTTCTAACTTCAGTTTCAAACCAAATCTACATTTTGGTTTCTATCTATCATTCTATGATTTTCTAAACAGACTTTGATGCCTCTCTTTCTGTCTGTGCTTTCTGTCTTGTTACCTAGGTGATGAGCTGGAGTGTATGCAGCCCAGTTTGTACAGGAACGTGGCACGGCAGCTCAACATTTCTGTTGCTATGGAGAATATGGTTTCGGATGCCTTCATCGGCGTGGCAACAGAGATCTTCTCAACAGGTACACAGCTGTTTTCTGGAGGTGATGATGAGAGGGTGATGATTCTGAAGATGTAGCACAGTGTTTGCTGATCAAGATGGAAAAGAAAAATGTATGTTTTAGCTGAGTACATACACTCAGCACTGGAAGTTAAACAGAAGTTATTTAAACTTTCAGTTTTCATGAGTTTTGATGCAGGTTTTATAGGCTGAGAGAAAAAACATGGTTCCAGCTGAGACCAGGGTCCATAAAAACAGTTGACCAGTATTCATGTCACACATGGAAAATGGGAGAAAAAAAGTGTAAGGTCCGTGGAAATCTTGCCTGAGAAAACTAATAAACTGTTCTCCTTATTTCCAAAACAGATGACATTGCTAATGTGAGTCTCATCAAATTCACAATATCTTTTGGACGGTAGTTCTAAGAATAGGATACAGGCTGTAAAAATCCCAAATTAATAACACCCAGTGAACCTGCAGGCTAGATGACATAAAGGTAATTCAGTCAAGACCATTTTCAGAAATAGAAAAAGATTTGTATGCAATAGTTTGGAGACCTCCTGCCCCTCCACATGATTACGTGGAATGCCAAAACCTGCAGAAGGAAGAGCACATCTTCCCATAGTTGAATGTGCATACATGAAAAGTCAAGGCAGGGAGAGAAGCAACAACCAAGACCCTCGAGAACAGAATAGTGCTGGCATCAGCGACAATACATCTGACACTGATGAAATCTGGCACAGCAAGAGAAGACAGCTGATATGGGCGAGTGTTAGGATCAGGTGATACACTTTGGGCTGAGCTTTACTTTGTGGCCTGCCTGAACAAACACCACACTAAATCATTAGAAGTGGAGTGGTCAAAACTTGATTTGATGGAAAGAATAGTATATTTTTCATGTAAAAGTATTCTAGCTGCTTTCTTTACTACAAGGTGGACAGATAATGCTGCTTTTTTCTTGTCTTGTTTCAAAAAAGTTGAATAATGTAAAATTTGTTACCATGTTTGGTTTAGTTATTTGAGATGATGTTCGAGCTGGCTTGTTTCACACACAAAAGATTAAGGTTTAAGATTCAGCTTTGGCTTACAGTGCTGGTTTCAGATGTTTCGACTGTGTGTTTGGCATTGTTTGAAGAGTTTAAAAATGAATGGAACTTGGTTAAAACTACAAATGGAAGCGTTAACATTATCAAGTCAAACATTAGCTTATTATATGTGTACGGTACTGCTTTTATTTTTTTGCCATCAGATTTGTCCTCTCAAATTAATAGTCCACTTATAAAAAAAATGTCTAAAGGAGTGGGGACCCTGGAAAAACCATTGAGTTTGTGAAATATTCTACTTATGGGATGCTGGAGTCAAGTTATTTCACATGAGCAGCCGTCTTGCTTGTCACTGAAATGTCTTAAATCCATTTACAACTGACCCATTTTAGAGAAGGGGTTGTAACTGGCCTGACCTGAATCAGGTGTAACAGAGATCAGCTTGAGCAGGAGGGATGAGATTGTAAAGACAAAAAAAGTAAAAAAAAAAAAAGTTTGCAGATGTTTGGAAGTGTTTTTGCCGGCTGTTATCAGCTTTAATATCTCCATACTGTTGGGTCTACATTCAGTTCACAGAGCAGCTTACATGACTGTAGATTTGAAGTCTCGTTAGGTTACAGAAGGTTTATATATTGGATTTTTTAATTTTCATATTTGAATAATAGATACAATAAACTCAAATGTAAAATGTTTTCTTAAGACTTGGGTTCTGTCAGCCCCTTTGGTGCTTGACTGGACTTGAATATCTTCAGTCTTTTCAAACTGTATGTCTTGTTTGTACTGGCTCTCAGTTTTGTTTTTAGTTGTCACGGCAACGAATCTGGTGTGTACGCCGTAAGCAGCAGTGACATTTTAAAGTATCCAAATAAAAAGAGCGACTTTATGCCTTTTGTGTGTGAGCCTCTGGGAAGGATTAGACGGTCTGACTGCAGTGTGATGCAAGAGTAAATTTGGACTTGTTTCCTGGAAAGATCAAAAAGAGACTCAGTCGATATAATTTTCATGCCTGTGTTCTGGCAAAGCTTGTGCTTTCTTTGACGTCACGAGGATGCAATTTTTGAACACAGCGTGGGATTCCTCCTGAAGAATAACAAACTGGTGAACCCGTGCTGCCCCTGCCTTCTGGGACGGGCTGAAACAGGATAAAAATAGCAACAAGTATTGGACTTTGTTTTCCCTGCTGTTCAGAGTTTATTTCATAACCACCTCTTTGGCTTTCTTCCTTCCTTTTATGTTCCTAACATGAGTCTAGAGACAACAGAGAACTATATGTTTGGTGATTGTTTGAATCATAACCACAAACTTATTTGGCCCAGATCTGAGCTCTGCCTCCTTTCATAGAAAACCAACATGGTTTGTCTTCCCTTTATCTATCTTTGTCTGCCTCCTACTTCTCTCCTCTCTTTTTCCATCCTCCTCTCCTCCTCCGGTTTTATCCCTGACAATCTTGTCTCTATTCTGGGCCTGCTTCTCAGGAAGGAGTGAGACGTGACGTTCTCTGACAGCTTCCATGTACACTTATCTCTTTAAGCTTGCCCAGAGCTCTATCCCCTTTTTAGCCTCAGACGGACTCTGCAAGTCAGCTCTGAAGAACAGCCCCAGCCATGCGATCCTTCCTAAAGAGGCTAATGTCATTAAGCGCTGTATTACATCACTGACAGTAATTATAACAATCCCCGCTGCCCTGGAAACTGTACCTAGAAATGGACCACATGCCTTTTATTATCAGATTGGGTTGTTTAAGGAGAAATGACTTTTAAGAATTTGTCTTGTTCAGCCCCATGACTCTTGACCATCATTTTCTGACACCGTTGACCTCACCTACATCTCAAACTGCATCATTGTTTACCCACCCGTCCACCGAGAAAACACAGACCTACTCTTTTAATTTACAACAGGCACAGTATGACGTTTGATCAGCTGCATTAGCACAATTCACTGCACTGTTGACTCATACCTGGTGGTAGCATTTTATTTCAGTCCAAGGTCCACCAGCTGCCCCACATATCTTGAATAAGGTCAGAGGAAATCCAACAGACGGGATGTGAGGACTGGGATGAGCACCAGTAAGAACATGTGATTGTGTGCTGGAATCAAAATGACATTTTATTGACCCCAAGCAGCCCAAATTTCAATTCGGTTTTTAATTCTTGCCTGTCAATAGTCAGTGTCTTCAGCTTGAACCTTGTTTTTATGATGTAAGATGTTATGTGAGGAAAAAGGAAGATCTTTCAGTTGGCTTTGCAGAGCACTTAGAAGTTAATCTCTAATAAGCATATCTCTGAGTTGAGAGGGACTGTTGCTACAACATTTTCGTTGTGTATAGCAGCATGTTGATGGAGCCTGCATACCTTAAAGGGTAAAAATAACACAATGTCTGTTTTTTTTTTTTTTTCTGCCTGTAGGTATCACGTGGGGGAAAGTGGTGTCCATGTATGCAGTAGCAGGAGCCCTGGCAGTGGACTGTGTCCGACAAGGCCATCCAACCACTGTCCACATTTTAGTGGACAGTCTGGGCCAGTTTGTTCGCAAGTTTCTGGCTCCGTGGCTGAAGAGAAGAGGGGGATGGGTAAGTGGCCTCTGCTGTATAATCAAGTTTCTTGTATATTTGTCTTTTGGTTTCTAAGATATTTTGGGTTAGAAAAAGTTATGTGAACCAGGATGACATTTAAGTTGAAAAGAGTGGAAAACCACTGCTACAGAATTCTCATCTTTGAGCTCTTCTGGCCTGAAACTTTGTCATTTTTCTACAGTACTGTGGTGTAATTTTGCCTTATCCAATACAGAGGTTTGCAGACAAAACAGTTTTCTCTGAGTTATCTGAACACACATATTTTTAGTTTGGAAACTCATGGACTTGAGTTATTTTAGTCTTACATAGAACATACTTGTCAAACAAACCAGGAATGCTTTGGTTTTCTTAAAGCTAATTTGGGAACAGAGTGGGAACCCAGAGACAAAAATAAAAGGCTAAACAGTTGAGGGTTTTAGCATTTGTACTGTGACTTTAGCATTCAGCCTAGAGCATATGTAGGATCCTAAAAATGACCCCTTGTATGTCTCCTTCTGAGGAGTTTTTTTTTTGAAGTATGGATTGTCTTTTTGTTATACACAGTTTTTGTCAACGCCCCTTTTTTCCACGACTAGACGTGACATTGACATTTAAACATAAGTCTTAGATGACTAAAATGTGACGAGACGAATGTGCGTTTACATTGACGAGACGAGACTAGACGAAAATGTTAGTGGTGGACGATGAACAGGGTTGCAAAATTCATTAGCATTTCGTCAGTCAAACGCTAAACATATATTCTCGCAGACACAAAACAATGAGCACCGAGAGAATTCAGTCAGATTTAATATTTAACCGTCTGAGAGTTTAGTCTGAATTTAGCCTGAAGGAAGAACAACAGGAGGGAGAGGAGGAGTGTGTGTGAGAGAGAGAGAGAGAGAGAGAGAGAGAGAGAGAGAGAGAGAGAGAGAGAGAGAGAGAGAGAGAGAGAGAGAGAGAGAGAGAGAGAGAGAGAGAGAGAGAGAGAGAGAGAGAGAGAGAGAGAGAGAGAGAGAGAGAGAGAGAGAGAGAGAGAGAGAGAGAGAGAGAGAGAGAGAGAGAGAGAGAGAGAGAGAGAGAGAGAGAGAGAGAGAGAGAGAGAGAGAGAGAGAGATGTTTTCGGTGGTAATTTTTACCTCATCATACATTCGTTGTTAAACTTGGTTTCTGACACTTTCCTGATTTCTGACACCTACCTCTTAAACTAATCTGCATAAAGAAGATAACAGCAACCATACCATGATTATTGATCCAGTATCTCTTAAGTTGTTGAGTACCATAGGAACCTTGGATCACATTTCTTTGTAAACATACTGGCGTTTTAACATAGTGTATAGGCCAAAGCAAAAAAAAAAAAAAAAAAAAAAGACTTTAGCTTAGCACAGCTGCTTGTAGGGCTGGGCGATATGGCCTCAAATCAATATCAGGATATATTAAGCAATTCACCTCGATAATGATAAATGGACAATAACTACTCCACAAGCTGCTCACCCCCTCCCACATTAACTTTGTCTACTTCAGCCGCCGCTCCAGCCGCTACAACTTTTGAACCCTCCTCCATTTCCTCACCTGTCTTTCCCTCTTTGTTATGGACTGGAACGGGGGGGGAGTCACGTCCATGACGTAGGGCAGCATCTTAAAGGGACATGAAACCATAGCTTACCTACACACATCCAAAACCAACTTTTATTTAGAAATTTTTTTGGACACCAAATATACCGATATGGGCAAAATGACATTGGTTATTGTCATAAATTTCAGTATCGGTAAATTTCGGTTTATCGCCCAGCCCTAGATGCTTGGACTCATGTTGCTTACTTACTGCAGGTCCTTCTGGGGTAAATTTTCCCAATATTTGATTGCGGCTGCTTTTGCCACCATGAATTGTGTATCATTTACCATCACTTTCTGACCAACCTCAACATCCAATTTATAAATTCCATAACTAATGATATCACTGCACACACTCATCTCTTAGGTTTAGCAGCTGAGTACAGTATGTCATTTTCGGGGTGGATTGTAGAGGCGAGCTGTCACCAGTGTTACCCTCCTCTTCACTGTCACACTGATGGAGCCCAATGTTTCCCATATATAGACGTGAAGCTGGAAGGAGAGTGAGCAACTCTCTGTCCACTTAATGGTGAAGCTCAAATTTGGCAGAAGTGACACAAGTGTTAGTATCTTTAATACAACTTCCTTCCTGGAGCCAGTCAGCTAAAGCAGCCGGTGCAGATAAAACAACACTCTCATCCCCCCTCCTGTGTGATGGCGCCACACATCTGAGAAAAGACCGACTTTACCTCCTTTTAAATTTGATATCACAACATGGTTTAACACAGAAACATTATCATGGTTTTTATTCATGGTAGTCTGATCTATTTGTTTTATGTTTTTATCAGGTGGAAATAACAAAGTGTGTGGTGAAAAAGGATCTAATGCCTGAGCAGAACTGGCTATCCACCAGCATTGATTCCTTAAAGTATTTCCTCACAACGGTGTACGTCTACATCATGAAGGAGCAGTGAAGAGACAAGACCAAGCATGCAGGAGTCACCATTGTTATTGTCTGACACGAGATTATAAACAATGAGGTGGAAGGCTAATCTTGAAGAGAGACCGGACCTGCCAGCAGATCTCAGTCTGTCGCTGAATGCCCATCAAGGACTGTTTCATCAGCATCATGTTTGTGTTATGTTGATGTGTGAGAAGTCTGACGGTGATTGTTCTTCATCCAGAGAGCAGTCACGCTGATATTTAAGAGCATCAGTCCGCCTCTTTGGCGTTTATTACAGCTGTGTACTAAACCCGTCTTCTGCAGTGATGTAACTGTAATGTATGATGGTGTTCAGATTGTTTGCACTCCTGAGATTAACTATTTGATGCTTTCATGTAATGTTTGTCTCAGACTATAAACCTGAAGGAGCTGGCCGTGTCTCTCTGACACGAGTTCAAACTTGAGAGTAAATGTTTGTATAAACTGGTTACACCTCATGGGTGTGAAACGTAACTGCTATTGTACTTAACCAAAGCACTAACAGTGTCACTATCCAAATATAACCATGATTCGTTCAACTCTCAGATGCAGCTTAACACACCTTTCACCAGGAAAAGTCGTCACAATTTGCCCGTTTTTGGCCAAAGAACAGAAGGACAGATAAGTGGTGTGTGATGCATCCACACATACTGGAGGTGTTGATTTTCTTTTTAATCTGTAAATAATTTATGATTTTATTTTTTTATGTCAATGAATTTTAACAGATAAAGCCGCTGCAGTATGAAGACAGAGCGATTGTTTGGTATGCCTGATGGTTGTCACTTTCAGAGTGTTAATTTATAAATGTGTCTGAATGTTTTTTATGAAACTCACAATAAACTGAAAGTCTGCACCCACGGACAGTTTTATTATTTGTAAAATATGGTGGCACTGACCTGACCAGACCTTTCCTAATTTCACATACCCATGAGAAATTCTTCATGTTCACCATAGACTGTATATACTATGGACCAGTGGTTTTCAAGTCCAGTCCTCGAGCCCCCTCTGTCCTGCATGTTTTGGATGTTTCTCTCCTCCAACACACCTGATTCAAATGATCAGCTCGTTATTAAGCTCTGTAATGGCTAAACGAGCTGATCATTTGAATCAGGTGTGTTGGAGCAGGGAAACATCCAAAACATGCAGGACGGGGGGGCCTCGAGGACTGGACCTGAGAACCACTGCCTATGGACAACTTGGTTCCGCCTCCCGCCTGTATACGGAGGCAGGGAGGCAGACAGCGTCCATTCTATATACAGTCTATGATGTTAACCCTTGAGGACAGAGGAACACAAGTACAGTCTGAAAAAAGTCAACAAAAGTAAACATGGTGGAATATTTTTATTTCTCTTCTGTGCCATCATCTCCATTCATATGTGTGACCCTTTCAACTCACAGTACAGTTTGTAAAAATTAAGACATATCTTGAAGTCAGATTATAGATTTAAGCACTCCCCTGCTCAGCCTTACCTGATGGTGAAGCGATGGTGACCCTCAATGACATGAAGCACCTGTGATGCGTAAGCATGATCCTCCATTTTTCTAGTTTGTACTTTCAAAAACTTCAATCAGTGCAAATTATTTTGCTCAAAACAACAACTCAACAATTTTTAAACACTTTCAAATATATTCCATATTTTTATATGCCATACACAGTCACACTAATACTCAGGATAACAGACTTTTTGTGATACAATTCACAATTTAAACATAGTGCAATGGTTTTAGAAGCACAGCAGCTATTTTTGCTTTCAATTTACAGTAGTGCAACGTTTGACAAGAATACACTGAACTTGACCTTATCTGAGCTTAACAAGCTCTGCAGCACCATCATTACATCATTACTGTGCTAACATAGCACAAGCAGTGGCATACAGTTGTTGACACTTCGTGGATAAACATAATCCTAGTGTTAAATTTCATGTACGGTTTTCAATTTTTAGGTTCTTGTGGAGTTTCAGACATTTAGCTGATTTTCCAGAGAGTGGGTCTCATTTGATTTGTCACATGAATTTGTAAAACCGTGCGCTGGTTCACATTCCAGCCATTGGTTGATCCCTGTTTCACCAATCTGTAGGGAGTGATATTGAATCACAATCGCACCAAAGAAAAGAAAGGAGAGTGGAAGCTACTGAAGATGGATGTTAACAATGTAGCCTTTCACATATATTACCTATGGACATCAGAATTGTCCCCATTTCCCCCACACCATTATTTTTAAAAACTGTTTATCTTTGATTGATTATATAATGATCTGAATCAAATGTGATTATTTTTGATCAAGCCTTTTTTTGGCACAATTCCTCTTTCTTTACATAATTATTTCTCCATAAAGGAACCTGATGAGTCAAGATGACCGACGGTAGGTGATGTGCAAGTGCTGCATCAGTGGCTGGTTGTCAGTTGCCATGGAAACTGTCTGCTCCAGCCTCCCATCTGGTCTGAGCTGAAACACTCGAGAAATCTGAAAGAATAAAAGAGCAGGCGAGGTCGCTTTTTCACGGATCCAAACAAGTTTCAGAAGAAAGTTATGACATTTTGTGGGCAGTATACATAATTATTATTTTTCATTTCAGTGAATTAAGTCATCAATGAATATTCATGATGAGCACATGATGCAGCATCTGAGAGTTGGTATAACCTGCTGTACATGCGGCTCCCTGGCAAAAGACGTTCTTGCCAAAGCCTGGCTCTGCAGGTTCAGCTGCTTATCTGTGAGCTCTCCCTCCTCAATCTCCACCAGACCTGAAACAAAAACACTGGGTTCAATATGAGTGCAAATAGTGTGTGTTTGTGTAGACGAAGCAGTGAGTCAGGGGTTATAAACTAATTCTCAAGAAAATTCAATGCCAGTGTAGTCATAGTTGAAAAAATAAATAGTGTTTCATTTAAATTGGAAATCTCCTTTTAATGAGAAAATCACTAATAAGGGATTCTTTTACCTAAAGTGTAAAAACAGACTGAAAAAGAAAAAAAAAAGAAAAAAAAAACAGACCTGAACAGGTGTGTAGTCAATCAACTACAGGTTCAAAACATGATGTCAATTCATATCAAGCTTTACTACACAGCATCTGCACAGTAACCTTTTGTAATTTCCTCAAAATGTCAAAAATGCAAACGTTACCTACCTGAATTCTGCGCGATGATGAACGCCACTTTGTTGGTCCCTGGCTGGATTCGGATGAAGCCACTCTCTCGATGCAGAGGCTTCTTAGTCTCTGCATTATAAGCACAGAACCTGCCAAGCACAGAAAGAAAGAGGGCAAACCGCATGTGTTTAACAAGCACAGTAGCTGCGTCTTTAACATTGTTTTCTTAGCTTATGAAAGAGTGACAAAGGCTGCAAAAACCTATGAGGAAAAAAAATAATCTTATGAATACATCTTATTGTTAGCTGCCAGCGTTTGAAACTGTCCCACCCTCTCTAAGTCTTGCTTTTGCTGACCTCCAGTGGTTAAACTCCTCATCAACTCCTGTGGTTAAAGGTGGAATAAACTGTTTACTCAACCATACAGATCAGTAATGCCGGGTGTGGTGGGGCTGTGAACCAGACTTTAACATTTGGGCCATATTAGTAGGATCCACAGTAAAATCTATGTATGATTATCAATATTTGTGGGATTGGTTAGCAGTTATATTGAAGGATTATAATAACTTTAAAACAAGTTTTGTAAAATAACCTACATGAAGTTGATGACTGGTTGGCCCACATGGCTGAAGTTCAGTGTCTCTGTGTAGTGGAAAGGTTTTATGGTGGGAAAACAGCCCTCCCCGGGTTCGTCTGACTCCCAGGTGCCCAGAAGCCAGTCTAGAGGAAGCAGGCCCGGATTCAGCTCCACTGATGGTTCAACAAATAACACACAGAAACAGTTTATCATCAAGTGACATTTTTATAGAATGAACAAGAGACTCATTTTACCACAAATTTTAACATTGACCCCCAGCTAAAGAAAAATTATGTGGTGCTGTTGAAAAATAACAACAGAGTTTAATGTTTTACACAGTGAGGTAAAATGTACTTTTTTACACAGCATAGTATGATCTGGATTTTAGTATATGCACTAATTCAGCTTTGAAAACCTCAGGGAAAAAAGCCTGGACGGAATTATTGTGACCACTTTATTAATGACACAAATCTTTTTTTGAGTTGTTAATATCATTAAAGGATAGGATATGTAAGTTCAGGCATTAATAATTCAAATAAATTCTCCCTTGTCATAAAAGTGTGTCAGTAAACAGGCATGCACAAATCCAAGATATCAAAATCTGGCCACTATTTATTATTATTGATAACTGCATAGTACCAAAGCTTTTGAAGGTTTAACATTCAAAAGAACAGAATCTTTTAAGTGAATGTACTGAACCGAATCACTTCCTCCAGTGATTTGTTCGTTTCTCACTTCAGTTGAGCTGAAGTGAGAAACAGCATTGCCAGGCCAGCAGCCGGCGAACGAGGAATAATTTTTGTCGGACAAAACTTTTTTTTTTTTCACTGCTAAATTGCCACCACAACAACTTGCATACATTAAACCCGCAGCATCCTATCACTGCAGCGGTTTGCGGGGGAATGGTGCATGTTCAGTGTGAAAACTTATAAACGTTCAGTGAACGAATCACTCACTAAGCCCATTTTACTGAGCAGACCTGATAAATGGCATACAATAGGACAGTACACTTAAAACATCATGACTTTTGCCAAAGCGACACAGCCAAACACTCTTGTCTTCCAGTCCCAGAAACTATGAATTGAACTGAATCCTGAAACGTTCAGCTGTGTATCAGTTCAGGAGGTCGGGGTTGCAGGCCTCTCCTGCCAAGCGTTAAGTGATTCGGTGATTTGGTGAACCAATCTTTTGAACAAATCTTTTTAGTGAATTGATTCTAGTGATTCAGTACATCTAAAAGAACTGCCGTGCCCATCACTAGTCTGTGGTTCCTGTTAGGCTTTTGGGAAATGAGGAACATACAAACAGTTGTATGGAAGTGACAACTAACAAAAGAGACAAATACAAGCAAAACTAACAGCAAAACAGTGTTACATAAGCAGCCACATAGAGACAGTAAAGCGAGCATCGACAATGTGTACTTATTAAGAAATAAACAACCTATGGCTTTGTTTTAGTGATGTAAACTATGTAGTCAGGTTATGTTTTATTTCTGACGGTAGGGTATTCCTAATCTGTGGGCCTCCTATTAAGAAAAAGGACTGGTGAAATACTGTGGGGCGGTTTGCCAGTTTACAGCCTCTTAAGCTCCTTCACTGGATTACATTTCAATCATCTGACTGACCAGCTCTAAGGCAAGGCAATTCTCAAGCTTCAAAACAGTTTTATATAATGAGAAATGTACAAAGTTGTTGAAGCTAAATGAATCATACTTTGATCACAACTTAACAGCTTGGAAAGAGCACAGAAAACAGTCTCTGACTTGGACACTAGGTGGCAGTAATGCTGCAGTCTGATGTAAATTTGGCAGAAATCAGAAGAAGACCATACTGAGTTTACAGGAGGTGACTGATTCACACCACACTCTTATCTAGAACCTAAATTTGTGCATGTAGGACGAAGTTAATGCAGTTTTCTTTCATTATCCACCAACTAAGTATAACAAACAGACTTTTTTGACAATTTATAGTAATTAACTTGAACGTTGTTACATTATTTCGCCTGTACAAACAGAGCAGTGACTAGTCTGTGGTCACCTTGACGCTGCAGTTAGCTAACTTCACCTGATTTGACACAGTTTCAGTAAACCTTTACAACATCTAGACGTCACCGTCATCCTACCTGTGTGATCTACAGGACACGCCATCTCTACATCAAACTGTGGTCAACGAGCAAACCTGGAAAAAATAGGATTAAGCCGGGCGGAAATATCACATTAAGTGTTTCTAAATTAGTAGTTGCACTGCGACTGTGTTGATGCGTGACGTAGGTTTTTTTTATACGCAGTAGATTAGAGGAGGGCATTATGGGAAATGTAGTTTTTAAGTAAGAAAGACAGTTGGGCCTTACTTACCCTGAATGTGCTGTAGGTAAGTGACGCTAATCGTAACAGACTTGCATTTAAACGGAAATAAATGATTCCTGTGACCACATAATGATGCAGAATGTGTGATAAATTAAAGCACACTTTATTGACATTTTCAGTGCACTCAGTGTGGACCATAACATGACAGTATCCACTCCTTTATTTCAAAACAAGCAAGACAAGCATGTAAACTGCGTTTTGTACAATCGCTACAATCATAAACAGCAGGAATGAACCCTGGAATATAGAATATAGAATAATATAATGAACTTATCTATTGAATGTATTCTTTGATTCCCTTTTGAATGAGTTAAGGGTCAGTAGTGAGGGATTGTGCTCTCTTAAGCCTTGCTCTTTTTGCAGTTCTTGAGTGCATCTGCCAGGGCGTGCAGTGCCATGTCAGCATTAGCCGTCTCACAGTTGTATCCCATCAATCCGATCCTCATCACCTAATGAACAGAGAGGTGAAAAGTACAGAACATCAGAGCCAGCAGTGACTCAGCAGCATTAATCAGAGACTAATCTCATCACATGGATCTTGCTGTAGCTGTTCGTGTCTGCTTGGTGAGTGTTAAAATTAGGAGTAGTTTGGTTATTTTTGCATTAAAACATTCATTCTTTCCATCATGATTCTTCACTTTGCAGCAGCAGCAGCTCACCATGCCAATGGAAGGACCCAGGCCTCCAGTCATCTCCATCTGGTGGTGTTTCATGATGTAGGCCAGCAGCTCCCTCCAGTCATAGCCTTCAGGGATGGCGATGGTGGTGACAGAAGGAAGCCTCAAGTCCTAAATGACGTGAAACAAAAGGACAATGTCTTTGCTGTTTTGAAGCACAATGGGAAATTGTCACTCAAGATGTCTTCCTGTGTATGTCTCACCCTATCGGGGATGAAGAGTTTGAGGCCCAAGTCTTCCAGTCCTCTGTACAGGTAGGCTGCCACCTCCTTGTGTTTCCTCCAGGACTCCTCCAACCCCTAGAGGGCAACAAAGATCCATGGAGTTTAGGGATAATCAGTCAAGAGGGGCCATCATGCAAACTCAAGTCTATTTAAGGGAAATTCAATGAGACTAAGTCCATCTTTTTAGTCTACAAAAGTTCTTTCTCAAGAGAGATTTTGTGGTTGTATAGAAGTAATTTGGCTGTAGTAATGATATGGAGAGCCTAATGACAGCTCACAGTTTGAAACCTCCACCAAACATCCAGATGTGGAGAAGGCACTTGCAAAAGAAACTTTCCAAATCTGAGTTAGAGAAACCACAAAAGCTATGGAGAGACTTTTACCTTCTCAGCGAGGATTGCCAGACTCTCCCTCAGGGCAAAGAATCCAGACACAGGCCCAGTGTGGTGGTATCTTTAACCAAGAGCACACAAGATCAGATGTTGTTCAAAAACAGAATAACTTTATAATAAAATGACTCTTTTGGGCCTTTCCAGTACAATGCTACATCTAGGACTCATCTTTTGTTATTATATTCAAGCTATTAAGTGTTTCAGTAAAATGAAGAGAATGATAATACACTTACGCTCTGGCTGGTTTGCCATCACAGCCCCAGTAGTTGGACAAATGTGTCATATCAAAGAGATAAGACACTGGTTTTGTTTTCCTATTAAACATCTTTTGGCTGTGAGGAACAGAGAGATACTTTCTTTAACAACTTGTCTGTTTTGTTTCTTCACAATTGAGCACTATATCACAGACACCTGCATGCAGAAACACTCCTCACCATGCTCTGTCATTAAAGGAGATAGGTGCTGTGCCAGGAGGTGCATTCAGGGCCTTCTGAGAGCCAGTGTACAGGATGTCAATATCTGCGAGTGTAGTGAGAAGAAGGATTAATCTCATAAAAGTGTGAAATAGTTGGTTGACAAAATGTAACTTGCAACCTTTGTCTTACTTTGCTTGTCCATAAAAATTGGTGCCGCTCCAAGAGATGCAACTGTGTCAACCAGGAAGAGGCAATTATGTCTGCAATAAACATGACAGTCAACAAGGACAGAGATATTTTGTATTCAGATAAAATCATTGTGGTGTGTTTGATGCTCACTTTCGACAGATGTCTCCAATTCCATCTACTGGGTGACAGAGTCCAGCAGAGGACTCTCCATGTGTGAGGAAGAACAAGACAGGCTTGTGTTTGGCCATGGCCTAAAAATGAACACCAGATTTGTCTTTTTGTTGTGCTCACTCCTGTTTTATCATATTTATTTGACATGAGATGAGTTTTTTTTTTCTTGTGTTGCTTTGCGGACGTACCTGTTCAATTTCCTCATTGCTGAAATACCCCCCAGGTGTTTTTACCATTGTATGTACATTGGCACCTAACCAGAGAGATAAATTAGATTAGTAGACTGACACAGTAAGTGTTTGTAGCTGTTTTAAACCCTAGGAACCCGTGCGTAAAACCGTGCGTAAAGACGTACCCATTCTCTCTGCGATTTCTGCAACGCGCTCTCCCCAGATTCCGTTGATGGCAACGAGCACGCTCTCTCCGGGCTCCACCGTGTTAAAAACCGCACACTCCATAGCCGCGTGCCCCGAGCCGCTCATTGCTATCGTCATGTTGTTCTCTGTCTGAAATGCGTAATGGATCCCCTTTTTGATGTCATTCATGATCTGAGAAACAAAAGGAGAAGTCATTTTTAACCAAATCCATCAGGTAATGGTCTGTTTGTTTCTGCTGGTTTGTGCAGATCGAAGATTTTGTACAGTTACGCAAAACTGATGATCTTGACCTGGCCCCATGAACACTATCGGGAACAGAAACCAATTATCATGCAAAAATGAATCAAAACAGAAAACTGATATGTGTTTGACATCTCTGAACTATTAGAAATGGTGATTCTATGTTCCAAGCTTAATTCGAATATGAACTTTTAATTCAGGAAAAGTACCACAGTACTTTAGTTAGGACCCTTATTTTCATTTTGTAGCTTATTTTGCATTTAAGACAGAGCACTTACCGTGTACATTTCTGGATGCAGGTGACCAATTATCGGCCTGCCTCCCGCAGCCAAGATACGTGGAGGGACGTTTGAGGGCCCCGGTCCGAAGAGGTAGCGCAGGGGGGCCTCCAGTGGCCGCAGCATGCAGGCCGGCGGTGGGATGGTGACGGAGGACATGGAGCGATCCAAGCGCAGCAGCAGCGGCGCGCTTCTAGCTGTCAGCGGACTGTCGAGGGCCGCTGCTGCCTGGGCGAGCAGCGCGCTCCTGCCAAACAAAGCCCGCTGCATCACGGCCAGAGGTGTTCCTGAGAAGCCTGCACAGAGAGATGAGCGCACAGACTGAGCTCGACTGTGAGTTTTGGGTGAAGATTTAAAACAAACAGGTCTTTGACCTGTTGGCCACACAGTGTCTGTGCCTCCCCTTATTACTAACCCTGCCCTTGACTTCAGGCAATAAGGGACACAATGGCATGTCAGGTTATAGGTAAGGTGAAAAGTGTGTTAATCAGTAGATTTTTGGTAAAACCTTTGCAACATTAACATAGTAGATGTTATATTTTTATCCAGGCAAAACAGTGTCTGCACTGAAAATGTCTTTAACAGATAAGATTAAAAACAGAAAACTTCTCAGGCCCTTATTTGACTATTTACAAAGTTAGGCCAGTATAAAATTCATCAGAGCCGATTCTGACACAATTATTCGACTGTTTATCCATCAGAATTGGTATGTGTAACACATTTCCGTTCCTGATCAACAACACTAAAACCTTTGACCTCTTTTGAAAAAGTGAGCATATGCACTTTGCAGCTTAGAACTGGTTCAGGTCAGTTGGAAGGCGGCTTTGTTGATTTTGTCTGCCTTTTCAGTGACAGCGGTGTTACGTTTGTAAAGAGGAGTCTCCTCTCAGGGAGCCAATCTGCTCTCTCTGCAGAGGACAAGAGGGGACAGGCCAAAAAAAAAAAAAAAAAAAAAACCTCACACACCCACCGTTACACACACACACATAAACACATAAAAAACACACACACATTTACACATCAGCACTTACTGTTATGTAACTGAATTGTTTTTGCCTTTTTCCTTTGTGTCATATAATCACCTCCGAGGTTTTTACCCATGAATATACATAGATGGTTTTTAGATGTTTCCATAATCATTAACAAAGTTGTGTAAAAATGCAGATTGAGTCAAAATCCAGTAAGAGCAGTGGGTGGACTGAGCCAATGAGAGAGTCGGATAGACGTACAGGCAGAGTATATCATAACGCCATAACTTTGATTGTAATACAGATTTTACATTAATTATACCCAACAATTAAAAAAGTGGTTAACATACTACAAATGCAAGTGATAAAACCTAAAAGAGTGGAGATGCAGATGTGTGTTTATAATGAGAAGTTACGGTTGTTTACTTTTGGTCACTAAATGCCCCCAAATATGTGTTTTTTCATGGCCAAACAAACACATTATGCAACAGTCAGTCAATATTATTCGTGACAGGGAAAACACAGGGTCACGTAGGAAGCTTCATTCAGATCAGGTCTTCAATGTTAAAAATTGAAAGCTATAAAAGTGACTTGAAACTGTACATCAATATTTACATCAAGCTTTTACTTCTGTTTAGCTCTAGCCAACACCCTTTGTTCTCTGTAGAGACATCCTCACTCCAGAAAACACAGTTTTTATCAATAAACTCAAGAGGTGACAGTCATTTGAATTCTTTAGCCTTTTGACAGAATAAGTGCAGTCTCATGATTTTTCCAACATGTCGACGTTAGCAGGACAACCAGAAGGTGCCCCTCTTTCAGGCAGGCTGAGTAAATGATTACACCTCTGGTAAATACATGGGGCTAGTTGATGGCCTTTGCCCTGAACTGAAACTCAAAATCTAATCGAGAGGAGGGGCCGGGGGTCCAGAGAAAAAGAGACACAAGTATATCCTCAGGGAGGTGCAATAGAGCTCACGAGTACACCCTAAAAATAGGATTTTAATGAGAAGGCCATTGGTGTTAATTCTTTTCCTTTACGCAACAAAAGGATTATCTTTATTATAATTAAAGGCTTAATAGTAGATTTACCTTAATCATGACTTTTAAATATGAGGTCTATGTATTTGAAATCTACAATCACCAGTTCTAATAGATCTATAGTTCACAGCAGGCAGTTCATTATACTTATCACCACTGTGTCACATAAGGTGATCTGCTAATTGTCATCATGTGTGGATGAAATAGCTGAATTATGACAAAATCCCAATATTATGACATCCCTGTGGAGAAAGTGTTCGCTCATTTTGTCCTGTATATGTGAATTTAGTGTTTCTTTCTCTTAAAACAAACACTTCTCATTGAGGATCTTTGCAGGAAAACATGAAAAAATATAAGAAGCTACATTAGCAACTTGAACTTGTTCCTTTGTCTGACTCCCAGCCCACACCAGTGAACTCAGACTCCATAAATTTCTGTTCTTACTGATGCTTTTCCTCAATAGGCCATAGAGATATTTCAGAATACCAACAGTCTGTTTGACATTCAGCTAAAATCTCCTGACAGAAGCTTTAAGAGTCTAAAGGTTAATAGGAATTAACAACTTTGATTAGAAAATTTCAAAGCCCACTCGCTGCTTTGTTATGACCTTGTGACAAATCACATGGGTACACATGGAGGTGAATCATGGGACATAAAAGTTTGGCTTGATTTTTTTCAGTCAGCCTGGAATAAGCTGTGAACGTGCTCTGTGTGCAATATTTTAGCTGTTACTCTCAAGCAACTGGCCTCTGAATTATACTGTTACCTCTGAACTAAACACAGTTTTGTTACTTAAGTTAATTATTTTGACTCTTATCTAAACACAGATACAGTGCCTTGAAAAAGTATTCATACCCCTTGAACTTTTTCACATTTTCTTGCTCTACAACCACAAACTTAAAAGTATTTTTTTGAGATTTTTTGTCATAGACCAACACAAAGTAGCACATAATTGTGAAGTGGAACAAAATGATACATGACGAAAGGCATCACCACAGCATTAGATTGCCACCACCATGTTTCACAGTGGGGATGGTGTGTTCAGGGTGATGAGCAGTATTACTTTACCACCACACATAGCGCTTTGCATTCAAGCAAAATTGTTCAACTTTGGTTTCATCTGACCAGAGCACCTTCTTCCACATGTTTGCTGTGTCCCCTACATGGCATGTGGCAAACTGCAAACAGGACTTTTTATGTCTGTCTGTCAACAATGGCTTTCTTCTTGCTACTCTTCCATAAAGGCCAGATTTGTGGGGTACACGACTTATAGTTGTTCTGTGGACAGATTCTCCCACCTGAGCTGTGGATGTCTGCAGCTCCTCCAGAGTGACCATGGGCCTCTTGGCTGCTTCTCTCACCACTGCTCTCCTTGCTCGGTCTGTCAGTTTAGGTGGATGGCCATGTCTTGGTAGGTTAGCAGTTGTGGCGTACTTCTTCCATTTTTGGATGATGGATTGAACAGTGCTCCTTGAGATGTTCAAAGCTTTGGCTATTTTTTTTATAACCTAACCCTGCTTTAAACTTCTCCACAACTTTTCCCCTGACCTGTCTGGTGAGTTCCTCGGTCTTCATGATGCTCTTGGTTGGTTGACTAGTGTTCTCTAACAAAGCACTGAGGCCTTCACAGAACAGTTGTATTTATGCTGATACTAAATTCCACACAGGTGGACTTTATTAACTAGTTAGGTGACTTCTGAAGGCAGCTGATTACACTGCATTTTATTTTAAGGGGTATGAGAGTACAGGGGGCTGAATACAAATGCACACCACACTTTTCAGATTTTTATTTGTTTAAATTTTTGAAAAACATGTATCATTTTCATTCCACTTCACAATTACGAGCTACTTTGTGTTGGTCTATGACAAAAAATCTCAATAAAATACTTTGGGGCCTCAATAGTTGGAACATTAACAGCTCTTTCACAGCAGAGTTTCTATAATGTGGTTTTATCCTCATGTAAAGCAACTGAGTGGATCTTGTGGACTTGGCTTTTTTCTGCCACTCTGCAGCTCTGTGTTACTATATTTGAGATAAAAGTTCGTTTGGGTCTTGCTGAAGACCTCTACTCTTCTATTTTCGCCCATATTTGAGGCCTGTTATGGTGTCCCTCCCCCTCCTCCCCCTCTGCTGTGAGTGTGTCTGCGCTGCTGCATCTCTCTGCCTGCGGATGATGCTGATGCTGATGTCATCACCGCCTCCCAGCATCCCTGCCACAGCAGCACCGCCATTTTCCCCTCACTTCAGAACCACCACAACTGCTGGAGCATCCCGCACCTATCCACCCTGTTTATGAATCTGACTCCACCTTCCCCCTCCACCCCTCTACCCCCTGTCTCCCACTCTCGTCTGTGACTGACGCACCGCTGCGTTCACAGCTCGCGCCCACCCAGCGCCGCTGCTGCTGCTGAAGCTGAGACTCAATCCCTCTCTCTCTCTCTTCTCCGGCGGATTCTCCATGTATGGATGCGCTAAGGAGAAGGATGCTGTAGGCTGACCAGAGACAGAGAGACGTACACTAAAAAACACCGAGAACATTGAAGAGGGAGGGAGCGGAGGATTCTGCTTTTGAATGGACAGAGGAAGATTCACCCTCTGCGGTCGTCGAGTGTGAGCTGCTGAGGTAAGAGATGGCTCCTTTGGTGTTTGTCGCTGTTTACGCGTGTCACGCCTTGATGAAGACAGTAGGTTAGGTGTGTGTTGTGTTGTGTTGTGTTGTGTTGTGCGCTTGTTATGTCGAGGCCTTTCTGTGCGCTCAAGGAGAGAAATTGGATCGTTGCGGCACGCTGTTGGATGCCTTCATTTCGTCGCTGTCAAAAACTGGCTGTTAAAAATTTCTCTTTTCCATCTTTACAGAAACGGCACCCAGAATAAATACGATCAAAATGTCGGCTTGTGAGAGCTGTTAGTGATATATTAGACTGAATAATGCTCGCTGACCTCTTTCTGACGCAGTGTTTGATGGTTCTGTGTTTACGCGGCCTGTATTTGAGGTGCGGCAGGCGAGGGAAGATGGAGACAATATTTACATGGCTGCACCGCAAACGCCTGCGCACGTTTCCTTCCATTTATGTGTAACCTTAAAGATAACATCGTGTGTAAACTTGATTTAGTTGAATTTATCATAATTTTCATCGACAGAGTCTGAGAGGGTGGATTATGCGCTGTGCTGACCCTAATATCTCGTCATTTTGAGAGAGAGAGAGACAGAAAAAATAATTTTTGAACGCTTTGGATGGAAGTAAATTAATGCAGAAATCAGTGAACTAATCCCAGAGTTACAGGGGTGTGTTATCTTCAATACAAGCAGAGAAGAAACACCGTTTGATCACAAGGCCTTGATTCAGTCTTTATGGATGAGACCTGGGAGTGATGCCTAGAAATAAGCAGCCATTTTAGAGTATTAAAGCAGAGATGCTCATGGATTTTCAACCTAATAATGGTCCAGACATTTAGACGACCTCTTTTTTTAAGAGCTGGGTGTCAGAGTGATGCTGAACTGACTAAAAATGAAGGATGTGTCAGTCACTGCTGGCCTGCCCTCCATGTTAAATCATAACTCAACAAATGAATTGAGCAGATGATGTTAGTTATCAGTTTATGGTGTCTTTTTTTATCATTGCAAATAGGTCCACTTCATCCTAACTCATCTCATTATCTACCTGGGCAGGTGCCAGGTGTGCGTGTCTGTGTAGCCAGACAGATCTTCAGCTCTTCTGCTCACCCACTCACCCACCTGTGACATGGCGGGGGCCTCGGTGAAGGTGGCGGTGAGGGTCCGACCCTTCAATTCCAGAGAGATCGGGAAGGAGAGCAAGTGTATCATTCAGATGTCAGGAAACACAACAAGTGAGTTTCAGTTCCTCAGAGTCCTCGAAACAGGATCTACTTCACATGGACAGGAGGATTATTGTGCAGAGTTTGACACTATGGGATGTTTTCAGAAAGTTTTTATTTTCTCTCCTTTTAATTTGTGTTAAACTGACTTTTCTCAACCTAGAAGTAAAATTATTTATTGACTGATTGGTGAACTGAATATTGTAAGTTTAAGATGTAAAGTTAGTAATCAAGAGCTGGTGTATAAAGCTTTCAAGAAGGAAGCATGTTTTCTAACATACTTAATATTATCATAGCTTAGTCGGGACATAAGATAATGTTATTCATCGGTTTTAATATTGTTGGATGAAGTAAGGGGATCATCATAAATCACAGAAGTTGAACATTTGATGGATGTATCAGGTGTTACATAATATATCAGGGTTCCGATGCAAGTATGGAAAAAAAATGATCAATTTCCAGGTCTTTAAAAGAAAGGAAAATGAAAAATGAAGTATGGAAAAATATTTATGTTGACAGACTATTACCACAGTTATAAAATACTATTTTCAAAAATAGATAGGTAGGTATTTACAAAAAGTAGGGTATGGAATGGTATGGAAATTCCGACTGTGTGATGACTGAAATCACACAGGGTTCACAGTCAACAGTAATGTGTTTCTCATGTTTTTTATTTTGTATAAATGGAGACTTCTAAGGATATTTTTATTGACCTACATTGGGCCACATTTAGCACGTTCAAACTCTAAACGCTATTTGTCCCTGCCTGCAGTTGACAGGAGGGTGGGCAGGGAGGCATGCAGCAACAACATAGCAGCTCAAGGGAGAAACAAAAGCTTCAGTCAGGCCTGCTATTATGTGCGTGTGTGTGTGTTAGTGTTTGTGTCTGTGTGTGTGCGCATAGGATGTAGCCTCCTCACACGAGCTGCAGGGACCAAAAAGGCCCCCTTGTTCTGGTTGAGCCTAGACGTGGGATCAGCTGATAGAAGTGTGTGTGTGTGTGTGTCTGTGTTTGTGGGTATGAAAGAAAGAGGGAGTTTGTCAGCCTGCTGTGCTGGTCGGTGTTTTTAATGATCTCATTAGAGGAGAATATTCAGACTTTTATTTTTTTCAAACTTATTACACTCACTCACATTTTCAGCAGTTGTCTGTGTCTATTTTTCTGTGGCGGCCACTCCACTCCTCATGAGCCACACAAAGATGAGCTGGTGCCTTGAATAAATGGATGGATTGACGGATGGATGGTCACAGTGGGTTTTGCCGACTGCATGTCTCAGCAGGACATTTCTTCCTGCTGTAGTTCTGAGCTTGTCCACAGGGGGCATTTCAGTTTACAGCCAAAAGGAAATCTAGTTCTGCTCAGTTTTTATTTTGTATTCTCTTATGCACCTCTCTCTTCCCCTCTGTAAAAAGTAGGAGCGGTGCATTTCAAACTCCTCCTTTTTGAAACATAAACAAAGTGAGTTTTATCTGAAATAGGCGCATGGCTTACACCACAACTGCAAATCATAACATAACAGAAAATTGGAGTGAGAAATGAACACTGCACTACATGCCCTATTTTAAACACTTAGACATAAATGTCAAAATGTGTCTTGTTCAAAGCCTTTTCTGTTTTATTAGAGGTAGAAAGTAGAAGAAAATAGCAGATATATGCATCTGTACTGTAGGAAATGTTTTTTTTTCTTGTAAAAAACACAAACAGGAAACGCAATTTCTCTGTTGACTTGAGATGCAATCATTTACATCTCTTATATGTTTTGAGGAGTATTGTGCTCACTCTGCTACATGACATAGACTGACCTGAATGAGTATACATATACAGAGTATACATATATAGAGCAGCTAACTGATCTCTGTAATGCTTTAATTTTCAGCAATCCTGAATCCCAAACAGCCAAAAGAAAACAAGAGTTTCAACTTTGACTATTCCTACTGGTCACACACCACAGTGAGTATTACTGCATCTAAAATCATCAAATTGCTTGACACAAGTATTTGATAAAAGTTTAATGGTCTAACTTTTGGTATTTGACTTGATGTTAAATGAAACCTGCCTTTTTCATGCTTTGCTTTTTTTCATCTATAACACCGTCGCTCTCCCTCTCTGTCTGCAGCCTGAGGACATCAACTATGCATCCCAGATGCAGGTGTACAAGGACATCGGAGAGGAAATGCTGCTTCATGCCTTTGAAGGCTACAATGTGTGCATATTTGCTTACGGACAAACCGGAGCTGGGAAAAGCTACACCATGATGGGACGGCAGGAGAAGGACCAGCAGGGAATCATTCCTCTGGTATCACAACATTCACCTCTGAATCTGAAAGACCTCAAATATTAGGACAAACAAAGAGACTTTGCTGCTCTTAAACTGTTTTAGGTGGAAAACATTTCAAAGAAGTGATTTTATTTTGACCTTGAATCTTCTCTTTGTCTCTCTGTTAGCTATGTGAGGACCTTTTCACCAAGATCAATGACAGCAATAATGACAACAGCATGTCTTACTCCGTGGAGGTGAGTGGAGCCAAAGTCTAAATCAAACTTTTCTCATGGATGATTTCACAAATCAATTTCAGTATCGTCTTTGCCAAACCTTTCTTGACAAAGTCTCAATCTTAAAAGTTGTTCAGCTTTTTAAAGGATCTAAAAATACATTTGTACTTCTGTATTTGTATTTTTCAGAAACTAACAGCTGTTTTATTAATAGTATTTAATTAAAATCTTAAACCTTTTTGAAGAATCACAAAACATCGAATAATAAACAATGAATTGCTCCTAAAGACATGTTGCACCATAATCACCTCTGTGCCTCTTGCAGGTGAGTTACATGGAGATCTACTGTGAGCGTGTGCGTGATCTGCTGAATCCCAAAAACAAGGGAAACCTGCGTGTCAGAGAGCACCCTCTGATGGGACCATACGTCGAAGATCTGTCCAAGTTGGCTGTTACTTCATACAATGACATTCAGGATCTGATGGACTCTGGAAACAAAGCCAGGTAAAAAGAAAAAGAAAATTTGGAATTAATCAGTCCGACTGCAAAAAAGTTACTGTTAAGGATGTTCACCTAAAGCAACATTTCCCTTTTTTTCAAGGACTGTGGCTGCGACCAACATGAACGAGACCAGCAGCCGCTCCCACGCCGTCTTCAACATCATCTTTACGCAGAAAAAACACGACATGGAGACAGACAACACGTCAGAAAAGGTTTGAGCTCATTAAAATCACTCTGCATGACACATAAAAATTTCCGCTTCCCAGAAAAACAAATCAATAACGAGGAGTTTAGTCTTCTCCTGGACCGTGTTCGACATCAGCGGCTTCTGCAGAGACACTCAGAAGCTGAAAATAATTTCATCTTTTATGACCTCAGAGGCGGCCATCTGTGGCCGTCTCAGAGAGATGTATTGATTTATACACTTTATTAATACCACTTGTCTTGGTGCTGTTTCAGCTGTGATGAATGTCCAGGTTTTAAAAATATTGTGTATCATCACAGGTCAGTAAGATCAGTCTGGTGGATCTGGCTGGCAGTGAGAGAGCCGACTCAACTGGAGCTAAAGGGACCAGACTGAAGGTGAGAGAAACCGCTTTTTTATGGAGTTACTTCACTTATAAGAATAGAGTGATGGACTGAAAGCAGAACAAAACATTCAGAATAAACTCAAGGAGATAAAAAGGAGGATAAATACTTTTTAAAACTAACTTTTATCTTTTTGGTATTTACAGGAAGGTGCAAACATCAACAAATCTCTAACTACACTGGGGAAAGTTATTTCTGCTCTAGCTGAAGTGGTATGTCTTTTTTTTCTAAAACGTACAGTTGTAAACTCTTTAGTTTTTGCCTAAATAACAAAAGTTGGTATTTTTCCTCTTAATTCCAGGACTCTGCACCAAACAAGGTCAGTAATATCAATCATCAGACATTTACAACAACAGGCTTTGCTGAATATTTAATTTATTTTTATTCATACATAAAACAAAGTGTGTCAACCATTTTTAATTTTTTCACAGAACAAGAAAAAGAAGAAGGTGGAGAGTTTCATCCCCTACAGAGATTCAGTCCTGACATGGCTACTAAGAGAAAACTTGGGTACTTGAATACATCGAAAGAAACCCTGAGTTACTAATAATTAATCATTTTTGTCGATATCCATCTTGAGTGTTGTTTTTTCTCTCTTTTAGGGGGAAACTCTCGCACAGCTATGGTGGCCGCCCTAAGTCCTGCTGACATTAACTATGACGAGACCCTCAGCACTCTCAGGTAAGAGATATATCAGCCACCTACCTTTCCCATGAAACTTCAAAAAGGATGTTTCCCCCTATAAAAATAATGTCAGACTCACTACACAGGCTCAACATGTACAATATGCTCATGCAATGCCTGAGCAGTTTGATGTATTTATTTGCATATGTATAAGGAAAATGGATTTTATGTATCTCAGTATTGATTCATAGTTGTTGACCTTAACAGCAGTTGCCTGCCCTGTTTGCTCTTTGCATTAATTGTGTAACTAACTTCTAATCAAACACATTGTAAGGATGCCTAGCCCATGTTCACACTAATGATCAGTTTGACAAGCTTTACTGGTCACAGATCTGGGTTACAGCTTCATCATGCGACAAGTGTAACAAAGACTGGTCTGAGAGTGTTCAAGTTTATATAGCCGTCCATGTTTCCAAACATTCTGCTTGCATCTTGTTGACCTAAAGAAGAGTCCATGTAGGGTAAGAACAGAGACAACATATTTTAAGGACAACATACGGAGAGCCCATATAGAGGAATACCATAGCATAACATATTTTGGGAACCTGAGTGATGTCAAAAATGTGTACAAGGTTATTTGTTGAGGATAGTTGTCGGAGGCCCCTGGCTCCAGCAATCTAACACCAACGTTTCCATGGTATCTGAGTGACACAGCTCCACCACCTTAAAGGCTGACATGACTGGCTAAAGAAAATCACCCTGACACACATGCACCATTATTCCAATTTTTCAATTTATACACATGTTTAATCAAGCACCCCTATGATCAGTTGTAGTTGGTCTGCAAAGCCTGAGGAGGCATGACATATGTCTTAAAAACTTCTCGATCGGCACCATTCCAGGTACGCCGATCGTGCCAAACAGATCCGCTGTAACGCCGTGATCAATGAGGACCCCAACAACCGGCTGGTGCGTGAGCTGAAAGAGGAGGTGGCTCGCCTCAAAGATCTGCTGTACGCACAGGGCCTGGGAGACATTATCGAGAGTGAGTATCACAGAAAAACTGCAGTCTCCAAGCTGAAACATATGAGCAGTCATCTAAAATTTAGAGATGTTGTGCAGTGTTTTCATTTGATGTTTTAGACAGAGGATGGATCAGTCCTGGAGGATGGGTGTCCTCACACTCATTCTCTTCTCTCCTCTGTCCTATCAGCGTATCGCGGCACCGGCCCCGTCATCGCTGGTTTGAAATGTGTGTATGACTTTGAAAAGCCTGCGCTTTGCTACGTAAAAATAGAAAAAAAAAATCCTAGGGAGGGTCTTCCTCCTCAACCACAACAGAGACCATACAAACAATCCCCAAAAAACTTATCCTGAAGCAGGGGTTCTCAAGTCCAGTCCTCAGCCCCCCCGTTGTGCATGTTTTGGATGTTTCCCTGCTCCAACACACCTGATTCAAATGATCAGCTCGTTATCAAGCTCTGTAATGGCTTAATAACGAGCTAATCATTTGAATCAGGTGTGTTGGAGCAGGGAAACATCCAAAACATCCAGGACGGGAGGGGCTCGAGGACTGGACTTGAGAACCACTGCCCTTAAGTGACACATGACAAAAATGTTCATGAGTTAAATTGAGACTTAATTGAATAACTGAAAATCAAAAATAATACATCAAATCTGAGAGACGTTTTTATCCTTTTAATCACTTTGTTCTCAAGAATTCTGCAAAATGGCCTCCTTATTCTTCTCTAATTCTGGTTTCTATTGTCCTCCTCCCTTCTTTGTTCAATCCGGAAAGCTCAGTCGCTGAACACTTTCATCTTCAAAACACAGTTTACTTTGTGACTGGGCTTACCCTTTACGCTGTGATCCTCCAGAATCTGCAGCAGACCGAATTAAAGAAAGCTCCAACCCAAAGCACGCTGCATTTCCACACTGATTAAAAGCAACGATTGCTGATAATAAAGAAAAAAGTGTGGGAGGAAGCCATTTCAGATTCCTGAGAAGCTCTTTTTCTTTGCATCCTGGTCCTCTGAATGTGGAGCTGATTGAATGAATCGAGTGCTTAAAGGCCTGCATTGCTAGCAAAGGCTGCGCTGAACAGTTTGAAGACATTAACACAAGCAGATCATTCGAGAACAAAAAAAAAAGAGGAGAAACTGTGTTTGATCTTAATGCACTGTAGTGATGTTAACAGTTTTCTTTCTCATAACATTCTCATGCTCGTAAGCTTGTCGAGTTTGTCTTTGTGTGATGTATCTGAGAAAAAAAAAAAACAAGTCTTTAAATGTCAGTCTATTTGGCATTTTGTGCTCTGTCAGTTTGAGTTGCTCTTTTCTCTCTGTCTGCCATGGCTTTAGTAAGCAAATGACCTCTGCTTCTTTGAATCATTATTTGAGCTTTCTCTTTTTCTTCTTTTGTACTCCCCCGTTGTTCCCTCATTTTTTTCCTTTTTTACCTCTTCCTCCGCGTGTTTCTCTCAATCAATCCCCGATGTCTCTTCTTAATTATCTGGCGTCTTGCTCCTACCTTCTGTCCTTCCGTCCTTCAATCCCTCCTTCCTCCGTTCCTTCCTTGCTCACTCCCATGCAACGCCTCTCTCTCTGGCAGACCTGTGCGATTACAAAAACTTTGTGAATAATCGCCAGGCTGTCAATCAAAGGGGTGATCTTTCCGCAGTGAGCCATGCCATGACAGGAATGAGCCCCTCGCCCTCGCTCTCGGCCCTGTCCAGTAGAGCCGGGTCCATCAGCAATCTGCACGACCGCATCTTCAGCCCGGCAAGCGAGGAGGCCATCGAGAGGCTCAAGGTAGGGCTGACGCCAAAACTGAAAGGAGAGTAATAATAATAATGAAAATAATAAATGTTATTTATAACACACTTTTACAGGTGCTCAAAGATGACTCACAAAGAAAAAGAAGAAAATAAAATGAAAAAACACAATTTAAAATACAGAAAATTTTGAGAAATAAAACCAATGATGTAATAGGTTAAAAAAGACACACGAGAAGACTATCAGAGAACAGTTCACAGGTTAAAAGCCGATTTAAAAAGGTGTATTTTCAGGACTGATTTAAAAGTGTTGGGGTCAGTATAATCTTGGATGGGTTTGGGGAGTGAATTCCAGAGGGTGGGGCTGGAAAAGTGTGAGGAAAGGAAAGAAAAGAAATAACAGTATCGTGAAGAGACTTTTTCTGAATCTAAGACTGACAGGTGACACTCCAAAAAGTGGACTCCAAGTAAGATCAAATGTCCCACATCAATACAATGTTTATTATATTTGTGTCTTCAGTATTTTTGTCTTAAAAAGCAATTTTCGTTTATTGTAGATATCAAATAATTTCTCTGAATCAGACAAACGCACTTGTTTCAGTCTTGCTGTGCTACTTTTACTCCCCTGTGGGTTCTTTGAGAACAAAGACAACGTTTTTTTTTAAACTTTATTTTTATGAATACAGTCAATTTTTCAAAAATACTTGTAAAGAGTAAAATAAAGGAATTGAACCAGAAAAGAACAGGAAAGGAAAGGCACAGATGGAAAAATATACATACAAATATATATTGTTACATAGGGAGAGAAGAGTTATCGTAACAGTGCGTACATTTCAAGAGGAAGGTCCAGGGTTTAGAGATATTTCAGTCATTGTTGTTCCATTTGTCCTTCATATCAAAACAGGACAGAGACATCCTCGCCCTAATGCCCAACATCTAGAGAGCATATCAAATAGGACAGTAGGGGGCACTGTACTCAAGCATAAAGGAAAATAAAGAAAAAAAAATGAAACAGAGCACATTATTAGTTGAAAGACAGCGATCTTTAAAGGCAAAGTCTCCCCTTTTTATTTTTTTTCTCATTTTTAGAGCTCTCACTGTTTTTGTACAATTTGTACAGGGTGCATAATTTTGTCTCAATCCGCCGACAGGAAACAGAGAAAATCATCGCAGAGCTTAATGAGACTTGGGAGGAGAAGCTGCGCCGCACTGAGGCTATTCGTATGGAAAGGTTTGTCAGACATATTTATTCATGATTAATGTTTTCAAGAGACTAAAGTGTTTAGTCATAATTTTTCAGTTTTTAAGATCTTGGTACTAATGTAGATTTTGCTCCTGTCTCTTGTAGGGAAGCCCTGCTTGCTGAGATGGGTGTTGCAATGAGGGAGGATGGAGGCACTGTCGGCGTCTTCTCTCCCAAAAAGGTGTTTTGTCTTAAACTTTCGCACAATACTTTGTCTACTTAATATCTCTCTGCTCTCACACAAACACTCAACAACTACTGTCACCTACAGACCCCTCATCTGGTGAACCTGAACGAGGACCCGCTCATGTCAGAGTGTCTGCTGTATTATATCAAAGACGGCATCACCAAGTGAGGTTTTCTCTAAAACTCAGCTGTGATGGTTAATCTCCATAATGTGCTTCTGGGGACTTACATTTCTGTGTCACTCTGCAGAGTCGGACGAGAAAACGCCAGAACTCGCCAAGACATTGTTCTCAGCGGCCATTTCATCAAAGATGAGCACTGCACTTTCAGCAGCACTACAGGCCCTCAGGGAGAAGGTAAAGACTGTCAGCTCCTCCTCAGAAACTCAGAGATAAAGTCATAACTTTGTCTGGATTACACAAACGTCAAAAGCTCGGTTCTGACAGGCTTTTCATTATCTCTTAAACAGGAATTGTTGTCCTGGAGCCATGTGAGGGCTCAGAGACCTACGTCAACGGGAAGAAAGTGACCTCTCCCATTGTTTTACGATCTGGTATGTGTGGAGATGATATCATTTTAGTAAAAAGAGAGTAAACATAAAAATGTATGAGAATTGAGAGGAAAGTCTACATCAGGTTATTATTATTCCAGTGTCTGCTCACAGCCGTTTGGGAGTCATAATAATTGATCTGACTGATAAGCAGTGTTGATTTATTTTATGCCAAAGTGATCACACTTTTATTTTTTCTGTGCATTATTTTTCAGGGAACCGCATCATCATGGGAAAGAGCCACGTGTTTCGCTTTAACGACCCAGAGCAGGCTCGCATGGAGAGAGAGAGGACGCCGTGTGCTGAGACTCCGGTGGAGCCCGTGGACTGGGCTTTCGCTCAGCGAGAGCTGCTCGAGAAACAAGGCATCGACATGAAGCAGGAGATGGAGCAGAGGTGTGTAGAGGAGATATAATGAGGATGATTGTACTTAATCAGTGTTTTTTAATTAGTCATTGAACATGCATTGTTTTCTCTCTCAGGCTTCAGGAACTTGAAGATCAGTATCGCAAAGAAAGAGAAGAAGCCAGTAACCTGCTGGAGCAGCAGCGGCTGGTGAGGACAGGTTATCTTTACTGTTATCACAGATGGAAACAAAATATTTCAACCAGACACTCACAATGGATCTTATGTTTATTCAGGACTATGAAAGTAAACTGGAGGCTCTGCAGAAACAAGTGGACTCCCGATACCTGGAGTCTCCTGAAGAGGAAGAGGAGCCAGAAGAAGAAGGTAAATCTCACTTTGTTTAAACTGATTCATCAAAACATTGAACTCTAAATTAGCTGAATCGCTCCAAATTAACCTGCATGATTTTCTGTTTACAGTACCATGGACAGCGCGTGAGACCGAGTTGGCGCTGTGGGCGTTCAGAAAGTGGCGTTTCTACCAGTTCACGTCTCTCAGGGACCTGCTTTGGGGCAACGCTATCTTCCTCAAAGAAGCTAACGCCATCAGTGTGGAGCTGAAGAAAAAGGTGCTTGTTACTGGAGACATTTGTTTTGTATTTATGTTGCAGGTAAACCCAGGAAAGATTTTGAAATAGACATAATGAAACAGGGTCAGCATGTAAATACTAGACGTTAAACTGTATTTTTCCTCCAACTGCATAAAAAAATGATGTGGTTTGATCTGAGCAGGGCTCTCCTGTCAGATACTTTTACATCTCTGCTGTTGAAATAATAATAAATACGTAAATAATATTTCAGTATATTTTTCTTCACTTTCATGTAAAATGTGCATGTTATGCACGTAACAATTTAAGTGTGAGAATTTGACATTATGCAAAAATCAATAATGCATTAATTTCAACGTTGCATGTGATCATTGACATATCCCTGGCTGTAAATATTCAGCATAAAAAAGTCTCCTGCATGTAGTTTATTATAGATAATCAGTTTTTTCTGTTTTTTTTTTTTTTTTTCATTCAAAAACCGGCTAGCATCATCGCAAAAACCTGGCACTGAAAGGGTTAAATTATTGAAAATTATTGATATTTTATATTTATAATTAGGGCAGATGTGGACCAAAAAAATGAGCCCAAAAAAGTACAATCCAATTATATCTTAATTTCTTAAATGAGCATGTTATTCACATAACGGTTTAAGTGTTAAGAAGATTAAAGCGATACCAGAAGGGTTAAAGAACTCTATTTGATAATAATGATGTGATGAGATGTGATAAATCGCTCATGTTTGTGTGTTTTCTATCGTCCACAGGTGCAGTTCCAGTTCGTCCTGTTGACAGACACTCTGTACTCCCCCCTCCCCCCTGACCTGCTGCCCGCAAATGTGGCCAAAGAGAGGGAGAGACGACCGTTCCCCCAAACCATCGTCGCCGTTGAGGTTCAAGACCAAAAGAATGGAGCAACACATTACTGGACTCTGGAGAAACTCAGGTATGGTTGTCATAACGATACTTGGAAAGTGGTTGGTACCCCACAGAAAGACAGACTGTTGTTGATTTCCTCCTCTTTTTATCTCCCGCCCCCCTGCAGGCAGAGACTGGACCTGATGAGAGAAATGTATGACCGGGCTGCAGAGCTCCCCAGCAGCGCCGTTGAGGACTGTGACCACGCTCTGACCGGAGGAGACCCCTTCTACGACCGCTTCCCCTGGTTCCGTCTGGTCGGCAGGTTTGTCACAAACTAAACAGAACTGGATGTTCCTCTCTCTGTGTTTGTTGCTTTTCAACACAATTAAGTCTTCCCATCGAGGTTAACTCCTCCTTGTCCTCAGGGCGTTTGTGTACCTGAGTAACCTCCTGTACCCGGTGCCTCTGGTGCACCGTGTGGCCATCGTCAGTGAAAAAGGAGAGGTGAAAGGCTTCCTCAGAGTGGCTGTTCAGGCCATCTCAGGTACAGACAATTCTTCAACACTATCTTGATTTCTACTTTGTATCTTCTCCTGTTTTAGAGATGTGACAGCAGTCTAATGTCATGCTCCTTTTTTGACTCTCCTCAGCTGATGAAGAAGCCCCTGACTACGGCTCTGGTGTGAGGCAGTCCGGCACAGCCAAGATCTCCTTTGAGGACAAACAGTTTGAGAGGGTACAAACAGCCCAGAGTCTTTTCTCTGATGTGTCCTTGATTGAACCAGATTAGTCTTTAAGAGACAAGAAAGAACCAAGAGTTGGACTTCAACCCAATCTGGATTTCTGCCTTTAAGTGGGATTGTTTCTGCTCTTGTTCTAGTTCCAGACAGAGTCGTGTCCTAGTGGTCTTTCCCACTCCAACACCTCCCAGGAGGAGCTGCGAATTGTGGAGGGAGAGGGACAAAATGCTGACATAGGGATCTCTGCAGATGAGGTCAACAACAACACCTGTCCAGGTGAGGTGACACCAGGTACGCAGCCCATGGTTCTTTGACTTATCTCACTGTTTTCACTGATATTTGTTAAAAAGCAACAAAAATCATGATAATCCCTCGATGTCCTAGTTTAGTCACCAACTCATCACTTTAACAAAATGATGAAAGAGCTGGCTGATGTTTATGCTGCATCTACGTAACCAGAGACCTTTGTATCTGTGGCTCGTCTGTTTTGTGAAGCAGTTGAGGTTCCACGCAGCCCAGTGAAGAGTTCAGGTCTGGGTCTGGATCTTCCTCTGGACCTTTCCCCAGAGAAAGCTTTGTCACACCTGAAGATTGGCAGCACCTTCACCTTTAGAGTCACCGTCCTGCAGGCCTCGAGCATCTCAGCCGAATACGCTGACATCTTCTGCCAGTTCAAGTGAGTTCAAGCGCAATCCACCGAGGCCTTGAAATGCTACTGAAGATCCTGTCAGATATTATATTTATGCAGCAGAAAACTGCACCGCAAAAACAGCCCTATGAGAAAGAAGCAAAATATTCTTATATTCAATCAAATAATCTTTAATAAGCTTTTTTTGCTCGACAAGAATTCTCAAAATATGAACAAATTTCTTGGCCCTGACAGACTCAAATGAAACTTAAAACTAGACAGAAAATCTTATATTAATCTATTTTTTTCAGTAGCAAGCAATGAAAAATGAAGATGAAGTTACTTAAAATTAGAATTAGAATTAGTAAATGAACTTCAAGAAAATACACCTTAATCTAGGATTATTAATGAGCATGACAGTAGTTCAAATAAGACATAATTTCTTAAAACAGCATAGCAACTATTAGTGATGTTTTCTTCAATCAAGATACCAAAACATTCTCATTAAATATATATTTTTTATTCCACAAACAAGCATGTGGAGAGCAAGCATGTTCTTTGTTGTTCTTTGTTGTTTTGCAGTTTTCATCTGGTCGTTGTATTTTGTTGTTTGTTGTACAGACTAGCCTACAGACATCTTTATATGTCAGATAATGTAGGAGGCAGCAGATTCTGTCAGGTTCAGATGACCTGCAATGGAAATCTTATTTAAAAAAAATCAACTATTCTTGTTTCATTGCATTCTTAAACTTGAAGTTGTACATATGTCTTACTCTAAAATTGAGACGAATGATCTTGTTGCTTCGCTGGATTTTACTGTAAAAAAAAATTTCTATTCTATTTCTGGTTCATTCTTTCTCAAAATTAGCTGGAATATGTTACCAAGAAAAAAGTTAACAATTTTCTCTTAAAATTAGATAATTTTTCTAATGCCAAACATGCTTGACAAGATTAATATTCTTTTTGTACAAAAAATAGGACTTATTTCCTTAATACAAGGCTGTTTTCCTTTCTTGAAATACCCTCTTTTGCAGTGTGGTCTCAATAGATGCAAAGTAACTAGCTGTCACTGCTAGCTTAACTTGATGACATTTGTGTCCATCCAATGACCAAATTGCAAATTGGCAATGGAATCGGCACTGGTTAAATGTTGAAAAGTTGTCAAAAATGCAATGGCTTTGTCCTTTATTTTTCTACAGCCTGTTATTGACAGGATGTGTTACGGTTAGCTCACAGTCTCTCTAATGCCTTCCCCCTCCCACTTTTTTTAGTTTCATCCACCGCCATGATGAAGCTTTCTCGACTGAGCCTCTGAAGAACACAGGCAGAGGACCCCCGCTCGGCTTCTACCATGTCCAAAATGTAAACGCCAAACTTCAAAATTATGTCTACTATTAACAAACATTATTAGTTCCTTGTCCTGCTGTATTTCAAATGTATTTCAAATTCCTTTCGTAATATATCCTTTAGAGGTTTATTGTTGCTCTTTTCTGTCAGATCACAGTGGAGGTGACTAAATCGTTTGTGGAGTACATCAAGACTCAGCCGATCGTCTTTGAGGTGTTTGGTCATTATCAGAAACAGCCCTTCCCTCCGCTCTGCAAAGACCTCATCAGGTGAGAAAGAAATCTGATTTTGAAATCCAAGGTTATCGTGTTTACTTGACCAGAAGGATCCTCACATGTGGTGTCCTTGTCCTTAAGTCCACTTAGACCCACCAGGAGGCAGTTCCCCAGAGTGATGCCCCTATCCAAACCAGGTGAGCTGTCACCTTAGATACTTCTAATTCAAGATATGTGTTTTATTTTTTTCTTGTATATTAAAATATTCCACTCTCATGTGATATTTAGCCATGCTGTTTTTCTTTCGTCTGCTGCACAATAATCTGTCATCCTGCTCCCTCTCCTCCAGTGCCAGCCACAAAGCTCAGCACTCTGACCCGCTCCACAGCAGGACCCTGTCACGCCAAATACGACCTCATGGTGTTTTTTGAGATCTGTGAGCTCGAAGCTAACGGGGAGTGAGTAACATGTCCTTTGCTTCTCACAGTAGATTATATTTTTAGAAGGAATACTGCTTGACAAGGTCATTCTCAGGTAAACTTTGCAGCACTCACCTTTTTGTCATGATTATTTGTTTTCAGCTACATTCCAGCTGTTGTTGACCACAGAGGTGGGATGCCCTGCCACGGCACATACCTCCTACACCAGGTCTGACCATAACTCATTTTCATGCTTTATATGTAAACAGTTCAGGGACAGATTTGCAGATTATTTTTCTTTTTGCTCGAACTGTTTAGATGACAAGAACAGAACAGACAAGTTTGCTGCTTCAGTCTCATTTTTTAAACAAGAAGTGATAATGTTAAAATCAGGATAAAGCTGGAAAGGACTACAGGGTTACCAAAAGCTGATTTATTAGCTTATACTTGGTCAGCACAGTTAGTTTAGTGATCATTAATAATTAATTGGAAATTCAGTGGGGATGACATGCAGGAAAGGGTCATGGCCATACCTGCCAACATTTGGGTTATAAAATCCGGGCGATTTTTGCGGCACGTGCCGGGCAGTTTTGGGGTTACCTTGTATGGTGGATATGAGCTAAGTATGATAGTATTGGAATTAGATTGCTCATCCAAATAAGTATAAGTGAAGCTGCACACTTTTTTTGTTTCAACAATAACAAATGGTAATAAAAAATAGCTACGATATGCCTTAAACTAATCTAGTCCACTAATATTAGTGTCATGGCAGGGAGTTTTGCCTGAGACCACTCCAATGAGGACTATAACCTCTGTAAATGGGGCACATGATTAAACAACAAGGCTGACTGGCGCTCCTCCTTTAAGTTCCTTTTTTTATTATTTGGTTGCTATGGCAGCAACTTGTCAATCACAATATCCCCGGCCTAAAGCATACATAGCTTCATCATGTCATGTGTTCTTAATAAGATCATGATTAATTAAATGAACGCAGTGTTATTTTAGAGAAGACTCAAACTAATGCTGGAGACCATTAATGAACAGTTCCATTCTCTTTTGTGAGTAGTCGTGTTGCCCCCTGCTGGCTACTTAAAATCATGCAGGCTCCCTTTTTAAGAGATGGAGGCCTCATCTGATCACATATAATTCATTCAAACTGGTTATAATAGAAGCGTCTGAGTTTCAGAAAAAGCAAATAATATTAAAACAAACACTGTATAGATACTGTAAATGTAGCTTTTTGATCTTGACAAATACTTTTTTTATGTCTGACTAATAAACAGTTTTTGTTATATCCTTCTTTCTTTCCACTCCACAGGGCATCCAGAGGAGGATCACTGTCACCATAGCTCATGAAACAGGAAATGATATTGAGTGGAAAGAGGTCAAAGAGCTGGTTATCGGTGAGTCAGGTCAAAAGTTAATCATCCATAGACTCTAAAAAGGAGGAAATATTTCTTTTAAATAAAAATATTGCTTTTATCATGACTATTATGTGACTTCAGGCCGTATAAGAAACACACCAGAGGCTGACGAGACCATCATAGACCCAAACATCCTGTCTCTCAACATCCTGTCTTCTGGATACTTCTGGCCAAAACACAATGACAAGTATGATTATTTATTACTTGATGTTCAAAGACAGTTAGAATTTTTAGTTTGCTAACAGAGCTATGATTTTTTTAAGTAATGCTTCAAAGAAACTGGACTGTAATAAATTTAATAGCTGCAGCTTAAAGTTTCTAACTTCTATTTCTCTTTATTTTTTGTTGACGGCAGCGTCTCCTTGGGAGTTGATCATAGGTATAAATTAAAATTGTCTTATATATTTTTTAAATTAACACTTTTCCTGGAAGCAAAATGTTGAAGTTCTTGTGAAAAATATGTCCTCTAAAAATCCTCTTAAAATCGTGTAAAGAGATAACATCTGTCATTTTCACGATGCAGAACTTTCTACCGATTCGAAGCTGCATGGGACAGCTCCATGCACAACTCCCTGCTTCTGAACAGAGTCACTCCTTACGGAGAGAAGATCTACATCACTCTCTCTGCATATCTAGAGGTACAACAGATCATTTGTCATGCTCGTGACTTTTCTTAGTTGACTTTTAATGGAAGTTTAGCATGATTGTGATTGTAACGATCTCATTATATTTCATTTAGATGGAGAACTGCACTCAGCCGACAGTGATCACCAAAGATTTCTGCATGGTGTTTTATTCCCGTGACGCCAAGCTTCCGGCTTCACGCTCCATCAGAAACCTCTTCAGCACCGGCTGCCTCCGGCCCTCTGAGAGGTACGGATAATTTTCACAGATTCTAAATCTGCGCAAACTCTGTCTGAGAAAAATATTACATGAAATTAGTTGTGTGACATAACAAGATATTTTATAAACTTTTGAAATTTCTCCTTTGTCCTCCTCAGTAACCGTGTCACTGGAGTCTACGAAGTCACCCTCTGCCATGTGGCAGATAACGGAAGCCCAGGTGAGAAAAAAACAAATCTGGAAAAATATTCAGAGTGTCTTCTCTTTATCTTTATTTTTATGTACAACTTTCATTTGCCTTCTCCTTTTTCAGGTATGCAGCGTCGTCGTAGGCGTGTGTTGGATACCTCTGTGGCATATGTCAGAGGAGAGGAGAACCTGGCTGGATGGAGACCTCGCAGTGACAGCCTCATCCTGGACCACCAGTGGGAGCTGGAGAAACTCAGTTTACTGCAAGAGGTCAGTTTGGAGACTGAGGAGGTTTCCTTTAAGAGAAGAGACAAAGGAATTTTAAGAGTCAAACACATTTGAGGTCTCTTTTCATCTATCGATTGTACCTGCTGATGTTTTTCAGGTGGAGAAGACCCGGCACTACCTGCTGCTGAGGGAGAAACTCGAAGCGACTCTGCAGGCCGGACAGGATGCTCTGTACAAGAGCAGTGACATCAGTGACTTTGCAAAGAGTCCCGTCCTCAGCCACAGCCCTGGAAGTATCCCCCCAACCCCAGACAGCCCCAACCAGAGGCAAAGGGAGCTGGCTGCCAAGGTGAGTGCTGCTTTCTCAGACCCCCCGGTAATATCATTATGAATTTCATGAAACCGCCAACAAGGTCTTAAAAATCTCTTTCCCTTTCTCCCTGCAGTGTCTGCGTCTGCTGATGCACACCTTCAACAGGGAGTACAGCCAGGTGAGCAGCAGTGCCAGTGAGAGCAAGGTGAGCCCCAGCCTAGGCCCGCTAACCCGGCCCGTTACTCCTTCTGAACCTTTAGCTTCTACCCTTTACAGAATATTAAAGCCCCGTAACCACCCTCAGCCGCCATCATCATGCATTATTTTTTTTTTTGTTCACTCCTTTAACATTATTTACTTTCTTCTCTCATTGTATGTCGACCTCTGCATCCACACCTTAAACCTGAAAGTCCTTCAGATTTTCCCCCCTTTTTCCCCATCCACCACTTCTATAGAGTCTGTGAGGCTCCTACTAACCCTGAAATCCCTCCTGCATGTCCTCTTTAACTACATGTGAACCAGTGAGGGGCTCTTACTGTAGATGAAGTAGGATTTCAAATGGTTCAGACATGGTTCTTCAGTACATGACTTGACAAAGAGAAATTGTCTGATTCGATTGTTTTCTGAATGCATGTCTGTGTTGTTTGTGCTTAATTGTTTGCTGGTATGTTATGTCTGTATTTGTCCCTTTGTCTTTTGTGTGTGTGTGTGCTTTTCCATGTGTGATGTGTTGGGAATGTGTGCCTGTGTGTGTGTGTGTGTTTTTTTTAGCTCTCTGAGATGTCTGCGTCACTGATGAGAGACTCCTCCTCGTCTGGACTGAGCACGCTCACTCCATCCTCCACCTGCCCCTCACTGGTTGAGGGACATTATGACATTAGGTTTGTATTCAAACATACTAGCGAGGTTTCTTAAAGGGATATTCCGGCGTAAAATTAAGTTAGGGTCAAACACACAGTAACACCGAGTTAGACACCCCGTCGGAAGATGAATGATGCCGACTGCTTTCTTCTCGAATTATACCAACTTTAGTAAGGACCGCACGATAGCAATACGATAAGAGCCAATCAAAACGCCACTCTATAGCCACAAATGATGCTCAGAACAGCACCTAACTTCATCAACAGTAGGTATAGGGTCCCAGCCACAGTACTAAACATTAAACATCTTTTTAGCCTTTTCAAAGAGACTAAACACAACTCACCTACTCTCTTCCAGCAGCTGCTTGTCTGTATGGAGACCTCAGATGAGTCTGAACTGACGGCAGCGGGGTGATGCAGCTCAAGGAAGAACATTTATGATCATATTTTCATGGAAATGCAATCAGACAGAGACGCTAAGGCAGAAGAACTACAGCGTCTGCAGTTCAAAATGATTAATATGGTGATTATTACTTCAAGGAAATGATAAAGAAATGATCATAAATGTTCTTCCTTGAGCTGCGTCACCCCACTGCAGTAATGGACTCGCCCGAGGTCTCCGGTGTTATGGTGTGTTTGACTCTAAATTAATGTTACGCTGAAATATCCCTTTAAATTTGTCTCACATGACTAAAGCTGTTGAAGGAACTGTTCTGTAGTCACATTGTGAACCTGTTGTCGATGAACTGTAGACACACTGAGCCCAGTTCAGAAGCCTCCACTCCAGACCTGGACCCGTACAGCCCAGTGGACAGAAAGAAGATGCTGAAAGGATGCACGTTTGTTCCTGACATACAAGAAATCCGTGTCAGGTCAGATCACACACACTATCTCTCTCACACACACAATTTCTAAAATTTTTGATACAGAATGTCAAACTTTGAATTCAGCAGTTTTCATTTGGGACAGAGGTCATGCATTGATGAATCAATGTGAAGTAACATTAGCATTTCTTTTACCCATTTCCAGTCCCATAGTGTCAAAGAAAGGCTACCTACATTTCCTGGAGCCCCACACCAGCGGCTGGGTGAAGCGTTATGTGGTTGTGCGCAGGCCCTATGTCTACCTGTATCGCAGCGAGAGGGACAGCGTGGAGCGAGCTGTCATCAACCTGTCGTCTGCCAAAGTGGAATACAGCGAAGACAAACAGACTTTACTACGGGTATGGCCGCTCATCAGTTTGATCAAAGTTTTTGATAAATGTTAATCATGAATAAATCAAAGTGACCCAAGGTATTTCATGTCTAGACTCCAAACACGTTTGCGGTGTGCACCGAGCATCGTGGAATTCTGCTGCAGGCCACCAATGACAAAGAGATGCATGACTGGCTGTACGCTTTTAACCCTCTGCTCGCCGGCACCATCAGGTGAGTGAGGGCTGTAAGCAGAAACGTAGACTTGCCCACATGTACTGTTCTAGCATACAGCTGTTGATGAATGCATGAATGAAGTTTATTCATTTCAAATATGTTCAAAAGAGAAAATTAAGATGAAAAAATACAGAATGATAATGATAAGGAAAAAAGGAACATACAAGATATTCGAAAAGGAGTAAAAGGAAGTAAAATTTATCAAGTCCCGCCCCTTCTCCATCAACTATTCTGCGAAAGTGCTTCCACATATATAAATGAAAAGTTTATACACCATAATTCAGTGGTGTTTTAAAAAAACATAGTAAAACAATAACAAAAGCCAACATAATTCTTAATTTAATGTGATACCTTCTGTTTCATCCCTATATCTATTGAATATTATATTTTTACAGATTTTTTTTAATTTCCTCAAGACTGAGCATTGCTTCAGGTCCAGCTTCAACGACTTGAATGATTAACTATCATTTCTGTAATTTTCTCTGCTTAGGTCAAAGCTCTCTCGGAGAAAGTCGATCCAGTCAGCCCCGCCCGCTCAGAGGATGTGAGAGGTGAACCGACCTGGTGGAAAAACAATAAAACAAGCAAAACAATACAATCTGAAAGCACCACTCTCCACCCTGCTCTAATAGAAATGACTTACATAAACAAATTATCCTTAAAACCATTTAAATAACCTCCCATATGACCTCCCCCCTACTCCCCAAAAATCACATGAACACTCATCCTGAAACCCCTAAAATCATCCCTCCTCTGTTATTGCAGCTGCCACATTTAAACCCTGCATGCTGTGCTCCCTTTAGAGTAAAACATAAGACAAGCTAACCTACTGAACCTGTTTATTAACTTACTTCTGCTGTACACTGGGACTAGTTTTGATTAGTTCTACCTGTAGGAATCTGTCATCTGTTAGGCTACCAGCTTCCTGTCAAGAGTAAGGATGTGCTCAGTCTGTCCTTTACTCATATTAACTGAGTTAGAAACATTTAACTTGACGTTTCTCTTTGTAAGTGCTTGGAAGAAACATACACCTATTATATACTGTACATTACCTCAGTATGAAACGACTTACCGCTTACAGCACAGAGTATTTGTTTCACTGCAGAGGTCTGGGGTATCAAACAGATCTGTTCTTTTCACACAGAAGTAGCAGGAGGGTGGTTGGGACAAAATGGTACATGGTTCTCTTGTTTTGTTGTGTTTTGTTTTTAGATGGTTGGAAAAAAAAAGAGACTTTGTCGTTCAACTGAGGCAAAATAATGAAGAGCGATAACTCATGTTACTGCCTTGTTCCCGTTATGTGCTTTTTTCACATAATCCCCTCTGTAAATGAGAATATTATTTATTGTTGCTATCATATTTTTACTGCACTGTAATTTACTTGTGACAGGACCACTGGTCAGTTTTGTTGCATTGCACTTTATTGTCTATTGAGTTAATGTACTGTATCCTTCTCGAGTGTTTTAACCAAAGCTTTATTAGTTTCTTCTTTGTTTATCGTGCACATGTGCAGTTCGGTCAGCAGACATCTTGGATCGTGAAGACATAATTTGACATTTTTGGAAATACACTTAGTGGCTTTTTTTGTCATGTGACACCACTGTGTGCAGTAAACTTGATTCTTAGTCCCAGTTTAAGCTAAGCTAGCATAGTTTAGCACTTTGCGTAACAGCTAGCTCATCGGAAGGTCTAGCAGCGCCTTTAAATCTTACTAATGGCTTTTAAAAGCTTCTTAGGTGTGGCAAACTTTAAAATCATGAAGAGCTGTATGACAAAGACTTTTTCAAGAAAATAAGATTTTGACATACTATATTGAAAATCAAAATTTGTAGACTCTAAACAGCATGTATACAAGAAAACCAATAAGTGTGTTTCCCTTAAAGTTTACTAGCCAATCATAAAACGGCATTCGATATGGAACACACCAGGAGGACAACATTATTGTAGGCGATCAGATAACTTTGAAAACTTTCATTCTGTCTGTTACGGGCCATCAGAGTCGCTTCATTTACTAAGTTTACTTCTAAAGTCTCGTCTCCTCACCGAAAGAACAGTTTTGATTTACTGTGGACCTGTAATCTGTGTGAGTTGCTTTGAGTGGGCAAGAGCGTTGTCCATGCACCAGATAGTGCCTCCCTCTCTTCACCTCTTCATCTCCGCCCCTTCATCATCATCATCATCATCATCATAATCTTCAACATGAACACTAAAGTTAACAACACGTGTCCAAGATGAAGCTTTTATGTAGAGTAAAAGATGTAACCATTCTTTTTTTGTTTTATATTGACGATTAATGTTTTTGGAGAGTGAATATTATCAATGAAGCTATATAGTATGTTAGTATAGGCTATAACAGTACAGTACACCTTATATCTCATTACCATTGGCTGTAAATGTGGCTTTGTAAATGAAACCCCTCTTAGCTTTTATAATGTAGCGGCTTGATTTTTGGACAGCCTGATGCTCGTGTCTCAAACCAGTATAGTGTTGTTCGCTCGCAGATGTTGTAACTTTTATGGCTTCCAGTTGCTTTAACTAGCTGTTTACTTTGCAGTTTACCAGGATGACGCCAAATATTTAAAACCCAGATCATGGAGAGAGTAGATATTCAGATTTTTACTGCTTAACTACAATATAGTCCGTCACTCCGGATGTGAGAGCTTTTAGAAATGCTGATTACAGACATGGTCAGCCCGCCATGTTGTCTGATCAGATTCAGAGAAAGTTTTCAGGACTCATTACGCCACAGGCCAACCAACCTGCTGAGCAATGCTGACTGAAACTTCAATAATCTGACAATTTAACACCAGCTCTGTTACTACTTGTGACTTCTCTGGACCTTGAATGAATGACATAAGATGGTTTGATTACTCTTAAATGTTTGTGTCATCTTGGTATAACCCACTTTATTTGTTCTGTTAAAATGCTTACAGGCATATCTTGGACTCTGTCTGCGAGAGCAGAGGACTAAATGTGGAATTTTATTTTTCTGTTTCAAAGGATGGTTATAGTTCTGAAAGAATAATGCACTTATGCACAAGCATCTTTATTTACTATGGTTTTTATATGACGTGGTTTTGAGAATGTATGGAAAAGAGGATCTGTGATCAAACATATTAAAACCCTGTCCCGGAGTAGCAATGATTAGATTCTGTATTTAAGCCATTTTTCATTTTACTTCAGCTTTCAAACCTTCAACAGCATTGGATTTTTACTTTACATCATGCAGATGACTTGGTTCGAGCTCAAATGGTTTGAGAATATCATGTTTAAGAAAAAACACAGAGTGAGACAGCTTAAGTGCACTGACCTGTAGTTGTTGAAGGTAAAAGAGTTGATTATTTTGTATTTGGCTGCTTTTTAACTGTCACAGCTCTGGATCAAAGCATGTGGGTCCACTTCTCTTCTGCTCTCCCTCTCTCCTGCCTTATAGCTTGCTAATAACAACACCCCACCCCAGTCCCCCACCCCACCCACTCCTCCTGAAGTGCTTCTTGTAAAGTATTGTCATTCATGATCCTTGTAATGACTAACTGGAAACCTTCCTCTTGGCTCTGTCTTGTATATAAATGAAGATTTTCTGTGTCGGCTCTCATCACACAGATGATATTAACTCTCTCTTCTTGTGTATACCATGATGAATTAGAAAAAACGGGCCTTTTGCTCTGTCGAGTGTCACCTCAGAGCACAGAGCGCTGCTCAGGGATCAGTTTTGCACATTTCAGCTTTGTGAGGGGGTCTTCATGGACCAGCAGGTTAGGTGGTCCCAAGGTCTGCTCTGTTGCTCTGAGCTGCTCTGACAGAAGCAGAATCAGGTCCTAGCCTGTGATGAAGTCTTTATCTCAGTGCTCACATTTCTCTTTTGAGTGTTCTCAAGTTCTTTCTCATGTCAGTGGACACGTAATTAAAGTTGTCAAGAAAAAATAAGGCAAATAAATGAGTGTTGAAACTTATGCAACATTTATGTGTGATTTGTTTGTTCTTTTTGTTAGATTTACAGTAAACTCTGTACTGTTGCAGATATGAGGCACCAGATATCAACAATATAATGTTAAAATATAAGTAAAGTGGTGCTTTAGTTGGTTTGAATGTAGACCTCTGTTTCATACACTTACAGAAATATTTAGGCCTCATTGCATACAAAATTTCCATCCATTTGAATAACTTAGATTTAACATAAACAGGCCATTTAACATTATTTGCTGCCTATTTGTCAGTCAAATGTAACTGAAACAATTAAGAACGAGATTTATGTAAAATTTCCAATAAACCCAATGCATTTAGAATGAATAATTTTTGTATTCATCATTGATAACACTTAATTGTAACTACATGAATCTTGGTTGATCCCCAGCTCATCATATTTAAACTATATTCATATATTTTTACTGGTTAACCCTCCTCCTGTGTTAGGATCTGCACTGACCCGAGTTTGATTTAAATGCTTAAAAGAACCACATAAATTAGCTTTTTTGCATCAATACTTGTTGACTTTGTCAGGAACTTCTATTTCAACAAAATAAAAATAAAAAAATTAAATTGTCCAAATTATAAAATGATCTTATTAAAATTATGGCCCTTGTCTTGTTAGGGTCGCTGTTGACCCGGTTAGATCAATATGTAATAATTAGAGCAAAAACTGAAATCATATGTGCACTGTCAGGCACCACACTGACAGTCAGATCCCCTTCCAATCATGTGAGGTTTAGGAAATTCTCATTTTGCCATGTTTTTCTCTGCACAAAAAACAACAGTCCAGACATGTGAGATCAGTTCAGTACATCTGTGTGAGGGGTATACTGACAAAGAAAGACACAGAGGACCACAACAAAAATATTATAAGCAATATTTTCATGGATAATGAAGCCGAACAAGGTAACCTAGAGATGAGAACCAAACTGGATGATAGAAAATTGTTTTTAGAGTAATTTGCAGCTGATTTAAGACACAGGTCAAAACCGACCCTTAACATAGTGGGTGCATAGTAACAGCTAACACAGGAGGAAGGTTAAATTGAATAGTTATCAGAATAAAAGATTTATGCAGATTTTAAGAAATTTAAATTAATATAATCAAAAAATGTCATAATTTAAATAAAGTCAAATAGATGTAAATACTAAGTGAAGTGTATTACGAAGTGACTTCTTGAAAATACAATTACTTTTTTTTAGGAGAATAGTAATCTATCCTTTATATATTTCAAATCAAGTGTTGAACTGCAAAGATATCTCAGTTTTTTCATCTTAGTTTTTCCGATTACCTGAAACCTTCAGTGTGTATGAGGATAGATTTTTTCTTTTGAAAGAGGTAGATTCATAATTCCGTAAAGAAAGATCTTCCCTGCATAAGTAGAGCAGCCAAGCTCTTAAGCATATAAATAAAGCATAGAGAGGGAGTTTGAAGTGTGAATACTTCCCTCAGCTCATGATGTTTTTAGCTTCACATGTGGTTAACGTACAGAAAACTGTGATTTGTTCATCTTTTCAGGCTCAGCGTTCAAAGAGATAAAAAAGGACCAGGCTTTTGCCGACAGAGGAAAAAAATGAATAACACAACACAATGCTCGTCATTTCTGTTGTATAACAGTTTGTACTTTTGCTCAAGGTGAACAGAGCGAGGCTGTTGTGCAGCCTTCTATTATTGATTATGCGCTCAGCATGTCCTCAGCTGCAGCAGACTAATCCCCTAATAACAGAGGCAGAAATACCCAACCTGACACAAAGGCCCTGGACTGAGTGAGGGGCAGTGGGCTCCCATGAGGCACTGGGGTTACAGCAGACTATTGATGAACAGTACGTTTAGTAGCATTACTGTAGGACTTGTCTGTGTGATAAATGCTGAATATTTAAACAAGCTGTATTTCTCTTTTCAGATTCTGTCTGTCTGCCCATCTGTGCTTGTTCTTAACTTGAGTACATTAAATGAGTAAACACGGGTTAAAATAACTGTTTAATTCAAACCTACAGGTGGCAAAGAGAAAGCAGGGTCATAAATATAACTTGATAGCTGCCTGTGTTAGTTCACAAAGCTTTGAATCAAATATAGTCATTGCACTTGTTATATTTATACAAGCATAGGAAATTGTATTCCAATAGGAAAGATGGCAGCAATGTTAAATAAAGGATTTGCATAAATATTTGCTGAGTCACAGGTCAGGCAGCTGTAACAGCAGCTTTGAGGAGTTTTTTTTTTTTTTTTTTTTTTACATTTATGGAAAAGACCACAACTCATGTTGGTGCTTTTTAATGATATCTGAAAGAAACAAGTTCATCCCAGACACGACTGATGATTTTTATATCGGCCCTTTCAATGCCTGAAGCTGGTGTGAGGGATCAGCTGAGCAGCTGAGGAAAAATCCTGTTTTTAACTCATGAAATATTGAAAAATTCAACATTTGATTGTCAAAAGACAGCAGGGTGACAGTTCTTTGGCTAATCTTGGAGGGCAAGATAAAGAAAGATGGCTCTGTCCACACAAATTTACACCAAAAGTTCACGACAGGAGCTTTAACTGCTGTAGAGACATGGATACCACAGCTGTACAGTCTTTCGACATGGAAGAGATTTTCTCTTCGGATGTATTAACTTGAATGAATAAATATGTCTTTTTGTTTGACAAGATGTGGACTTAGGTGTTTGCAATGGAATAAATATAGAATATGAGGGTTTTGTCTTTGGTCAAACTCAGTAAAATAATTATTATAATATCACAAAATTTTAAACAGCTTCTTTCAGTCAGGGGATTTCCTGTTTTACATGGATCACATGTTCATAATGCACAAATCATAGATGACTTTTTCTCTGCTTTTCATGGCCTCTGAACAGCTTTACAGATGATGGCCTTAGAGGGAAATATTTCTTTGCTGCAATACCCGAACTGGCCACTTGGAAAAAAAATGAATGCAAGCCAAAGTAGCAACATACTGTACTCTATATCCGGGTCTTAATAATAAATAGATCTTAAGGGACTGTGCGAGCAGTGGCTGTTATGTGCGTCACAAAGTTGAACTAAAACAGTTGCTGACGGCAGATTAATTTGTCTTTCTTTAACAAACTCTTTGTTGCTCCAAAGCTGAGTCTCTATACCACAGGAAGTTACAAACTCATGCCCAGGTCAAACAGCAAAGGACAACATGAGTGACCGTCATCCTGGGTCATAAATAAACTAACACACACACACATCCATACACACAGAGGTGCGTGCTTTATCACACATGCAAACACCCAGATACACACACTCTTACACTCATGCAGCCTATAGCCTGCAGTTGGCTACTACATACATTCACAGAGCTATTGTTCTATATTTCCAGGTGCTGGTCACCCAATCCACCGTCTTTAATTATGCACAGTAAGAAGGGCCCCCATCTGAGGTGTGGGCAGGTGATGCTGCTCCTTGGTCTTACAGTTTATTGGCTGCTTCAGATCAAAAAGACAACACCCTCTGGCTTTCCTCCCTCTGTATTTACCGTTTCCTATCATTTTCATTTTCGGGATATCCTCTGACACACAATCCCACAGTCTCTGGACCAAACTGTAAGTACTGCATGCATATTGTGTGGATTTCAATAACCGTAACTGAGGTTAACTATATCAAATCTTGAGATAAGTTGAAATAATAAATACAAGAACAGGAATTTAAAGACTGGCACTGAACAAAATTACTTGATATTAATGGTTATTTATTTCAAAGCATTATTTTTACATAATGCCATAATAAGATCCATATTTTGCTTTGTGAAATTTTATATATGTGAGATTTTTCTTAAAAGACACTTGTAGATATGCAGCAGAAGAAATTTATGAAGGGTAAATAAAATAAATTTGCAAATATGATTATGATAAATGCTTTCTCAGTTACACGTATGATAATGGCATACAAAAAGACATGTATAGCCTACTTAGCACAAATTCTCTAAAAATTACATAGTCATTAAATTGCAGGAAACGCTGTAAATGTTCATGTACTATCAGGCTATTGAATGGCATGCAGCTTGTGAATCAGTAAGCAGGATATCATGTCTCTCCACACTTTCTCCTTTGCTCTGTCGGAGCTACGCTACCTTTACTGACCAGGGTACTGTTTCACTGCTTCTTGTTTTTTGTTCAAAGTACTACCATCTTTACAGTGAGAAGTGCTCATGTGTGTCTGCGCATGTGTGTGTGTACATGTCTGTGCCATCCATGGGGTCTCATATAGGATTACCATCGATTGTTGAAGTGCTGAATGACTCTGTACGTGATGTTCCTTTCCTAGAGGCTCGTCATTTTTGGCCACTCTGACTGGTTGTTGCCACAGTATCACCCTTCCTTGTTCTTTTCAGAAAGAGGAGATCCTGCTGCTGCCAAACGCTAGACTTTGAATAACCATGGAGAGCAACAAGGTGACCAATCAACAATGCAAGGACAATGCATGTGGAGGCATTTAATATGGCTGTATCTATTACAGTATTTAAAGTTGGAAAGAAGCCATTAGTAGCACTTGGTACTCAAATGATTCAGCAGTGTCTGGACTGAGATATAATGTGTTAATTTGATTTATATATGTAAAAAACGTATATCGCCTGTTCATACGACTTTGAGATTTGGGGTAAATAATAAAAACATTTTGATTTTCTATCTGTGTAGGTTGTGTTTAAATGTTGGACCGCCTGTTTTTGGTGGTTTGCTTACCAAACTGCATGTACGTTTGTGTGTGTTCCCCAGCAGCCAGTGAAGGAGGTGCTCCCCCTGCCTCGCCACCCTCCCTCTCTTCCTGTGACCTCTTCCCCTCTGGCACCTGCTGCCTCCTTAAAAGGACACACCACAGGCTCCATCCAGCATGTGCAGGTGGCCTCTTCAGGTGACTGACAGAGACATACCACATCCACATCTCTCAGTGCATCAGTAGTACTTAAAGAAACAGGTTTTGTTGCTTTGAATGGATACTTTAACCACTGAGCATTTTGGGTCTAAATTTAGACGTCTAAATGTAGCCTAGACGACTGGTCTAACATCAGACTACCACTGGTCAAAAAATGAAAGTTTTTTAGATGTCTAAATTTAGACCAAGTTGAGACCCAGTCTAAATCTAGGCTTTATCTATACTACACTGTATATAGCTCAACGGCTATCATAATAATTTTGGTTAAGTACTTGGTAATCAGTTATGAAATTCACAGTTGCTTTTTGAAATAAATGGTTTTTGAATAATGGGTTAAAGTGCAACCTCTAAATTAAATCTAAAAATATACAGAATCTAAGCACTTGAACTTAGGTCTAAAAAACTAGACGTCTAATAGTCGTCTATTGTGCAGTTGGTAATTTCTGTTTTGTTCATTTTTTTTTTTCAATTACAACTTCATTATTTTTTTGTGTCTATTTACAGTGGTTTCATCATTCAATCATCTGAGGCTTCCAGAGAGGGATCTCACGCTCATGTCTCACATGAAGTCCATAAAGTCTCTGAGACAAGCTGGCCTCACCGCAGTCTTCACTAAACAAGCGGTGAGCTTGCTGACGCAGCCTTTCGGATGAAGATAAACCCTGAATAAAGTGAAATAAATAACATTAAAATGGCATTATAAGAAATAGTAATAACAATGTTTTCTCTCAGCAAAAACATTGTTTGATGTTGAGACTGATCAACTGCAAAAATAATACCGAGGCTATAGTGGCTTCAAGCGGAGCAACCTGCTTGAGGACCATTATCTCAGTACATGGGGTTCACAACTAAACCAGATTTGACTAAATCAGACCTCCAAAGAGTACTGTTATTATATCATGACAGTTGTATCAAAAAGCAGCATTAAATGGCCCTCTCTGTCCCTCTCAAACAATGGTAGAAGCTGGAAAGTGAGGATAAGTTGGAGGAAGTGCCCATCGTAGACGTGATTTTGGCCGACATCGACTCCTTGGTGCCCACTCATGATGAAGCAGGCCGACCTATAGCCGAGTGGAAACGTCAGGTGATGGTGCGGCAGCTGCAGGTCAGACTGCAGGATGAGGAGGAGCAAAGGAAACAGGTACAGGTACATGTGTGTATCTGAATACAATGAAAGCACAGTCATACTTGAAGAAGGAGAGACTGTCTATATCAGTTTGAGGTGAGCTAAAATCTATTTGTCCCTCAAACAGGACATGACTAATGGCTGCACTCCCATGGATGGCTGGAAGTACTCGCAAGCCCACAATGCGGTTTTGGGGCCTTTTGGAGAGCTTCTAACAGAGGATGACTTGGTGTACCTGCAGAAGCAGATCGAGGCTGTTTCCCTGCAGAAACGCTGCCAGGCCTATGAGCTGGAGCTAACCAGGCTGACTGAAGAGCTGAAGTCCATTTTACCTGATCAGATCCTTAACATCTCTCTAAATAAAGAGCTTCTGCAACAGATGGATGCAGGGAAAATGCAGCTGACTTTGCCAGTGTGGTGCAATCGTGTCTCTGAGATTGTTAAGAGCATGTCCTTACTGGTGGCGAATCTCACTCAAAGTACAGAAGAGGGAGGCAAGAAGACGATAGTTGAAGGTATGATGGCGGAGGTGAGGGGTTTGAAGGGGGTGAGAGACAGTTTAGAGTTGAATCTAGGCCAGGGATTGGTGCCAGACATTGTACCAGCACATGGTGACACTTCGAGTGGGTGTAAAATCCCTCATGTCGGGATGGCATCAGCTTTTAGCCACCGACTTGAAACCAATAACTACAACAGAGCGCGTAGAGAGAGGGTGGAGAAAGAGATTCAGCAGTCTGGGGTGTCGGTCAGGAGCCTCAGATCTAACTTTGAAGGTCAGATTGGTGGTATCTATCCCTTTGCTGGGGTTGTGACAGGAGGCCAGGCAGGGTTTGAACAGAAAAACCAGAATGCTAATTCAATCCTCAATTGTAAAGACAGTCAACATGATCCTCCTAAGAAAAACAAACCTGTGATGGAGTCTACCAGTTTGAGAAAGGAACGGATCGTGGTGCTATTCCTGAGCCACTGGAAGAAATCTGCATATGCTATTTCGGTGAGAACAGCACGGCAGAGGCAGGACGCAGCTGCTGGGAGAGGAACTGCAGCTTCAACCCCACAGAAAATCACCTCCATGTTTAAATTCTGCCGGCAAAGAGTAGCTGTGCACAAGATGCTCAACACCTGGAGGAACAAAGTAGGACTCAAAGATGCACAAAAGCCTAATTTTTCCCCCAACTCCACACTAAATCCACCTCTTCAAGTTATCTATTCACCAGAGCAGTTTCTTCCAGATATCGATGGTGTTGCAGTGACCCATGACAGCCTGACGCTTGACCTCTTCATGCTGGGCTACTTCCACATTTTAGAACAAGAGCTCTCACCAGAGGAGAGGAAGATGAGGCACCTCCTCTGCTTTGAAGTCTTCGACCATGTCGGCAGTTTTTCCTGGGAGATAGTGAGGGATTTCCACAAGACTGTACTCCAGGAGATCCAGACCGGGAGGCGGAAGTGGAGCGACGGCTTTGAGGATATCAAAGTTCGCTACTTTAGGGACGCAAAACCATGCCGCTGTCCTTCACCATCATCATCACCATCAAACTCAAGACTCATACCAAAAGTTATAGTCCAAAATGCCACTCCAGATGAAAGTGGAAGTGACACGGACTTCTCCAATTTTAACAATGAGGATATTTGTAAATACATTGACCGCAGCTTTGCTTTCTGGAAGGAGAAGGAGGCAGAGCTTTTTAATTTTGAGCATTAGTACTGAGGTCAAATTAAAATGTAATATTCATGTACAAAAGCATGTAATATTGAGGAAATCAAGGAGAAAGAAATACAACAGAAGGGATGATGATGTTGATGCAGTTTGGATACATACTTAATTGATGGAGAAGATTTCTTGTACAGGAATTACAAGGATTTGAAAAACTGAATAAAAAAGCTGCAGAGTCTGGTAAAAAAGTTGAATAACACCGGAAATAAGAGGAAATACTGGGAAGCAGATGCAAGTTAGAGAATCTAGTCCTTTTACAAAAATAATGAAATGAAAATACTTGAAGAAAATGGCCTCCAAATTTGGTGCTAAATGGGTTAATTGAACAAAAGGATGCTCATCTGCAGTTTTAGTGATTGATCTGATCTACAGATGGTTGCGAGCCCAACTTTAGATTTTTTTTCTATGGATGGAAGCTAAACTGCATTATCTTTAAAGGCACTGATGCTAACCTGCACAGTCTCATTGTGCAGTGGAATAACTTTATAGTTCTGTTAGGTTGAAACTATAAAGTGCATTATCAATCAGAACCAAGGTATGGTCCAAAAGGCAAAGTAAGGATGGGGATAAACAAGCCCTTTCATCCAAGGTATAGCTTGGTACACATAACATTAAAAAAAGGCAAAAAAAAAAAGTCAAAAACCACCTAGCGGTCAGATCAGAAAATATTATGATATTCAAGGCAGTGTATTCGGATGCTGCCGGAGTCAAGACAAATTAGCACAGAAAGAGTGGAATAAAATACTCTGGTAAGTGGAGACTGTTAGACACACATTAGGAAAGGGTAAGTAAGAAACACAGGAAGACAAGCGGAGGATCTACTACAAGAAACAAGGGTGAGTATCAAATTAAGACAGGAAACACAAGTTTTATAAATCAGATTCACCAAACATGTTTATCTGCAAACATTCAAAGATGGCCTGTCAGACTTGGCTAACAGATCACAGTGATGAGTGAATCATGAGCAACCATTGACAAACCTCAAGGTCCAGTGATAAACAATATTCAAAGACTGGAAGGGTTTGGTTGGTACACAGCACATCCCCGTAATCAAGTACAGGCAGATAGACCACTGATACAAGAAGTTTCCTAGCTCCAATGGAGAAACAGGATCCATTTCAAAAGGAAACACCCAGCTTCATCCTGAGTTTGAGGACCAAGTTTGCAATGTGTGCTTTAAACTATAGCTTGTATTGGTGAGATGTTCACTGGTAACTCACTTAACTCACTTGCTATCTGCATTCAAATCTTATTTAACTTTCTGCAGAGAGAGTGGACAGCATTAAAAGCTGAATGTCAAGACTCAAAAGTGTGTAATAAATGATGGTGTCATCAGCATACAAATAATTCAATAATTCACTTGACAAGTTATCACAACAGATTATTGACATAGGTGGAAAATAAAACAGGTCCTAGGACTGAACCTTGGGGTACACCCTTAAAGTCCCCCAGAAAAAAAGAGCTGAAACCAGTCGGGGGAAATGTATCAGTAAACTGCGGTCTACTGAGTCAACTAACTTCTCACTGATATCTAAGCATGATACAGATGTTGTAATCCTGAGTGACAACATTTTAATCTTCCAGGCTAAATTCTTTGAAAACTCATAAAGATGAAGTTTGTCCAAATTCACAATGGAAAGTGTAGAAAAGAATTGCATGGAATTTCTTGCCTTAATGTCAAAAATTCATATTGGGCAATGTTCAAATTACTGATAAAAATATTTATATACACTTTACTCGAAGCCTATCTTTTTAATGCATTATAAATATATGTATAACGTTATACATATAATAACGTTATTATCATGTTATAGCACTGTATAACTATAGTTATAAACACTCATAAATGATCATAATGCTTTATAGCAATAATCATAACACATTATAAAGTATTTTATCATGACTTACAAGGTCAGGTATTATAATGTGTTATAACTGTTAACAACTCACTGACAATGATCATATAGATAGTGCATTAAAACTGTTAAAATTGTAAAAACCTAAAATAAATTTTAAAATTGTTTTTAATTGTATTTAATTTATTAATGGTCTATATGCTATTTATAAATGATGATTGAACATTAATAAACCTGCTTACCATTTATAAATGGTCTATTTACCATTTATAAGTTATGGTTATTGTAAAAGGTTACCCAAATTTCTTGGTCATACATTTCGACGTTTCCTCATCAGTTTTGCTTTAGGTTCCTTCGAAAGGTGACGAATTAAAAAAAGGTGAGGTTGCGCCTGCGCAGTAGCCCCTAAATTGACAGGAGGATGCTGAGCTGCATTCCCATCATTCTGTGAGGAGAGGAGGACCCCCCTGCGCAGCCACCACGGAGAAGGAGAAACCCGAGCGATAAGAACATATAAAAATAATCCGAGTAGAGCTCTTTATCTGTCGCCATGTCAGCTGGAGGAGATTTGGGGAACCCCCTGAGGAAATTTAAACTCGTGTTTTTGGGAGAGCAGAGCGGTGAGTCAGTTCTCGAGGTGTTATCATCCTCCCTTTACGCAAGCCAAACATGTGTATACCGATGTTGAAGGCCATGTATGTATGTAATCCGTGTTGATTTGAAAGAAAGTTGAGCTTGAATCTTGAGGATGAGCCGGCTGGATGTGGATCGTTTGACGCCCATGGAGCTTTTGGCACATTCTGTGACTGTGGGAAATTTGATTAGCAGGGGAAGAAAAAAGGAAAAAGAAGAAAAGACCGCATGTATATAAACTCCACCCAATCCTAGTCATGGTAAAGCTTCTAATCCAAGTAAAGGATATCATGAGGGCTTGTTAGATCCTCTTATATCCTCATAGTTCGCATCATTGCAGCCGATATGAACTGGGATGTTTTGATGTGCTGCAGTGACCGACAGATATGCTCAGACTGTTTTCATGTGAGCTTTTATTTCACACACCTTTTATTTCCCCACAACAACAATCGTTTATACAACACCACAGTGACACACTCTGTCATTTCTCCATCAGTCGTGTTTCAGTTTTAACCGAGGAGATAATAAACAGTCTCCCATGTGTCAGTTCGGGACACACCCTAGGCTGGCGATGTCTGTAGCATCTCTAAAAGCTCGCAGTCTCCGGCCCGGTCCCATAAATTATCAAATAAAAACGGGCCTGACAGTGCCACAACGTTATACTATATGTTCAATAATCCATTTGGTCAGGGTGGGACAGTGTGTCTGAGGATATTTGTGTGTGTTTGTGTGATTTGATGTGATGGCACAAATTCGGGAGGTGCTGATCGATAATGGTTTAGCGCTGTGAAGCTGCCTGGATACGTGTTCAGACATCAGACACAGGGTGATAGAAGAGGAGGACATATCCCATAAAATACAGAAAAAAAACACACACACACAATCAGGCAGAAGCTGCACTGTTTGTGTCTGACATTGTGATGCTTGAGTGTGTGTCTATGTGGAGGCTGTGTGTCGACCAGAAGCCTCCCAGTGTGTTTGTGTGGCCTGTGCTGCAATGTTGCTGTCCATGGTGCTGAATCGAGGCCTGCTGTGGCCACTGCCCATGGTTTGATTCAGGGTCTGTACCGCTTGTCTGCGTGTGAGACCGAGGCCTGCCGGAGAATCCTCCCGTCCCCCTCTTCGTGAGTGTAGATCTGATGTAAAATGGAGCTAAAGATGAACACCAAATAAGAATCACGCTCACTAAAAATGAGCTCACCTTGATGCTCTGGAAGTCAACATCCAGCTTGCGAATGAACGCTGCTAGAAATTACAGGGGGTTAGATCTTTACTGTGGGGTGACATTTTGAAGGAACATGTCACAAACATGAATACGACATTTGTTTCCCATCTTTCAAATACAAGACAGATCAGGCTATTTAATGTTAATATTTCAAGATATATTTACAGCAAAGACCAGAGCCATATACGACATCTTGTTGTTTTGGCCTCTGAGGTTAGAAATATGCTTTCCAAGATGGACCTTTTGGCACTTAATATGTATTTACAGTAGAAAAACAGCTACACATATACTAAAAATGATTTTCCCTGGTCTTAAAGATCACAATCTTAACATACCTGTTCCTTTTTCCTTCAGATTTTAAGAAAACATCCATAAGAAGTACAAGTTATATTATTTTTTTTACATGGAATCGTTTAGTATTGATAAAAGGTTAAATTAAATGAGAAAACTTTAGGATCTGAGGGACACTGAGGTTACATGTTTTCATCCCATTGTGTTAAATTTCATATCTGGAATTTCTTGCGGTAACATTTAAGTTAAAACTAGTTTCTGATCTTTGTTCCAGTGGGGAAAACATCTCTCATCACTAGATTCATGTATGACAGCTTCGACAACACATATCAGGTGAGTCTCTAAACAGATCCTCAACTAAACAAATCAGAGGAGTAGCACATTTATTTATAAAACCAAATGCATGCTACGATTAATGACTGTATTTATGTGAATATATGAATTATATATTTGACAGTCATCCTTTAACTGATAAGAAGAGGATGGTTGATCGAATAAAATACAACTTACAACTTAATGATGCTGCAAATTTTAGCTTAAATTGAGGGAAATACAGTAAGTTGCACTGATAACATCCTATTTTGACAGCGTCAGTGCCGTTTTCAAGGTGCACAGCCAGAGCCGGCCCAAGCCTCAATGAGGCCCCAAGCAAAATTTAATTTTGGAGCCCTCTATTTCTGCCAATAATATTGATTGTTGATCATTCACACACCTTCACAATTCTCTTTAACATCCCATGACATGCAAAAATACCTTTATCTTGGCATTTTTTCTCTTCTTTCTCTTTCTTTTCTCTGCTCCTGAAGGATATGTCCTTTTTTGCAACATTGTTTTGCCCACAACTACCTGCACTATGGATGCTCAGTGCACATTGCACAGCTAGAGGCACATAACGGTAGAGGTGCTTTGACATATCGGATGTAAGAATCATAGGCCTACATCAGCAGCAGCACAAAAATGTTTTTACTGTATTTTATTTTTACAATAATATATATTTGATCATACAGAAAGCATCACTCATACATGCAAAAATAAAAAAAATATCTAAAACTTTTCTTTTGACTGATCTTGGGGGCCCCCTATTGGTCGCGGGGCCCTAAGCAGGCTCTTAGTTCGCTTATGCCTTCGGCCGGCTCTGTGCACAGCTTTTTTTTGGCTGTAATGGAAGATAACATAGATAGTTCTCTTCATATGAAAAAAACAAGGTTCATAACAGGTGCAAATGTTGGAGTAATCACAGTGATACAAATGAAATGAGTTTTTCAGTCTGATTCAGATTCACTGAAGGTCAGCTCTTCTCTGTTGTACTACCTTCTGTGTTTTCCAGTCAGTCTTCGAGGATTGACACATGTTGTAGAGATATAGTCTGAGGATTTTCTCCTTTTTTTGTTCCTTCCTCTCCACAGGCCACCATTGGAATAGACTTTCTATCGAAGACCATGTACCTGGAGGACCGAACAGTAGGAAACTTTGATTTTCATCCTTAAAGCACCTATAGATAATCCTGTGGAATATATTTTTACATGTGCCATTTTAACCAGTACCACACATGCAAAGTATTAGATGTCCCACTTTCTCTCAGTTTTCACTAATCCTTGATTTGATTTGCTTAATTACCGCTCTCCTTACAGACTAACGCGATTATCCTTTGGTTATTTCTGTTGGTAATAGCTTTGGTGTGTTGGCTTAAGAAGTCAAAGCCTTTCCCACGGATGATCTTCTTTAGCTAGTTTTAATACTATTTCACTGTCAGGGAATATGTTCTGTCAGCCTGCTCACACACTGATACTGGCTTATCCCTCTGGGTGTGTACTTATAAGGCCCAAACATCTGTGTGTAGGATGATGGGTAATATGGGCACAACTGCTGAGGGTGTGCATGTCTCTGTGTTTGTTCAGGTAAGGCTGCAGCTCTGGGATACTGCCGGGCAGGAACGTTTCAGGAGTCTCATCCCCAGCTACATTCGAGACTCTACGGTCGCCGTGGTCGTCTATGACATCACAAGTGAGCAGCGAAATGCTAGTTGTTTTCTGTAGCTCATGCGCAAAAATGTCTTTAAGAAGAAACGTTTGTACGCGGGGTTTCCTCTGAAAAATTATTTGATCCCAACAGACGTGAACTCATTCCAGCAGACCTGCAAATGGATCGATGATGTCAGGACAGAGAGAGGAAGTGATGTCATCATTATGCTAGTTGGCAACAAAACAGATCTGGAAGAGAAGAGGTGAGTTTGTCAAAGCGTACAATCATTTTTTTTTCTTTCTGCAGTATGTAGCTGCAGTTAAAGTAGATATTGGAGCAGGGAGGCAAATGTCAGTGGTGAATAATTAGCCTTTGACGTTATGACGGTGAGTCTGGCCTGATTTTTCCTGCAGGCAAATCATGATCGAGGAAGGCGAGCAGAGAGCCAAAGAACTGAACGTCATGTTCATTGAGACCAGTGCCAAGACGGGCTTCAATGTCAAACAGGTGATTCTCGCTGTTTTATCCATATTTCACTGCGTTTTGGTGTCAGGGCTGTTCAGGCCAATTTCTGCCTGCAAGGTTATTGGCACTATCAATAATAATCAATTGTTATCACATTCATCATATGCAATATACACTGACCGACTGAACATTCATAGAAGATACATATTTGATGCAGGATCGTACATGTCTACATTGAAAGAGGCTCATATTTCTAATAAACTGTCTAAATACTTTTCTCAATTATTGCCCAAAAATTTAACAACTCAGCTCTCAAAGTCTGTCAGATTAAAAATTAAAGTGTACAAGGAACAAAAACTCCATCGTCAACTAAGATGTTGAATTTTTTACTCAACAAACAGCTGCCTTTTCTGCTCATGCTCTGTGCATATCTCCTTCCCTTTTTCCTTTTCCCCTACTTCCTTTCCTCTTTTTATCTCCTCCCTTCCTTTCCTTTTCTCCTCCTCTCTTCATAGCTCTTTCGCCGGGTTGCTGCAGCCCTACCTGGAATGGAAAGCTTGGACGATGCGAACCCTGAAGGCAGTATCCTTTACAGCCACTGTGACTCACTGTGCTGAGAGCCAGGCGGCCAAGAAACAGGCAGCTTATTTTTAATCTCTTAGTGGTTGTTGGCACCAGTACAAACAGACCGCCCAGTCTACTGTCTACTCAGGCATCAGCCATTAAACCATTTCTGCTTAATAGAGAGGAAATACACAGAGCCAAGGGGGTAGTGTGGATACACAGGTACAGCATCACATAGTGGCCGTCTAGGGAATGACATGTAGAGAGGAAGTTGAAAAAAGATAGGACTGGATAAAAAGAGACATGCTTAGCGAAATTATGAGAGGACATTTGGAGAAATGAAAACAAAGTGCTGTGTGTTTTTTAGTAACTTTAAAAAATTATTTAAACTCACATTTGACTTTGGATTACAGGGCTACAGTAATAATCTAAAACACGAGTATGGAAATCACAAAATAGCTTACATAGCAAGTATCTGTTATAACTGAGAATCAACTTTAGTTTTTTAGTACGTTTTAGTGCGTGTAAAAATGTCCATGTTATGAATCAATTTCAAATGTTCTCTGCAGTGTTTTTTACTGCATTCCCTTTAGTATCTTATTAGTATGACAGTCAATGCTGTAGCTAAACCTTTTAAAATCAGGGCATCTGCGATACCAGAAATTTCAAACTCAGCTTCTTTAAGGAACTCTCATTTCTCATTTTTACTCATTTCTGTGGACAAATCAGTGCCTTTTACTTATTGTTGGTTTTGTTTTGTACATTTGAAAATCATGTTTTGAACCAAAATCACTATGACGTATCTCACATTAGAAATATCAGCTGTTTGGCTGAATTCAGTTAATCAACCTGATTGATTCTACCACCTGCACATGGTTTTGTACAAACAGCTAGATGAATCAGTCTCATCATTGATGGTCTTATTGTCTTTGTAGGTCATATAAAGGCATCAGCATGAATTTCGGTCTGTTTTGTGATAAGATTTAAAATAAAAAACTACCTATTTCAAAGATGCAGGTAATATGTAATGTGACTTTTTCCACAGCTACTTGTCTATTCTTTAACTGTATACTTCCCAGTGATTGACATCAAACTGGACAAACCGGCAGAGCCCACTGTCCCTGAGGGCGGGTGCTCCTGTTAATGCAGAGCTGGAACCGGACAGCTCCCTTCACACCATAGGCTTGTTGTGTTGCTTACTACTGGTTAGCTTCCAGTTGACTTCTCTAATTGGATATAGGATGTGGCCTTGTATCTGATTGGACAAATCAAATGTTATCTTTCAGTCTTGTTCAGTTGTAAAATATTGTATACTTTGTCAATATGTAAGTGACTGGAGGAGAAAAGGGAAACAAAAAAAACGAACAAAAACAAATGCTGAAATAAAAACGAACAAAAAAAAAACAGTTTTGGAAAATGAAAAAAGGAGAAAAATGGGACAACCAACTGAATTCTTTTCGCTGTTATGTTTTGTATTTTTTATATATAAAAAGGGAAAGCACCAAAAATGATGCCTAAACATAGAAGGAGGAAAAGCGGTGGGGGTCGGCCATTTTTGTAGATGGCTGAACACGTCTGAATGTCTGCAGCACGCATGCACGCTGATCTGATCTTTGACCTTTGGCCTGCCCTCCAGGGTCTCCACACTCCGGGAGGAGGTTGACTATCTTAGAATGTTTTATAGCATCTCTCTATAGCATCTCATGACAAAATGTATCTCATTTGATATTCCCACAAGAGTCCAGTAGGTTCACCTTACAGTAGCTGTGAAAATGTGGCACTCTCTCTCTCTCTCTCTTACTCTCTTACTCTCTCTCTCTCTCTCTCTCTATGGGTTTAACTTTTATAGAACAAACTGTACTGTGGTTAAAAAAAGAAGAAGTAATAAAAAAAAGACTACTTACTATCACAACCCCCCCCTCCCTCAAACCACTCCTCCCTTTTTCCTCTAACTTCTCCTCCCCTTCCAGTCTCCCCCATCCCTTCATCCCGGTAATACACATATAACGATCCACTGTAATGCACTGCACTGTATATAAAAATGTAATATGTATGTTGTGAACGTCCCTCTGTAGAAGTGGTCTTTGTTCACCAGTATGAATAATGTAATAATGTTTAATGATTAATAAATTACAGATTAAAGGGCTTCACTCTCCTACCATCAACATTTATCTGGTAGCAGAAATTGTCTACTCCATTTCAAAATTTGTTTTAGTTGTTTTAGTGATTAAATCTTTCAAAGCTACACATTTTGAATAGGTAACTTCCAGATCAACAAAGTGAAGAGGTTGTACTTTTTTCCAACATAAAGGCATATTTCAAATGTCAGGTTTCACTTCTCAAAGACAAAGTAATACCTGGAGGTTGATGGGAAAGTATTAGCTTGATAAACTACAGATTTATCCAACTCAATACATTAAAGAGGTTTTTATCTCAGGTGTCGGTTTATAAAAACTGGATGTAATTTTGATGACATTGAAGTGACACATACAAAGTTAGGCATGGCCAATGTTAGCCAGCGTTATTTGACAGTTAATATATTATTTCTATCTTTCACCAACAGAGGAAACACACACTGGGCTTTAACCTTCCTCCTGTGTTAGCTTTTACTGCGCACCCACCATGTTAAGGGTCGTTTTTGACCTGTGTCTTAAATCAGCTGTAAAACAATTCTCTATCATCCAGTTTGATTACCATGTTAGGCTTCATTAGTCATGAAAATATTGCTTATAATATTTTGTTGTTGTGGTCCTCTGGGCCTTTCTTTGTCAATATACCCCTCACACAGACATCTATACTGAATTGATCTCACATGTCTGGACATGCCCGACGAAGTCACACATGATTGGAAGAGAATCTGACTGTCAGTGTGGTGCCTGACAGTGCACTTATGATTTCATTTTTTGCTCTAATTATTAGATATTAATGTATCCGGGTTGACAGCGACCCTAACACGACAAGTGCCATAATTTAATAAAAGTGTTTTATAATTTAGTCAATTAAATTTTTTATTTTTTTGAAATAGAGGTTTCTGACAAAGTCAAAAATTCTTGATGCAAAAAAAGCTAATTTATGTGGTTCTTTTAAGCATGTAAAAACAAAAACAGGTCGGTGCAGACCCTAACACAGGAGGAGGGTTAGAATACACATTCACTTTTATTTCAAACTAACATTAGCCAAGAGAACGTTAATAGACTTGGTAGTTTAACTTACCAAGCTTGTTGTTTCCCCCTCATATAATCCTCTCTTGGCTTTAGTTCTATACAGGCGTGACATGTGCATCATCTAGTATTGATATCTGTTCTATTCATTCTAATGAAGTGTTAGCAATAGTACCTGACACCTAAATAAGCCTTCACCTAACTGATATATCACAATCCTTTTTCAAACTCTGAAACATTCATGCTTGAGCAACTGAATCATGTTAGAGTAGATTATGGGCTCATGAGTAAACTGATTAAAGTTTTTTTTGGGTTATCAAAATAATTACTGTCAGCGGTCAGCTTTTGCCTGTTAAGCTAAGCCTCTTGAAACCAGCCCTGGTTGCATTAAAGACATTTGAGAACGGACCACCGTTTTTAGTGTCATATTCTCGTTTATAAAAATACACAAAATAGAAACCAAAACAAAATGCAGAGAGCATGCAAATCATATCATATAACCATACAGTCCATCTGAGATTTAGTTAATCATTCTTAGTTTCAGTTTAATCAAGTATATGGTACCTGATCTCCCAGTGGTGAGACTGGGTCTAATAGTCTGTTAGTTAAGGGGAAGTTGAGTTGGAAAGAACCTTTTTCAGAAACTGTCACGCTGATGTCTCAGGTAGTTCAACCAGCTCGACTGATGTAAGCAGGCATTCCCCTTCGTGGACAACTCGCCATTTGATCCCAAGGGGTTTTTTGATGGTCAGCAGGCAGACAGAGACAGTTAGTGCTATTTGTAGAGAAACAAAAGGCCATGGGTGGTTTGGAGATTAAAAACCTTTCATAAAGAGTTTAAAAAGAAGTGAAATGGCCAAATGTAGTGATTTAGATATAAATTAGAAGACTTAAAATACAAAGCTGGAGTGTGAAGTAGTGGCACAATACTTCCTGTCTTGAAAGAGACACACCTCTTGCTTGAAAAAATTCAGGTAAGACCTCAGATGTTTTCAGGTTTGGGTCACTTTGTATTTGAGACAGATCATGTCCAGAGTCGAAGCCTTTAGAGATACGAATCTCCGGTCCCTGCTGAGGGAGTTACGGACTGATATTGCCATGGCAGTAGATGACCCTTTCCCTCTTGTGTATGGTTTGGCTGATAAAAACATAATCTCTGATCAACTTCTGAAGGTAAGGAGAAAAGTCTGTGTCGATTTGATTTTTGACAATGAATGAACTTGAAATGTGTGACGAACGATCGCTGAGTTGTCAACAAAGAAATTCAGTTTTATATAAGACGACATGTCCAAAGAGATTATTGCTCGTGTGCATATCATCTTAAAACTGAGGACATTCGGAACAACACTTTTGCTCACACAGCTGAGTTTGTGCTTCTTTTTTTTTCATTCAAAAGGAAACTCTCGAGAAAGAGGGCAGAGAGGGCATCCATAAGGCCATGTACTCACTCCTTTCCTGGGTCCTGGAGCAGAGCAGATCCACCATCCAGGCCTTCTGGAGCAACTTGTCCAAAGACTACAACCTTGACAGCTACACCAAGCTGCAGACGCTGCTGACAAACTCGCAGCTGAGTATGTAGTGTTCAGTTTTCACCAAAATGATATGAATTACACCACACAGACCAAACTGGATAAAAGACTTGACTTTGGTATAACAGTGTGGCCTATATACTTCCGTACATATCAAATTTTTATGTCATTTTTGAGCTCAATTAATTGATACATTTGTAAAAAATCAAACAAAAAAAAAAAGCTTATTTTCTTTATAAAATGTATCTAAATAACCATCTAGAGCTAGAACATTTCTACTACATGTCCACATTATTTCAAACTTTCCCTTTATCTCAGGACAAAGTTGTTACTTTAGATATAATTATTTTGTCCTTATTTTATTGCCATTTGGCTGACAGGACAGGATTCTGCAGGTTCCAGCTGTGAGAAAAAATCCTCTGGTGTCCACAAAATATCTCACAGCAAGAAAAGGAGTCATGAGGACAGAGGCACCAAGTCTCACAATCAACATCTACAGTATCATGCCAAGACAAGCAACGGAGCAGGTCACTTCTCGTGATACCTCTGACGACAAAGAAATATAATGTAATCGAAGACCTTATTTTCCATTTGAAATAGAAAAGTTGGTGATGAAAACATGTGCTTTTGATTTTTTTCCTGCAGGGAGTAAAGTGAAGTTATTCAGACTGAAGAGTGAAACTACAGCCCAACAGATAACATCTGAAAATGGTTAAAAACACGACTCATATGTTAAAGATAAACCTCTAATACAGCAGATAAATTCATAATCTTTGTTTCTTCTTAGGTCGTTCAAGTGAGGGATCAGCTGCTCTGTCTTTCTCCTCCTCTGGTTCCTTATCGAACCTACAAAGCAGCCATGAAGCCAGAGAAAAGACGCCCATTGTTCAAATGTTTGACTCAAATGTTAAGAGTTTAGGTGAGTGTCTGTGTCTCTCAGTTTCAAATATAAAATATTTCTAAAATCTGAGTCAGTGTGTGTTTTGGACTAGTCTTGATCTTAAGTATTTCTGATTCAACAGGACCTGCCATAAAGTGTATCAAAGTTGGGGAGGAGTTTTACTCTGGTGGTCAGTCAGAGGAGATGAATGACAATGGAGAGGGGACGTTTCACCACAAGGGGGAGACAAACACTTGTGTGGTAAAGACTCGGCTCAGTCACAGTCAACTATATGTCCTTGTGTTTGTTTTTTTTAAGTGTATTATTTGGGTTGGCTCCCTGTTCAGGTTCATTATAACGATGATGAGTGTGCGGTGTGTAAAGACGGGGGTGAGCTCATCTGTTGCGATGGATGTCCCCGGGCTTTTCACCTGACCTGCCTCCACCCTCCACTCATATCCATACCAAGGTAAAAATCAACAATGTTTTAGTCTTTCTGTTTCAGCTGTTATATTAAAATAAGTGAGATAAACGATGATTAATGTGTCTTAGTGTTGTGTTATTCGCGAATGATTTGTTCAAAAGAACCAAATCTTTTAAGTGAACATACTGAACATCACTTCCACAAGTGATTCGTTCGTTTCTCACTTAAGTTGAGCTGAAGTGAGAAATAGTATTGCCAGTCGAGCAGCCGGCGAATGAGGGACCACATGCACCAACTCCTGAATCACTTGGTGAACGATTCACGCATTGAACTACACTCTCTGGAATCATTTTTGTCAGACAAAACTACCTTTTTTTCCCCCCTTCTAAATTGCCACCACAACAACTTGCATACAATAGGACACAGCATGTAACAAGTAGTGCATTGAACCCGCAGCATCCTATCATTGCAGCGGTTTGTGAGGAAACGGTGCATGTTCAGTGTAAATTCTTCTAAGTGAACGAATCACTCACTGAGCCCAGTTTACAGAGCAGACCTGATAAATAGCATACCATAGGACAGTCCACTTAAAACATTGTGACTTATAAACAAGTTCATTTTTACAAAACTTTCTCAGGCTTCTCCCACCAAGCGCAACATGATTCGGTGATTTGGTGAACGAATCTGATTCTAGTGATTCAGTACATCTAAAAGAACTGCCGTGCCCATCACTAATGTGTCTGTTTTTTTTTGTATATGAGCAAATGTATGTTGTACATTTTCTAGAAATTAAGTTTTTGCGCCATATTCAATTGAAAATTTGCAGTGGTCCGTGGCAATGTGAGTGGTGCTGTGGAAGCAGAGTGAAAAGAGAGAAAACCCAACTACCTTTGCAAGTAAGTATCTGAGGGAAGATTGTACGAGAGACTTTATATTTTTCATGCTTTTTTATTTTGCCTCTAACCTTGACGAAACTTTCTTTATGCAAATGTACTATACTGCAAGACTATCAAATACTGATTATCTTGATCACCATCATAATGTTCTGTACTCACAGCCAATCATTGCTCAGCCTCTGCAAACAAACACAAGCTCCAGTTCCTCCATCACAGACTCCTCGCTCTTCTCCTCACTGTCCTCCTCATCTTCTCACACCGCTGCCACAACCTCTATGATCAACCCTGGTGGAAGAAACCCCCAGGTAAAGGTTTGGTGATTTCTTGTTTTTGTAAAATGAAATCTGCTTCAGTCTTTTTGCACATTTTGTGTCACTGTTTCTTGCCATAATAGCTCTGTTCAGATTCAGATACTTCACAAACTGTTGATTAGTACTCAGGTGGAGAGTTAGTGAGTATGAGGGAGGTTTGTGGAGTGTGTCACCTTGGAGGAGGAGGAGACCTGACCCGCTGCCTCCAGTGTCTGCAGCATTTCCACTTGCACTGCCACTTTTCCAAGTAAGACATCCATCCCTCACCTCTTCTGCAACTTAAACTGTTAGTTACAAACTCTTAATGGCAAACTTGTTTATATATTTGTTTAACACCAAGTTACTACAAACTGAGACTTTGGCTGAGCATAAACATTTGTGGCTTCTAAATGTGTATTTGATTGTGCTGTAATAAATATTGTTATGCCACTCAACATTAAAACAAGCAAGACGCCACCACTATGAACGATAAAGAGTCTGATCACCCTCAATAAATGTGCTTGTTTGTCAGAGGGAGATCAATCTGCTTGTCCTGCTCAAAGTCCTGGGTAAGCTCTGCAGAGCAGGACTCTGATTCCCGAGGTGTACAGGTCTGCATAAACACTCTGCAAGTTTACAGACATATATGCACATTTGTTAATTGAATATAACAGAGTGTAATCTATGGAATCTGTCACTATATGTGTGTGAATACAGCTCCCCCAAGTGGTTCAAAACACGCTTTGTCATGGTCAGAGCGCCTCTCCCCATGATCCCACCCTCCATAAGGATGAGCTGGACTCTATTCTGGGAGACGTGAGTGAGGCTCAGTTTTGTATTTGTACGCAGATATGAAAGAAAAAAAACAAACACACCTGTGGTTTTTAATAGTCTCCTGTCCTGGTGAGAACGCAGCTTCATAGAGTTTAGTTGGGGATGTTCCTGAGAAAAAACAGCCTGAAGACGAGAAAAATCCACTGTTGTCATTTTTGATCTGTGAGAATAGGAGAATAAACACCTTTTCAACATATCAACCACAAAAAAAAAATAAAATAAAATAAAATAAATAAATAAATAAGAATTATTTCAGTCAGTTCTCTTGTAACATTTCATAATCCAAATTATTTAATACTAGAAATGTTGGAAAGTTGTATTTGTGTCGTAATAACCAGCTTGGTTATTTTGAGATAAGTGCTGGCATGTATGAATTGATAGCATCTCATGAGTGGAAAAATGAATTAATAAGAAAATGTTCTGATTTAACCTGATAAATCTCTTTATCCACATGAGAATCTGGTAAAGATTATTGTCCGTGCATTCTTCATGTCGATACCGTCACGTGTTGACCATGTGACGGTCGACAGTGCATCCACTCATCTTGCAGTATTTCTGTTTTCTGTCTTTCATCTCTCAGCAGGGCTCCATTGATGGTATCTTCCAGTGGGCTTTCCACAACATGGCCCGTCCTCTTTTAGACTCTCAAGGATGCTTCCAGTGACAGATGAGGACCAGTCTTGCTCTTACTGAGAAGACTCACAGTTTGAAGTTACGGAAACAAAGAAAATGGAAAATATTTTGACTCTGCTTAGCGCCAAATATGATTAAAACTTGAGAAATGACATTCTTGGGATCAACACAACGGAACTGGTCCAATCAGTGCATATTTGCTAGGGTTAAAGTCTGACTTTTAGCGATGCTATTTATACTTTATCCTCAATGACTTGGCAGTCTGAAATGTCAAAATAAAATGCATTTTTATTATTATTAAAATCATAGCTAAAATGTTTTTTTTACCCTCTTAACTTTCGTTAAAGTTTTGTTATTCTTTGTTCTTTGTGTTCCAGCCTTAATCCACCATGACACTCTGATGGGGCTTTAAAGCTATCGCCAAAACTTTAATTTACATACTGAGAGTCTTTTTGGGAAAAAGCTACAAAACAATCCAATCAAAGCTAATTTATTATTATTTTTCTTTTGACAACCCATTTTTATAATTTGTTTCTATCTGAGAGCTCAAATACTTTAGAATATTTTGAAAAAGTGGGTCCAGGTGTCTGGCAGACACTTGTGGAAATGATGCCAGCTTACAAGATGGGGAGGTTAAAGTTTCAGTTTAACTGCTGCATGTGTCTGAGAGAATAGATAACTGAAGAAAGTCTTAGAGATAGTGTTCAATCTGGTGAACACAGCTGTCTCATTACAGCAGATTTTTCCACACATGCACATAGTTCTACAGTGGTATTAAAAGAGAATGCAAACTTCTTCATGTGTGCACATTTTCCTAGCATTGAGGCAAAGAAACTGTCCCTGTAGCTGTGCAGAAGAATCTAAATTCACACGTTGCACCAGATGGTTTCAATAGGACGAGGTATGCACGCTGAGAAATGCCTCTGTTTAACAGGAATTCCTTGAAGACTATCACTTAGATGAGGAATGTTGTTTTTGTCATGGGATTCATGAGTTTTAGCATGACTGTCAGAGAGATGGAGCTCGGCCAGGCTGCTCACAGATTCCTCTCCCCTCGGTATTTGGTTGCCATGGCGCTCGGAGCTTCCACAGGCCCAAAACAGGGGATGAGAAACATGTTCCCCACGTTCCTGTGTGTGTGTTTGTGTGTGTGTGTGTGTGTGTGAGTCTGTTTGTTTATGAACTCACTTTCTAAATGGTTCATGAAACATCCTGCATACTTGTGGGCTCTGCATCTCTGCAGGAAAGGAACATCATGGACAGACAGAGGGCAGTTTTCTTTGAATGACTGCCAAGGACATAAAGAAGAGCGAATAACTCTGAATTCATGAGACGAGAACAATTAAGAAATACTCAAATTCGTGCAAGAGTCTGTATCAACTATGGTTATTATGATCCAAGTTTGTACTCTTGATATTTTACTGCAAAAAATATAATCCATAGAATTCTGATTTCTGTTCAGGTTTCAATCACAACTCTAGCTTTTCTATCACACAAACCTCTCCGGGTTGTAGCTGCATACCACATGAGAGAGCACATGGAAAAACTGATGAAGTTTCCCATGAGCTTGCTGCCTTGTCCAAATGAAAAACACCTGCTCACCACTAGGTGGCAGCCATCTGTGACCAGTTTTTCAGAGGCATGGTACTTTAAGGAAAAGTATAAAAGTTATTTTAAGTGCTTTTTAAAAAAATATCTTTACCTTTAGAGAAGAGGCAATAATTTTAACATGCAGAAAAAAATGTTATGAAACACTCAAGGGCAGCATGGTTAGAAAAGTGTGTCCAAAGGAAGACATACCTGGCTGTCATCCTGCAACAGTTTCTTGCATAAAGAGACATTGGTATTCAGTATCACACCTCCATAATCAACCTCACAGTTCTCTTTTTCAAAACTGCACACCTCAGCATCTCATTAGAGGAAGTATATCATTTTGCAAGATATTGTGCAAGTTTGTAGAGAGGTGAAAATGGCAAAATATGTTTATTTCAACTGCAAGGAATGACTATTCTAATTTCTATTTTTTGTATGTGATAATTCCTGTCTTTAATGTCTATTAAGTTAGAATCAAGGACAGTGACTAGAGCAGAGTGACGAGTGCACACTTGAACATGGGGCACATCATTTTGAATTTGGATGTGTTGGACAAATCAATAAACTTGCAAGAAATTAAGCTTCATTATTTTTCATTATAGTTAAAAACCATGAAATATGGCCTCTCCCTAAAACAGACGATATCTATGGTTTACAAATCTGACAGTAGGTGTACTTTATGATCGCTTCACTCTTACTCGTCCCCTTTGCTGGAGTGTAGCTTCCTTACAACCTAACGTATCTGATTTCTTACTGCCCTGCATTCCTTAAAGAAGTAACGAGGCAGGAATGTCACCAAGGTTATCAGTAGCATGAGCAATGTGTTGTGTAATGTCTCTGTCATCATGTTAAAGAAATAGTCTGACATATAAAGATGCACGCCGAGTCACATTCTTGTTTGAATTCAGATCAGAACATTGGGACCACAATCGCTCATGAGTGAGGTTAGTTCTTAGGGGAAGTGGCTTGAAGAGAAAATATAGCAACACATTGATAAGAAGTCTAAATCAGAGGGAGAGTTTTTCAGATTAAAGGTTTGTGTTTTGGGAAGTCAGCGAGTGAAATTCAGAGGAACACGCCAACAGTCACTTTTCTGTCCTGTTACAAGGTTAAATTCCTCTCACACCTACGCACAGAGACAGACACACTCAGGCACACAAGCAAACACACACATCCTGTTACTGCTCTGTTGGTCACAGGCCTGGAATTCTTTGGAAAATATGATAGGTGAAATTCCCACGATCTGGGCATCCTCTTCTCACATTTTTTGGCGCTTTATAAGTGTGGGCAGCCGTCCAGTCAGTGTTCCTGCTGTGTTTTAAATGGTCTGAGGGTTTCTACAGAGGTAGATCCTAGTTGACTTCCAGTCACTCTGCCCTCCCTATTGTTGTGAGCAGGAAGCTGCGAGAGCCCCCCCTCTGTCAAAGCACCAGGTTTCAGTGTTGAAAGTTTTTCTTCTCTAAACCAATAAGTGATAACAGTGAAAAAGACTGTACAAGTTATTTCCTTGAATTACACGGCTACCAAATATTGACTTTGGTTAGGTCAAGATCCTACAATGAAGATGAGAAGAGGAGATGCCAGGGCCAAATTCATCACACAAGTTCAAAATCAATGGTTGTTTTTTTCAATCAATGGTATGGTTGTATCTCGATAAGGCGATTTAACCAAACTACTGTCCTTGTCCTGTTTTAAATGCAATAGACAAATGATTATTGACTGAAGCATGTCCGCCTCTGATATGGTAGGTAGCAGCATGCCCCCTTTTCAGCCTGTCACTATCGGGTTGTCTACTGGTTGACCTATTTGACTATGTCTTGTTTACATCCTTTCACCATCCATCAAGGTTTTTTTTACTACCCGGCTTCCTGGCAGCGATCCATGCAATTTAATTTCCGGCTCACAGCTTTGTGTGTTTAGGCTAGTTTCAGTTTGATTTAGCCGTGTACATGACGGAGAAAATTGATCCCCAACTACATAATCCCATTATGGTAGTCCAACTATTAGAAGCTGGATGAAGTACAACTTCAGTCGGACTAAAATCTTTACATGCTTTTTAAAAATCCAGTTTCAGTCGGACTAATGCAATAAGTATCTTTTTAACTGCATGTATGATAGGAAAGTGGAGCTAGATCCTGTCCTGCAATCCATGCAAGGCTCTCTAATTTCCAAATGTTACAGTTACTCAAGTCGCAAGAGGTAGTGATAATGGCAACAGTATTCAAGTTGTGACATTTGCTACATTTATGTTTGAGTCATTAACTGCAGAAGAACTACCGCTAAATGAGGACAGAGATGTCAAAAGACATATTCCTACCAAATCTTGCTCCCCTTGTCTTACATAAACATTCATAATCAGGATGATATGAAGAATAAAAAGTATGTAAGCCAATATTTTAAGTTGGAATAAATTGAAAAGTGCTCAGTTTGATGCTAATTCATCCTGGAGAAGAATAAGAATCTCTTGTTATGGATGCATTACAGTGGAATCATAAGGAGATTTTTTCTGATGAATAAATATAATTAAATTACATCATCTGTCAATCATTATTACTTGTTAGTATCCAGAAAATAACGAGAATTGTGTGTATTGAAGATAATTGTTATGCAGATTTTAATTTTGACAGTGTGAGGAAGACCCTGATGTGAGGAGGGTTTGTCTTACCGCGATTAGACTTTTGACAGTATATCTCATGAGTTGGATGTGTTAATGACTGAGCTTCCTTTATATCTGAGTACTTTTTCCTCCACTTTTAAAAGGCTCAAAACAAACAAGACAACAAAAAACTGCAAGATAAAACAAGATAACCTGATTATCATGTGTTCTTACAGTGTTTATTCAACACCGTCTTCATATTCTGAACCAAAACCTCACTTTTTTAAGTCTAAAGTCAGTGCTTCAACGTGACTTTCTAATAATCTCTCCAGTTTTCTTGCTGCGTATTTGTGATGGGATATGGTCACATATTTCAGATTGCACTGGTCCAGTTCAAACATTCCTGTGTTACATAAGAGAGGGCTGAAGTCAATAAGGTCTGGGTTCTTATTTGTGTTTCAGATTTCACTGGCGTAGATCAGAACATGCTGTTATCGGACGGTGAACACACATACACGCACAGATACACACATGTGCATGCATACCCTCGAGCATACACACAAGCAACACAGCTGTGTCACATGCTTTTCCCTTTCTGCCAACAAACTCTCCTCTTTCCTGACACGAAGTTTCCTCTCTTGGCGAAAAATGACAGCTCAGCTTTCCTCTCTGGTTTGCGTTATGCTCAGACTGTATCCTTAAAAACAAAGATCACTTCATTGAGTTTTATGGTTTTAACATCTCTTTTCTCTTTTGTGGCGAGGTAACCATCACAGTGAGTCAACACTCATGAGGCTCATCCGTCTGATGAGGCTGCAGCCTTTTTTCATCCAGCTTATATTTGTGTATTTGTAAGGTGTTCACAGCAGCTCGTCGTTGCTCCTTAAGTCACTGTCTGTGGTTGCTTTCTGTCTCTGTCTTTCCCGTGCTGTTTAGAGTCAAATGGTCTGCACTGACGAACGGCTTCACTCTGGTTATGCAGAAGACAACGCTTCTCTGTCTCTATGTGTGTCCCCTAAGGAGGCCAGATAATGATACGCTGGCAGGGCAGATTGCAGGGTTGCCATCGGTCTGGAAC